AATTATATTAGAATAAGTCTAGCTATTCTAGAACTTTTTAGTAATAATAGATTAAAAAGGGGTAAGGTCGATACGTAGCCGGCTAGCTATAGTAAGGTGCTATAATAGTCTATACGGAGATTTACGAAGGAGAACGGGAAAATATAGATATTAGTAAAGAAATACGAATTAGGTATCTTAAAAAAAACCTAAAAACGCAAGGGTACGGACAGTCCTACGCTTCTGTACAGGGGTGCCAAACCCTGTACAGAAGTGCCCGACCCGCAAACCAAAGTTACCAACCGTAAACGCCTGTATCCATCCTCCCATTCCTGTAAGTATACCTATCGTTTCTATATACTAGATTCCCGATTCTATACGCCTTAGTAGGTATTTATAGCATTATATAAATATATGTTTACGTTATCTCTAGTTGTTATACGGTTATATAGGATTTTATAAGGTCTTGCTTAGTCGTAATAAAGCTTAATCTCGATGTTTTCGTTCTTATCTATATATAACTATAGTTAGTAAAGATATATAGACGATACTAAATATATATAATAACATACTATACTTAACATTAGCAAGCTTGTCTACGATAGAAACTAACGTATTTCTAATAAGTCGTATATGCTTAGGCTTAACGCTATAGACCGCTGTTACGGCCAGCTAACTGACAGTGGGTTTGTGTTAACAGTAAGCCAGGGATTGACAACAGTAACAGTCGTTCTGGGGTCTGGTCGATTGAATCGTAGATCTTCAAAGGTCTTGGTGATCAGTCAAGGCCTCAACAAGAGTCGTAGAGTAGTCGTCACTTAGGTATAGCTGAAAGTACCGGTTAGGGTAATCACAAAGTTGATTGCTGAAGAGCTATGGAAGTCTGTCCTCGAGCCCGGCTCGAGTCCATCCTATATACAAGTCCTGAACGGTCCTCCTTATCTTGGCTATGTTGGATATTTGACATATCCAACATATCCGGGGATCGGTTGGATATTTGACATATCCAACATATCCGGGGATCGGTTGGATATCTGACATATCCAACATATCCAGCCCGGGTTGTCCCTACCCCGCGTTATCCCCGAGGCCACGTGACTTGTCCATAGTTCTTCCGTTCCGAGGATCCCTGGTTACACCTGTCCGGCTGGGTTACATATGCCCTGCGTTAGCCGCCGGGATCCAGGCGGGGTCGTGTTGGCGACCATGTCCAACGGGTCGTAACAACCGCGTTGAGAAAGTTATACTCCGTATAAGAGACGTATAACTTCTTACTACTCGGGGCGGAAGTATAAATCTCTACGGCAGGTCGCTTCGAGGGGGATAAGGCTATATAAAATAGATTAGATTTATATTTAGTTATATATAGGTTAAGACGAAACTTACTAAAGCTATAGTTAGAAACGCTAGAATTATATATATAGTTAGTATAGCTAGCATAGCCGTCTAGAATAACATAAGTATTATATAGACTATTACCCTTAATATAGTTCTTATACTAGTCCTTACCCTCGCGCGTATTTCCGTATATGTATATAAGGAAAGAGTTAGCATTCTGCGTATGCTTATACTTAAGCGCTTTTTTCTATCGTCTTCCGTTCTTAACTGTAAAGCGAAATCGATTAAGTTACAGGCTTATATAATATATAAGCAAAAGAGTAAGGTATATACGGGGGTATAAGGAGACTATACCTCTACTTCCTTATTATCTAGAATATTATTAATAAAAGTATTGCTAGCATAAGGAATACTATCTATAACAAGTTAGTATAATATTATAAGGGAATTATAAAAGTATATATATAGGTAAGGTAGTAGCCGGTTCCGAGAGCATAAGTATATATAGAAGGTAGCTCGGCAGGTAACTCCGTAGGAATCTTTATATCTCCGATCTTATCCGGCATAAGCTTAGTAGCTAGCTCTATATCCTAAGCTATAATATACGGTAGTATAAAGTAATATCGAGTATCGTTCGGGATTGTAAGGATGTTATAGGATGTTATAAGATATTATAAATCTTTGCTAGAAAACTATATATAATATAACGGGGGCGACGCCTAGCGCCCGGGGATATATAAATCTATATAAAAGCTAATAGTTAGTAAATAATGATATAGAAATATATAAAAGCTTAAAAAATTAGAAAAAAAATCAAAAATAAAGAAGATAAAAGAAAACGGAAGTATAATAAAGGATAAAAACTAAATCTCTATAAAACAGTATAGAAAGCGTTATAAATTTCTATATAGTAGGGGTTATATACCTAAACTCTGCTTAGCGTAGGGAAAAGGAAGAAGTTCTAAGCCTTACTAAATTCCTATTTATTTATCGATTTGCGCGCATAGACTATGCACCTAATCAACCGGAACCGGAAGATCTAACCTCCGACGGATTATTATAGAGCCTCGTAGGGGGCTGTAGTTCTATATAGTAAACCCTTATTTCCTAAAAGGGCAAATACCTACCTAGAAATATATAAAAACAAAAATCGTTTTACGCGAGATTACATATGTTTACGCTTATAGGGTGTTCCTATCACTACCTTGAATTTTGACCCAGTGCGCCCTGCGGACTGCCGTACCCACGTCATATTCCTGACTTTCTGACTATTGGTTTACGTGGGGCTTGAGGTCTTCTCAGGAAAACAATTCTTATTCACAGGTGCAACCTGATAGCCTTCTCTAGAATAATCCTTAGGTTTCACGTCATCAAGCCAGTTATTGGGTAATAAGTTACTGCCGTCCTGGCTTGCCATCCCAACCGTTGTGACCCATAGACTGACTGATGAGGACCACGCAAAGGATGCGGCTCCATTTTCCAGGTGTTTAATGTCATGACTCATTACATCTAAGCCAAGTGTTAGGGGGTAATATCTAGCAACGTCTTATTCACTTAACCTTTCTACACATGGCTGTATAAAACAATTTGTAATGATGCCTGCCTTCATGGAACTATTTGGGTTTACACAAGGGGAGTCTCGGACTTGAAGTATTCTAGATCAAAATGTAGCCACCGCCATCTCTAAAGGACGTTCCATATCTGATTTATTCGTGCTAGCAGAAGCCTATAACCCCCATCTTGGACAGAGAACTACGGTCACTTCATTAAGCCATCTGAGATATAAGCTGTTCGTCTAGGTTGCCTAGTTTTATGCGGTGCTCAACAATATTGTAAATATGTATGATATCTTATGAAATTGCGACCTTGCTAACTATAGTAATCTGAACATGGTTGGCTAGCAAGTTCGACATGGATTCATAGCTCAGAAGCGAATTCCATTTAGTACACTACTCATGCTTTCTCAAGAACCATAGCTCCAGGGAAATGAGGATTGAACCACAGCTTGATCATTGACTAGCTCTGTCGAGTTGATGAGAGCTGAATGAACCACATGCCAACTCCATTACACTGGTCTAACCGTTGTCTACACCAGTTCGTTGAATCCATTGAACAATATGTTTCCTTTGAACTTCATTGATTGTTTTAATAGGGCATTGGCTTCTTCCAGTCGCTATTCCTGTGCGATTGCCAGAGGTGGGTGTGGCACAGGGTGAAGAGGTCAGAAAGTAGGGGTGGTGATGGTGACTGCATTCATCTCTTGGCCTCTCAATCCCTCATGGGATCGAGAGCCCTCCTTATAGCTCTGGTTGGGCCACTAGTAGGCTAGTTGTTCCCTCCCTTGTCCCGTTCCCTACATCTATTGTACCGCTGACCTCCGATCCCTGACTGCGACCCCCGACCACCGGCTTCCCCGATTCCACACGTGACAGAGATGTTTTCTAGCTAGGCTTGGTTGCTAGAAACAACAAGCCCGCTTACTTATTAGGTTTCTTAAGCTATTTGACCTTGTTTTAGTCATAGAACTATCCACTATACAAGAAGTATTTCGTGTTACTGAATAAAGCAGGTGGAAAGACTTGAAGATTATGCTCAAGTGACCAAAGCCGAGAGCATTCGCCCCTAAAGTGCCACAGGCGTGCAGTTGAAAGTCTCGAAAAGGGAAAAAGCAACACTCTTTCAATCTTCAAAATTCTCCTGAATGACTTTTCAACTACGTGCCATAACAAATACTGACGGTAACAAGCACTTTTCACCGTAATTGCCAAGCTTAAAGACTTTAATACGCGAAACAATGCCAGAAGATTTTGTTCAACCGGGCAAATCAACCAATGGTGTAGTTGTTTTGATGTAGTTGTTTCTGGGTTCAAGAAGAACAGCACTGATCTCTGAGACGTTACACTGAGAAATGAATTGCACTGCAAATGAAAAGTCACTTTCCATATTGACCATCTTTTGAGAGAAATGATCATTTTCTGTAGCCCGCTTGTGCGTGTTGATGTTATCTCCTTGGGCGAAGGATGGCAGGCCGTCTTGGATGTTCATTCTCAATATCTCTGGGAACCCGTCAGAACTTAGATACCCAGTCGGTCAATCCCGTCGAGTGCTGAATGACTACAGGTACATTGCTCTCAGTTTTCACATACATTCTACGGCTCGTAACAGAGATATATGACATTCTGGCACCAGGTACCTACCTCCTGGTTTTCCCCATCTCAGTAATGGCTATAATGTAGCTTAGGGAGTTGCCACTACTTCCGCAAAAGTCAGGACGTGTAGAGAAGAAAGCTCTGAGCTAACCCCTGACAGCCTATTCTTCCCTCGCGTCTTTGCACCTGTCGTCGTTTACAATAGAGATGGGATATCAGAACCACTAAACATGGTTCATCAACACGACCCTTGATCATGAGCTAGATCTCTCATTTAAACGGGGTTTTGCAGCCATCACATTCACGTTGGTGTCGCTAAACGTCTTCCATAAAGAACATGAAGGAATAAACTCATCACGAAGTAGGAGAGGCATTGATCGCAGTCAGACAACACAGTCTTTCAAGCACTCCATCGCGGAGCATCTCGGATTTTGGAATCATTCCCTTGATTGGAATTTGGATGACGCTCCCTTGTTGGCTTAGGCTACCCCTATGAAAAACCAGGCTGCAAAAGTAATCCAACAGCAAATGACATCCCAACCAACACTACTGACAGCAGGATGTTCATACAAGGTACGGATGACGATGTTCAGACTCTCGCTTTCATCAACGACTCCTTTAAAGGCAACTGCCAAAACCCAAACCATGGAGGCCACAGTCCAAAACCTCGCAGGTTCAGATAATACCTTAGAAGGCAGCAGCTTGTTCAAAATCAAAGGGAAGAAGGCCAATAAGTGAGGCCCAAGAAGCAAGAGCAAGAATCCAGGCTTTCCAATGGCGGAGGGGATCGAGGTGGCCCAAAGTAGTGTGACGACGAGAATGACGCTATGCGCAGACACTGACGAGGGCGTGACACCTTTGTCCTTTCGAACACTCTCTGCCTTAGCCTCCTTGGATACTTTCTCGCCGAGAACATCACTGCACAAGATGGCAAGAAACGATAGGTTTGTCGCAAAAGAAATAGCAACCACTTGCCCAAGTAGCACGAATATCCAAGCGTGAGGGATATGTCTCTTTCGGGCTACCACACATCAGCTCACGTCAGCACATTTCCATTCATTATCATCTTTCCGCTGCCATCTTGCCGCACAACGAGGATGTACAGAAAACATACCCTGTACAGCAAGCAACACGCTCCAATTGGCGCAAAATCCGAAGATTTGCAGCGACCACCAGGCCCTCGGGCCTGTCTCGAGAGTCGAGGCCCATGCCTGCTTGAAGAGCGAGGTGTCTCTCAACCACTCCCCCAACCTGAGACCTTCCGGATTCTCAGTTGTTGCCGCTACCACTGGGTGTGTAATGGCCCATTGATCGTACGACCACTCAAAGAAACGAAACATGTGATACCAGGTCGTGGCAAGACTCAGAGCGGCGAGCAGGCTAAAAACGGAAATGGCACGACGACGCGCGGAACTGCCGGCGGATCCATCTTGCGGCGGAGATGAAGCGTTGCGCTTCCGCTGGCTGCGGATTATGGCAAAGGATTTTGCAGTCAGGGCTGCGGCCAGCACCATGTAGCCTGTGAATATGGCCAACGGCCGGGCGTTAGAGACCTCCATCTCTGGTGTTTGTCGTCTTTGCGAAACAAACTCGATTGTGCTTTTTTTTTGGCTTTCACGTGTGGTCTCCGTTGGAGGAACACGTTCTCCAACGGGGAATTAAGCGACTGTGCAGAAGCCTGTGATTAAGTTGAACCAGGGATCAGGGTGTGGTGGGGCGATTGAAGAAAAGTTTTGAGAGCCAAGAATCATATTGGTTGAGTCGGCGCAACTTTCTATCCGATCTAAGGGGAACGATTTAAGTGACGGCCATGTCTGAATATCTCATGCCTAACGTTCAAAAGTAATCGAGTTCAACTCGGATTCAAGTATGTCGATAACAGACAGAATCCCCAGTCAGCACCGTATTACAAAATCCCTTTAAACATTCCCAGGCGCTAAGTTTCACTGACGCGACTCAGGTATCAGCGCATGTTTGGTACTCTCGGTTCCCGATCAGAGTGGATTTTGTTGGCCAGTAATACTAATCAACATGAACAGGGATGAGGCCGTGTGAGTGCGGCGCAAATGGAGTTGGACCGATCCGAGTGGCCTCGACCTCGGCACACGTATTTTCTCGCCAGGGGTAGTGCTGGCAAAGTATGCAGCCAGCAGCTTGACTTCCGGGGGAATGACCAGAGTATTGGAAGAAACGGTCATTGTGCATAAATGAAATTGCGCTTCCGGGGTCTGCTTGGTTGAGCAAATGGAATTGAGCGTGTCGATTTGAACCTTTGCAAATCAAGACCGCCGATACGCTGAGCTAGCTTCGCGATCTCACGAGGCAATAGAGTTTTACCCCCACCGTTTGCGCGATTTGGGTTGGGGGAACGACTCCACGAAACTAGGAGTTGGGAGGCCACCGAGATAGCATGCGCTGGAGATCACGAGATCTCCAGATTCGATCAATTACCACGGAATGAGTGGTGAGGCTCCTATTCGGGTGGCCGTGGTCGGAACCGGATTGGCAGGTCTCACCACGGCATATCTTCTGCAGAGTGACGAAAAGCAAAGATATACAGTCACGCTCTTTGAACAAGTATGTCCGCGCTGAATGGAATTATCGCTTGTTTTGTAAGCTCACATTTCCAGGCGGAAACTCTTTCATTCGACTCTGCATCGGTTGCGGTCCGAGATGAACGATCTGGCGTCGTCGAGCGGATTGACCTTCCAATGCGCGCTCTCGCAGGAGGATATTACACCAATGTGATGCGCATGTATGATCATCTGGGAATCTCCTATCACCCTATCCGTTTTCTGTTCTCATTTGCGAAAACGGTGCCACGACAGATTAGCACATCAACCAGCAAGCTCCATGGACATGGTGGCTCCGAGGGCGCGGGCGGAGTGCAAGGAGAGTATTTCGTTCACGCTTCAAATCTGCATCAAATTCCTCCCTGGCCAGGAAGCCGCGGGGTTATGGCGCATTTCGTTGAGATTGTGTACCTGATCGTGTGCCAGTTTTGGTTCACGCTCGCTTGCTTTTTGGTACAGCCCTTTACTGAGCCTGATGGAGGGGAGACACTTGAAGCATATCTGGAAAGAATTTGGCTGCCGCGGCGATATGCAGCTCATTACCTGTTGCCGCTCATCAGCAGTGTGTCTACATGCTCCCATGCCGAGCTTTTGAGATTTCCAGCAAGCGACGTGGTCAACTATAAGAAGCTCACACACCGTCAGCAACATTACACTGTCTGTGGAGGTGTCCATCAGGTGGAATCGACGCTGGCAAGCGAGATGCAAGACGTTCGACTGGGAGCTCGTGTTGTGGGGATAACGCCAGTAGCAAATGGAAGAGTTAAGATCAGTTGGCAATCGACAAGAAACGGAGTAGCATCTCAGATGCTGGAGGACGAATTCGACCGGGTAATTCTCGCCGTATCACCGGATGTTGCCGGGAAGGTATTCGAACCGCTGCGCAAGACGCTGGAGAAGATCCCAACGACACGCGTGGAAAGTTCAATACTCCGCCCGGCTACTGCGACTGCGGCTGATAGGTTTTCCGTTATGGAGGATGAGAGTAGCCACCCAAAGGCCTGCGCGCATCATCAGGGGAGCAAAATGCCCTCTCAGGTGATTTGCCTGAGAACTGACTTTGGCAAGGAAACTCGGACAGAGGCGCTGCATACAATGCCTGGGGGAACAGTAGTGAGCACTTGTACATTGAATCCTGCAGAAGAGATGAAAAGGCAGCTGCGAACAGCTAGGTTCACCCGAACCCTAAGAACAACCGAGAGCAGGGCGGTAGTCCAGAGGATTATGGGAGACGAAACGAAGTCGAAGAAGAGGGCGGATGTGAGTGATGGACCGGCAGAGTGGGTTAACGGTGAAGACAATGTCTGGTTAACAGGAGCATGGTGCTGGGACGGAATGGTTCTACTCGAGGGGTGTCTTGTGTCCGCGATGAGGATAGCTGATGACTTTGGGGTGAAAGTGCCGTGGTAGACCGATGTGGTGGGAAGATGATAGTGTTGAGAAATCCGCAAGTCAAGATTAGCGATAGATGAAGGAATGAAGTTAAATCAGACGCTGGCCATTTGCCGGAAATCCGAACCCCTCCGGTAAAGGCGGCACTTTGTGCTGAAGGCAGCAATATCGGAGCTCCGAGTCCCGTCAGAGGGCCATTGGTCACTTGGACGATGACTAAGCATGACTACACGTGACAACTCCATCTGTGAATTCTAAGTGAGCGTGAGTGAGTGGCCCAGTGAAATTTAAGACTTGCTCATTGATCTCTCTCTTACCGGTGAACTCATATCACTACATCACTCAATTATTTAGTGGCCATGTCTTTTTAAAAATGACGACAATCTTTATGTCCGACCCAGGCTTTTGGCAAGGTGCTATTTTAGGCCTTGTTAGTGGGCTTGTTCTTTCCGGGCTTACTGCGATAATCATCACTGCCAATCTTGTCCAGCGAAATGACATTTACGATGTTGACCACTGGAAGCTCAATGTGAAGGTTCCATTTACCACAATGTGGATGAACATGGGTTATTGGTACGTTTTTTATATTGAGATCTTATAATAATAGCGATAACGTTTCCACCTGTTATTACTTACATCAACTCATGCATCTCCAACAGGATAACTACCGATGGGCAGCCGATCAAAGACTTCCAGCAAGCTTGCCGCACTCTTCTTCACGAAGTACTTGCTGATTCTGGTATATTGGAAAGAGACGTCAAACCAAAACTTTCCATTCTTGACCTCGGTATTGGCTGCGGTGACCAGTCCCTCGAGCTTGCTCGTCTTGCAAACCAGAGCGGTTATCATGGTTATGACTACGTAGGCCTTACTCTGAACGAAAGTCAGTTTCGCCTGGCTTCCAAAAGGCTGTCTGTGGCGCTTCAGGATTCGGACTCTGCAGTCGGCTCCGTCAAAGTCTTTCAAGCTGATGCTGCGAGACCTGGTACTTGGGCTCCACCTATAAACGAGGCCGTTCAGTCTCTGAAAGGAAGCCGTAGTACTGATAGTGAGAGATGGGTGCTTGGGCTCGACAGCTTGTATCATTTTTCTCCATCCAGGAGCCCAATCTTCAAGTATGCGGCAAAAGATTTAGACGCTTCGTTCATGGCGTTTGACTTGATGTTGAACGAAAACGCATCTTTCAAAAATAGGCTCTTTGTCAAAATCATTAGTCTGGCCATGAAATGTCCTAGGGACACTTTTGTTACAAAGGAACAATACCAAAGCCAACTCAAGGAGGCAGGATACGATGAGAAGCATGTCCAAATTCGAGATATCACGGATCATGTTTTTAGTGGCTTGGTCAACTACATAAGTCAACAAGACCATGAGCTGCGACCATACGGCATCTCAGTTGGAAAGTTCAAGGTTGCCGGCAAGATGTTTCGATGGTTCGCCAAGTCGAAGGTGCTAAAGGCCGTGATTATAGTGGCACGAAAGAAACCCAAGATGACATAGATCTTGAAGTTGATTAGTTTTCATTGGCGATGCAAGCATGCTCTACAGTTCAATAATATCATGTTCTCAAGTTGCTATTGAATATAAACAACATATCAATGAGTTAATTAACGGGATAACAGACATCCATATGAAAACGAGGTTGTATCAATAAATTGCCGACCAAAACCAGATTATCGAAAAAGCATGCGCAAAAACCAGAAACAGAGCCAAACAAAACTGTGCCAAACTATACACCGAACCATCTTGAAGAACAAGCAATGCAATAGATGCCACGCCTAGCCTCCGGGCACGCCCTGTCGGATATTATCGTACTTGCTGTTGGGATAGCTCAACAAATTCTCGCTCTTATCCTGCCCGCTGGCACCACCAAGAGAGTCGAAGCTCGTCTTGAGAAGACTTCCGCCGTCTTTCCTGTCTCCACTGGCCTCCCAGAACATTGAGCCTCCGAGCCCTTTACTCTGCAGATACGACACCTTGGCCCGCACTACGGCTGGCGTATCATAAGAAATGAGCTCCCGGCTACCGGCATCGTAGCTGTAAGATGCTACTGCGGTAGAATCAAAAAGCTCCGTTGCTCCGGGGCGTGGTAAAACTTTGTAATCCCAAACGCCGTTCTCCCATGATCCGCTGCCGACACCCGAAAACGGCTGTCCGATTCCGTTAGTCTGCTGGAAGGAGCGACCGTAGATTGGCATGCCGAGGACAATCTTCGAAGCTGGAACACCTGCACGAAGGTAGTCTGTCACTGCTGCATCGGCTGAGAACGGGGTTGCGGATGGGTTTCCTGGGTTTGGGTACAGGTTGGCCTGATGTCCGCTGTTGGCGTCCCAAGAGCCAGCAAAGTCATACGCCATTAGGTTGAAAGCATCGATCACGTCCGAGATACCCTTGAGATTCAGGACGTTGTAGTGGCTCGGTCCCGCAGGCGAAGCAATGGTCAAGAGGAAGTGGTATCCAGGCGCATACTGCGCGGCATACGCGTCCAGCTCAGCTCGGACTGCTTGGAGAAGCAAGATGAAGTTGCTTGACTCGGTAGCGTTTGCGGGGTACTCCCAATCCACGTCAATACCATCAAATCCCCAGTCTTGATTAGATATTGTTAGTTATCTGCCTGAGATCTAAGAAGCCTGGTCCGCTCTTACCTTTCATGAGGGTCACCGAGGATTTCGCGAATAGCGATCTGCCTTCAGGAGTGCTAGCCGCAGCTGGAAAGTTGGTCGACCAAGTCCAACCGCCGATGCTAAGCATGACTTTCATACGGCGATTTGCTTTCTTCAGCAGGTAGAGCTGTTTGACGCAACCGTATGCATTGTTGCCGACGTCATTCCAAGCTGGAAATGGTGAGAACCTAAAAATCAAGGTCATGCGCGAAGTTCCAAGCTTACAATCAGTGGGGTAATGTTTCTCCAAATCGGAGTATGTATCAGCGGAGTACCTATTCACAGTTAACATTGAATCCTCGGACTCATTTCGTTTCACTCGTGGCGCCATGGAACACATACACTTCTCCCGAGGGCCTCAGATTCATGAAAGCGTAAAGGACGTTGGTGATCTGGGAAGCTGGCAGATCCTGAGGCTGGTAATTTCGGCCATAGATGGCCCTGGTATCGAGTTAGCTATGTTGCTTCTGTTAGTTCTGTAAAATTAGCCCAGGACTTACCAGTTGGTGAAATACACCGCGTTTGTGTAGCCGTCAAGGCCATTCGAGCTAAGCTCCATTGCTGACACCTCAGAAGAAGTAGTCTTTGTAGACATGATGTTCCGATTAAGATGAGGTTTAAGGGGGGAAAACAGTGAACGATCAACGGCCAAGAGAGGGGTTTTAATAAGTCTTGCTCGAAGGCGAAAGAAGTGCTTGCAGATCAAGTAAGCATCATTGAGATTATGATGGTCAACTGATCCTATTATATACTAGTCAATCCGGCAAAGTCAAATAGAACGCTATCAAGAGGAGGAAATACTGTGATGAAATGTCAGCCTTGCCGCGCGCTATCATCTGAACATGCAAGCTAGAACTTGGTGCATTCGAAACGTTACCTAACCTCACCAAATGAAACCTTCTGATTCAGAAATCTCATGATATATTGTACTGATAAATCTGATGCATTCAAACCAGTGCTTAGAGACACCGGATCAATGTTGCCGTCACATCACGCTTGGACAGTTAGGCCCTTGGAAAGTGACCCGTGGAGCGTGTGCTCTAGCTTACCACCAACCCACCAACGGCCAAGTTATCTCCGACTTGAATATTTTCTTGGCAAACTGTACTCGGGTTCAAATTTTGTGGTGTGTACTGCTGTCCAAACACCAACGGTGAAGATGTGGTGATGGTGCCCGGTGAATGGTGAAAACAAGGTGAGGGGTCGGAGCTAATGCAGGTGTAGTCAAATTTCCATCTGCTAGCAGCTGGAGGAGAACAGCTAGATTGGTCAAGTTTCTGCATTCTTCAGGAGCTATTCTCGATGGCCATGTGCCCAAAATCTGCCGAGTTGAGGGCGAATGACCGAGTCGGGGCCGAGTGTGACCCTCCATCATGTCCACTCATCGCTGAATTTGGACAGTACTAACCAAGGCACATGCTTACATTTTGACGAATCCTATCAAAGCTTCAATCTGGCTCGTAGCGGCAGTTTTTTCTATGAGACATCTGTGTCGGTTTTTGTTTGCGAAGAAAATCAGGAATTGACGAGATAACCCAATTGGAAGCAACAACATCCTCAGAGATCGTAAGCCGCCATCCACATCGCGGTAGGGCCGATATGTCTCCCCTGGTCCCAACTTATCTCAGAACTTGCACTTCTTGTCACAACCATCATTCTTTTGGGGCAGCTGGGATTCCATGAGACGGCAAAAGCCTGTCACCCGCACCACCACTTCATTTCGGAATGGTTGCTCAAGGCGAACTCCAACCGGGTGGGCCGCTGCCATCTGATATCTTGCATGTCATAAAGTCGTATTCCCGTCTGAAATTGGATACGTGAGGTCCTATGGCCGGTTCATGAGGCTTTGGTCATCGGCGGCGGCTTGCAACGTTATATCCTCTGAGGTATATGTAAGTAAACGAGATTCATCCTTAAGGTGGACGTTTAGAACCTAGAAGGAAAGGGAAAGTACATTCTAAATACGTGTAATCTAGAACTATATCAAGTTCTCATCTAGCGCCCCCTTTGTAAGGGACCTTACCTAGTATTGACACTAATGTTCTGCTTATGTGATATAACTTCTCGGCCATCCATTTCCGCACTCCGACCGTTGCCTAAGTCAGTAAAGAAGTCAACGCGACACTAAGCACCTGTATAATGCTGACACCTCATGAGTTCTGCGTTCCTCGGGGTCTAGAGGTCTTTATGGTGGTAAGCCCCTGGTACCAAACATTCGACTCTATATTGCTTCGTATTAAGGGCAAACGATACGTGCGATAATAACTTGGGAGCTTGTTGAGAAACATTATTGGCGACAATGTCCATCGGGGATAAGCCCTATGCTTATGGCGATTTGACTATTTTCGGCGATAAGTGTTTCTTTAATAGATAGTCACGTACCGTGGTTATTGAAGCATTTAATGCGAGACCGAGTCCCTTACTGAATCGGCCCGATATTTGACTGCTTGAGGAAACTTGGCATTCAATCAATAATCATTACAGTTGAATGTTCGCCCGGACATTAGGAGCTACGGATTTAGAACGAAAGGTCTTGACTCGCCGATTTTCCACCTTGACTATGGCTTCTTACCTTATCTAATGGTTATTCCATGATGGCGAAGCGTATAATAATTGGGATAGTGGAGGCCTATGGCGGTTACCGTATGGAGATATGCTATATTAGGTTTCTTCCTTAAGTCCGCTGCTGACACTTGGCAACGGATATCCACAACTTAAGCTTACTACGTAACTCCCAAAAAAGGTCGTCATTTGGATCCTCAGTTTCGGCTGTTGTTTCGGCAAACCGTAAGGTAAAGATATGGTAATAATATAAGTAGTCCAATAATTATCACCAACTGCAACATATGACATACCCTTGGTCAGCACTTATAAGACGAATTCGACATCCGCTAACACCATGATATATAAGTCTCCTTTCGTTTTCCTCAGTTTCTTGTCAGCTTTCAATGCTGCCATTGGACCTCAGCATGTTGTGAAGGCATCACCACTCGAGGCTTCTTGTTCAGTTGCCCAACTTTCGAAAGCTCTTCCTGAGAATGCTACTATTCTCTCTGCAGAGTTCCTCCCGGCTGGCGGATCATACGGAGAAGGCGCCGCTAACCCTGCGTTCCCATTGATTCCGACCGACTTGCCAGAGACTTGTGTCGTCCTAGTAAACGTGACAACTTCGGAAACTTCGTCGTACAGATTTGGACTGTTCCTCCCGACAACTACTTGGAACCAACGCTACCTGACTGTCGGCAATGGAGGCTTCTCCGGCGGTATCAACTGGATCGACATGGGAGCCGGCATTCGCTATGGTTTTAGTGTCGCCTCTACCGATATGGGTCACAACTCATCGATGCTAGACATCACCTGGGCCCTGGGACAACCTGAAAAACAGCTCGACTTCGGCTTCCGCGCCACTCACGGCACCACTGTCCTTGCCAAGCAACTCACCGAGTCTTTTTACGCCTCGAAAATTAAGTACTCCTACTATTCTGGTTGTTCGACAGGCGGAAGGCAAGGACTCAAAGACGCTCAGCTTTACCCGGAGGATTTTAACGGCCTCTTGGTTGGTGCTCCAGCGTGGTGGACCGCACACTTGCAAACCTGGACTGCCAAGGTTGGGACCTACAACCTTCCACAGGGAGCCGCAAACCACATTGACGCATCCTTGTACCCTCAAATTGCCGCCGACGTGGTTGCGCAGTGTGATTCCGCTGACGGTGTGGTTGACGGCATTATCAGCGCGCCCCATCAATGTCATCTTGAGGCTGATCGGCTGCTTTGCAACGACAAGAACACGACCACATGTATCACCCCTGAGCAGGCTCAAACCGTTCGTAACATCCACTCGAACTATACCATCGATGGTGAATTCGCGTTTCCCGGCCTGGAAGTCGGCTCCGAAGGGGAGTGGTTCAATTTGTTATCTGGTCCAGAGCCTGCATCGCTGGGTCTGCAGTACATTCAGAACATGCTCCTCGAGGATCCAGACTGGCCTTGGCAAAACTACACCGACTCGCTTGTTGCCCTGGCAGATGAGAAAGATCCTGGAAACGTTACAGCCGACGACTTCGATGGCATGTCTCGTTACCTAACAACCGGAGGCAAGGTGTTGCTGTATCACGGACTCGCTGACGGATTGATTCCGACCGGTAGTTCCACGCACTTCTACAACACAATGACTCGCGTTTTGGCAGACGCTGGCGAGGTTCTGGCAGATTCTCTGCGGTTGTTCCTTATTCCCGGCCTTCATCATTGCTTTGGAACCTCTGTGAACGCTCCTTGGTACATCGCCGGCCCTAATCAGGCTGGCACCACTGGGACTTCCACTTTCTCAGTGCCCCAATTCACCGACCCGAAGCATGACGCCTTAATGGCCCTCATGAACTGGGTTGAGAAGGGCGTATCCGTCGAGTCTCTCATCGCTACTACCTGGAACAACTCCTCTGAGCCGCTTTCCGGGGTTTTGCGCCAACGACCGATCTGCCCGTATCCCCAGTCTGCTGTCCTCAAGGATGCCGAGAACATCAACAAAGCAGAGGCTTGGGTCTGTGAGTAAGCAATATAGCTTAATACTGGGCGATTCGACTACTAGTATCCAAGGTTGTACGTATTACCTAGTCTGTGTAGTAGTGAGCAGCTTGGCAAGACAAAGCTCTGGCAGAACTTGAACAAAATTTCAATTCGATCATGTATATAGAAAATAGCGTATTTCAGTTTTGTAAGTGGCAATAAGCTTGGTTAAAAAAATGCATCAGAATGGCTGTTTTCTGCAATTGATATCAATGATGTTGCTATTGCTGTTGGTTAAGGTAAGGTAGCCACCGACCAGTGCCATGCAGCTTCCATTTACACGGTCACATGATTTAACCACACGGAACCTAAGCAGAATCTAGACAGCGATTAACCCGTAATGCCACCTTAATACCGGTGCAATTCTCACGGGTTCAACTGTCCAATCTCACATCCCTACAATATGTACGCTTTCACTAGTTTTCGCAGCGAGTAGTCAGTACACAATGGAGGGAATGGCCTTATCAACCGTTCAGCGAGTCCCTCATTCTCACCGATCGTTCTACGTGGGGGAAAGCATATAGAGGACGCAAATAGAAACCACTCGATACAAGGGCAGATATATCAAACACCTACAGCCCAGCCCTAGCCAAGAAGTCAAACCCTTTCCGCTCCTCTTTATCCACAAAGAAACCTATATAGGATAAGTAAGTCGCCCTAAGCACTTTAGTACCCCCCGCCTTAGGCGGCTCCATCCCGTGATATAGTTTTAAAGTTTAGGAACAAATTAGGATTAGATTATGTAACGAACTAGGCATATAGCAATCGAACTAGAAAAGGTGTAAAAGAGTGACTTGATTTAGAAAGAGGCTATATACTTAAGGAAGCGTGTACTTATATATCTATAGTATGCGTTTCACCCAGCTTTGCAAATAGGTGAAACTCGAAATGAAAAGGTGCTACGAACTGTCACAACTCTGAAAGCGATTGTAACCTCCACGAGGGTGGCTCACATTGATTTCATTCAACAATAATCTTTGTATATCATGTGATCAGCTCATTTGGCTATAGCCATTTCCTATGATTGGTCTAGGTATGCTGGGTTTCCGGGTCGGACCGCAAGCCACATGTGGATTGACGCAGGTCCATCCAGTACCCTCATTCGGCAATACGACAAAATTGCAGAAAGTTTGTGTTATACAGAAACGTGAGTCTAAGTTTATTAATATATCTATACAATGTAGCAGTGATATAAGCTGGCTTATCATATAACTTATTGGCGTCTCCCAGAAGTGATTGTATTCTCGTCGCTTTCCCGAGACATCGTGCACATGTTTGCGTGATGAATGATGTCCACCTTTCTCTGTGACGTTAAACCGGTCTGCTTTCCACTAACACCATACGCAGCGCACATTGCATTTTGGTGCTCCCCAGCCAGTTCCTTCTCTTCTCTTTTGATCCGACGCCATTTCCTGAAAGCCCGGATAGACAGTACAACTATTATCACCACAACCACACTCATACAGACAGCGATCGCAATCCAACCTCCCTTTGTGATGCCGCCACGGAACCGAGATTTGCTTTCTTCGTCATCACCATATATCGGGCGGGTGCGATCTGAGCTGCAATACTCGGAAGAAGAATGCTCATAACACCAGCCTGGACTTGGACTAACAGCGCTTGACTCGGGAACTTTCGCCCCGTAACTCGGGAAATAAACCACATCTTCACGTGTAGCGCTGTCAAACTTGGTCTTGCCAATGGCGATCTCCCCATTCGCGAGATCGAAAACCATGTACGCTCGCTTTAACATTGTGCCGCCCAGAGTATAGCGGTAAGGGTCGCTTGTGTTGTACGATTGCACTCCAAACAAGCACCAATTTGTTCCCGCCGATCTCATTGTCCTTCCAGGGACTCCAGGACCCACAAGGTCGGACACAGGCACATTGAGGATGGGGCCGTCGGCTCCATGGAGTTGAACGGCAAGTTGTGCTGTGGAAGCTTTGCTATTGCAGTTGACGGCGCGGGCTTGAAGCTGATCATCCCACACAGCGCCGGCAAGTTCGTAAATATGCCGAGCCAAATAATATGGCAGCCAAGAAATAGTATTGTGGGGGGCAATACGAACGACTGGCTTGTAGAGAGAAAGTGTGTCCAAGCCCCCCAGGGGCTGGAATGGGTTCGCGGAGTTTCTGCTGCCGTTCACAGAATGTATTTTAGTGCCGAATAGCTTGAGTGTCGTTAAGCTGGTATCGACAGGGAAACGAATGAGCGATTCTTGAAATTTGGACCGATCAATGGCGCTAGGCATGGGCATTACCCGGCCCGCGGGTCCCACGGGTACCCGCGAAATGGGTCGGGTAGTTATGGGTAGTGCCCGAAAGTTTTACTATTACCCACGGGTACCCATGGGTAAAGTGGGTTTGGGTAAAAAAGCCCACGGGTAGTAAACTGAAGGGGGGCCTACGGGTTTGGGTACCCACGGGTGTATACCCGTGGGTAGATTTCAGTAAGTATGCATCACGAATTTTAGACATCTTTTGTAGTAGCCAGCCTCAAGAGTGGATATATTGCGTAACGAATAGACCTGCTACCTTGTTACTCCTAACTTCCGAACGCCCTGAATGCCTTCAATTAATCGCCCGCATTTCCCAGACTCGGGGTCGAACCACTTGTCTCCGTGGACTCTGCCGGCCTTCAAGATAGCCTGGACGAGATGCAGATCCTTCGGCTTAATGGTGACGCGATTGGTGTGGATCGCAGCAAAGTTAATCACTAGATAGTTCGTTCAACTCGATAAGAGTTTGCAAGTGAAGCTTACTGTCGAAAACACCAAAGAGAAGAGACTCCGAAGACTCTTGAAGAGCGCTAATAGCAGTCGCCTGCCAGCGCAGGCGCTTGGAGGGGTCGATGTCATCGCAGATTTCCTTCCAGAGTCGCTGGAATGGGGGCTTCGGAATCAGGAAGTCAAATGTCTTCTGGTAGTTCCTGACCTCCCGGAGAGCTTTTGCTAGGTATTAGGGTTAGTGTGTAGCCATCTTTTGTAGCAATCTAGACTTACTGCCAGGGCGCCAACGGCGTTTCTGCTGCTCCTTAGCACTAGGCATAGTCTTTCGGGCTATGCTAGGCATTATATTATAAAGTTAACCATGAATCAGGTAGGACTCCTAGAAACACAAGTCCAGGTCCAATCAATATAGAATCTTTTACAGATAACTACTGAACAGAGGTTTTCAAAGAGATTCTTTTTGAGAAAAAAAACAAGAAGCCGCGGCTGCGCACAGACTACTTTTTGGCGTATTTTGTTTTTTTTTTGTGAGGTTCTGAAGCTTCAGAAAACTTCTCCCCAGACAACACTACAACCTACCTCCACCACTAACACCCAGCCGCACCGACAAGCCTCTCAATTAAGGTAATTTGATACTTTGATCTCATAATTATTGGTTTTGACTTATTAAATCAATTAGGGAACAGTAGTAAAATATGTCCTCAGGACAGGATCGCGGTACGTTCACACCAGCTTTGTAGCAATCATTTGTACTAATCTCTTCTAGGCCGACCGCTTGGATCTGGTGCTGGAGCCAAGCGTAAAGCTGAAGAGGATTATTCCGACAACGCGCATACCAAGAAGTCTCGTCAGCGTATCGATAAGATGACTGAGAAGCAGAAGGCACTTGATCGCTCGAAGAAGTCGATCAACTAGCAGAAATCCCGCAAGCTTAAAGCCTTGAGGGCTAAAAGCTCCTACATCAGTGCGTCTGCTGATAAGCGCGCGGCCCTTGAGGCTAGGGAAATCCAGCAAGTTGATGCACGATAGTGAGTTCTTTTTTATTTCTTTTGGTGTTTCAAATCAGTGCTCAAGTGCTTTTAGCTTCCTCAAAGGCAACCATCCAGACCAGCTGCTAGCTCAGATGACTGGCCCAGTCTCGTCTAGCTCCTATAATATCGTCGATGACGATGAAGACGAGGCTTGGGAGGATATCCCTTTGAATGAGATTGATGAGGCTACCCAGGAAAACCTGGATGGAGTTGAGGGCATGCTCAACTTTGACGTTGACCTTGATAACCAGTTGCCGACCATTAATGTTGCTAAGCAGTCGAATGCGATTATCGACAAGATGATCCAGGTAACTGGATGACTATAATTAATTACTATAGCAATAGCTAACAAACAGACAGGAAAACCAGATCCGAGAATACCAGTTCTTCCGTGATACCTGGGAGATGACTCTTAAGATACTTTACATCAAGGTCAAGCGGCTGAACAGCAATCCTGCCTTTACCCTAGCTGCGATGGAGGATTATGGCTTCATTCGACCTGGCTTTAAATTTCCAGTAGCTGGCGACATCTTCACCAAAGAGGAAGTGCTTCTTTGGTTTGCACTCGCCAAGTACTGGCACCTGAACCGCTTGTCTAAGAAGAAGAAGATACGCCTGGTTCTTAATTCTTCTGTCAAGAAGAAGAAGACGTAAGTGCTTAATTGTAGCAATCCTTTGTAGTAATACTAATATTCTCAGCCAATTCGCACTCGCGCACCGCCCAGCCATCAAGATTCAAGGATCTCTCTTCACTACAGCTCAGCGCCGATATGCCTCCACTCCAAAGCCTTCAGTGAAGGCTATGTTCTCTGAGATCAGTGACTCGATGATCAAGAAAGGTGTTTGGGAGCTTCTGGGCCCTGCTGAAGTTTGGGAAGAGTTTACTGCTCTCGATAAAACAGCCAACATCTTATCTGCGATGTATAAGAAGTTCTCAGCTATACTAAAGCTGATACCATTCTTCCTGAAGCTTGACCTTGCTCGGGATAAAGCGCCATACAACTGGCGTCAGGTCCATGAGTTGGCTTAGAAGCTAACTCGTTTGCTTGACTTTTCTCTATAATTGCAGATGAGCATAGCGAGAGGGTTTGTTTGACAGATTAAGAATTAAGAATTAGCAATAAGGCTAGCATGAATAAGGACATGAATTCTCTCTAGTCTGATTCTCGTATTGTAGCAATCGTTTGTAGTAATCTACAGCTGCTAAAACAATCTAGCACTCCATGCTCCCATCTTCTTCATTAACTGTTTAACTAAGTCAAGATCTTTCTTCTGCAAAGTTACTCTTTTAGCGTGAATAGCACAGAGATTTGCATCTATTAATATTCATGTTAATATAATAGTTTGAAGATCAGGATAGGATATCTTACTCTCGAACATGTTGATTAGAAACTGTTCGCTCATCTCATGGAGAGCCTCTATAGCCATTGACTGGTAGCGGATCTTATGGCGGTTTCTTAGTGGAAGATCAAGTGTTATTTCTCGAACTACTCTTGCGAAACTGCTCCGCGGAATTAAAAGATTGGTAGTCTTTTGATATTTTCGAATCTCACGAAGTGCATTTGCTTTACATTTCAGTAATTAAACAATAAAGAGTTACTTCTTACTTACTACCAGGCCTCTATCTACGAACTTTCTAGCGTTTAGTGATCTGGACGGGCTTTTTTCGAGCAGCTTTTAGCTGCTTCTTTGGCGCGAAGTTCAGCTGATCTTTCCGTGCAATGGTTGGTGGTTGGCCAGTATCTGTTCGTCTCGCCAACTTCGTCGCAAAGTTCCGCTTCAGCGGTGGTAATTCTGGTTGACTCAGGTCTGGGCTAGCCTGGCTATAGTAGGTTGCATGACTTGAACTTCTTGGCGGAGTCTCCCGAATCTCTGTAATTGGCTGTTTCAGGGGATTACCCCTCGCTGATGATGAGGGGTAACTATTTGGCGGTGAAGAGCCCTCCACTGTTAGCGGAGAGCTCTGATCTGACACAGGGCTAGTTGATAAGCGAGGCATTGAAGGATGAATGTAAGTGGGAGAAAAAACAAGTCGAAGGAGAATTCAGAGCTTTTAGATTTGTATACGAAACGTATTAGTCAGAAACCCTAAAATAGAAATTTACGTAAGGCCACATAATCAAATGTTTGTATTCATCTTGTAGTAATCCTGCAAACTACTTCCTGTTCACACCAAAGGTAATTCTTACTACGTATGATGTCGAACTCAATTGCGTCTGACCCTTTTGGGCCAGACCCTTTTGCATCCGATTGTTCTGCTGCTTTCGAGCTCGTAAATTCTACGCAGACTCCAACAATCAATACTCTACCTTCTGGTTTACAGATACAGTCGGAAATCATTTTATTTGTTATTAAGACTTTCCAGACTTTTCTCTCGTTTTTCAAAACCCTGCCATGGTATCTCCAATGGGTAATCCTTGGCAAACACACACCGTTGTCCAAATCCCCTCAACCTGAACGAAAACGCTTCGCTAAATCCTTATGGACTTTACAACGCCGAGTATCATTCTGGGATCACTTTCACCAAGGCTACCATATGACATCAGGGGAGCCAAAATTAGTCTGCAAGCACTGTCACTAAGTTTTCAATCATCCAACAATCAAAAACTCTGGTATAAGTGCTATGTAACGACACCTCGCTGCAAAGTCTTGTAAGACTCGACGTTTAGGCGCAAACCAGGTGCCTGTAAGTTTTACAGGTCATTGTAGCAATCATTTGTAGTAATCGCAATCTAGGGTACCCAATTGAAAGCAGTCTCGGAGCATCAAGCATTAGTTTACTGTATTGTTGGATCCAACTTAGCGCTTAATACTGTTGACAACTTAAGTTTCCGGCAATTCTGTTCACACCTGAATCCTCTCTACCACCTCCCATCTCGAAAGACGCTCCGAAGCTGGATATCCGAGGAGGCCTTACGCATTCAACACCACACTCTTCAGCTAATTCCGCCTGGTAGCTATGTCTCTCTGATGATTGATATCTGGAGTACACCTGGGTTAAAATATTCACTGCTTGGTGTTTTATGCCATTTTATCGACAAGCACTGGAGGTTACAACAGGTTCTTCTTGGTGCTATTGATATGACAGATGGTCATACAGCCTCTAAGCAAGCAACGGCTTTATCGACTCTGTTAGAAAATATTCGCCAGAGGACGAAGAAGACAATTCGATTTCAGACAGTCTCTGCAGACAACGCAAGTTCTTTTAAGCCAAAAGTCCTAGCACAAGAACTTGCAAAAGGGTCGACATCCACAGTACAGCCGATATATCATATTCGCTGTTTAGCCCATATTTTCAACCTTGTTGTTCGAGCGATTTTTGAGGCTCTTCGAATTTCGATGGTAGAAGCCTCTACAGAGTTTGAGCCTTCTACTACTCGAGCTAAAGATCAAGAGGACTCTGACGATGATTTTGATACTGAAGATTCTACTGCTGGGGAAAATCCTTTTGGAGCTGTTATTCAAAAGGTTAGATACTTCACCTAGTTATAAGATTTTATATTAACATATATACCTCCAGATTCGTGACCTCGCAGTTTCCCTTAAGCTTTCTAGTAAGAAGACGCAAGAGTTTCTCGACCTCCAGAAATCGACTCGCATTGGCCAGCGACCACTACGCCTCCTCCGCGATGTTAAGACAAGGTGGAACTCTACTACACTTATGTGTCTCCGCGCAAGAGAGCTTAAAACAACGATTTCAGCTTGGGTTGAAAAGCACTCTCTACAGGAACAATTCTCTCTTGTGGAGACCGATTGGGAGGCTCTTGATATTCTGCTTGATATCACCAGCCCGTTTTTACTCTTTACAAACATCCTTAGCCGGTTAAATGACCTTACCCCTGGTCATACCTTTACTTTATTACAAGTTGCAACAGTTCACTTGTACTTTTGCGCCTCTGCACTTAAAGATAAAGTTACTAGCAAAGACTTTACTTGGATATCAATCCTTCAGGCTGCTACGAAAAAGGGCCAAGAGAAGCTAGAAAAATACGTTCAAAAGCTAATTGAAGAGGATTCCTTCAAGGTATATGGTATTGCAACTCTCCTTACCCCTGAAGCTGGGACATCAGTTTCGAGTACTTTTGACACGCGATTCCAATTCGCAAATTACTTCGAATACCTTCCTTCTTCAGCCTCACTTCGAACTCGAGTACAGCAAGAATTTATCGAGGTATATACAAAGCAGTACCATCAAGATTCGGAACGCCATACCAATACTCAAAAAGCTGCAACTGAAGGACTCCGATACACTCTGCATAGTTTACTATCACGCAGTCCAAAGAAAAGGGTATTTGTAGCAATCTATTGTAGCAACTCACTGTACTAACCTATTATAAGGGCAAAATGTCATCATCCCAAGACGCACGAAATATCTGTAATGACTTTTTTAATATTGGTAAGATAAAGACTTATATCTTACTAGGCTTAACAGCTAATAACTATATTTAGTTATGTTCCCTGATGAAACTGTTCAGCAATTTTGGGTCCGCCTAGACAATAGCTATCCCAGATTCCATGGTATTTGTCGCATGGCTCGAGACTTCTTATCTATTCAACCGACGTCAATACCCTTAGAGCGATCATTCAGCCTTGCTCGCCATATCTGTCACTACGCTCGGTTCAACCTTTCGGCTGATACTATTTTTGATACTTTGACTATCAAAATTAGCCAGAATAATGAGGCCTGGCTTTCCCAAACCACACTTGAGGAAGTTCCAGATGACACGAATATCACTGAAGCATCTGAAGAGCGCCAGCATATTATTAGAGAAGCTTTTAACTACTCTTCTCTATTGGATAAAGCTGATATTCAGAGATATCTGAAGGTCTCTGATGATCTTACTAAGATCTCTATTACTGCTACAGGAGATGCTCCCTCCCCGCCTCCTTACGAAGTCTCAGTAGAAGAGGAGGATATTAGCGATAGAGATGAGGAGCTGCCATCCTTATCTAGCTCTCAACAGCCAAAACTATCGAGTCAAGTTTCCCAACTTAGCAACTCACCTACGCCTTCTGTATCCCAAGAACTCCTAAACTTCTCCGAGCTTGGGGGTCGCAAAAGGAAGAGACTTACTCGGCTAGATCTTGTCGAACTCTCTCCTGACGAGGATAGCGATTAAATATACATTGTTCCTCTGATTTCACTCCGACTTTATCGTATTATTCTCTATTAGTTTCTTATATTTGTAGTAATCTATTCTAGCCATCTATGTTTTATGTAACTTACTCTTTCTCCCTATAACTAACTAGTTATATTTTCTTTCTATCTTAGTTACAGTATTTCCCGCGTTTCTTGTGGGTAGCAAAATTACCCGTGGGTAGTGTAACCTATGGGTCGTTTTACCCACGGGCCTTTCAACCCGCGGGTAAATATAGTGGGACTGCCCGTGGGTAATTCGGGTTTACCCAAACTACCCACGGGTAGTTTTGGGTACTACCCATACGGGTACCCGCGGGTATTACCCAACCCTAAATGGCGCCGAGGAGGAGGTTTCCGGAATCTCCAGAGTCGTCATCGAGCCAGAGACTGTATGCTGTCGAATTGATTCCACCGTCGGTGAGCAACCGTTCAAGAAAAGTTGGGGTGTATTTACCCCTTGTCGGGTTGGACGGGTACAGCCGATCGTAAGCGGTCGTATTGGAGGCGAGCCCCAAAGTGCCAATATAAGAATTAGCCCTATCGGCGAGTCCCATTTCAAAGTTGGGTAGCTTGAAGCCGCCGATGCTCAACGTTTCTTTCATAATCTTGCCATAGGCGTAGCCCTCCGGAATGATGGCCTTAAAATCTTCATCGCCAGGGTTCACATAGCTCGATGAGTTTTTGGCCATGAATGAACTATATTTGCACGAGCCATATTTGACCGAGTAACTTGGAAGGTCGCAGGTTAATTGATTGGGAACCCATGTTTCTGCTTGTTGTACTGTGAGTAACACCGATAGATCCTGAGGGGGGGTGCCGAGAGTGACGTTGACCAAGTAAGCGTTTTCGGCGGTGAAGAAGTCAACTTCTGAGATGGAACGACGCCCATTACTCAATTCTTGGCTGCCACTGGTTGAATGAGGATAAGACTGCCGTTTGAATGGCAGACGGAGCTGGGCTGATGTTGCAGCTGCGCCCAAAGCAGCCGCAAACACAGCGGCCAGTCTCATGACGAGACGAATAAGGGGAGAGGGATTCCGGGAGATGCGTTTTAAAGAGGGACAGTTGAAAAATTAGGAAATCGACGGACAGATTGCGCTATTAACCCAGACTAATGCAATAGAATGCGGCACAGAGAAAGGCGCAGCATGCGGCACAGAATTATTGCCAAGTATGTGGTACAGCCAGCACCTTCCTAAAAGGGAGAAATAGAGTACAAATACAAACAGCTACTGAAATTTAAAGTGCTAATAACATGAGGAGGTAATATAATCAGGTGGATCTCTTCCGCCCAAATGGTGCATAGTGGATGGGTATGCATTCAAAGCAGCGGGAGAGCTTTCATTATCCATCAACAAAATAAATGTGTATTCCTCTACACTGTGAGTCTAATCTAATGGGCAGCTCTAGGAGGGGGAGGCTCGTTTAAAAGCTGCTTCAGTTCGCCGAATGACTTGAGTATCTCGTCTGATTGCGCCTCCCAATCTTTCCGCGATTGCTCGCCAATCTCGCCGTCTCCCATCGCTGTCGCAAGGTCCGGCCCGGCTCCGCCTGAGAAGGGGAGCGCCGGCCGTGTGGCTGCGACGCGGAGTCTCATGCCTTCTAGCGTCTGCTTCACTTGCGCTGATGCAGATTTTCCGCCCATAATGCCGTAGCTGACGACAGCCACTGGCTTGCCAATCCACTCGTGGTACAGATAATCAATGGCGTTCTTCGTGGCAGCAGCCATTCCTGCATTGTACTCAGGAATTACCAGAATGTAGGCGTCGTACTGGGAGATTTCTTTGCTCCAGGCAATGCTGTGGGCATGCTCGTACTGGGCGATGGCGGGCACCTGAGCTGGAATGACACGTTCGTCGTAGATGGGCAGGTTGAATTTGGCAACATCGACAGAGGCAAGATCGATATTGTTTTGAGCCGCGTCTGGGGAGATGATGCTTGTAACAAGATCTGCTACTCTTGGCCCGACTCTATCCAGCAGTTAGAAAGGTGTCACGACAGGTTGGAATTTTACGCAGCCCGCCCTGCTTGAGTTGGACAAGTAGCTTACCTGGGGGTTCGAGTGCTGGTAACAATAACAGCAACTTTCTTTTGGGAGCTCATCCTGCCGATTGATCAAGAATGTGGGCAAGTAAAGATGCAAATATAGTAGTATTCAACAAAGAGCGCGTTCGTACAAGCTCTCGACTGTTGCTGCTTGGTTGAGAGGCATGCTCTTGAGCTTAAAGCCTCTCGACAAGCCTCTTTATATACTTCAGAGGCCGTAGGGGCAGAGCATGAAATCAATAACGCCCCTAAGCTGCATCTGCACTTCTCTGGTTTCCTTCAGGACATCATGAGCGTCTCGCCGATTTGTGACAACATCTCAGCGGATAGAGGACTTGCAAAGCAACGCGGCCGGGAACCGCCCGCGCGCATAATGTCCCAGAGCCAGAGACAAATATCATATTCTAGGCACAGCTCCATTTATGTGGCTTGATATACGTATCTAATGATGCAGTCTTTTCCTTGGCTGCTTTTCGTCTGACGCCCGCATAGTAAGTAACCCGTTCGTCTGAATCGGGGAAAGGCGACGCGGGGGAATGCTGGCGAGGGGGGAAAGGCGAAACGATACGCGCGGTAATGACTAATAATTGAATGACGCCACAACAAATAACATTCACACTCTCGCACACCTGCTGCGAAAGTGATGATGATGGAGATTTTTGCAACCTAACGGGCGTTGGGATTGATGGTACGGCTCTTAGCTTGCTTGAGCTTCCACTGGAAGTCACCTGTGATCCACCAACTATAGTCCCAAATGCCTCGGTGGCTCAGTGGTAAAGCGTCTCACTCGTAATGAGAAGATCGGGCGTTCGATTCGCCCTCGAGGCATTAATAATCTTTTGCATTGTTGATTTTCCTTTTGACTTTTCCTAGTTGAGTAGCCTACATTTTGTATCGCCCAGCTGAAAGTCAGTCACGGACTTCCTTTCAAGTGATATTGCTATGCGGATTTTTCGATGGGTTGAAGCTGTTACTAGAGGGCCTCGCCCTGTAATCTCAGCCTCTAGCGGTCTCCCCGGGGGGCTAATGCGCAGAGCATCCGCTACGCGGGGCTTCTTAGCAGCGTTACCCACAAGCACCGCAGCAGTAATTCTTGATTAAATTTACATCAACTAGCAATAGCAATCTATGTAGGCAAACTACATTACAATTTTAATTAAACACTATGGTTAAATCAATTTACAAAATGAGTCCCAGCTGCACAACGAAGAAACATCGATGTGTGTGGCATCTTTTTCATGGTAGCTCTACGTGTTCCGGTCTGAATAAGAGGAGCCGAGAGCTGCTTAAAATGATGCCAGTGGAAGCCGCCCTTGCAATGTCTTATTAGTGGGACCAGAATTTTACAAAATTGCAAACAAGCACCCCCAGGCTATAATATACAATTGAGTGATTGAAAGACTATTTGATTAGGTTAGGATTGAAGCCACTACATGTTCATCACCATACGGCATGTGCTGAGAGAGGCAAAGAGAACCACGTCAGTGACGAAGCAAGGAAAACAGGGTGCATCCATGTGTAAACTCTCATGAGAATCTCAGATGATGACACCTCTCAAGCGTATCAAATCGTCAAGCAGAAAATGGAACAATTAGAAGAAAATTCTGAATGGTAGTAGTGCTAAAGATAGAAGGTCATAAAAGAATGTAAGGGCCTCTAAAAGAGCCTCATGTACTAGCGTATATGACTCATTCTGATACACTCTGACAAATTTCCCATGTGATATATCTCATGGCTGTAATCAGGGCAGCTGCACTAGACATCAATAGTGAAAAGCTGCAAATGGCCTTCAAACTGTCCACCCACATGCAAGACATGTTTTCCCTTGTTCGGGTTAGGTGCTTTGGCCAACGTCGGAAGAGCTGCGATTCCAATCTTTTCACCACTAATCTTCAGAACCAGTTTCTCACCGGCTTCGAATACGATTCCTGTCGGCCACAGCTGAATCTCCAATCTTACAACATCGCCGGGCTTAACCTTCTGGATGTATTTGTGCGACAGTGGCCTCCATGACTTTGTAGCCAGTTCGGCGGATTGGTGGCGATGTGAGGCGCGCAGTATTCCCTCCGGGCCCCAGTATCGGAAGACTCTGTTCTTGGTAAGGAGAGCTTCTTTTTCAGCTGAAAGACTCTCGGGGGTTGGAATGTTCTTATTCGAAAGGATGTTTCCGTTTGCGTCCGCCTTGTAAATGTGCGTATAAACATCCAAATCGTCGTGATCAGATGAGGAGATGTCAATTGTCAGTGTACTGGGACCGACGACGGCTGTTTTCGAGGGGATATCGTAAGTAAAGACGACTTGGTCAGCTGTATCAGCTTGGTAAGATATCTCTGAGGCCAGCGAAGCCTTTTCAGCCGATAGTTTCTTGTCATAGGTGAGATGCAGCTGTCGTGATACGGCAGATGGTAGGTGCCAAGGAATATCCGAGAAGACCTTGTTTACAATAGGCGGTTTCGTATAGTTCAGTAGCGCCAGGCGTACTTTTGGTGATTGCAGCCAGTCATTCTCGGCACCCTTGAGATAGTGATCGAAGAACCGGTTAAGGTCTTCTGTGCGCTCTGAAGTATACAAGTCGTACCATTCCTGGGTCTCGTGCAAAACCAGCCTGTAGTATTGTCAGCTTTATTGTTAGTCTTTCCAAGTCCAGAGAGCTAGATACCATTTGTTGTCGTGTGGGATTTCCTCAAATGCACGCAAAGAACCAACACCATGAAGGTCAGATGAGTAGCTGGCTCCAATGTAGGCAGGCACTTGAACTTTCGAAAAGTCCACACGCTTGTCTTCCAGGTAGTCGTTCGTTGTGTCAAACGACTTAACCATAGCACACGTGTCCTCTTGTTGCTGTCGGCCTTTGGCCCATTAGCAAATGCAACTTTCAATCACAATCAGACGGCCATACCTGACAGTATATCTGCAATCGATTGCGAGAAACTTGTCGAAGGAATTCCTCCACGGAAAGACTCCTCCCTAAAAGGGTCGGCGAGTCCTTCTAGAGGTGCAATGGCGGCAAGGTGGGGAGGTTGTTGGGCCGCAATGAAATACTGGGATATAGCCAGCCATGAGTTACCGGCCAAGCCAACTTTCCCGCTACACCAAGGTAGCTTGGCAAGTTCTTCAATGGCATCACTACCATCTCGGCCTTCAGCAGTGCCCCACCAGTAGAGGTCGCCTTCAGAATCGCCGACACCCCTTGCGTCAATGTTGACGATGGCATAGCCTCTTGGCACCCACTCAATCGGATCAAGTCTGTTGTACGGGATTAGTCAGAGCTTATGGCTTCACAATGTTCGCCGTATATCTCAAGAGAAGCACTCACCCCTCAAAGTTCTCGTAACCAGAGAGTTTCTCGGTAGGAATGCCAGCCCTCAGCGGCACGGTATGGATGTTCAGCAGCCCGCTGCCACTTTTGCCGTATGGCCCCCACATAACAATGGCAGGCACCTTCTCATCCGTCTTAGGGCGGTATATGTCTGCACGGATCTTAACTCCATCTCGAAGAGTAAGAATTTGATCTTGGTCTAAGATGATGGGACTTGTCACAGCGCGGCAATCTGGACGCTTCTTATGCCCCGCCGGTAGCTCCACAGTTTTCGGTGCTGCTGGAGGAGCCTGAGGTCTGCGTGTGTCACGCATCTTAACATCGACAGATCCAACTTTGAAAGGCGCCATGTTGTTGATTCAATGCCTTGACGGATTTAAATGATGGTCCCAGGTAAACTTCTAGTAGACAGGATATACTTGATACAGATCGAGGTAGAGAAAGACGAACAATGCTATCAAGACCGAGCACCGTAAAAGTGGTTTGCTGCTTCTCGTTGGCGTTAACAACCTAACATGCCTTTTTATTAAGAAGGCGGCATGTTACCGTAGGCTTTACATCTGCCGCGTTGGACTACCGATGGCCTGTTTCGATGTACAACCTCGGGCAATTGGCGGGGTTCGGTGAACAACGAATAACTTAGTATCATGTTTCTGGTGGCTATGCCGCACGAGGTTCACATTCCAACCAACTTACCCCAGTAAGAAACTCCACTGGATCCTGATCAGCAGACCTGGGGTTGTTAGACATTTACTAGTACGGCGCATGTGAATAGGTCTTTTGTTCGAAAAAGCCACTTCGGGAATCGGTGTCAATGTACACCACTCGGCGAAATAACTTTTCCCGAGACCCCGAGCTTTACATCGTCAGTTGCATGCATAAAAACCGTGTTGACTACATTCTTCTAATACTCAGTCTTCTCAATTTCATATGGAATACTAAACATTCGAACATTGACCGACAATAGCGACGACTCAGAATGTCTTCCAAGACAAACATTGCGCTCTATGTGGATGAGGACGCCCAGTTCAGCGTTCAGCGAGGAACTCATCATGAGGATATCGCCCCGAATGAGCTCCTGATCGAAACTCATTATTCTGGAGTGAACCCAGCAGATGTTAAGCATTCCACGCAACTCGGTATTCGCGCAACAGTGATCGGATACGACTTCTGTGGTGTGGTTTTGAAGTCATTTCCAGGCTCACAATACAAGGAGGGAGACCTGGTTGCAGGATATACACCCTCTGGATTAGGACGGCTGTTAAAATACGGGGCTCATCAGAGCTTTTTGGCGGTTCCAGAGGATATGATATTCAAAGTTCCTGACAATCTTCCAGCCGCTCATGCAGCAGCGCTTACGGTAGTCACAATGACAGCTGCAGATGCTCTCTATAACCTATTCAAGTTCCCTTTACCTACGAACCCCGGTAGCATTTCAGCTCCAATTCTTATATGGGGGGCTTCTGCGGGTGTTGGACAAGCCGCTGTTCAGTTTGCACGAGCCAGTGGCTACCAAAACATATTGGTCACAGCAAGCCCAGGTCGCCATGAGGCTCTGAAAACTGTGGGAGCAACTCTCACCTTCGACTATGCCTCGGCAACCGTAATAACCGACATCATTTCAGCTGTTAAAGCATTGGGTCAAGGGCCCATCACTCATGCCTTGGACGCTGCCGGAACAACGGGGTCTGCAGATCTGATGATTCAAAGTGTCAGCGACTCGGTATCTTTGGCATCAGTAGTTTTACGCCCTGGTGGAAAATTCCGGATGCCAGTGGCTGGAACAAAAGATGATTGGAAGATCCATGTACCGGGCTCACCAGGCCCGATGGCCATTCCCGCCAGACCAGCGGACCATTGGCGCTCTTGGGACGCTTTGAAATGGGCTGTTGATAACTATGGTACAGCTTTCAAGCTCCTATCTGTTGATGTTCTTGAAGTTACAGGAGAGGAGGCTTTGGAGGCAACACAAGACGTTGCCAGCGGGAAGCGAGGCTTTGGAAAAGTTGTGTTCCGCCATCCATTAAAATAAGGCGGAGTTTTCATCTTCCAAGCCCATGGATTTAGAGTCGAATCATAGTTGTCTAGTCGACGGCGTCGACCTCATCTGATAATTATAGAAAATGCAATAATGCATAAAACCGAGAACTACCAATTGATACCTACATGATATGGCCAAGCTTGTAATCTATGGTTGTGATGACCTAATAGACGGGGATGCGGTCTTATATCCACGTGACAAACCGCTGTTGGTGACCATTACCCATATATCATCTGCGGTTCGGCAATTACGCAGTGTAGTGCCGGTATTTGAATTATCCTCCGAAAGCAGCAAGACATCCTTTTGCCAAGCGTGGGACATAGCCAACCAAGGCTCAATCTGCTCACTGGTTTAATGCTGTTCGGGAAGGATTGTCTAGATGAAAAGAAGGATGATTGCACAGCTTTATCAGCACTGACAGTTGCATGTGTCGTTGACGTGGCCGGAGATGTTATGGGGCGGGCGCCGGTTGGAACTCTGCTGAACCAAATATTTATTGGCTACTGAAATCGACAGCAAGATTTCAAGAGAGAGAAACAAGACTCAATCCCTTTACGGAGCAAGGACCAGACAAAGTCTGATAATCTCAAAGGATTGGACTGATTTTCCAAATTTTGTGATTCCACTCTACAATAGTTTCACCAAGTCTTGCGAGAGAGAAAGGGACACGTATACTACTAGAAAAGTACTATCTGAAATGTCAATGCCGGTTTGTTTAATCCTAGACCGATGGTCGCGAGCTATTTCACTCAGATGTCAAGTGTACCATATGCGTGACAATCTATTTAAGGATGATATCGTTTACCTAATGGTAAATTACCTTTATGAGTATAAAATTGGACACAAAAGCCGATTGAGAGCTGTATAACCATTCGACCTTGGCATGGTTGACTATCTCCAAAGTCTCTCGACGATTCTTGAGTACACGGACGAAATAGAGTGCTTCATAATTCGAGGCACTGTTTAGGTTTAGGAGTTACAGCGGTACGAAAAGACGGAGTTCGGTACAATGCGAGGTCTCGTAAAAGCTCGGGAAACATGTGTCGAATGACTCGTCATGCATTATGGCGGTTTCCGCATGGATATTCCGGAACTTAATCTAGCGATATTCCATTCCTCTCCATCTCAAAATCAGACCGAGACCATGTAACGAAGGAGCCTGTAAAGATGGATGGGACGATAATAGCTCGTACGAGCGCTCTACTCACCGCTAGGGTTGTTTATATTTGTACAGAGTCTAAGCATTGTACTCAAGAATCTGGTTTCTTGGAGGTAATGTCACTTAGCAGTGTTCCTTATGACATGCCCTAGAGCAGACTCTTTCCGGAATCAGATGCGACTGCAATTCCATGTAATAGTTGCCATGAAAAAACCCAGATGCTGATTCTGAAGGCATCGTAGGAACACTCATCTCAGGAAAGGGGATTACTATACTTGCAAAACATGTGCTATCTTAGCATCACCAGCAGTATCTGAATGCATTTGCCAAGACAGATGGGCGGGACGCCTAGCAGAAGATGTCCTGTTTCGACTACTTACACCAAAAGTCGGTGTATTGACTACTGCGAGGTAATCCAATGGCAAATTATCCGCCAAAGTACTACTCATTGTTTATGTTAAATCCAGTATGTTAGCTCGGATTCAAGAAGCCCGGCATGTCCTTGGACGACTCTAGACAATTCATCATCGGGATGATGCGGTGGTGATACTCCGCAGAACAACCATAAACATGCGTGGCCTTGCAAGTTTCTTTTGAAATTTCATACTGTTCTCGGGTGCCTCGGCTTGAATTCCCGAGTCTAGGCTTTACGGAGCCTTCGGCTGAATTTTTGAACTATTTTGCTTTGGCCTTTCTTTCAATCTTACTTGGAGTCCCTTTCGGTTTTAAACTTTGCATAACTAAACAAGCAGCGAATGAGAGGGAAGGACTTCCTCATGTATTACCTCTACCAAAAAGCAGACGACGTAGTATGTACCAGCAAGGATACCTTGGGGGAGGGGGTAAGGAAAATTCTCCAAGGGGAACTTTGTCTCGTCACTATTGTAGAGCACGGTCAGCCCTAGGGCGCATATGGATCAAGGCTCATTGGCCATTGCATCCAGTAACGAATGCCACTGACGCTCGGGTGTTGATGCTTCAAAATGATGTACAGGTGACAGCGAAGCGTCGGATACCGCATGCAGTGATTTCCGAATGGTGTGCTGGCTGAAACGGTGCTTTTTTCTATAGCTGACATTGTGATGTTCCATACTTCCCAGTTAACGCAATGTAAGAGGTGAGTTGGTCGTTGGTTTGTTCAACGACTTGTCATGAAATTACAACAATGGGCTCTTGCCTTCACTGATAGTGTCAACCGGCCGCACTTTGCTATTAAACATGGGAGCAAGTACTGGTATGACGTCTGCACTGAACAACTTCTAATCATGTATTAACAGCTAGCCTTGTCTTAATAAATCGCCTGGGCCGTAGCTTAATTGTCCGTGACAGGGGTACGTTGGGTATGTGTCTACGTCACTTGGCCTTGATACCAGAACGCACAGGGTTTAATGGATTTTACTGTCGAAATCGAAAGACGTAGTTCGTACTGGCTAGGATGACACTAACTTTGAACTTTCCACTAACTCGATTCAATCTTGTCTTCAGTCCGTATGACGATGGGTTGAACAATTCAACCAGTCTGGGATACAGTTAATCTAGCGATTTAATCGGCCGGGGACAGAAGCGAGAATCATGAGCAGCTCGGCTTTAATCACATTACGTATAAAATCTTCCGATCAGGAAACAAGGCTGTGTGGATATTGAAACGAAAACGACTGATGAGACGACGTGGAAAGAGTCAAGGTTGTATCACAGTTAAATCGGGCAACTCTTTCGTTCTACGTTGGGGGAGTCCGTTCCCCTGACCCTTACATTGCGACTGACTCAGGAACGTCCCTCTTGTCATTGGCGCTCTAGTGAAATTTCCAGCGGCATTAGTATAACCAACGAAGGGCAACAGGTTGAATGAATACAGCCTCAAGAAGATGGCAGTAGATCTGAACAATATGCTAAGACCCAGGTGTATTCTCCATTGCAGTTGTATATGATATGAAGACATTCTACGATCGTGATCAACCGATCTTGTGGGGAAAGCAAGAAGGTTAAATGCGTCGTGTCGCACTCTGCCGTTTGTATCGTCTGTACTTTCGGGATATGAAACAGGGATTCGAGTGAATTTACCGTTATGGGAATCCCCGCGGGTGATGTATGGCTCACCTAAACCGCCGAGTAGATGAGTGTCGTACCACGGCTTCATTTCGTGCGGAATTGGTGGGCCCGCATGCAGACGCAGCGAACAACAGTCTCATGGCCGTTGGCGATGCTCCCACATCAAGTCTGGTCCGTCTCAACTTTGCCTCACCAAAGCCAATGAGCTTCAGAAGATCAGGCTGGCATCTTTCAAAGAATCGGAACTTGCGGCAGCCAAGTTTTCTACCTCTTCATCGGGAGTCATCTAGTAGCCGTGTCCGTGTACTATCGCCTTTCTTCCCCACGCCCACATTATATGGCCCCCTCCCAGCCAAAGTGAGCATTCTTCTTCGAACCTGGTCACGTCCAACTTACTATCCTGGTAGTCACTTTGAGGTGGTCTGAAGTTGCCCGTCATTATCTTTTACGCACCTACACTTTCTTTTAAATCCGAAGCGCGAAGCAGTTCTTGGTCCAAGGCTCCTCGATTCGAACGCAGCCAGGAAACTCACAATGTTATTTCGCTCCCTCTGGTCCTTCATCTTAGTCGCCGCAACAGTCCTGGCCGCTCCTGTTCCGTCGACAAATCAAAAACGCGACCTACCGACCATTCAAGCCGCTCTTAATACCATCAACTCGGCGCTCCAGGACCTTGACAACTCGGTCAAGGCAACACAGAGTGTCACCTTGGGTGCTGGAATCCAGCTTCTCAATGCAGTCACCGCCGTAAAGCGTTCGATTCAAGATGCCACACCGCAAGTCCGGGCCTCAGAAGTGCTCAACAAAAATGATGCAATGAATCTCAAAGCGGCAACTGATGCTCTTACAAACAATGTCAAAGTCACCATCAACGATGTCGTCGCCAAAAAGGCTCTGGTTGACTCTCTTGGCGCAACCCCTCTGGTCGCTGTTGCTCTCCAGGATCAAAAGACAGCCAGCGTTGCGCTTGCGCAAGCTCTGGTCAGCAAAGTCCCTCCCGAGCTGAACGCCGACGCGCAGAAGAGTGCTGGAGCTCTTAGTACTGTGCTAGACCAAGGTATCGCGATCTTTGGCGGCACAACTGCTCCGCCAGTTGCTGCTGCCGCAGCGCCGGCCGCGGCACCAGCAGCACCAGCAGCGCCAGCAGCTCCAGCTATGCCACCAGCAATGCCGCCAGCTCTTCCGAGCCCTGAACAGGCAGCAGCAGGATTTTTCAATGGTTTGCAAGGTATCTTTGGCGGAATGAAGAAAGTGGCAAACTGAAAAGCGAATGATGTTTGATTAATCTAGTGTAAGATTATGAAAGGGTTATGAGAGTATGGGCAAGAAAACATTCCGGCAGGGTCCGTGTTGAATGTATTGGGAGGCTACGAGAGATTGCAAGTACTTTCTCAGTCATAATATATCAACGGTTGAGAAAGTCATTTATGATTTCGACTTAGTCAAGTTTGTAGTTTGACTGATGTATGTTGATCTTCCTATTACCACTTTAACATACTAAGCTGAAAAAGAAAACCGACCAGAAATCCGTGAGATGCCAGCGCATCTCTCTGGTGGTCCATTTGTTTCAATTCCATGCACTAGATGGGCATGTTGAAGTCGTAAAACGAATGAAAATTTGGCCCTTTACCGTGTGAACGATTACTACATACAATACGACAATACAACTATTTACAAAAATGCGCATCATGAATAGATATAATGGAACTATGTAACTCCATTCTGTCATGTGAAAGAAGACACTATTTTATATCATTATGCTCATTAGCGCACTCTACTTCAGAGGATGACCTTCCCTTTCCAGCGCCGCAAACTTTTGTATTGACGACCGCCGTGTTCGCCTCCGCCCCTCTTCGGGGCCAAGTCCTTCACGGTCCAAACTCAAAGGGATTTCACCGGACGTTGCTTGACTCTCGGGCCGCAGGTGTGACCTCTCATCATCCACATCTGTGTATCTGCTAAAGCGAGATTGGATAAAGAGCGGCTGCGCGACACCGTACTGGCTTACATGGTTTGTGCCAAAAGGATTGTTGGCGAATGCAGGCTGAGAGGTGTTGACCTCGTTCAAGTAAGGGGCCGGAGTGAGGCGGCCTGACATGATTCGGGATATGCCTCCTCTTGCTGACCGGAGAGAACCGCGAACCGATCTGACCGACCCTCTGATTGACTGTACGCGGCTGTATGCTTCTGGACGGCGCGGTAGCACGACCGGCTTCTCGTTGTTTATGCGGCGAGTGCTAAAAGCAACAATGGTGCGTCCAGAGCCATCTCTTCCTAAGCCGGATGAATCCACAATCTCGTATGGGTGACCCATTGCTGAAATTTCATCCTCAATTTCTTCCTTTGTGAGAAGGGCGGCTTCGTAGTCCTCCTCGCCAGGCTTGGGCTTTCTCGAATAGTCACCCGGTTGGTTTGAGCCGTTGGGAATATGAAACATAAGATCGATGCGCACCACTGCATAGAAAACGACAACAAAGATCTCAAGCATGAATCCCGTCGTGTAAAAAACTTCTTTGCTGAGAAGTTTGCTTGTGGAATCTGGGGGCTCGGGATTTAGAGTTGATGCCAGACGCACAGCATGACCTGCAATGAGGAGGGTGGCGCCAATCAGCAGAACGGCAATTTTCTGGTGAGTATCGCCGACGCCGAATCTTTCGGGCTTAGGCCCTGGAATGACTGATGCAATAATGACGGAGACGACTGGCAAGATCGCAAGCAGCATGATCCAAGAGACACCCGCTTTCAGGACGTTGAGTGCGGTGTCGACGCGGTCCTGGTCCTCGATCTTGTAAAAGGACACGCCTATGGAGGTACTGTTGGAGACAACGACAAACGGTACCGAGAAGATGAAAAACAGGGTGGCGACTCCGAAGAAAGGATGCCATCCGAAATTAGGGTGGATCGAGCGAATGATTCTCTGAGCGAAGAAGATGTTGACAATCATTATAACGACAGCGCTGCAAATCCTGTCAGTTTCTCTTGCATGAACCTGTATCAAATGAGACTCACCCTCCGAACTGAACGATCAAGGCTATGAGAATGACAACACGGGCCTTCTCAAATGCCCAGACAATCCTCATGATACAAGTAACATTTCTCACCATACAGAAATCGAACATGAGATCTGAGAGGAGGAACTTGTGGCCCCGTTTGGCGTTCACCCTGTAAATTCTGATATGGGTGTATGCACCTGCACTGAAAAGTAACAGGAACAAAAACGTTACGGGCACATCGATATTAGTTGTCGGGCTACCACCAATGAAAGCACCTTCAGCTGGGTCAACGAGTCGTTGTTGAACTGGCGGCTGTGCTTGCTGTGCCCCTCCTTGGCCTGGAGGCGGCTGCTGGGATGCAGCGCCAGCAGCTGTGGTAGTCGTAACAGCTGGAAGAGCCGTAGGTGCTGCTGAGGGTGTCTGTCGCTGAGTGGTTGGTTGCGGTGATGGACTTGATGGCGAGAATACAGGTGGCGGTACAGTCGTAGGTTGAGCCTGTCGAGTCGAGGTTGGAGGAGGTGGTGGAGGAGGCGAGGCCGCGCGAGAGGTAGTTGCAACAGCCGCTGATGATGTGGTTGTGGTAGTTGTCCGAGGCGGCGGGGGAGGAGGCGGCGGCGGCGGCGGCGTACTTGATGATGTTGGCGTAGGCGGCGGAGGCGGAGGTGGTGGTGGAGGAGGAGGGGGAGTAGTAGGAGCCGCTGTTGATGTTGGCGGCACTGATGATGAGACATCTGCTGCTGCTTGTCCAGTAGGGAGTTCTGCAATAAACGATGTTGCATCTCCAAGTTGCCTCTTCCAATTCTCGATATCCGCCTGTTCTCCAATCTGCAGCCCTGCTGCAGCCGCCGCGGCGATCGTGACGACCTTGAGAAACCACATGTTGGATGTGGTATATGCGAGGGCTTTTGCTAGCCTCTAAAGAGAGTGTATCAATGTGCGTTGGTGATTATCATGAAGCCATGCCAGCAAGCGACCAAGATTTTTGACAGTCAATCTTTTCAAAGGTAATCTGAATTATTCAGTTGAAGAGAACCGCGCAAGACAGGAAGTGACTGAAAAAGCGAAATATCTTAAACGCCGCACACTAGCCCGATAATATTTGATATGATCGATGTGCGTGATATGAGGCGGGAAACGAAGGTGGGTTGAGCGAAGGTTAAACAAAAGCCAGGGAACTTGGCATAGCCTAGGCCTGGTCGGAAGGATCAGCCAGGAACGTTGACGACTTGATTACCTTGAAAGGTGGTGTGCGAGGGCCATTTTCAAGGAGGCTGAATGTCTGGTCATCCCGGAAACACAACATTGCTGTATCAAGACTGCTCGTGGCATGCGTCACTCGGATCTGTGTGTAAGCTGATAGAGTTAGAGGAGAGGTTTCAGTGACAGGGTCTGCCCGTCACACACGCGGATGCATGCACGATCCCTGCTACTGCGGCAGTCATATAGCCTTGGCTCCATAACGTCCGATCTCGAGTTGTATGAGTAATTGACGGAAATACCAGTTCACGCCCCCTCCATGGTCCCAATTGAGCCACTTCCTACGGGATGCGACCTATCATGCCCCAGACGGTCAATAGGTTTTGACATTCTGAGGCAGCTCCGTGACAGCGTCTGGGCAATGGGACGGTCGTCCGACATACCCGGTCTCTACGGCTATCATCTAATTCAACAATGGCCTTTCGGCATCCAATAAAATCCTGACCGAAGGCGTACGGAGCCGGAGGGATAGGTGCTATCACCGAGGTCGCGATGTGCGATCTGCGGTGCTGCCATAGTGCAGCATTTACCTGCTGAGTCGTAGTCATCCGAAGGACGAGGCAAAAAAGAGATCGGCTTTCGGCACACTATCCTGGCTAATCTCTAATAATACGGATACGGGGACGGAGTTCGTCTCTTAGGATCAGGACTTCCTTTTGGAAAGGTTTCCGACCCTCTTCAGCCTACAACTGTGTTGGGCTCAATCCAATCGGGATTCAACCTCCCTGCCTTGAATGCACACCAATTCACTCCGCGCTAGGAACGCCTCATTGTGAACAGTAGCCAATAGGCCGTTAAGATGCTTGTAATTTCTGCTTTTGGTTTCCTTCATGTGCTGGCATTAACTGAGAGAGTTCAGACTGGCATAATAATCTGCATGTGATCTTGGAGCTGTCCCTAACATACCTCCAAATCGATAATAGTACACTTTGAGTTAAAAGGCAGCGATACGATGCTGCCAATCCCGACGTGCCCAGAAACTCATTTCACACTGCATTGGCTCCAATCTTGCGTAAGCGCTATCATCTACGAAATTGAAAAGTCTTGGGCTCGCACAATGTTATCAATATGAAAGGAATTAGTGATGACCAGCAAAATAAAGCTTGCCATGGTACTCGACTGGATCGTGTGCAATGATGCTGAAGAGGAATGGAGGATGGGGTAAAATGGGAAGATGTCTCCCATTGGCCGTTTTCATCCACCTACAACAACCCGCATGAATTTCTCAGAGGGCACAGCAAATGCATTCCACTTTCTTGAATTGGGTCGCTATTTTTATAACAATTACTCCTTTGATGGCCACAAGTCCCTCTTAGCTGGACAATCTCCAAAGTCAGCCTGCAAGGTGCCACGTTTTGATTTCACCTTCTCCTATCGTCCGTGAAACAATCAGAACCGGAACAGAGTCTTTGTAATTCCGGGCTAAGTGATCGGGCATCTTGCTTAGCTGGTGCTGATATCGCAGGCTGCGGCCGGACATTGAGTTGTTACACAACAGTAGAAGTAACCTCGACCACCAGTTCGGACAATAGGGCCGAGGTAAATCTATCTATAAACATCACACACCGTAAAACAGTACCATTATTATTTCCTACGTGCGAGTGACGAATTTAGTACACATAATCTTCGTGGAAAATATTTCATTTGGGCTACTGGAATTCCATAACATGGGATTTACTTTCAAGGAAGTGGAAGTTCTTAGGCTGGTCCCGTCTGAAAACATAATCGTCGGTTTCATTTGTTCCGCCCAACTTCTCTGTTTATTTGGACTGCTCGTTGTCCAACATCTTCCCCACGGACAAATAGCGGTCTTGAGAGAGCACCGATATAAGGCGTTACCTTGAACAAATTTAAATTACTGTCTTCCTACATTGCCTTTGTCTTGGAAGTTTAACAACTGACATGAAGCACGGCCCTGGGTAACGGACTTTGGCAGGCTACGCTGCTCACACGTTGCACTGACGATCGATTGACACGCTGACCACCGGAAACCTACATTCGCGGGTTCGCAGCTTACAGCCCGGTGCTGACACAAATGTGCCCATTTCGCACAAACTATAAGCGTAGTTCAAAGCCTCGGTATTGCAAACATCTTGCTTAGCAAATTTTTGGCCGAAGGTGGCCCTCTGCCCGGACTCCTATACTGCCCATTGCTCAATAAGTTCCTACCATAAGAGAAACTTATTTTGTTTCGTCAAGTAGTTTATCAAAGATGATGAAATCGGCCGAGTAATACATGTACACAGTAGGGCTGACTACGCGGGGCTAAATGGGTATTCAATAACTAAACAATTCAACCAGAATCGCCTCGAAGACTTTTTTAGCCTTGGGCCGAGGTTGCACGGCCTTGACAAGGAACCAAAAATCCGCTTTTACTTATTCTGGACAAAAAGTTCTTTGCGCGGAAAGCATCTCTCAGAGCTAGCGGCGATACCCACAGACGTTGCGAAAATCCTACTCCATTTGAGCCGAATGGATGATGAGCCACATGAGCAGCTTATCGATCAAGGTTTTGCCCCCCTGAACCCTAATGATTTTATCAAAGGTCTAGACTCCGATTCTAATAGCCAAGAAGGTCAGCTTGCGCTGATATTTTTTGAATGTGCCTCTTTTTCGAGTGTCCCAGCAAGCTGGCAGCTTTGAACTCTCGGTCAAGCAGTCGCACTCCATAAAAGTCCTTCTATTCTCCGTCTCTCCGCTCGAAACTCGTCATACCGTAGTACAGATGATAATGGCATGCATTACCTAGCTTGGAAGGTACTAACGGTGATGTTGGGTTGAGCGCAAGCCTGTGAACGGGGAGCTACGCGACCTCTCTCCACCGAGATCATCGAATCTTCGTACTCATGAAACCATACTTGTCGAGTTGGAGGGTCGTGAAATGCAGAGTTCAACGGCTTCCTGCACCAAGAATGTATCTCACACAACCAAACTAGCCTCAGCCCGAAATAGAGTATCCCTTCACTTCCTTAGCTCATTTTAGTGTCCGGCCACAACAGCCTTATGAGCTGTTTACTATATGGAGATTGTAAAACAATCAATACTTTGCAAATTCCCTGTATGATCAGGTACGAAGTACACAGGAAGCCTTTTGCGTCTTACTCCGATTTATAAGGTGGCATCGGGAGTAAGCACAGAATCTGACACCAACAATAAGTACGCAGCCAGATTTAGCCGCAATGCTGTCCGAAGGATTGGGAAGTCCGGAGATTTCCAGGTAATTGTTTGCCGTGGCTTACAAGTTGTGTGTGTGTGTGTATGTGTCAAACAATCCATCAGAGTAACTTGCCGAGAGCTGCATTTTGACACTTCAATCGGCACCAATAAGGTTGGCAAAAATCCATGTCAGCGTAGCTTGACAGCAAGTCAGAAAAAGGCACGCAAGGCTTGGTCGGACTATTTCGATATCCCTATTTAGTCTGTGCAACACGCCACGCGGATGATGTCGATCATCACCGTTGGAAACCGTTTGGAACGAAGTGAGATTCACAACGTAGGCCACTACCCACACCCCATACCACAAAATTGATAGGACTTTTTTTTTTTTTTTTTTGGTGATTTAAGAGCTGATTTAAATTTCCTGTGACTTCAGTAATTGGTGCCGTGAGTAAACTGTCTGATCAAGAATATCCGTGATCATGTGAATTGGACTTCCCATCGCGAATGGCTTAGAAGCATCAGATTTCATCGATTCCATTTGGCCAGCCATCATTATGAGGCAGTTTGTACACAAGCAAACCTATAGCGGCTTTAGTAACGGCTATTGACACATCTATATTCTTGCTAGATTAGAACTTCCGATTCATTTGCAAGAACGAGGTGCGATTGATTCCTTCAAAGATCGAAATACTTATCAGCTTAGAAGAAGCAGGGATTTCCCCTTCATAAAAGCCGTCACTTTCGGCCAATGAAGTCATAGAATGAATTGAAGGACCTCGGGCACATTCTTCAAGAAAGTGCGGAGGCGCTTTGACACCCTGCATGTAGTGATATGGTTCAGAATCTGAACAAGGAAATGTGACATTTTTTGAGCATTAGCCCCAATCTTCGATCTCCGTTTGCGGCATGCTTTGTTGTACTAGTGCAGCCACTGGACCTTGACAATTCGGTAGAATTCGAGGGCCAGGAACAGCAAAATTGTAAATTGTCCAACAGGGTTTAAATAGTCGGAATGTCACAGCTACTACAATTATGTGATCTCACCTAGACGCTGCTTGTTCCGCCATAACCACAATGGCATCGTCATCTGTAAACCAGCTTCCACGACCTCCATATGATCCACAACTTGTCTCCCTCATAGGAAATGCACCGCCATATCCCCGATCGAGGGACGAAGTGGTAGAAGGGCGACAAGTTCGCGCGAAAAATATGGCATCTCTAGAAGCATCTATGCGCAACGACAAAGACCTCATGTTTGAGGACCGTAGGATCCCAGGACCAGCGTGTGATATCCCTCTAATCATCCTTCAATCCAATAATCCCAAAACGCCAACTCGCCAGCGTCCTGCAGTTCTTTTCCTACATGGGGGTGGCATGGTGGTTGGCAATGGCTTTCTCGGACTTGAATTTTATTGCCAGGTCGCAAAGGAGCTTGATGCCGTAATAATAAGTGTTGAGTACCGTCTCGCCCCCGAGCATCCCGCCCCGGCACCACAAGATGACTGCTTCGCGGCATTGAAATGGGTAGCCGAGAATGTAGCGGTGTTAGGCATCGACGCATCCCGTCTCATGATCGCGGGCGTCTCGGCAGGTGGCGGGCTAGCAGCCGGTGTAGCGCTGAAAGCCAGAGACGCCGGGGGGCCGAAGCTATGCGCACAGCTGCTTACATACCCCATGCTTGACGACCGTGACAAGACAGTGTCCAAGAGGCAGTTCTTGAGGGAAGAAGGGTTGTATGACAGTACCGATAACAATTTTGCATGGTCATGCGTTCTGGGCGACAAGCAGGGCAGTTCCGAAGGAGTAGATTATTACGTCGCACCCGCAAGGGCGACAGACCTATCTGGTCTACCGCCTGCGTATATTGATGTTGGCACAGCGGATCCTTTCAGAGATGAGGATGTAGCATACGCAACCAAGCTTTGCGAATGCGGTGTCCAAACGGACTTGCACATGTGGAGCGGTGGCTACCACGGCTTCGACATATTGGGGCTGCCTGTCGGGGCTGGGATTGCTAAAGCAGCAATCGAGACGAGAATGGGATGGGTTAGGAGAATACTTTGCCAGGAGTAGGCTGTTTGGGATTATCTTTAGGATCAGATAAACCATGGAGAGAATGCAACGCACTCATGGAAAGCCTTGAAACTCTCAATCAACTGGAGTATGCCAAGTATCGTCTCAATTGAAACGAGAATGGCTCTCCTGCATCTATTTCTATCAAACAAGGGGCAGCTCCTTATTTCATCCAGAAGACCGGTTGAATTCTTGGCGACGATGTCAGGAGCTTGATATATTCTGTTTCCCCTTACCCATGAGCGATGGGGCATTTGATGATGAAAACTGGCGTCGAATTCGACACATAAAGGTCAAAGGGTCCATACACAGCCACTGACATGAAGAGATGTGGAATAGTGTGACCCGTTCCGGAGGAGGCTAAGGTTCTAGCTGTGAGTGATCAGATAATCAGTTTATGGCTCCCGCCTAGCTGCCCGCCAAGCCTAGCACAGCAAACGTGATAGGTGTGTCAAGCGTGAGAGAATCAGAGGCTGTGTAGAGTTGCAGCCGTCAGATTGACCTTGCATTCTACCTTTCCACCTAGTGCTAAACGGTGCACAGATTGCTAGCGAACAGATACATCGAATTGTCCCCCTGGCATTCGGAACATCTAGACGACGCCAGACGTATAGGAGGTCTGTGTGCTGTGGCACAAATTCGGACGATAACTGCATCAAGCATGTGGAGAGAAACGAAATAAGTACAGTGAAACGGAACGAATCTCCACAGGGCACCGAGCAGAAAAAGCTGAAGATAATACTTTTCCATCCTGGTAGGTGCCTGTAACTCCGAGGAAGCATAAACATGGTCACCTTGTGTTTCAGGGGTAATACGATGTTGGCTGTAGTAAATAGGGTCCGTCCAAGCGGCTACTCTAACAAGACCAGGGGGAATAGAAAGTATCAGAGTCTTGGGCAGTGATGGGCGAGTGGGAATAGCTGGGAACAACCATGGAAGGGGTTCGAGACGCCTTCCGCGCCTTGATCATCCGGGGTTACTGGCTTCCGTCATCGGTTTGGGCGGCTCTGGCCGCTGTGTGGCAGATCACGGCGATCAGTGCTCGCGTGTGCAACCAAGAACAAAGTTTGCAACGAAAGATCATATAGGCGTACACAATGCCGGATGCCAGGTGCCATACAGACTGACGATGGTTTTCAGGACATTGAGACCAACTTATAATCCTGTAATTTGGTCCTTATACTGCGACTACAAGCTACTGTATGTGGAAAAATTTGGATACACCAACTCTCAGCGAGTGATGCTCGCAATGCGGATGATATGCATCTCGCGGCATGCGTCATGGCTTTACATGGCAACAGCATCAATCAAGAGTTTTGCCCAGATAACTTCATGCCATTTACGAATGCGAACTGAATATCATCTCTTTGACGTGTCGAGATTCCTTCGACTTGCTCCGGCGTCTCCGACGCGGTCTCGGTTGATTGACCGAGATGAAAAATGCCCAGAGCACAAAACGTATCAAAGAATGGACGATTCAATTCTTTCGCCTGCCACATTGCAACGCTGGACTTGGGATGCTCTTGGCATCATTCCATCGCTGCCGACTGGTCGTTAATGCGAGTTTAGCATTACGATTTAGACTTGTACGTCGAACACCTTACATCAGGCCATGACATGAAAGACGCTTGTCCTTCTTTGGCCCAGAACTCATTCGTTCCAAGTCAGGGGAATTTACTCCGGCACATTTGAGGCCCGGTTTGCCGAAGAGTGGTGAGTATCGCGGGGAATCGGGATTATCTGCCGGCACTTGACATATTGGATTGAAACAAGCATGGTGAAATCGATACCCTGAGTCTGGACGAAAGGTTCTGGCCACTAAATAAAATTGGGCATGTCTAAAACACCTTATCATGTTAGCGCAGAGCTGACCTGGCATCGAACGCGTTCGAGAAGTCCGGATGCGAACATTTCAACTCTCCGGGCCAGCTTGGGTCGCTTAGGGCATTGGAGGCGAACTCTCCCCATCCGGACGCGATTGACCAAGCCAAGCCTAGAACGAGCATCTTTGGAAAGTATACCGATGCTCGTAGTTGAAGACACAACCTGGACAAAGGCGAAGACACTTTAACGTCTTTAGGTGCCAGCGCTTGTTCTCAAGTCCACAGAGACCTGATCAGCCTCTTTGGCCGCATCCGGAAGACAGCTACCACTAGTATTGAGTGCTTTAGGCAAGATGCAGCTTGAGGTGGAAAATCACCACGATCGCCTCTTTAGGCCAGCACGAAGGCACTGCCCTGCTCAGCAGGCTGGACTACAGGAGACTATTTGAATTATGAACAAAAGGCGAGGCCCGTTGAGCTCACAACAGTCATCATTGCTTTGTTTGAATCAACGGATGGGCCTAAATCAAATTCTTTCTTGTGAAGCCACAGTCTTTATCTTGATATGATCGCCCTCGAGACCGTATTTGTAAAACTTGGTCCCCCCCAGCCAGAGTTCATAATGAAGAACGGATTCATTTCTTTACCTCCTCTACACGAAAATCCGATTCTTAGTGATCTTGGACCGACACAGTTGCGAATTCCGACCTTCGACCTCCCTTGAGAGGCTCATATTGGAAAGAATCATGGTAGCAATCTAGGTCACTGGCTCCTTTGATCGATTCTTTCCATTGCCTCACACAGAATCTTGGGCATCAGCCGTTGGCTGATCTGCCCTCACAGCAATCCTCAACATGGTCGACGTAAATGAGAGGTTCGCAACGAGACTCCAGCGCGAGAGTTGGTCTCTTTACACCGTTGGAATCTTGATCATTTCCCTTCGACTGTGAGTATATCCTGACTTGGGCAAACGTTCGACCAAGCTAATACCAGTCTTTCTTCAGGTACGGCCAAGCAAGGAGACTCGGTGGACTGCGAAACTATCAGGCGGACGACTACCTACAGTTAGTTGCAGTAGTAAGTTACTGGTCTCATGGCAGAGGCGCATATTGGACAAGCCAAACATTTTTAAGAGCTGTACTGACATTGATGATCTCAACAGGGCTTTTACACAGTCTTAGTAGCAACGCTGAACATCATAACCGATAACGGCGGTTCGAATCTATTCCTTCCGGAAGACCTACCCACATTCACCGAGTCCGACGTTCGCAACAGAATTGAAAACTCCAAATATGTCCTCGTCTCGGAGCAGGCGATGCTGAACGTAATCTACGTCCTCAAAGCTTGTGTTCTCATCCTTTACACACGCCTCACCCTCGGACTCGCCGCTAAACGCATCGTCCGTTTCCTGGCGATATACGTCGCCGTCGGGTGGACTGCATCCCAAATAGCCATGTTCGCCTCATGCCAACCCTTCAAGGGGTACTGGGCAGTCCCACCTCCCGACCCGCAATGTGCAACATACGAGCACTACGCTATTGTGCAGGCCTGCTTCAATATCTCCTCCGACGTCTTTATGATGATGGTTCCGTTACCTCTCATCTTCAAGATGAGCACCGCATGGAGGCAGAAAGTGGTGCTTGTCTTCATTTTTGGACTCGGCATCTGCATCATCATCGCGGCGATGCTGACCAAAATATATAATCTCGAAGACCCATACAGCCCCAGATATATGTTGTGGTATATCCGCGAGGCAAGTGTTGCGGTCTACGTATCAAACTTGCCTCTCATCTGGCCGCTACTCAGGGAATGGTTTCCCTGGCTCAGGGGTCTTAAAACAGCCGGTGTCCTTCCCACACCGCATCCCGGTCGAGGTAAGCGGGAAAGAGAAAGCAACTTCAATAGGTCATCGGCCGCGGGTGATAGGAGTCAAGTTGCGACTCGCAATCAGTCAGCTGTCGCGTCCGCGAGAAGGGATACCTTTGCCGACTTTGGAAACTGGCTTCGGGCTGGGGACCTTGACATACCGAAGCCACCACGGGTGGTGCTTGCGAGTCCGAGTAGGGAATGCATATTGGAGGAGTTGGAAGAGAAGTCCGCGAGCCCTTCGACTGTGAGAACGGTCGACAGAAAGAGGAGATCAACCCTCTCAGGGACTCTGGTCGAGGAGGTTCACGACGGAAGTTCCAGTTTGCGGCGGCAGACGATGGATTTAGATCTCGAACGGGGCGATTTAGTCTGGGATCATCAGGAACATCACAGAAAAAAATGAGATTCAACAAGGTCAGGGTTCTCATCTCAACCGAGAGGGATATAGAGATTGGTCTGCAGACATGGTCTTTCTTTTAAACAGTTTAGGGATACCCTGGGTCTGCGTACCGGCGTTAGGCGGAGATATAAATCTCTGCAACTAGATTAACAACTTTGGTGTATCAGATATGATCGCCCTTTCCATAATCAATCAAAATTCTAATTCAATTCATGGCCGAAACAGTATTGGTCAGCATTGTGGGAAATGTGGGAGCGTATTCGTCTGTAATGAGAGCTGTGTGTCTGACGCGGAGAAGAGACACATGTCGTATTCGCGTGCCTTGCCCTTTGAAAGGGAAGCGACTGGGATGGTGAAGCAACATCAAACGTTGCAGTAACAGGCAGAATTTCCCCATCGAATTTGCACATTATCAGGTGAGGTCAAGTGTCAAATGACACAGGACTGCTACCCGCTTAAGCTTGACTCATTGACGAACAACTCAACAGTCAAGACGTTTGATGTAGTGAAATTGATGGAACATTTTGTTACACGTCTTCTGTCTTGTAACTGAGCGAGAAGTCCTTGACATTGGCGATGCCGAGCAGCTTGACCGCCCTTCTCAGGTCGGACACACTGTCTGAACAGAATCTGATTCGGTAACTTGTTCTGAGTCAAGCCCACCAGCCTTACATGTCTGAAATCATAATCTTTCAAAGCGATTGAACCCTGTGCCCAGACATGTGCAGTGTCTTTGTGCCTTGTGGCGCCAGCTGTTTGCAACAATGCAAGACATGACGCACCTGCTCGTGGGGTCTCACTGGAGGATATCGGCCAGCCTCCGCCAGCCAAGTTCCTGCTTGTCACAAATTTGATTTCTTCACTGCTATTAGTCTTTCCTCCTCCCAGGTTTATGTCGCCGAAGGCTCGGCAACGTTTCAGTGGAACTGTGTATCAAAATGGGTATAGAAATGATCCAAAGGAGGAAAATCCGCGATACAGTTGGTCTCGACTGCCTGCATATTGAGCCGCCAGGCGAGCCCTATGGGGAGTCTTTATTGTCAAATGGGTACTCTATGCCCCTTTGACCAAGATCTTTGCCTCAAAGTTTGATTGCTCCGGTTCCAGACTCGATGTCTACGTATAATGTGACAAGGTTCAAGACATCACTAGGACCAAAGGCCAAATTAGCCGAGATCAGTGAGCTATACTAGGACTTACGCCGATTGAATGAGTAATCATAAAAATATGAGAGACATGGATTGTTCGCCTGCGATTGAGAATGAGGTTATTTGAGACCAACTAAACAGGCAGCTAGACAGATCTCACGTGGCGACCGCACCAGTCAAGTGCCCAAGGGCAATGAACCAAAATGCGCAAGGTCCCGACACTTGGTCCTATAACTCTAGGATCACAAGCAACGTCTTTTAGGCTTCATTGATAGCATGTTTCTAATCATGACTTCGTCCGTTCAGTCAATGGTAAACTGAGTTCCATAGCCATGCAAGAAGCAGATCCTCCAGCCGTGGACTCCGAAATCTGCCCACCAGGTCAGCGCGCTGAGAAATCACCGTGCCTTTGAAGCAAATGTATTCTAGAGTGATTCTAATGAGTTTAAATGTCACCAACACAATTCCCATCACAACCATCACTACCTCCAAACCGTGACCTTCTCAAAACTCTTCAACTGCCTTGATTTTGATCACGACGTTCCATGCCAAGAACATCAACTCTTAAGTACCCTGGCCTCAATGTTATTTAATTGCCGAGCTCGCCAACCTCCCCCTGAGCCGCCGCTACCGCAGTGTCTGTATACCGGATGCACCCGCCGGGCAGTCAAGTGCGCTCAAAAGACCAAACATAGCAAGGCCCTGCTCTCATTGTATTGCAAAGACCGTCAGTTCCCCCTACTCAAGAGGCTCAATACATGCTAACCTCCGTCAGATGCCTGTCGCCAGCGTCTGGACGGAATGATGTGTCCAACCCCGAAAGCCACAGGCACAGTGAAGTACTGCGAAGACCGTATGAATTTTCGTCTGCCGCCGTAGAAACGTCCACTAACACTCATTCCCAGACCGTCGGTGCCAGTCTGAAGGCTGCTCCAACACCCGTATCTGCGCCAACACAAGCCAGGACTGGCCATACTGCCCGAAGCGTTTGTCCTACTCCCGTGCTCCCTTGTGTCGGTGCTCATTCTGCAAACAGACACATGTGCCCTTCAAGGCTGCCACCAGAAGCGCTCGCCCATCTCTCAAATGTGCGGCTTGCACACACCGATGTGTCTCATCCCCGGGTGTGACCAGCCACGCACGGAAAATGGCCTGTACTGTCCCAGCCACAGTTGCGCCGACGACAACTGCAACAGCGTTATCAGCGGCGGGAGCTGGTGTAAGGATCACAGGGTTTGCAAGACGGAAGGATGTAAGCATACGAGGGCTGTCACAGCGGATGGGGGGTTAGAACAGGTCTGCTGGCAGCGTAAGTACTCCTCTTGTGGTGATGAAGTATAGCATGCTGACGAAGGGTACAAGATCTCCCTTCAGCCTGCACGGCTCCTGGGTGTGTCAGTGTTGTCATCGGCGGTGTCAAGTTCTGTGACCAGCATAAGTGCATTTACCCGCCCTGCCACGAGGCCAAGGACAACTCGCAGGATATCTCGCGTCTTTACTGCGTGAAGCGTGAGTCCCGTTGCATCTATCATTTTTGCATCGTACCGCTGACGTTTAACAGACACATGCCACGACGCCACCTGTCCCCAACTAATATGCGACCCGTCCAACCCTTCCCTCAACCGCTATTGTATCATACACACCTGCACAGCGCCATCTTGTTCGCACCCATCGAAACCAGCGAGCCGCCATTGCGCCCTGCACACCTGTCTGTACCCTTCTTGCTCAGCCCCTCGAACCGCAGACCCCCTTGCAGTCCCCGAGGCCCAGTTCTGCGCGGCTCACGAGTGCCGAAGCCCGGGATGCCACGGCGCGGCCGGGACTGACGGAGTCTTCTGTGATGCGACGCACGCGTGCTCACTCACAGGATACCTCGTGCCTCTGGACGGCAGCGAAGGCAAATGTAAGCCTCTCTGCGCGACGCATCCTGCGACGGTGACTGGATATATCCCGTACCCCTCCGACCGGCGGCGATCGTTCCCGGCGCGGCCTGCGTCTGTCGCTGCTACCGTCGGCATCGGCCCGAAGCAGCAACAGATTTATGTCGGTCCTGTCGAGGAAGCACTTGAACTGAGGCTGCGTGAGGAGCAAGAGAGGCAGATTAACGAGGCGCGGCTGGATGGGAGTGTACGTGCCTGGGAGGCCGCCAGAGCTGGTGGCGTCAGTACTGATGTGAGAGGTCGACGGGGACGGGGAGATAGATTGAGTTGTGATAGCGGGTATGTCGGTAGCGCGAGTGTATCAGAGGATAGCAACATTACTTTTGTAAGTTGAGATGGGCTGAGTACATTGGTCATAGACTTTGGGGGGTTCATCTGCTTCAACAATTCGCCAGGAAAGAAAAAAAAGTATTTTTATTCTTGATTTTTTGCATGTATCGTAAGTGATACCCTAGTAATTCTACAACAGCAAACGAGTGGACGGGCCCGGTCAGACCTACAAACGAATTCCAAACAAACAGGCTGCTCGACGCGACGACTTTTTCAAGCTGTCCACGCAATATAAACGAAATCCACACATCAAAGTAGTGATCGAATTGATGCAGTCGCACCATTCCACCAAAAAAAAGAATCGAATAAAGCTGCCCGACGAGACATAGTCCCATCGAGGACATGGAGATGCCTCACCACATCCTTTCAGATGTGACGAGACAAGCGAGGGACAGAACAGGGTCGGCGGACACGGAATGCGCGGGATGCTTCTACCCAGGCCAGGGATTCACATCTCTAGCCTTGTGGGTATCCACGAAATCCCCACAAAGTCGTTATTATGTGGTCAAAAGGTGGTGGTATGCCGATCACATGTACACCCAAGCCGCTGGGTCCCCTTCTCCATCCAATTCAAGAGGAGGGGGGCCCTAAAAAAAAAAAACCGGGCATTTACGCCCAGGCCCCGACAAGACTCATGCCAAAGGCGCCGAAGAAGACGAGCAGACAGGCAAAGACGCGCTTGCGACCGCGGAGGATACGCCAGCTCTCGTCGGAGAGGAAGTCCTCGGCGAGAAGCTCGATGAGGGCCGCAAATACGAGAAGGCCCGACGAGATGGCGTTCATGGTGCCGACCAGGATCAGGCCGAACTCGGAGTCCGGGCTGTAGAGGCGGTGGGTGGCGAGACCGATGGCCTGGCCGATGGGGGTGGTGCAGCCGTAGGCCAGGGCCATCATCCAGGGCTGGAGGCTGCCGGAGGGCCAATCGATGGAGGCGATGCGGGAGCCGAGGGCGAGGCCTTCGAAGGTTTCTGGTGATCGCACGTTAGATAACCTAGAAAATGGGCGGAGATATAGAGAGAGAGATAGAGGACATACGATGGAAAGCGATTGCGATGAGCAGAATGACGAATTCGTGACCGACGGAGACGCTGAGCGTCATGCCGATGAAGACGGAGTGGAAGAGGATGCCTACTTCCAGCATCATGCACTGGAGAATGTCCTTTTGATGCTGCTGAGCAGGGGAGAGGGCCATGCCGTTGACGCTTCCCAGGTTCACGGCGCGGGACTCCTCGTCGAGGCGCTTGGCAAGCCTGTCACCGGCTTGCTGTTGGCCGACGTCCCGCTGCGGCGTGGTCAGCTCGTCGCGGCCGATTCGCGAGAGCTGGCGGCCGATGCTGTTCCGGGTGCCGCGGCTCGGGGCCATCTCAAGCGGGTAGGAGCCCGGATCGCGCTGGTCGTCTTCGTCGACGGACTCGGGGCCGTGGGGGGACAGGACGGAGGCGTTCGGGGTGTGGGACATGTGGCGGGCGGGCTGGAAGGCCATCTCGATGATGGTGACGAGGAAGATGCCGGCCAGGGCGATGGCGCCCGGCATGGCGGGGTAGTCTTCGACCCAGAACGAGCTCAGGCATGGGTTGCCGAGGAGGGTGAAGGCGGTGGGGAGGAGATGGACGAAGGCGGTTGCGAGGAGGACGCCGGTGCCGAAGTGGCGGACGGCGAAGAAGAATGTGCGCGGGATACGGACGCCGGGGATCCGGGAGGCGATGAGGGGAAAGGCGCACGCGAAGAAGGAGACGCCGAGGATGATGAAGAGAGCGCCGACGTGGAGGGGCGTGTTGTATTCGTCCTCGTTACCGAGACCGCCGGTCGGGCAGGTCGAGCGGCGGGTAGCACGGACGGAGCGCTTGAAGGCAGCTTGATGTTGTTAGTTTGCCAGAGGTTCGCGATATCGATATGAGGCGCCGACCAAAGGTGGTGGTATACGGCCGGTGAGGGGTGGGGTGGTGGTGATGATGAGATGAACCGTTGATGTCTTACGGTGTCTATGAACAGGGAACAGGGCAGAAACTCACATTGGGCAGATTCTTTGGTTGCAAACATGAACGAGGCGACGGCCTCGGGACTCTTGAGAGCCGAAATAATGGCTGAGCAGCCCACGACGGACAGGAGCCAGCTCAGCCAGCCCCAGAGGCTGGAGCGAGATGGGTCGGAACCCTTGAGAAGACGTGTATGGTCATCACCACCATGCACGTATTTGTTTCGGGGATGGAAGCCTTTGACGGGGCGTTAGTCAATCGGGTCTTTAGTGACAGTCTCCCCCTCCTCTTGTCAGACACGAAGTCATCGACATGTGTCGGTCGAGACTTCGGGTTGCGAGAAAGAGAATCTGGCTGACTCACCGTGGTTCCACCCTCCCGAAAGGGCAACTCGACGATCGGGTTGCAAACGTGGTAAGGTCTGGTAATTCATGTCATCACCCCGACCATCGGATCCGTCGCCGGCACCGGTAGTGACCCGGCGGTGCTCGCGAGCGTTGGCAATGCCGTTGAGGTCCTCGCAGGTGGTGAGATCGGCGGCCAGGAAAGGCGGATTCTGGTTCCAGTCTGGATGTTCCAGAGTTATATCGTCGGTACGCGAAGGACAGTTCATTGTGGCGGCGGCCTCCTTATGCTCAGCAGAACTATGTCTGTCTAGGCTGTCTCTTTTTCTCTCAAATTGGCTGCAGCGTGTGTATGTCCTATCCTATAACTCTTCACTCTTGATAATCTTCGTCTTCCAGTAGGTAATAATGACTTGTTTTTTTGTTGTGCTGTTGAAATCGTTTGGTAAGAAAGATGGGGATCAAACTTTCAAACTCGATGCTCAAAGTCACGGGTCAAAGGGGTGATGATGATGTCAGGTACCCGTGTACTTAATATAAAAACCGTGGCCGTCTTCGGGATCTAGAAATTTTTAGGGGCGGGGCCGCGGGAAGAGTGCATCGGCCAAATGCGGAAGCGAGTCACACACACACACACACACAGCCCCCCGGCTCCCTTGTACTTGGGGCCAGCCTCCCAACGAACGCTCGGCGCTGGCTGAGAACCCCTTCGGAACGGTGTGGGTATTTTTTTTTTGTTTATTGGGTAGGTAGTTCATGTCAGTTGCAGTGATGGTTCGTATGATTTGAGGGGGATGATTCAACACCTTTGTGACTTTTGTCTACATATGTATAGTATTCCTATACATGGTATGTGTATACGTCTTTGTGTCCCTGAATATCGCCATCCATCTTTCAAGTATTTACACCTTGATAGCTGATTCATTCTAAGGTACTATATGAGAAAAGAGTCTGACGGCTTCAATACCCTCGGCAATACACTAGAATCACATCGAGCAAAAGTACCGTTTGTTCACCCAGAAACCCGTACCTTGGTGATGTACACTTGACACCATGGTTTTTTCTTAGCGGAGGGCTATGGGGGTCTCGGCCATCCCTTGGCGCACGGGGGAATGAGTCTTACTGGGGTCTTTAGGGAGGGGGGCGGCTCCTAGGATAGCCGGTCGGGAGAAGCCTGTAATCGGTCACTCAAGGTGAAGATTTTGATGTTTTCTGATGGCAATCTACCATCGACTTTGGCGCTGTTTTTTGTGTATTTTTTTTTTTTGTCTTGTTCTTCTTCGTCTTCTCTTCTGTTTTCTGCTTCTCATCGTTCTCATCTTTCGTCACTCCATTTGCCTCCATCTTGATGAACCCCCTTGGCTGACGCTCTCGATTCTCATCAAAGTCCTTCCAGAGAATAAAACACGCGCTTCCCTTTACGCCGAGAACATCACAACGCCCGTCACCAGACGATAATAACATGCCCCTCGCTGCAACCCACTAACGTCACTGCGTATCCCCCCGCGTCCGGTTCTTTCCCTCCCAATGCCTTGGTCACATCGCGGCATCGCCAATCTCGTCGGGGAGCCGTCCACTGATAGGCCTCTCACTTACCCCATGGGGCTCAGCGCTCCCGCTCTATTCCGAAACCTGCACCAAGATAGCCGACTAAGGTAGGCCCAGCAAGCAGCAAGCAGCCCGATAAGCCAGTTTCGACTCCTCTCGTCTCGTCTGTGTAGATTTGTTTATCCGGGGGGAGATAGAGAGAGGGGGGAAGAAAGATCTCGGCTGTCTGTCAGACTATGTTACTGTGTAAATCCCAGAGAACCCAACCGACCATTTTTCGTGACATGGTCCTGCGACACAGCGCCCAGTCATGCCCCCTAGAAACGCCCAGGCCCCAAGACGGCTGGTGCCCCCTTTTATTGACGCGTCACTTGAGCATGGTCTGCGCTTGGAAGGGGGCTTGGCCAGACTCGTAAAACTTTCATTGTCATTTGATGAGATTTTGCAAGAATTGCGGTGTAAGGTGTATTTTGACAAGTCGACATATGCAGAGCACCGCGATTTGCTTGAATGTTTTGTGAATGTCTCACTTGTAGCAATCCTCCTATGACATCTCGGTGATTCAGCCTTCGAAGCCCAGCAGCTTAGAATAAGGTGGTATTGACCCCTTTTCCTTCCAAAGTGACAAGTTCGAACAAAGCGAAAATGTCTGACAAAGAAAAAAAAAGAAAAAAAAAAAAAAGTACACTCAACACCCGAAGAAAAGTAAGTTTCCACGTCCGTCTTTGTTAGTGAACCACTTGATTCATCGCCAAGGTTTTAGCACCGTTGTCGGGTGAAAAAGACTTGTTCTACTACCAATCTTTGGTTTTCGACGCTAGCACCAATCGGGTAGCAGCTAATGGGGCTGGAGTATTATGTAATACGATACAGCCCGGTGGGTTCAGTGTGGCTTGTGAGTGGGCCAATGACGTGTTTTCTGTTTGTCATCTGCGCATTCTCGCACGAGCATCATCCCAGCCTAATCAATCATTGCGTTGCTGTCACGAGGTTAAGGCTTGGAGCTACGCTTGTGAGATTTCGTGAGAGGGGCAGGGTTTGGGAGATGAGTCGTGAGACTTTGCTGTCAATTTTTTTGAGATGTGATGAGATGGCAGTGTAGGCAGGTAAGAGATGAGAGGGGCACTACAAGGTATGCCTTGTACGGAGTATCGCATGATGCTTTCTCGTAAGAAATGATTGGTTTTCTAGCCTGCTGTTGTACTGGCCTCCAAACTTAGCTGGTCTTTGAATGTCGTCGATAACCAAGATATCTAGGAGCATATGTCCTATCATGAGATTGGGTAATTAGCTCCAAAGGTTTCATCACTCCTCCAAACATCGTGATCAGCGCTTGGAGAGATTAGATTTCATCCAGTGTCTACTCATCAATGGAAAGAAGGCGCAATTTGCGGTAAAATGTATCTTCACATTAAGGTACAACTGGCCGACATTGAACTCACTTGATAAGCATAGCTGATAAGCACACCTTGTCATCGAAGATCATCCAGAATTAGAAACAAAACCGGCGATCGGAAGAAGAGAATACTGTCCCTCGTGGAGATCTGATTGTGAATTAGAAACCTTTCAAGCACGTGACAACATAAAGTTGTCAAACTCGGCTTCATTAGAATGGCCCTTTCAGGTGTGTTCTGTTTTTTTTCCATATAAATTATGGCATACTACCTCGTCGTCATGATCCTTGTAAAATTCAAGCTCTTCTTCTCTTGGGAAAAACTTAGGATCATCTCGTTGAAAACCTGGTCTGGCAAGTGCCTCTTTTGATGGGAGCTGGTTGAGTATCCTGGCCATAAGGATGATTCCTCTTGAAAGTGACAGTCAGAACTCGTATATCTACCTCAGATCGGCGACATTGTTCATGGCAAACAAGAACTTATAGCATCATTCTTGAGATGCAATTATTTTTTGGCCTTGGAATACGACACTAGAGACTTTCTCGAGTTGGTTAATTAGCCCGAGCTAGTAATGTCCTGTCCATGTCCAAATCGCGGAATATTGAACGGTTTTGACCCTTCTGAATCCGTTCCGAAATGAAGTGTGCTAAATGAGAGCAGAGTTGTTAAAGGTTTTTTGAAGGGGGAACACGTCTCGTCTTCATAGCCTCCATAGTTTGCACCAAACTGTACTCACATAGAGCTGCATTCTTGCATCATCCGCAATCTCTTCCAGCCGGGTTTGTGCTTGGTGCTTTGTGTGTGGCCACAGGTTATGCCTCTACAACGTCAGTGTCACATGGGTTCTAAGTCGACCATCTGGTCGAGTGTTCTTGTCATTCAGCTCGTTGATCCGCATTTACCACTGAATAGATTCGACCGACATCGGGTAATCACCCTGCTCTCTTGTTGATCTTGAACTCATTCGGTTCCTTTATACCTGCCGCACGAAAGAGACCCGATCGGTCCTGTTCCTATCGACTGCTGTTGGGCAGATGTACCTCTCGAGAGAATACAACAGCCAAATGACTAGCTGAGACTTTTTATGTCAGCGTGACAACTTGCTTCACTGCCTTTTGACTGTACCTTATTCCAAAGTTGAACGAGGACGTGTCTGGGTTAAAATTTGCCGTGAAATAAAAAGTTCTAAATGATGATGGAAATGAATCGGTGTGTTTCTGAAACGCAAGATAACAATGCCAGAAAGACTGACAAATTCCCAGGCTCTCACCATACATGATGAGAGACAAAAAGAACAAGATCGTGTTCCAGGGCCACGACCAATATAAGCGGCACTATGAGTAAAGAAAATGTGGGTAGATCCCCATCGACACTGGAGGCCAGGGATGGCTTGGGTATCGGTACAAGTCCGACCGAGAGAATCCAAGACTTGTCATATGCTCCATCGGCAAAATCTCATCTTCGAACAGATCTGTCCTATCTTCAGGTGAACTGCTGGCGTCATCCCCGTCAAAAGAGTCTATAATATGACGCTCTACTAGACACAACAGATGAAAGAAGTATCGTGAAATCGGAGATGTAACGGGATTCACCAACGCTCTCGGAGAGCTGTCGGCAAATATAAATACCTCATCATCCGCTGGACCCAACAGCCTCCTGGACAAATCAGCAAATTCCAGGTTATTTGCGGGCGCACTGATGGCATAGTTCATACTTTGCAAAGTCGAATGGCAAACCCTTCTTCGGGCTCTCATTGAGAACTTCATGGTGGAGAAATGTGTCTCACGATGTCTACATAAACGACTTGGGGATGCCAGTGATTCTTCAACGCATCGGAGGTTTTGACTTAATATAGACCCTGCCAAGCCTCGGTCCGTTGGGCGAACGTGACGCACAAACAGTCACGGCACAGCTTGTTTACGGAGTAGTCCCGTCGGGATTCACCCCGCACTCCCCCGCATTGCGTCGATCCTTAGCCCCGGCCATGTCTTCCCATTCTTCAAAAGGCCATGTATCCCGCGGGATTCAACTCTTGTTCCCCCCCCGCAAAACTCCCAAAGTCGTATGTTCATCTGGCCATCACCCACCTCACACAGGGCCCTACCAACTGCTTGGAAACCCCACCGTTGAACGGCCGTGTTGATTACCATGCAGTGAAGAACCCTCGTGCGGGATTTCGGATGACGCTAGAGAGATCCTGATAAATCTGGGAGTGAAGACCTGGCCGGAACTATATGAAGCCCCGACGCTGCTGTGACGCCTGCCGGCGGCGTCACCGCAAATGCGTCGTGCAACCGGGTGCGTCGGGTTGCGGCGCCTGCTTGGAGGCCGATCTGCCGTGTCATTTTGATACAACCCTACGCTTTAAGCATGCGCCCGGCAGCTCCAAGAAGGCTGCTTCTGCAGGCAGGACTCAAATGCTCGAGTTGAAGAAAGGTGTGGCTTGACTTTCCTTTTGTGGATTCTTCCTATCCGAAATCTCCCCTCTTTAACCAACACGTATAATCTCCCCGGCTTTCCGTTGAACTTTCACAGCCTTTGAAAAAAAAGGAAAAGTCTCGTCATATTGACTTCTTTTGGTGTTTAGCTAGGCGTAACACGGAGTCCAGCCGTGCGGAAGAAACCGACACCGAAGACTCCTCATCCCCTGCCACTTTATCTTCGCAAACCGCCGGGGGGAGGGTAGGCAGCATCGGCTCCCACGCTTCACCACACGGTTCATCATCCTTTGAAAGCCAGCAGTTTACTATTGAGCTGCCTCCTCCTGCAGGGCAAAGGTTTCGTGGGGAGGCGCCAGCGCAGAGATTCACGGGCCACGGCTCTCACGGCGACGGGAGCGCTCCCATTGGGTTCGTGTTGAACAGAGGACCGCCGCCAGAGTCTCACCATCGATCTAGCTTTGCCTCCAGCCCGGGGTACCTCGACTCTGTTCGCGACGGCCTCGCATCGGATTCTGGCCAGTGGAGTGGGTGCGAGGTCCAGCCCCAGCTTCAAATCTCTTATCTGCTGGGCGACTCTCCTTCAACGCAGGCCGGGTCGGCGCAGCGGGAAAGGGCTGATAGTCTGATTTCAGATGCTGAACTCAGATCCCAACCCGCTGACCCGCAACATTGCGGCTTTACCGGGCGACAGGCCTTTCTATATCGCACATACATTATGAGGATAGCTCCATCGGTATGTCTCATTCAACCCTCCCCAATACTAACGAAACAGTGATAACTGACTCGGGACAGATTGACGCATGCCACGACGCCCGCCCTTTTACACTCGAGGTCCCTCGCCTGGCTCTCTACACACCTATCCTCCTTAACGGAATATTCGCTCTCGCTAGCCGCTTTGATGCTCAAGGTGCGGACGACGATGTCGAAAAGTCGGATCTGGAGAGCACCTATTACCACAACCGCTGTATCGAACTGCTCATCGAGGCCTTTTCCCAACCCCCAGAAACCTGGGACTCGACGCTGCTGACGGCCGTCGTCATCATGCGCCTGTACGAAGAATACGACAACGAGACGGACTCGCACTATCACCACCTGCGTGGCACCCGTAACCTGCTCAACCACGACTCAATTGCGAGGTTTGTGACGCAGGGCGGTCTCGCCGAGGCGGCGAGCTGGGTGCACTTACGGCAGGCCCTCTATATATACCTCGTTCGCCGGACGCCGATCGAGATATGCTTGAAGAATTTCGAGAGGTCGTCTACTTTTATGATGAATGACGACACGGCACACGCAAATCGTATTGTTTACCTGTTTGCAAAGGTGCTAAAGCTTTTTTTCCCCGACGACGGCACTGGGTTCTTGGCGAGCAGTGATACCGCTTGGGAGGAGTTGCAGGGCGAAGTTGAGGGCTGGTATAGGGACAAGCCCGTGTCTTTTCAGCCCCTATTCTACGAGAGAGCGGATCTAACGAGGCATCGGCCGTTCCCGACTCTATGGATGAGTACGGATCCAGGTAAGGCCCACCGAGTTCAGTGGCTAGCTGGTGGTTGCTATGAAGTTTGCTAACCTGTATCTTCAGCCACCGTTGCTCTTGGATATTACTACGCTTCGAAAGCTATCTTTTGCTTTCAGGCTTACAGCAGCCCGAATTCGATGGTGGGATTTGAGGGAACGAAGAAGAGGCTTGACAGCGAGGTAAGCTCCCGGGTTCATGTCAAGGCACACTTAATCTAACGTCCCTTCAGCGCGAAATCTCATTTTATCTCTGTATTTTAATGGGCTTGGCCCTTTCTAACGAAGCGGTAAACGCATACTACCTACCAGCACACATGCTGTCTCTATGTAAGTCGAAAGCCTCAAGGTCGTTAACCTGTTAAACAGTATGCTAATCGGTACGCAGGCGGGCACCTCATCCGACATCCGCTCGAACGTGAACATACAATTAAATACTTGGCGCAGGTGAGGAACATTGTGCAATGGAAAACAGGGGCGTTGGTCAAGACTTTGAAGGAGCAATGGGCAGAGCTCGATAGCTTTTGAAATGATCACTGGCATTAATTCATCTGGCATTCGAAACGGCAGTGGTACAAGTTTCATCGCACAGCTATGATTTGAGCTACAGCATTATGTCCATTGTCGACCACAAGATACTCAAGCCAGCGCGGAAAACTCACAAGCCATCGTTAAAGCTGTAGTGTTTGTCCCATCGCTATCTGAGATTAGCATTAGGTAAATTATGATGAGGAAGATTCAGAACTCACAGTATCCCAAGGCCGACTGCTGTCGACGAAGCGCAGGTCAGTTCCCAGCCTGATACGGCCTTCAGGGTCGTAATTTTTCGTTGAAGCATGGACCTAAAACCGACGTCAATCGACAAATCCTCCGAGGCGATGAGACGCCAACTTACCATGTGCGCAGAATGAAATACGACAACACCAGCTTCGTATGCACTCACGAGCCACTTCTTCCCATACCTTCGGCCAAAGTCCGCCGGCCCTTCACACAGGAATCCCGTGCTCATCATATTCGCGTTGAACGCGTTCCTCGTCTCTTCGTCGTTCATCCCCTTGGCCTTGGCCTGCGCCATGAAATCCCGCTCAATCTCCTCACCCAGCTTCTCGCCGTCTTGCATGTAAATCAACCCTCCGCCCTCGAGTCTGACATCGCCAATGGGAACCCACGCCGTCACGGACGTCGGCTCTCCGTAGCGCATAAAAGACTGATCGTAGTGCACACCGATAGCTTTGTTACCAGGGGTGTTGTTTCTGAGAAGCGTTCTCTTGACGGTGAGCGTGTTGTCGCCCCAGCCGCTGAACTTTGCGACAAAGTCACGGAGGACGGGGTGGTTGCAGAACCCCTGGACCTTTCCGTCTTCGGAACCAGCGTACCAGTCCTCCGTGTGTGCTTTCAGTGCAGCGTCCGCGAAGAAGGCAGATTTGTCTGTCTCGCCCGGTCGCGAGTTCTTTACGCTTCCGGCGCCGATGCCGGGATAATCTCCGGGCGACTTTGCGTCGTCAAAGATGCCGTCTCTCGGAGATGTGCCGGGCTTGATGACGCCTGAGGGTTCGAGGGATTTGAAGTATGATTCTCTGGCAGAGAGAACGTCTTCACGTGGTAGGAGTCCCTTGAGAAGGAGATAGCCGTTTTCACGGTAGCGCTGACGAAGGATGTCAAGGTCTTCCGTCGGGTAAGAGGGTATGAGTGTCTCTACTTCGTTGGGGGCGAGAAGGTCATCGTTTACGTGTAGGTGGACGCCGGCGATGGTGGGAGGAGGCGCTGCGCCGGTAGTTTCTGCGTGTGGCATAGTAAAGGCTTTTTGATTTGATTCCTCTAGGAAAGTTTTTACAGGGTTTAATTGTTCGAAATAAATGGATATGTCTTTCAAGAGAAGTGTGCGAGGTAAGGCAGTATCAGACATTCATGACTTTGGCATTTTTGAGTTAGGCAAATCCCTTCTTATACTTTACTTCCTACTGTCTCGGGTAGTACATCCGAATTTGGGCCAAAAGAGTTCCTATCGCCTGAGAGTGACAATGACGCCCTTTTGCCTCCATGGACCCGACCGGCTTGTCACGAATCGCCTTGGATAGAAATGTAATCCGCGGGGTAAAAAAAAGGGTCTCACATCCGGCGAAAGGTTGCCTAATTGGGATAGCAAAACCAAGCTACAGCTTCGTGTCGCCAATGCTTCTCCGCATGTACAAAACCCATTGCAGCGAATCCAATCCCACGCTTGACGTATTTTGATCTTAACCCCACACTGGGGCGATCAGCTGGGACACAGGCTCGAATGTGAGATTGCCGAAAGGGCGAATCGTGTTCTGGATAATTGAGCAGTTTGATCAGATCAGCAACCGATGATGGCTCATTCGCTACATGGAACGTGTGCCAGGCTGATGGAACGCTTACTGTTCCCGATTCGGAAGGAGTTCGCCGGGCGTTTAACTATACCATGTGAGTAGACATCTGAGTATTGAGGAGTAAAACACTTGGTAATATCCGTGAGCCTTTGGCAAACGGTTTATGGCACTTTGTATCTTTTGGGACCGGATGCTTCGATTGGCATTCAGGGTCTACACGTGGCAGTGAGTTTTCCTAGGCTTGCATGGATATATGTATGCAAAAATGGTTTTACCGTTTCCTATTTTTGGATTATTCATTTCTTCTCAGTAACGGAGATCTCAACCCATGTTCTCTGCAGGCAAACAGTCAACCTATAGTTTGTGTCTGGTGGCATCTGTATAGTCTTCAAAGGGATACTACTACACTACGTAAAAGAGTCCGGAAACTACTTCTTGTTACATCATACAGCCATGTCTCGATCTGATATTCAATTTCCGTAGTTACTTACACAACCCTCAAGTGTCTCCATTAATCGAAGACTCCGAAATCGAACATTCCAGGTCGACTTGGGCTTTAATCGCACGGAATACTTCAGAGGCTATCAGGTGGTTCAAAACAATCTTTTTTATTTTCAATTTTTTTGTTCTTTTTCTAATTTTATTACATAAATCCCATCAAATAATTGTGAATGAGTGTTTACACATGCTATCCGCTACATTCTGTCCAAGCACGTTGTTTTCAACATCATCTTCCTATGACTTTTCGGACCTCAGGTGGCCCTAATAGTCTAAGGACCAAGCCACTTGATGCTGAGGAAAAGCTGCTGGATGTAGTCGTTGACATAGCCAATGTGGGCAGCAGATTGACCAGGTTGAATCACGACGGGGCCTCCTCTTTCATTCTGGCTTGTGCTGGCATAGAACTCGGCGGCGTGACCCATGTTGTTTTGCATGTTGGCAACATACTGGAAAAAGGTTTCGCCACTGATATCGTGCATGCGGTGACTCGTGGTAGTCAGGACAACGTTGTTTCTGCCGCCGCCGCCAGTTGGCCCATCTAATATAATTAGTAAACCTGATTGTGGAAATGGATTCAGAGTTCTTACTGATAGTGGCGGTATGAGTTTGATCTTCTTCCGCAGTGAAGCAGATATCATCAGTTACTTCGCCGCCATTCACAGCGTGCCAGCGGGCATTTTTGACCACTGGGCACGTGTTTGCCGGTGGTGCCCTCACGCTCACGCTGTTGTTTAATTAGGCTGTGGAAATGGAAATATACAGAATATGCATCTTGAGAACCTACACATGTCCCACCAGTTCAACTGGACTGCCCAGTGCGGTGGTTAGCATCGACAAAAGTACAACAAATTGAGGCTGCATTTTGAAATACGTAGTTTGTATAGCGATGTTGCAGTAGAACGATGTGTAACTAAGATCAGATTGTTGCAATCAGAAGATGGGATGAATTGAGATATCGTCCGATGAAGTGATTGAATCTTCGACACTTTATATACTCGCCTATTGTCATTTAATCTGCTAGTAACTGAGTGGTCTAGTTACAAGACTGTGATAAGTCCCAAAGACTACCCTGAAGTATAATAAAGTGCGAAAAGAATAAAAGCGAGGCGCAGTTGCCGCAAGGCAGAAGTATTTCCACCTTTTATCATAGCAAAGTCTACTTCCTTTAGTCTAAATGTTACCCCTATCCCATCGGGACCTGGTGGGATAAGCTTCGGACTAGACAAAGTTATCATTACTCAGGCTAAAGGGAAAGCGAAGGAGAGAACCCGAATTTACGATAAAGCCGAAGACTGATACTCAGCTATCTCATTGTTCTCAAGGGCCAACTAACGTGGCCCTCGTAATGAAACTTTCACTACTACTACCGCCGCCACGTGTGCACAACCCCCACTGCCAAATGCATTCATGACCGCCCAATCATGGAAGATGTGGCTGCCAATTCACCTCCTCAACACCACTACATGCCTGAGCGCTTGTATTAAAGATGAACATATGGCGCTCGGGAGAGCAAGCCCTCCAGTTCATGATCAAGGAAAACTTTTGAATTGAGTTACAAGACAGGAGATTTTGACTCCATCCAAAATCTGCGTGGTTTAATGATGGGGAGAGACCGCCAAACAGGCCGAATTTAGGTTTACGTCAACCCGTAGTCCCGGACATGGCGGCTCAAAAGGAGCATTAAGCCATAAAAACAAGCCCGTATCTAATAATTTATCATACTTTATGGAAAGGTGTGCCCCTACTTACTAGTTCTCATGGAGTCTGGATATGTTTAGTGAACAAGACACAGAAGTACACAATTCTTCGTATCTCACAGTAAGGTAATCTTTTGAATTTTTGCTCCCCTCCTTTGTACACGAGATATTCTAGCTTTACGCCTTTCCCAAAGATTACACCGAAAGCCAAATAAAGTACTCTGCAACTTACTGCTCTCGCTACAAACTGCGATAACGTACCTTACCACAGAGTGCCCCACACTGCTTCTATGCCTTCTATGAATTTTTCGCTTGTACCTTCTCTCGTGCTTTTTCTCGCATTTTCTCTATCACTCGTAAAAGACGGTCTAACTTTATGACCTTTGAGAAGACTATTGGAAAGTATGATAGACAATGTTTTCATGCAACAGTGTCAATATCTCAGTCGAATTCGACAAAAGTTCATGTATAAAACCAGTCATCAACTACGCCAATTCTCAAACAGCTGTGAATTCTTCATCAAATCATCCTCTTGCCTCAATCTGTTACCAATCTTCATACTTTACAATGATGCTCACTCGCTGGCTTCTTCCGATCATCCCTGCTCTGCTTCACGTAGCATATGCGAGCTCGGTCAACCCAGGCGAATCCGTATGCTGCCACAAACAATACCAACAATGCGTAAGCCAAGGAGCTTCTGGCTGCGGTATTAACTTGAAGGGGTTCGCCGAATGCGTTGACAACCACGGTCCCACTTCGACCTGCTCTACCGTCTGCCCAACTCACTGGGACTACGCGTGGCAGATTCATGGGTATGTTAGATGTCCATAAAAAAAACTATTAATGTATTTACCAAATGCAAATAGTGCTCCTGACGGCGACTGTCTGTGCACCGACTATGACCCTTCAACTAGCAAGTACTGCTACGGCTCTTAATTGCTAGGCCTCTTGGGGTGGGTTTTAGCTGTCAGTCTCGAAGACAGCCATTGACTAGCTCCCTACCACTATGGCCAATATCATGCCTCATAAAGACTGTGTTAGATTCCATAGTAAATTGGTCAATAGAATCAAGTTCCCTCCTCAGAACCACAATCTTACAATCGTCGTGTCGCGTGCGTTCATCCCAATATGCCCGCTTAATCCTGCTCCACAAGAGCAGACTTGGTGTAGCTAAGGGCCACCATTCAGTAGACATACTACTTGTAATAGACAGGTGGTATCGTAGGGCAGGGAATTAAGTTTGATCTGTATTGGGCAGTCATTCACTTGAGTTAGTACTAGAATGCTCATTCTCGACACCTTTGCTACTTATACCCCCGATTGTTACGGAAGAGGTTTTAATCTGAGCTTGCTCTAAGTATTTAGCTCATACAGTATTTATATATAATGGCCTTATCCCATCAAATGCGAGTGGGCTACAGGTACATTATGAGCCACAAATTGGTCCATGATTTTTCCCAAAGTCAGTGGAAAATAGGTATGGGGTTGGAAGGTAGTTTACACTGTCTGTTCCTGAGTGGCTACAACCCCGCAGGCTATGTACCTGTAGCCCACTCGCAGTTGATGGGATAACTCGCTTTGTATTTTACTTTTTAAGATATAAATAAGCTTCCTGATGCGGCCGGAAAGCCTGAACCATTACACCGCATAATGACGCACGCACCATCGACCAAAAGACTCTCTTAGCAGCCAAGAGACCGCTACTAGAAGGCTCCTACTATCTTATCAGGAGAATAAAGATGTAACAGCAGGCCGCGACTATGCTCAGGACACCAGGGATTCTAAATGTAGTTACTAGTTTAAATGCAACGAAGTGGTTGAGACGACTGGAACTTTTCTGATGGTCTAAATCTTTCATTAGGAAGGCTTCTAGGCTTCGAATCGAGCTGTGAGTGCGGTTGTATTTTTATTTTTATTTTGCTGTTCAACCGCAGATAGCCTAGATATTTCTGTTCTCAACCCCTCTTCAACAGGTTTTAAAGCTATTATTATGCTGATTTCCCTAACTACAGGAGCGGACATTATGTTTGGAGCTCATCATGCCTGGGCCTGAAATAGGCATTAGTAGGTCTTGTTCCATGTTGTTCAAAGGATGCAAGGCCAGTCAAGCTACTAGGGAGAGTTGACTGGCAGCTCAAACAAGACCTCAACACAGTACGAGTGGCCCGTCTTCAGGACGCATGTCTCTGTGATTGACGGGTTCTGGCACGTCTTCTTAGCTAACCCTAAACCTTTCACGACGAGAAAGTTGGGTGTCTTCTCACCAATGTTCGGAACGGAACCCAGTCGATACCAACTGACCCATGCAGCATTCGATCGGATAAATCCCTACCAAAGCACTTCAAACGGTTAAGCTTCTCGCTTCTCTTGCTAAGAACACCAAGACTCTGCTTAGCGTGCCAAGGAGGCAACCCTAACACACCTGACTCACATCAACTCTAAGCGCCTTCTGCTGAGGCCTCCTCCTCATCCCCTCCCTGCTCTGTTGCAACCCTGACAGCCTTAGCCTCCTAAAGACACTCCTCCTTGCGATACTGCTGCAAATCAGGCCAGCCGTGGCGCCGATAAACGTCCTGGAGCGCTGGAATTGGATTTCTCGTCATCTCGGTTTCCGAATCCAAGACCTCGTGCTCGCTGCACGGCACCCAGCGCAGCGAGCGGTACTGGGCCTTGAGAACTTTGAAGAAGTCGGCGACCGACCAGGCGGCGCCGTCGGCACGCCACTCGGCGTCTTCGTCGTCGTCGCAGTAGTCGTACGGGTCGTCCTCGATGCAGCGGGGCCCGTCGCGGAGGCGGCCGGGACACTCGGGCCAGTAGACGACGCCGAGGTCCGTGTCGAGCAGGAAGACGTGGTGCTCGCTCATCGTTAGCCCGACGACGTGCTCGGGCACGTTCTCCATGATGGCGGGGCCCTCGGAGATGGTGCGCAGCTCGTCGATGTCGCTGCCGCCCTCGCGCACCCAGATGCCGGACTGACGCCAGTCTATCCAGCGGCCGCCAGGGGTGATCTCCGGTATCTCGGTGTCGTCGAGTTCGTCTTGGCGGACGTACGGGAGGTGCGCAAGCAGGCTCAGCACCTCGTCAGACTTGCCCAGGTCGCTGAGATCAGAGGCCAGCGTCGGCCACCCTCCTGGCGGCGGGTGCGCGACGGCCGACTCGGGGAGGTACATCTTGGCCAGGAAGGCGTAGAAGTCGGTCACAGCGGCGACCGTGGCCTCCTGAGAGTACTCGACTTGGTCAAGCGTCGGCATTGTGTCTAAGTTGTGTTGTGGTTTAATGGTGCAGAATCCTAGCGGCCTGTACAATAATTCCGCCTCAGCTTTGCAAGGAGTTGAAAAGATTTGTATTTTCTGACCGAAAATCGAGACAACTGTGGCTGAAAAAGTAGAAAGAAAAGCGAGCGTCAAAGGGCGACGGTACACAGGCCTGAAGAGGGAAAAGAACTTTGGTGCCACCTTTCTTTGGTAAACCGCTTAATTGATATAAGCTTGTTGCAACATGCAAGGGGCGAGCTTGATGATGATTGGGTCCCCTTTTTCCCTTATCCGTCCAACATGATCCTTCTGCAACCCTGCGTCAGGTTCAAAGAGATAAATGCATGAATGTGTGCCTTTGGTGGTCGGCTGGCTCCCACCCTTCTCTGGACTCTCTGGCGAGGCCATTGAGGTTATCATCATGGTCCTGCGAGCCCCGATATCTAGTAGACAGTCATAACTTTCCAGGTATTTGATAAGGTGCAACATGCTGGTAGGCACTGGTTACGGTGTTATATTTGTCATTAAGTCTAACCCACCAGTAAATAGAGTGGTTGGGTAAAGAAGAATGGGGAAAAAGAGAGAAAAATGGCCATCGAAGCGTGCCTAATTACGGAGTCAGTTCTCCAATGTAACTAATCACCGACTCTCACGAAGCCATAACGATGAGAAAGATCTTTACCGGAGAGCGCTTGCTTCGCCAGCACTCTCAAGGAGTTGGCCGATGCCAATTTTGACATTGCCGTCAGCCGCGCCCCTGCGAGAGCCCAGTCAGTCACTCGCCCCAACTCCCAGTTGCTGAGCACGTATGTTGGGGTCGGCGTCAACACCTATCCCGAGTTCGCCATTGCGTCTTATGGACACTCTGGCAACCCGCCCGCTAACGATGGCCTCAACGACAACAAGTACTGGCCCAGTGCCATTGCTGCTGCCGACCCGGGCTTCGCCCTGTTGACGTACGATGCCTACTACGACACCCACTCCATGCCGGATAAGTACGATCAGGCGTACGTGCAAGGATTGTTCTTCTCTTTTGTTCAGCCAGGTTCAAGGGTTACTTTTCATAGCTATGCAAGAAATTCATCGCACCAATCTGCGTGACGAAAGAGTCGAGCTATTAGTATGGTTGTGCTTTTGCTGTTCAACCACAAATTGGACCAAATCTTATTTTCTTCCAACCCACTTTCATCAAGTTTGAAAGAATATTGTTAAGCTACTTGTATTTGTGGAAACTGGGCCTGAAATGCGCATTAATCGGTATCATTTTCACGCTGTTCACGGGACGTATGCCAGCCGAGTTACTAGGGTGAATTAGTTGTCATACATGCCACACAAGTTGCAGTTAGGTCTAGAATATTAGAGGAAGCGAGCAAACACATCTTCTTTTTGGCTTCCGTCTACATGTGTCAAACGAACGAAACTAAAGTGAATAGTTTCCTTCCGCGCCACCTATATGGACACTGACTGAAAACTGAGAAGATGTTTGGACTGGCAAACAAGCAGAGTACCCCTCTTCACTGATGATATACTTAGTCTCTTCTGGTAGTATTCAAGGTCACTGCCACGTCTTAATAGGGCGATAAATGCCGAGGAACCTCCTGGGAACTTGCATCCAACTGCTGATAGGCTTGGGATGGTCCGACACTCTCCGCTTCCCCGCGTCTCCGCTTCCCCCGCCGTTCAGACCCTGCTAGTCATGCCATTCCCATAATACAGTAGCTAATACTTTTGTATACTACTCCAATCAGATCCGATTTTAAGATTAGAGTGTCAGCAGGTAGCATATTATGACCGGTACGATATACGACATTGTAGAGTCATTGCTATTAGATGACCCGAGGGACTGGGACGAGTCTAGTCAAGAGTAGAAATTCGGGCAATTGATCTCGCGAGTTCACTTGTGATGTAGCTCTTGTAGTGGGTTAGCCAATCTAGCAATGAGCATCTCACTATTTTATCGAAATGCGGGATGATTCGAGTACGCGGTTTTGTCCGGCGTTTGGCATCGTTAATATAAAGCTAGCCATGTAATTTCAATGGCTTGCTGAAAAGGGCAGTCTACAAGCTTACGCATCCTAGAAGGTTCTGTCTTTGAGTGAGAACATCCGTCATCATGCGATTCAAGCGCATGTTTATTGCCTTTGCTCTCTTGAGATCGACGATAAATGCCGAAACCAAGGGTAACATGGTCAAAGTCGTTCAGCTCACTGTCGACGGACGCGCCGATGAGCCTCTTGGCCTTGGCCATTCTCGCCCAACTCTCGCCTGGAAAATCATTCAAACAGAGAAATGCACAGAATCCGTTTGCGCGGGTGACCTGCAGACCGCCTACAACGTTCAGGTCGCCGCGAGTACCGCCGATCTCGAAGCGGGCAAGCTCATCTGGGACAGCGGAAAGCTCGATGGCAACCAACAACACCTGCGTTTGGGTCAAGATCTCAGATCTCGGGACAAGGCTGCTTGGAGGGTACAGGTCTGGGATGCCTTTGGCAAACCCTCAGGCTGGTCAGACCCTTCCTCATGGACTGCGGGCTTGCTTGAACAAGGGGACTGGGGCGATGCTCGTTGGATCGACTACCCCGATCGTACAGAAAACCAGCCACTGCCACTATTCGTCCGGCAGTTCTCTATTCCAGGCGACAAGGAAGTCATTGATGCCCATCTCTATCTGTCCGGCGTCGGGCTTCACCACGCAACTGTGAACGGAGAGGAGGTTACCGATGAGGTTCTCGCGCCGGGCTACTCTAATTACCAGCTCTCAAGCGAATATCGCGTCTATGACGTCAAGAAAGTCCTTCAAGCTGGAGCCAATGCCATTGGTGTCAGCCTTGGCAACGGGCCGGCATACGTTCGTTCCACCGTGAAGAATCCAGCTGTCGGGCGCAACGCTCCCTACGCGTGGTGGCAGAGTCAGTTGAAAGGCAACGGCACTCTTGTTAGTGATGTGCAAGCCGGAGCCACTTCCGTTCAACTCAGTAATGTTACTGGATACCACTTGGATGGCACTATCAACATCGATACTGGCGGAGGCGGTGATAAACTTGAATCACGCGTTATTACCGCTATCGACAACACCACCTCAACCATCAGTTTCACACCTGGCCTGACGCATTCACACATGACCGGTGTAAAAGTGACTGGATCTGGTAACAATAAGGCGGCCAGTGATCCTTCAGCTGGCGCAGCTGTTACACCTCGTCTTATCGCCCGTCTCGAAATCAGTTACAAGGACGGTAGCAATGAAATAATTGTGACTGACCGTTCCTGGCGCACTACACTAGGCCCGTTGGTACTCGACCTATGGTACTCCGGCTCAGACTACGATGCCCGCCGTGAGCAACCGGGATGGAACCGTCCAGGTGCCAATCTGAACTCGACGAACTGGGTCTCGGCAGGCCTTGCGCCCCCTCCGAATCTGGCCACTGAACTTGTTTCTCGAGCCGCGGAGCCCGTCAAGATTCAAGAACGTATAACGCCCGTGTCGGTCACGAATCCTGCTCCTGGCACTTGGGTGTTCGACTTTGGTCAGAATTTCGCTGGATGGGCTCAAATCAACCTACCCGAGCTTCCGGCTGGCGTGGTTGTTAAGGTGGCGCCCTCCGAGTCGCTTAGTGCCAACGGCACGATTGAACAATCTTCGCTCGGCCCAGGATCCCGTGGGTCGGACTTGTTCTACACTTACACCACCGCTGGTCGTGCCGGCGGCGAAACATGGCATCCAGAATTCAACTACTTTGGCATGCAGTGGGTTCAGGTCACTGGTCTCCCTGGCGGCTTCAAGCCCGGACCAGAGCTGATCACCGGGCTTCGATTACAGACCGACGTCCCAGTCAGCGGCACGTTCACATCTTCAAATAGTCGCATAAACAGGATTCACAAGATGTCGCGATACTCATTCATGAGCAACCTCTTGTCGGTGATAACTGACTGCCCTGGTCGCGAGAAGCTGTCGTACCCTGCCGACTACACCATGCCTATGGGTGCCATCTACCGAAACTTCCATCTTGACGGCCTCTTGCGGACTAGCATGCGACATTTAGTGGAGGGTCAGTCAATTGCAAACACTTCTATGCGTGGCAATGTCGCTCTCAAGACGCCTGTCTATGATTGGGGTTACACTGGCCGCTTTGGCGACGAGATCAACTGGGGCAATGCCATTGTACTTGTCCCCTCGTTGCTCTATGATTTGTACGGCGACACCACGATTATGGCGGATCATTACGACCAAATGACCGACTTCGTTGATTACATCAAACGCGAAAAAGCCCAAGGGTACATCGTTGACGCGGCCCTCGCCGACTGGGTAGCTGACGACGCATCGACATCGGGCCGCATCACTGGCACATGGGGATACTATCTCACGATCAGAGCAATGGCCCGCATGGCCAAACTGACCGGACACGATGCCGACGCGGAAAGCTACACGACTCTAGCGGGAAAGATCCACGATGCCTTTAACGCTGCTTTCTGGAATGACGCCAGCGGCCGCTACACAAACACAGGCAATAATGGAACCAGCAATGCTACGCAGGCTGCACAAGCGCTTGCCTTGGACGCTGGACTAGTACCCGAAGAGCGTCGTCAGAGTGTCATCGACGCCCTTGTCGAACTTGTATACTCGTACCCGTCGAGCTCCGATCAAAGGCCGCACTTGAGTGGCGGTCACTTGGGATTGGGACCTATCGTTAGAGCGCTCTCTGCGGCTGGACGGGACGACGTACTCTGGGAGACGCTGCAAGAGAACGACAAACCAAGTTACGGGTACTTCATGGCTCCAACAATAGCCAATCCGGGTGGCTTCACTACAGTCGGCGAGAATTGGGACCGATCAGCATCCAAAAATCACATGATCCTCGCCCAGATTGATGAGTGGTTTCATGCTGGCATTGCGGGCATTCGCACAGGCGCCCTCGACACGATTAGCTCTACCTGGGAGGATCGGCTTGTGTTCCAACCGAAGCCGGTTGGTGATTTAGACAATGCTGCGGGAACTTACCAGACGAGATGGGGCGAAGCTCGTAGTGAATGGAACAAGACGGCCGATGGCAAGTTCGAGTTGACAGTCACGGTTCCGGCTAATGTCAAAGCGGAAGTTCGCGTGCCAGTCGTTGGCGACATACAAGCTTCGAGTCGTGCCACCTCTGTTGGAAAACGGGACGGCTACACTGCTTTTACCGTTCCTTCGGGCAAGCACAGTTTCGTGGGAACTTTGAACTCCTAGTGGAGACTAAGATGATAAGGCTGGGAGGCGATGTTTAGTCTTGGTCGTCAAATGTATAGAGTTTGCTCTAAATATGGAAAGATGGAATTTTGATAGCCTCTGGTACTAATAGTAGAATCTCTTGTCAAAGGAAGCGACCTTCAGCATTGCGACCATTCGCTCTTTAAATCGAAGTTGGTAACAAGTCTCTAGACCATTATGAAAGGTCACCCAAAGATTCGTATGAGTTAAGAAAACCCTTGGATTCGAAGAGATGGATTTTGTAAGGGAAAATCGCATCAGAGACACCTTGGTGCCAACTATGCTCAAGCGCCAACAGGCTGTCAAGCATTTAGATGTGACGACCTTGGTGGTATTTGTAGCTGAAGTCTACCTTAGTCAGCGCGACCTCATTACCTATTCAAAGAGTTCAATGGAGTGAAGAAACCAAGAAAAAGCCTTGAATAATCGTCCCAAAGAATTTCCCACGAAGTGGTTGGGTGGAAAAATGTTATTCTCGGAAAGCCTTCTAATTAGCTAGGTATATTAACAATGAATCCTTGGCGTTTTCAACATTGAATAAGATTCAACATGGAAGAAAGGAAGTATATCAACGCCACCTCTAGCCTGAGGGTAAACCATCCAAATGCGACTTTGGTAAACTTTGATAGACGATTCAATGAGTTTAAATAGAGGTAAAATCTCGCATCAAACTCATTGTAAAGCTTTATCTCTTTTCTTTTTCTTTCAAAAAGAAAACCAACGCCTAGAGTGAAATGACACGAAGCACTCAAAATCATCTTTATCAAGCTTCGTCACAGTCTACAACGAAAATGTACACCGTCGAGTCACGATCCGTGCATCTATGCCCACCGGATTGTAAGTACCTTATGACCTTCCACATATGTTTTTGATGACGGACCGTTGTGATGGAAAATGGCTTACCTCTTTTCTAGCCGAGAAAAGAACACGTCAAGATAGGCCATTAAAGTCTCACAGAAATAACGCACGGATAAGCAGGAAACAGGAGCAATCGACAACAAGTGCTACACATCACTATTTCTCGGCATCCTCTGCGCATACTACAGTCACGGCTCAACCCCAAAACAGTTCTCGGGTTCCGACTCAGCTTTCATATCCAGCCTCCACCCGACCGGAGACCTCGGATTCCCACGGCTTTTCGTCTAGTTTTGTAACGGTGGACAAATATAATTCTACCGAAGCAATGAGACAGTCTGATCGATACATGAATATGTCCAGTCGCATTGCTCGGAACCCGCCACAAAACAACTTTAGTCAAACAACGCTCACCTCAATCCAGCAGGTATGCAATCATTCCAACTGGGCCACAGGCACCGCGAATGGGTACCATGATTCAGTCGAGATCAGCCACCAGCACTTCATGTCCCAGCGTGAAAGTCCTTACTATATGTGAGAGAGAAATGCAGCATTTTCCGGATAATTGGTTACTATTCAGCTTCATGTTTGAGTTTATTACGGTGTAGGGCTGATATCCATAGTACGCGGGGGAGTCAGTAGTTGCTAAGGTAGTCTAACAATAATGAATCTCATTTTATACATATTCCCCTAGCGACTTTAATTATCCAGACCGCGGGACTACGCACTTGAACCCGAAATTTACATATAATATTGTCTGCTTCATCCTCAATCTCGCTTTACTTTCTCCCGAATGTGCCCAGTCTCGTACTTCCCAGCTATTTTGATATTCATGATTTGTCCTTCAATGGGTTTGCGAAGGGCAACCAAAACACCCCAGCAGCCGTGCATTCATCCTCTCTGGGAAGTCTTTGATATATTCGCAGCTGATAAGGCCACTATCATCAGCTAAGCCAACCAAAAGCTCGGAAACATCTACCTTGTCACGGTATTCGGGCGACGTTGCCAACCAGCTGGTCAGTGATAAGCGGCCACTTTGGATCTGCGCGGCTCTTGAAAGTAATGCGGCTACCCCAGGGACACAGCAGATAACTGAATTTGCCCCTCCAATCGAACGTCAGGAAGCAGTCACCGTCGCAATGGACTCGCAGCTCGGTCCGATCTACTTCATTAATGCACCAGCAAGCTGACTAGGGTTGAGAATGCATCCCCAGATCCTAACAAAGTGCTGTAACCCCCCAAATACCACCAACTTTATCGGTTGCTTGGAATAAAATCCTCACAGAGCCTCATTGTCAAAACGAACACCTAATGTATCTGTATCACCAACTCAAAAGACTGAGTTTGTCGGAGTTCATCGCGGAGTTTCCCCTTCTTGTTGCCAAGGCGGGATCAGCTCCCTATCTGCCCCACAGATTCATCATCTTGGCAAACTGGATCTTGGAGTCATTCACATGTCAACTAGGTAGCTTCTGCTCCTCGAGGGGGGTCCCTAAGAAGCAAAAGTAGCTGAGTGCATATTTCAAAAAGGCAGGACTTAAAATCGATGGCATTCACGTCCCCGCCGATAAGTGGAAAAACAATAACAAAACCAAGCAGACGCTCACAGGGGAATAGGATTGCGCAATGACGTCCAGCCGCCTCATCCTCGACTGACCCTGTCAGCACAAAGTGGGCGCACAGTTCCTCTACTGCAATCCCTCAAAAGGAGCGCGGCGCACCAGGGGTTGTTTAATCTCCTTCCTAATTCCTACTATGCCGTCGTTTCGGCCCCCAGACTCTTTACTGTGATCCGTTGCCCGGTCTGCCGAAGGGCGCTTATCCACCTTACCCATTCCTCCGAAAGGCGTGAATGCGGCGGCCCCCCGGTAGTAGGCTGTCCCTTTTGTCGCTCCCCCCTTGCTTTTGACCTTACGCCCTGACATGACCTACCTTATTTGACTGCCGCGACATCGGCGGCTCGCTACCGGCCCGGCGCAGTAGGATTTCCAACCTTGAATCTTCCCCACGAGAAGGAGGAAGATGGTGCGGCTCAGTACGTGTAAAGCAGAAGCCAGCTGATAAACCATGACCATTTTTTCAAGTCGGAGTTTACGTTGTGTAAAATGGTTACGTTACGCGAGTCACGCGACCGGTCGGTCGGCCTCGGAGCCCGCCGGTCATGTAGGATTCCTCTCAATGTCCACCCAAGTTCCTCCGCCCCCTGTCCAAAGGTTCTATTCCTCGGCTTCGCGTACTTTGGCCCCTCTGTCGCTTGACGGCAGTTGACCAAGACATTCTGAGCTTGCCCTCGTGGTGCCTTGGCGAAACCCCACAACATGTCGACCATCTCTGCAAGGTAGTTTGCGTCACTGGCAGTTACTGGCAGTCTTGTTGGCCCAAGCGGCCCAAGGACTTCATGGCATCATCTCAAGCACACATTGATTGACGGCCTGCATGGTAGCAGCCACTGCCGTGGTGGCGAAAAGCCAATGGGCTGCACTCCACGACTGAGCACGGGAATAAGGCCAGGTCTGACGTGCGATAGAATGCACACGTAACGCTGGCTTGATGGACGATTAAGGAAGCTCGATTAGAACGGCTAACATGGTATGAATGCGCCCTGGACTTGAATGGGTGACCTTGATGGCTGCGTAAGACGTCAACTCCAAAAGAGAACCGTGGCGGTCGTGATGTTATGCACCTCCAACCAGCTTGTAGAATACCTTGTACTACGTAGACAAGATAATCACAAATGACATTTAGTCAACACCTTCATCTGTCAAATCGTCCCAACATAGAAGCCGTCAAGCCTTTTGGATGCAATCCCCCAATGCATAAGCGCTTACGCGCATCAAATATATGTTTTTGCCTACCCAAGTTGGTCCGGACCATTCACCGATCGCCATCACCTGCCCCTTCATCAACGCCATCATTTGTGCCTGTTCCAGTGTTTTGCCTGTATCTGGCTTCCCAGAGACCCCAAGCCCAAGGTCTCACTCATCCCTGTAGTCCCTGCGCCTCCGGCACCAGGACAAATCGGGACCACCCACCCCTTTCTCCAGTAGAAGGATGACAGTATGAGCTTTGGTCGGCAATTGGCCCGTACGGGGATCTCCCGCCTCCATCTGTAGTTTATTCAACCCGCCATCGTCTCGGACATCATTTACGGAAACGGCAGGCGGGAAACGGTTAGGGCGGTGTGGGTTCAAGTTACATTAATTAAATGCTGGCTTTGCCTGTATCGGATCCAACCAATGCCCTACGCGACCTTCCACTTTAAGCATAAGTTGGGTTATTAAGGCTCCTCCACTAAGGTAACGTCTAACGGGCTATAGTCTAGTAGAATCCGGGAATCCAAACCCAGCCAAGCAACAGTGGCAACGAATCATGAATCGGGCATCTTGAAATGTCCCATTCCATGGCAAAGCAATAACCCCCATACCCTTAACCCTCGCGACCGTCTCTCCGAATGCGGAACATTTTCAGTGGGACTACCAATGGTTGTTTGTCACTGGTATTCGAACAAAAAGGAAAGATAGCTTTTGAGTCAACTCCCGGTAGCTGTCCCGCTTGGCCTTTCGGCCCCGGAGCTGGTACCCGTATGCCATCAAAAGAACCCAAACCTTAGATTACCAGCCGGGGCTTTCCTAGGAGTGGGTGGTGGTCACCGGGAATTTGCTCAAACTCCTTGTCATTGCGGGTAGCCCTCTCAACTCATTAGCTTATGGAAGGTGAGTGTTCCCACATCCAGACCTACTCGTTCTCGCGTGCTTCCCATCACGTCCACAACTTTCCTTGCTTGAGGCGCCTGGGTCTAGAGACGTTTTAGGAAGCTTGAAAACACCAAGCTGAATGACAAACGCTTGGCAGACCATCACGCAAGATGCTATCCCGATAGGCGCAATGAGAGGACGAACTGACAACATCTAATATCGTACGGGACATCGTGCGAGTTCGTGTATAAAGATGGACGCTTTCCTCGCCTTCCCATCAGGCTTTTGTTCCTCAGCTTCATCCTTCAAGCTCTGTCGTCTCCTGATCTACTCCCTCCAAGGTTTCTTCATCGGTACACAATGGCCAACCTTCGCCGCCTCGTCCTGGCCGTCGGAGCTCTGCTCCCGGTCGTCCTCGGTGCTCCCGCTGTCAAGCGCGACGAGCCCAAGGCTGTCCCCGGCAAATACATCGTCACCCTCAAGGAGGACGCTGCCGCCAACCTCGAGTCCCACTTGAACTGGGTCTCCGACGTCCACCGCCGCTCTCTCACCAAGCGTGACACCGCCGGTGTTGAGGAGAAGTTCAACATCAGCAATTGGAACGCCTACTCTGGCGAGTTCGACGAGGCTACCATTGAGGAGATCAAGGCCAGCCCCGAGGTACGCCGTCTTCCCAAAAATCTGCTCACGAGAACAACACAGCTAACAAAATCCCAACAGGTCGCTCTTGTTGAGCCTGACTACTACATGTACCTCTCCTACACCGTCGATGAGGTCAACCCCAAGCGTGCCCTGACCACCCAGTCCGGTGCTCCCTGGGGTCTCGGTACCATCTCCCACAAGACCTCTGGTTCCACCCAGTACATCTACGACACCTCTGCTGGTGCCAACACCTACGCCTACGTCGTCGACTCTGGCGTCATTGCCACCCACTCCCAGTTCGGCAACCGTGTCACTCTCGGCCACAACGTCTTCTCCGGCGCCCACACCGACACTCTCGGCCACGGTACCCACGTTGCCGGCACCATCGGTGGCTCCACCTACGGTGTTGCCAAGCAGGTGAGTTGAAAGAGCCTCAAAGTCCACCATTCGGTCAGCCGGGTTCACCACCCGTTGCCGCCGTCTGAGGAGACATCCTCCAGTCTCTCTTTCGAAGCATATCAACTAACTCTGGCTGTCTAGACCAACATCATCTCCGTCAAGGTCTTCCAGGGCCGTGAGGGTACCACCTCTTCCATCCTTTCCGGCTTCAACTGGGCTGTGAACGACATCGTCTCCAAGTCCCGTGCCGGCCGCTCCGTCGTCAACCTGTCCCTCGGTGGCCCCGCCTCCACCACCTGGACCAACGCCATCCAGGCCGCCTACACCCAGGGCGTCCTCTCCGTCGTTGCCGCCGGCAACGGTGACGACTTCGGCAACCCCCTCCCCGTCTCCAGCCAGTCCCCCGCCAACGCCCCCAACGCCCTGACCGTCGCCGCCATCGACTCCGCCTGGCGCCCTGCCTCCTTCACCAACTACGGTGCTGGCGTCGACATCTTCGGACCCGGTGTCTCCATCCTCTCCGCCTACATCGGCGGCAACTCCGCCACCGCCTCCCTCAGCGGTACCTCCATGGCTGCCCCCCACCTTGCTGGTCTGGCCGTCTACCTCCAGGCTCTCGAGGGTCTCTCCACCCCCGCTGCCGTCACCAACCGCATCAAGGCCCTCGGCACCTCCGGCCGCATCACCGGCACCCTCCGTGGAAGCCCCAACCTGGTTTCCTACAACGGCAACGGCGCCTAAATTCGCTCATCTCAGCGGATTGCCTAAACAGTATTAAGAGGAGGATATGCAGCATTTGGTTGCTTGCTTTACGGATGCGAGACGCAGTTCTCGCGACATTTCCTTCTCCGTAGATGTTGATTTAGATGGGTTGTGGAGGGGTTGAGGATGATGATGATGGATATGACTCAAAGATAAAACTTGGAGTAGCTAAATATACCCTCTTTGGAGGATTTAACGCTCAAAAATGACCTGAATGTTTGCTGGTGATTCGACGATTATTCCTATTGAGACTTGTGTCTTTAGAAGTTAAGGAGCTTGCTCTTGCAAGGACCATATGAGGTCGCGACTGTTTCAAGTGAAATGACTGCAACAATGCGAACATGTAGCAGTGGATGTACTAGAAGCATTATATTGGACCCTTGAATTTTTGAACGTAGCCAAGTGCACTGCTAACGGGTGACTCCGGCTGTTTTAAATGCCCAATGAAACGCTGTGAATCATTTGATCGGCCTGAAGGTTTTAACCGTCAGCAAGCAAGAGTTAAAATGTAGGAGTAACCCCTTGGAATCGGGTTGAAAGTACGTCGAATGATAAGAGATCTAGACATAAAAATCCATGTTGGCAGTTTTGCTCTGCGTAGAAACAGCAGGCTTGTACCAACTTGGAAGAGGACGATGGGCGGGCTTGACAACGGACCTTTGAACTGCTAACCAATGTTCAGCTCATCAAGACGGCAACCGCTCAGGTAGCATGATTGGATGACTAAGAGAATGCGCTCAGCAAGAAAACCTTCCCGGATAGCAGTTACTTGTCGTATTTCGTGACAGATGGGCATTTTCTAGTTTGTTATCATTCCAATCGTTTCTCGTACTACCTTATATCACCCCTTCATGCGTGCATCGTCAAGTTGAAAGCATCTTACTCCGTTTACTTGTCAAAGAAATAAACTTCTATTCTTGATTATGTACTTTCCATTGTATGATGAATGAAATCTATGCAAAACCGGCTGGATTACTCCAGTCTCATGTAGCCTAGGAAAAGTTGCCTAGACTAATCCAGTTTTCTTCCCTTGTCCTAAAATACGTGATCTGTGATCTTGACTGATTTGAATCCCTTGGATTCTCAAAGCGTCCGCTGCGAAACAACCATTGGCCCTGTCAGTTTCTACTCTCTTCTCGCAACTCTCATGGACAAATAATTTCGATCGTCCTCCAACAGAAAGCTGTAACTTGTCCAAATGTTTCCGTAGCTCCTTGGCACTTCCTTTGTAGGATGCGGACGGATTCACTGATCCAAGTTCAATTCGTATGTTGAAAAAGCCCTTGACGAGGGAGCCTAGAAGTAAGAGGTCGCAGTCGGTATGGACATCTTCAGGAAAAGTGACTGCGCCATGCTTGCAACGAGCCCACAGTTTGAGAGACTCATAGATGGTGTGATACGGCTTCATTTCGGTATCAATCAACTTGTTGCGAAGTTCTACAATCTGATCTGCATCGAAAAGCGTTAAAACAAGCACAGTAGATCAATTGGTATGGAACTGATACTCACCTATGATACTCGTCGGAAGGCACTCACCCAGGGCCTCGTAGAGATCCTTCTTGATCACAACTCTTCTCCCAGTAAATATGCGGGAGCTCACCGAGAAGTCATATAGTATCTTTCCGTCCAAAGAAACAGTACACTCATTGGCAATTTTTAGAGCCATACGCTTGACAAGGGCGAGGTCGCCAAGCTCCCATCCGATGTACAGCAGATAACCGTCATTGCTGTCGCTTTCAGGTATGTTGGACCAGGTACTGGCCCATGGGCGGAAGATATCGATGCAGTCGTACTTATCCGCAAGGACAATGGTCTCGAAAAGATCGAAAGAGGATGCCGTGCGTGGAACATTTTTGAAGCTTCCATGCATTATATGTAGAAGGCACTTTAGCGGATCTGGCTTATCGTCAGGTAGCTCAACCGTCCAATCAGTCTTGTCAGCATGAGAAGCCCGAGACTCTGCGAAATTTCCAAATAACATTTTCTTGAAGACTGGAGATGCCCGTGCAAGGGTCCTAGAACAGACGATAAAAGTTGAGGGCTTCCCGTCGTAGTTTGCGCCGGCGTGAAGGTGTAAATCTCCCAGTTCATCGAACATTACTGGTAAACATGTTCCTATGCCTTTCACCTCTATTCGATCGAGATTTCTCAGGATGGCCGACTCATCGTCGCCATTAGTAGATTTGCTACCCAGAATTGGCATCGAAGTCGTTTTTCCTGTCATCTTGATTGCAATCTCGTCGTTGACAGGCCAATGTATAGATTGAAGACAGTCCTCAGTTAAAGCGAGGGGCTTTAGGTAGCTTAGGCAAGGGAACGTTATGAAATATTGGCCTTGGTAAGACACAAGAAGGAAGTGAGGATGGAAAGCGCGGGGACGACCGGGCGGCAAAGTGAGGGGGATTTGTTTTCACGGAAGGGCGACAGGACCAACAGGAAACAAGGGTAGGGAGTTCCAACAGCACCAACACAACAAAGAGGCCCCTTAATCTCATTTCACGCCGATTAGTAATGCTGTTCGAAATAGGAAGCTCATAAATGCCCCGTTAGTGAATGAAAAAATATGTGTGGTAGGTGTTTGGAGGGCTCGGCCACATTCCAGTCCCGCTCCAATATTGTAAGGTTGGTAATTCTATTGCCCCCAATAACAGTTTCTTCTAGAGTCAACAGAATCAAAACGAGAATTGCTTTGACTTGAGTGAGAAATAGTAAAATTAATCAGCATGTTACCTCTTTGCGGTCATTTTTCCAACTTGAGGTGACATTTCGAAACCGCTACTCGATGACTACAAATCTTCAATACAACACTATTGATTCTACGTAGAAATATTGACCTTTCTGTGCGAAACCACATGGTTTTTGTAACCAAAGTACATATTCTTCAATTGAGCATGAAGTGTCAAAGCACACTGTCATCATATTTGTTTCACAACGCAGTTGTAGAAACTACTAGTAGGCTCGGATCTATGATTTATGAAAATTTCACTTCCGCGACTATAAATCGGCCAGACATAGTTTCAGAGTGACCTAAAAGGCAACATCAGCGAATGGTAATCTAATGTGAACTCAAGATAAGTGTCTGTCAATAAGAGAGCAAACATATGATGCCCATGATGAGTGACTTAAAGACATGTTTTTATATCATAATAAGAGACTTCTCGATTGATGCCAGGAGTACTTTACTCCAAAAGGCTCTCCCATGGCTCAAACCTTTCGAAGTAAGTATAGCTTCAAAGGTACTTAAAGCACGCGATGATTATCTAGTATGGGTTGAACTAATAATTGGACAAATATTCAACTCATGTACAGGCTCCTAAAGAGCATTTGGTCTATCTAGCACCGAGGTGAACCAGTGTCACTGCTCAGATATTCCAAGCCGTCTTAGACATCTAGGCTTCGGAATGACGTCCTGGCTTTCATTATTGCCCAACAAACTCCGTATCTAAATTCTTTTATGTATTCTAAAGAATAAGCAGCCTCGTTATAGCTTGGGCAATGCAATTTTAGTTGCTTGGTTCGTCAAATACTCGTTATGTTTAGACTGCACCAAATTCATATTGCCTCTAATAGCCGCCGAAAGCCACAAGCGCCAGAGCAGGCCATAGCAGGCCTTACCTATAGTATGCAAAGTATAGACCTACCTAGTATGACTTTGAGCAATTTAGTATTACTAAAGAATATGCGACTGATTTCCGACTATTCCACAGTTGATAAAACATCGATATAAGTGTAAACCTAACATAACACCATGCGTCTAGCATACTATTTCTCATGACATTCAGCTTACTACTTATAAAAAGTAATCATCCACTTCCTAAAAACACTAATAATAGGGCTAGTAAAGGTAGGCATGTAAAGTAGGTCCCAAAGTTTCAGAATGCAAATGAAATACACCAAGGGGAATTAAACCCCTAGCTCCCCAACGCTGCTTGATGGCAATGGATAAATCTACCACTAAACCATCTGTGCTTTTGATGCATGCATATACTAGTACGTTTGTAGTTCATGATCTCTGGTTTCATCCAATCCCAACGCTGCAGAGTAAGACGGGGAACCTTTCTGGACATATGACCTTTGCCTCTCGTTTGCCTCCCGTAGAAGCACTGCTTTCAATAGAGAAGCCATCGGAAAAAAAGCCTCCTGTCGCCGTATAGCAACTGAGTTTGTGTATCTATGGCAATGCCCAACACCAGGGATATGAAGAAATTCGCAGTCCTTCTGTGCGATATTCAAAGCCTTGACTCGCTCCAATTCAATTCATTCGGTGACGGAGCGGCGTGTGATAAAGAGGAGTAAGAAGCCGAATTTTTAGATTCAAAAGTTGAACAAGATGAAGTCGCTCAAAAGCAGAGGATGAAGGTCCTTCCACTACAAATGGTCTTCCAAAAACGGAAAACTCGGATAGTACATACGAGGACGACAGCAATCGTAGAACAGGTCTACATGGGCCAGGCAGACTTTTAGGTGGAGGTGGACTAAGTGCTCCTGAGGGTGTAAGTTCAGGTCCTTCTTCAAGTCCATCAAAAGCTATGATGTATAATGCGGTAGTAATAAGTTCAAATACTCTCGGAAGTCGTTGAGGTTATGTATTTATGCTAGAATCAACTACTTCTATGAATATTTGAATTCATAAGACAAGGTATTATAAATTTCTTTAGAACATTTCAAAAGAAATGACTAAATCCTTCATACGTTTAGTTAGGCGCAAATATCATAGAATAATGAATGTTTAGAATGTTGATTCAAGGTAGTGGTTAATATCTATTATTAATATTTAAAATATTAACTTGAGGTAAGAGCTGATGTTTACTATCAAGTTGATTGACACAGGATCAACATTGTCGTCCAGTTCCTCCCGACTTCATCCATCCGCAAACCCAGCACTCAGTGGCACCAAGTGACGAAGTAAGTATGTTTTAAGAATTAATATATACAGCAATGGCATATCCAGGTAGAGGCGACCGCCGCTTAAACGCCAACACACACGTAAGTCTTGGCCCACATGTTCTGACAGCTTGAACCGACGCCTGTGTTCCACTTGACGAAGTTCGCGAGAGTGATCTTCTGGTAGCTGATGATTTGACCACAAGTGTTACCCTCGGATACGTAATGGAATTTCTTGCAGTTTGTGACCATTCCAGGCTGCGTAGGCTGGGGTGTCTGGACGCCGTTGCCAGCAGTTGTGGTAGTGGTTGGCTTGGTCGTAGTTGTAGGTGTACTTCCTCCGATCACACCAACACAGACGTTGACGTTAGCCCACATGCCGGTGCAGTCGTTGCCAACAGTGGGATTCCACTTGACAAAGTCAGCAAGGCTGATCTTCTGGTAGCTGATGACCTGGTTGCAGTTGACTCCCTGGGCGATCCAGTGGAACTTGTTACAGTTGGTCACCATTCCAGGTTGGGTGGGCTGGGGCGTCTGGACACCATTTCCCGCCGGCGCTGTAGTTGTAACTGGCGGCTTAGTTGTGGTTGAAGGGGCAGAACCTCCGATAACGCCGACACAGACGTTGACTTCCGCCCACATGCCACTACAGTCGTTGCCAACAGTGGGATTCCACTTGACGAAGTCAGCGAGGCTGATCTTCTGGTAGCTGATGACCTGGCTACAGCTGACTCCCTGAGCAATCCAGTGGAACTTGTTACAGTTGGTCACCATTCCAGGTTGGGTGGGCTGGGGCGTCTGAACACCGTTACCCGCGGCTGTGGTAGTAGTGGTCAATGGTTTCGAAGTGGTTGTTGGTGCAGAGCCTCCGATGACACCGACGCAAACATTGACTTCAGCCCACATACCAGTGCATTCAATACCAACAGCGGGATTCCATTTGGCGAAATCAGCGAGAGAGATCTGCTGGGAGCTGAGGACCTGACTGCAGCTGACACCCTGATCAACCCAGTAAAACTTGTTGCAGTTGGTCACCATGCCAGGTTGGATAGGCTGCGGAGTAGCAATACCATTGCCGGGGGCGGTGGTTGTGGTGGCTGCTCTGGTGGTGGTTGTGAGCGTCGTAGGCGAACCAGGAGCCCCCGTGGGAGGCTGGGGCTCAGGTTCAGGCTCCGCACCCCAGTTCTGCTCGATACAGTACGAGTTTCCGGTGATGAAGGTACAGGATGAAGACAGAATGGGGTTCTAGTAGAGGCAGGCCGAGTGTAAGTGGATGTGCAACAATTGTAGGGGTCGTCGAAGAGGGAACTCACGTATCGAACGAGCTGCGCCTGGGTAATGCCGTATGTGGCTGTTACTCTGTCGCAGGTATCAGAAGCGCCGGCGACGAACCACCAGGTACAGTCCTTGATCGTACTCGGGTCTGCTGTGGATGGCGGAGGCTCAGTAAACTGAGCGGCGCCAAGGCACAGGAACTGCGCGAGAAGAGCGGACTGGAGTGTAACCTTCATCTTGAACGAAAGGAGTAGCTCTTCTCTGTGCTGCAGGCTCGAAGATCTGGACTGCTTGTCGCGCTGATGGTAAAAGGACAGTTAGGGGAGGCGAAGCTGAGATATTAATACACAACTTCACTCAAATGAGTTGAATCGTTTTGAAGCCAAGTTCCAAGTCGTGGAAATCCATCGGATGTCGGATACCCTTGCACGGGTGGCGAAAAGGATTTCTGTAAGACTTCGCCGAACCTTGTTCAACGCCTGAAGCTACAGGATCGCAATCTCCGTGTTTTCTGCTGCCTTGGCTGGGAATCTGCGTTTTCCTCCGGCACCGTTGTACTTAGGACTCTTGGTATCGATAGCTCACCTGATCTCACGCCCAGCATGCTTAAACTGGCGGCAACCGTGGTCCCCTGAAGGCTGACCTGCAACTTCGAGGCACAACTAGTGCCGCCAAGCCAGATCTTTCAAGCAGGGGTATGGGGATTTATCTCGGTTGCACTAGGCTCTTCTCGCCAAGAAACAGGGATGTACACATGAAGCTAGCGGGAGAGGCGTTGAGTGGAAGGATTTCTGCAACTCGTAGAATATCGCGCAGTGGGCTAGCCGCATGCCAGCCCCCAACGTGTGGAGCTCATAGCAGGATAGCAGAGGGGCAAAGGAGCAGTTATGATGAACCAGGTGGAGTTATGTGCGCAGCAGTCAACATCACAGAATTGTTACGGCGGGCATTTCCATCACTGAGCGCACAGAAGGCTTTCAACAGGATTCAGACCAAGAACGATGTTATTAGACAAGTACATAGAAGTAAAGTGGATAGCTAATGAGCGTGGCGGAAAGTACACTGAACTACTATTGTTTGAACACTCAAAGTCCATCAGAAAGCCGACAGATGGAACATCCCAATGGCATGACTCTCCTTATAATAAAGTATGCGAGGCTTGGGTCCAAGGTCTTCGTCAAAGAGCTTCGTCAAAGCCCCGGACGGGAAGGAGACAGTACCACAAGCCAACGCGAAGATACTGTGAGCATCTCTCTGCGTTGCGCAACGATGGGTTCGCCTTCAAAAAAAGATTGATAGGCACGGCATTACCAGCGATGATTGTCGAACAGGTCGCACCCTCCTCGACCTGGACATAGGAACCACACAGTTCCGTTGTGCCCTGAGCAACAGTGCCTGTAGAGGGAGGCTTAACCACAGTGTCGGCGTAACCGTCACCAGAACCACCAGGTCCTCCCACGTTTCCATTGCCAACATCAGTGCCGTCGCCGTTGCCGGCGCTACCGTTAGGAACACCACCGGGAGCGCTGACGCAAATGACGTTGCCCCAGTATGGCGGCGAGGAAGGGGAAGACCAAACGTTGGAGCAACGGTCGTCCAAACCAGAGTTCCACTTGATGATGTTCTGCCATGAGGTCGCCTGGTCTACGCCAATGACTACGCAGTCATCCTTTTCTTGTACCTCGTACGTGGCCTCGCAAGTAAGAGGCATGCAGAGCTCCAAGCCGGTCTCAGGATTTTCGCAGTCGCGTAGGGATGGGTTAATGTAATAAAGAGTCGCGGCAGACTGCAGGAAACCCCCGGTTAGCATGATCTTACTCCTTGCAACCGCGTGTCGAGCGCCCAAAGTTCACTTACGATAGATTTCGCCTTCGCAATGCTGTTACACGTGTCGTCAGCCTGAACGGTATACTTGACGCCTGTAACACAGGAGTCTGGCTCAGTGCCGTTAGGAGTTATGACAGGCAGCTGAGGTTCCGTCGGCGTTGTCGCCCCTCCGCAATCTGGCAGTCTCTAGGTCAGCGACCAGTGAACTGGTGAGCTTTATGTGTGAAACACTTACTCTCGTTGATATACAGGAGCCTTTCAGCGTGTAAGCTGTCGTACGCCGAATAAGGCGACCTCTGCATGAGCCTAAGCTTTTCGCCGAAGCAGAAAGAGCAAACTTGGGCTTGAGGCATGTCGGCGAGTTCGTCGACATCCTCAAAGGCTTCAATTTTGGCTGGTGGCATGTCATATCAGCGAAAGCTCCAGCATGAAACATTCTTCGCACTCACCATTGCAGTATGCACCGTCGGTGTCCTTCAAGCATGTCTCATTCCACCCAGAAGTGATTGAGTCAATCAGGGAAAGCACCGGATAGCCTTGGAACAGCTCAGGAGTCGAGGCGCAAGACCCTACAATTCGTCTGCGGGCCGTGGACAAAGCCGTCCCACAGGTTGCAGAGCAAATGTTGTCGGTGAAAGCCTTATCCCCAGGCGATCCATGGTAAACCTTCTGCCCGAGGTTGCGGACATAGGAGTCACAGTTGATGGTTTGATAGAGGACTTGTTCGCAAGCGGAGGCGAGTCCAAAGCCGGCGAACGTTCCTTGGGCGGCGAGCTGGAAACCAGTGGCAGTCTGTCTGGGCGAGAGTAACTCAACTGGAGGAACTCTGGCTTCGACGATAAAGGAACCGAAAGATGACGCGAAGAGGGCGCTCGCGAGGAGACGTAAGTTCAACGAAGACATGATGTCCCACTGAGATTCAAAGGAGTGACTGTGGTGATAGAGACTGGAATGGAAAAAAATGAGAGACGAGAAAATCAGTAACCTCCAACTTTGATCACAGCCAAAGCAAACATCTACTGTTCATACAGGAAGAGGACCTGGCGGATGATACCACCAGACACTGCTGTTGGACCCCACTCGATCTAGTATCCGTTGCAGCGACAATATTAACGAACTTTTCATGCCTGTCATTCCATACACATGCCAGTTAGTGCGCCTTCGAAGCTAATGAAGTGCCATCGCGCCGCTCTTGGCAAATGAAACTACTGCAATCTAGCTGAGAAGGATTCAGCGATTATAGGGAAGTCCGGATGCAGCAGGTCGGTTCGGAAGCCTCGATGAAACCGAGAAATGTGCCTGCTTGGCGACGTAACCAAGGCCGATGCAAAAGATGTTTGGTAGCCTGGATCTCTTGGATTCTGTAATTATGTGCCGTGCGGGTGGCGGAAGTCGGCCGGTAGAAGTGGACCTGGTCCGGGTTTGTCTGCATGCTAATTGGCTATCCCATTTAGACCGGTCCGGGCCGCGCTAACGGTGGATATCAACAGGGGCCGTAAGAATTAAGCCTGATTCAACGTTGTACTCAGCTCCGCAAATCGCTGACATGGTGCTTTGCACACTAGGATCGGTATCCATGCCTAGTTATCTTGTGATATTGTAACTACTACTGCACACCCCTAGGATAGAATCCAATTTAAGACGGAGAAAATGCCGAATTGCCAACCAAATGCCGTAAGAACCTCACAAGTTAAAGCGTGGTAGGCCTAGGGCTTACTCGGGCCAAGCTTCAAACCATGTCCGCTCAGGGTGATTTCGAGTTGCATGTGAGCCATGGTAAATCCAACAAGGCTTTCGGAGCCTCTACTTGCCAACTTACTATCCTTGACAGAGTGATTTGTACCTGCATATGGCCCTGAAAGGGGCAATCATGAAGCGAGCAGAATCTAGACGCCAGGCTACTATAGGCTTATGGCTTGGCAGCTCTTGGCAGTCGTCCCTGATTTCTGAATGAGAGTCTCCTAATGTCATGAAGAGTCCACCAAGCTAGAATGCCCACTTCAGAATAAACATCTAAAGCCGTGTTGTTGCGCAACGCAGGCCAGCCGCATTTTGAGCTTTATCCATTACTGACACTTCTGTCGTTCTTTCTTGGCTCCCTCATTATGGCCAAATTCTTACTATTTCTTTTTTCTTTTGTCTCTCTTTTACAACTGTCTCTTCAGCAAGGCCCAGAATGTAGCGCGACGCAACTTTGTCCCATCGGATGCTGTTCCAAGTCCGGATATTGTGGCACTGGACCTGACTTCTGCGGGTGAGTGATAGCAACAGCCGGAAAACACTGGCAAGAAGACAATGTCATGTGTGACTATTGGGGACAAAACTAATTTGTTGTTGACTTAGTACCGGGTGTCTAAGTACTTGCGACTTCAAGGCCGACTGCAACCCAGGATGGGACAGTTCAAAATGGAGCAAGGCTGAGACATGCCCTCTCAATGTCTGCTGCAGCAAGTTTGGATTCTGTGGCACGACGAAGGACTTCTGCGGTGACAAAACTGTCAAGGTTAGTATATATCACATCCGCTGATGGTCTCTTGACAAACCCCCAGCACGAAAATGGGAACGCCTTACTGACAACTGTTTGTTTGTCTTTTAGCGGCCATCATGCAACGTCGGCGATACTCCCATCACTCGTGTGATTGGCTACTACGAGGCTTGGTCTACAACGAACCGCCCCTGCTACGGCATGCTGCCTGAGGAGGTTCCATTTGGATACTACACCGACATCATCTTTTCCTTCGCCACAATCGACCCAAAAACCTTTGAGATACAGGCCGGCGATTCTAAGACAGCGCAGTTCATGCAGCGGATTAACGCCATCAAGCTCATCCAGCCAGACATCAAGATCTGGATTGCGGTGGGCGGATGGGCCTTTAACGATCCCGGTCCGACGCAGACCACCTTTAGTGACATGGCTGCTTCAACTTCTGCCACTAAAAGTTTCATCGACTCTCTGATCAAGATGATGAACAAGTACGACTTTGACGGTATCGACGTTGATTGGTAAGTTAACTTCAAGGACCTTCTTCTTAGCATGACAGCGAAAGAGTGCTGACCGATGTTGATGAAACAGGGAATATCCAGTTGCTGAAGACCGTTTCGGTAAAGGCGCAGACTTCAAGAACTTCGTGACCTTCATGAAGACGCTCGCTGAAAGGATGCGTGGGGGTGACCAAAAGAAGGCCGTGTCACTCACGCTCCCATCCAGCTTTTGGTACCTGCAACACTTTGATATCAAGAACCTCGAAAAGCACGTCGACTGGTTCAACATCATGAGCTACGACATTCACGGGTCCTGGGACATTGACAACAAGTGGACCGGCCCCTACGCCAACTCCCACACCAACATGACGGAGATCCAAGACGCGCTTGACCTGCTTTGGCGCAACGACATCAAGCCCGAGAAGGTCACCTTTGGAATGTCCTTTTACAGCCGAAGCTTCACGCTCCAAAATGCAGGCTGCAACACTCCCGGTTGCGTTGTAAGCTCCGGTGGAAACGCGGGCGAGTGCTCGGGCACGACCGGTGTGCTGCTACACCCCGAGATTGCGGACATTGTTAGCAAGCAAAAACTCACGCCCACGCTTCATCGCGATGCCGCCGTCAAATCCGTGACATGGGGCGACCAGTGGACGACTTTCGACGACTTGGCCACGTGGAGGCTTAAAGCAAACGTAATACGCGGCCAGTGTATCCCGGGAGTCATGGTCTGGGCCATGAGCCAGGACGACAAGGACGGAACCAACATCAAGGCCCTCACGTCCGCAGTCGGCCGCAAACAAATGGACCCGCCAAAGTTCGTTCCCGCCCTGCCCTCAACACAAGAGCCGCCCAAGGTCGCCGAGCTGTGCCGGTGGTCGGGCTGTTACCAGGACTGTCCGGCCGGCTTCAAGACGGTGCAGCGCGAAGGCCACAAGGAGATCATGCTCAACAGCGAGAACTGTCTCGCCGGCGGCATGGACAAGTTGTGCTGCCCTTCCGACCAGCCGATGCCCACCTGTCAATGGCGCGGCCACAGGAACAGCGGTGTTTGCAAGCCCGGGTGCAATGAGGGCGAGGTCAAGGTCGGCTCGTTGCGCGTTGGCTGCAACTTCTCGCACCAGGCCGCGTGCTGCACCAGCGAAGCTTCCACCTCCGCCTACGGGTCGTGCAAGTGGGTTGGAGAGGCGCCGACGTGCAACCAGGATTGTCCCAGCGACTACCCGAACAAGATCTTCTCGTCAAAGCTGGCAGCTGGAGGCGAGCAGCCGTGTATATCCGGGACGAAGCACTATTGCTGTCAGGAACCCAAGCCGGCGGCGTTTTCCAAGTGCGATTGGCACAAGAAGGGGAGCCCGCCCAGGTTCGAACAGGAGTTCATCTGCGAGGACAGCTGCCCCAGCGGCCAAATCAAGCTGGCCACCGAGGTTGGCGGCATGTATGCCGACAACGGCTGCTTTGGCGGTGCCAGGGCGTACTGCTGCGAGCCTCCCAAGCCCATCGTTCCCCGCGGTGACGACGATCCCTTTGGAGGAAAGCAGAACAAGGAGTTCCAGCTGCTCCTCGAGAAGTACATGGAGAACCCGACGTGCCCGGCCACGATTCTGCGCCCGAAACTGGGCGACATGTTCACCAACGTGAAACGTTCTCTCGAGTTCGAGGCCTCTCAGGCCCGGACCTTGCAAGGCAGAGCCACGAACTGCGAGATGGATCGTTATGTGAGGATGATCGAGTTTGCCGTCATTCTGCTCACCAAGTCAGAAGATTTGATTGGGTCTTTGCAACCTGTTTACGATGAAATCTTTGCCGGAGCCTTCGATGAGGATATCACAGCGGAGAAGCTCCGGGAGCACTACAAACGCAACCCTGACCTCGACCCCAACGCTTTCATGCAATATGTTTTCCTCAACCCCAAGGCTGCCGGCCCGGGACTTAGACGGGGCGCGCGGGCGTCTGAGCTGTTTTGCTGGCTACCAACTACGAGCAAACGCGATGAGAACGCATTGTCGGAGATCCCCCGCCATGTAAGTGAAGATGATTTGATCGTCTTGTCCCTCACATGACTTATTTTGACACTCGGCTGACTTCGTATGTGTCATTATTTAGCCTTCCGCCGTTGCTAAACGATGGGTTTGGTGGTTGCCCAACGATGAGAACGGCACCCCCGACATTTCCCTCATCCTGGGCGGCATTTTGGATGGCGACCTGAGCCTGCACTATGCGCGCTGGCAGAACCTCCCGAACCAGAATGGCCCAATGCTCGAGCTGGCTTACTGGATCGGACGGACTCCCGGCGTGGCCGGAGGTAACGACATGTACCGAGATCCCTACATGGCGAATGGCGGCCCTGAAGACCGCTGGGTCGTGTTCCACATGCACATTGACGAGGGAACGCAGTGGCTGAGGACCATCAACGGGCGCACCCACGTCGGGGTCCGATCGGTCCAGGTCTTCCACGGTTACGAGTCCAACGTCCGGGGCGATACGGCATGGCGAGTGGAGAATACGGACGGAGAACGGAACAGTCGAGATGGTTTCACCTGTGAAGAGGACGATGCCGTGTGGTACCCCGGAGCCGCCGTTCAACTCCCCACCGGCACCGGGACAGAAACGGACAATGTCTTCTTGGACCGATTCCAACGTTGGGGCCAGCGGCTGTTTAATGACGGCTACATGGGCTCCCGCGCGCTGGAGCTCCTATTGAGTGTAAGTGACGATCTGAAGTTCATTTGTTTACTATGCTTGCGGGCCTCGACCGTTTACTGTTTCCTTGACTTTTGCTGACGCTGAGCTTCCACAGGGCTTCGCAACAATGCCCAATGGAGATATCGATCCCGCCATCCCGGGGAGAGTCCAGTGGAGAGGAGTACCGCATCCAGCATGGGGCCAGGAAATGTACGCCGTCAACTTCCTGATCCAAGCGGCTGGTTTCTTCTTTGGTATACGGGAACCCTGAGTATTGCAAGTTTGGAGTAGGCTGCAATGCTACGAATTTTGTTGATAACTGAACAACTTCGGCCGTGGGGTTGAGACCTTAGTTGTCGTTTTAGTAATTGAACGAGAATAATAGTTTATGGTGTGGTAGTAGATACTGGGTAACTGTCGCACGAATAATGCACATATTGCTACTTCCAGGCTTCTTCAAAGCAGCCGTTGCTCTCATTTGGTTGACAAAGCTCTTCCGTGCCTCGATGATTCATTCCAACTGCGTAATTCCTGGTTTGAAAGTAGATTCGCTTCTAAAGTGCTATGAGTATATACTTCTTTCACGGAGATTCTGGTGTTACGTCTTCACTAGCTAGTTGCCTCCACCACTGGTTGAGTCCAGATGCGCCCTGATCAGCTCAAAGATATCCATCGCATTGCTTCGCATTGCCCACATTAGCGGTGTGGTATCGGTGCTCATGCCGTCCTGATCCTGTGTAGATATGGCGAGGTCCTCAACGAACTTCTGCATGCGGAACCCCCACGCATCCAGTAGCTGGTTTGGGCCAAGAGATGGCCTCTGGATAACTATCGATTCAGTATCAACGGGCGCGCCACGCGAGATGAGCTCTTGAACAAGTGGCGGGGCAGCCGCTTTCCTAGCCTCTTGGTCCTGGGCTGAGAAAGGGGTAGGCCACGTTGCCAATGCGTGAAGCGGGGTCCATCCTTCGGCCGTCACGACTTGGGCATTGGCGCCCCTTTGAAGGAGGGTGTTTGCCAGGCGGTACAAACTCTGTTCCCTCTTCGTATTTGTCCGGGATAGAGCGCAGAGCAATGGCGTCCAGCCGTTGCTGGTGGCGGAATTGACGTCCAAACCACTAGTAAGCAGGAAGTCGACTACGTCTTCTCGCCCTCCGGCCGCGGCGTAATGAAGAAGTGATTCGCCATGCTGGGTTACCGACCGAATGGCGGTGTCTGGATCGTCAGAGTACGAGACACACAGATTTAACTGCTCAATGGTACCGTTTTGTGCGACGCGGTGCAATAGTGTCTCTCCAGCTTCGCCCGTCATCTCGAGCGATGCGCCGTGCTGCAAAAGGACCCGTACCGCGTCAGTCGAAATGGGCGGTCTGCTTACCAGACACTGAAGGGCGCTCCGGCCGTGAGAGTCTTGAGCATTGGCATTTCCTCCCTTCTCCAAAAGCCCTCTCATGGCGCCAATGCAACCGACTGATAGGGAGGCCGTGTGGATTAGAGGCTGGTTGGATAGACGACCGTTCGTTATGTCTGGGTTGGCACCAGCATCGATGAGTCGATGAACTATGCGCTGTTGATACACGTAGTCCTCGTCTTTAGGAGATGGCTTCCTAGGATCCTCAGGCAGAATCAACTTCCGTCTAACCACCGCTTCAAGAGCGCCTTGGACGACATCAGGAGCGTAATCAACCTTGGCTAACAACAAGGCCACAACATCATCACACCATGACGACGAAGCGTCAGATAACGCCCGGCGTTTCTCGTCGTCAGTCCAGCCGTTCCATACATCGAGGAAGTAGGCTACCAATTCCACGTGGCCATTTCGAGCAGCCACCTGAAGACAGGAGAGATTGGGTCTTTTGCTGGGGTAGAAGCGTGCGTCGGGACCGACTAGTCGCCAAAACAGACTGGCGATCTCGAGTCTACCATACTGCGAAGCAACCAAGAGTGGTGTAAAACCGGGATCACCCGTCTGCTGCACCTTTGGGTCTCCGCCAGCATCAAGTATCATCCGAACTGCAGTCTCGTCATTTCGAAATATGGCTTCGTGTAGGGCCTCGCCGATGTGGTGGCTTGGGTCGATTGCAGGACTCCAATGTTGTAAAACCTGCGCCAAGTAATCCCTATCTCCGTTTTTGAGGTAAGATTGCACCACTTCGAAAAAGTGTGGCATTTGAGGTGTTGATGCACTCATTGTGTTGAAGTTGTCGGTGAGAGGAAGTTTGTGGGATGGTGTTGAAGTGGTGATTTCTGTCCAAGGTTGCTAGAAGAAATAGATGAATTAATGGCGGTAGGTAGTCCGTAAAGTGACGTGCATAGACGTTGATCCCCTAAACCAGTGCTCGCTTTAGTAGGTACCTTACCTAAACCAAGAACCGAGGGCAGCAAGCAGTTGATTATCACTAAGGGTACTTCTGCTGGCGGGCCGCCCGCCACACTGGGTCAGCCGTCCACCGTGGGGCCTTGCCAGCCCCTACAGCCCCACTAGTTAGGCAGCTATTTCTGAGCGTTCTGTGCCACAACTTCACTAGCCATAAGGTAACTAAAGTCCTAGATACCAAGGTGCAGACTACATTATGTGGGTATATGACTACGCAATCTTTCGTCAATACCTACTAGGTATACATACGTACTGTTAAGCGGCCTCATTACTGAGTCGAGATGGAATCACATGTGGAAACTCTAGCTGAACCCCAGCCAGTTGCAGAGCCTGGGCGTTGCCGGAACCCGACCAAGAGACTGGCTGTTCCCGTAATGGTAATCGCTCAAGAAGATTAACAACGGGATAAAACTCGGGAGGCGGCTGTAGAAGCTCGACCATAAGGGTCAGTTGGCTGGAGGTCCGAGGTGCAAACTTTCGGCTGAACAACAGGCAGTTATATAGAACCTGTGGTTGAAGCAACAGTAGAAGCTCTAGAGGAACCCAAGGCAATCGGATCAACATCTTTGTTATTACTTTTAAACGGGGATTGTGGAGGCTGTAGCGGAAGAGGCTGTCCCCAGAGGAAATTCTTGTTTCATCTAAGGACGAGAAGAAGAAAAGAAGAAAGAAAAGAAGCCGAAGTTGTGTTGTAGTTGTTCTAGGTCCGCTTATGCTATAGACGGCGGATGGGAAGACTGCTCTGATTGCCGTGAACTTTCTTGTGCGGTTTGTCCACACGTTGTCAATCGGCTACACCTGGTCTATAGCGGTCACCAGGCTGTCTCGGCCCATGCAAATTCGAGGATGGTATATGAAAGAATCGAGGAGGGTTTGTTCAGCTCAATCCTATTGTGACGGTAGAGGTGCAGTGAAGGGTTCTTGACGGGATATTTGGGAACAGCACCCGGCTACAGAAGCGGAACTTTGTCAACAGGAGGCCCAGCAGCCACTCGATGATCAAGTGCCCTTATCAGAGGCAATTGTTGTTCTTGATCGCGATTTTCAGAAAGGCTTACACAAACCAACTGTCCAAATAGCAATGACAAAACCGCTTATCGAACTTGAACGGCACCACGATCAAGGGAATCGGAGCTGCGATACTTTACACCTCCTCCAAAGACCCGGTAGCCCATGAAAGAATATTCTAATTAATATTTCAAAGCTCGTCAATATTGGCATTATCTTGATGAGTGGGCCTAGTTTTTTATAAATCAAGAAAATCACAGACAAAAAAGAAAACTTAGTCGGCGTGTCCTCTGCTGGTACCCTACTAAGAGATTGATCAGGCCCGCTCTTGGTTTAATTTACTACGTTTCCTTTCCACCGCATGAATTAATTCCGGCGAGAGGGGGTCGCATTCTCCTTGAAAGTTCTTGTATAACAACTAGCCTCTCAAAAGCCACGGCACCCAAGACTTGGGGCCTCAATTACGCCATGTCTCTATGATGCGCTTCATTCATGCCCTTTTGTTCTTTGGCATTCATGCCATCCTCGAATGATACTGCGTTCAGAGGCAGCGGCTCGCCATCGGTTGGTTCGAGGACTTCCAGAGGTGCCACAGGATGTACTCCTTTGTCACGTTTGTCTTCGGGAACAATGAGATCAAACCACGACGGAACCAGAAAGCCGGCAATCATGATGGGGAAAACAAGATGCATAATGCTGAAACCATATGTCCAGACTGGGTCGTACATCTTTGCTGGAAAGCCGGAGTAAGAAAAGGAAAGGACGATAGCGAGGATAGGTCCTGAGATGAACTTGAGGCAGGGCGCCCAGACGAAAGGAATGCCCCAATTCTTGCCAACGCCAACAACGGCGTTCAGGTCGCGAGTGAGTTGATAGCCCTGCGAATTTTTTAAGCTTCATTAGCATCTCTCACTCAAAAGAGTTTTCAAGGGGGTTTCGAGGGTTCTTACTGAGTAGAATCCGCACCACCAGATACGGTTCAAGAAAACGTTGCGGCCAAAGAAACCAGGCGCGGCAATCGAAGGAGTCTTTGATAGCATTACGCTGGCTACGACGGCGATGATAAAGATGCCAAAGCCGACGCCCGCGCCGATAGCAGCTTGGGTCGGATAGGCGATGCCAATCCCAAGAGCCTGGGCAAGCACCAAACCAACATTAAAAGTCAGGAAACCAATCCACCCGACCTGGCTAACAGCGTCTTTGTACCTGTAAAGTGTGGTGGCGCAAAATGCCTCACACCAAACGACAGAGAAGAGAGCGACGCCGTTAACGTAGGTATCGACGGCATCGAGAGCCTGGAGGCCGAACTCAGTACAGTAGATCAGAGAGATCAGAAAGGAGATGATGGCGACAACGGTTGCCACAACCCATCGTGGAATACGGGATCCCCATGTTGTGTCGAGGATAAGTGTAGTCATAGTTTCCAGCAGGGAGAAGGCCGATGTGAGACCTAGGAGAAAGAGGGTAAAAAAGAAGAGCACCGAGAAGAAGTTTGAGGCGGGCATCTGAGCGAGAGCCTCGGGATAAGTGTAGAAACCAGACACGAAAGTACTCAGCCTCCCACTGGTTTCAGGGTGCATGCCGAGAAAGCCGACAACTCCAAAGACGGCAAAGGCTCCAATGATTTCCACGGCGGAGTTGCTCAGGGCGATGATGAGCGCATCTTGAACGGTGTTTGAGTGTTGGGAGCAATACGATGCCCACGAGGTAAAGTAGCCGAAGCCGACACCGATGGAGAAGAAGATCTGACCAAAAGCATCGTTCCAAATTTGAGGGTCACTCAAGGCTTCGCTGCGCCAAGTGCCAAAGTACAGTTTGATGCCGCGGCCCGCGTTGGGTAGCGAGGCGGAGCGTCCAACGAGGATGATGATCATGATGAGCGGAAGGGCCATGGTGATGTAGATGACGCGGCCAGTCAAGCCGACGCCCCTGAACAAGCAGAGCCAGGTCACGAACCAGGTGAAAAATGCCCAGCCTACTGTCTCGCCCACAAGGGAGGTTCCAGGCCATGTGCTGTACTCTGCCACGGAGCCGTCGGGGTTCAGGGAGCCTCCAACAGGGCCGACGTACTGCACAATTTCATCCATGAAGAAGTCGTCATCCGGGCCCAGGTTCGACCAAGGCAAGGGGCTGTGAAAGGAGAGGCGGAAGTATTTCATCACCCAGGCGAGGAGGGGAATGTAATAGGTAACAACGGAGTACCCATTGAAAACAACAGCAAGGCCGACGCCGCGGGTGCGCCTGTTGATGTGGTTCCACGCGACGACGCAACCCGAACGGTATGCAGATCCGATGGAGATTTCCAACACCAGGACAGGGAATGCGATGAAGACTAGGGCGATAAGATACGGAACGAAAAACTGGGCGCCGTAGTTGTTATACGCAATAGACGGGAAGCGGAGCAGGTTGCCGAGACCGACAGCACCACCCATGGCACAGAGGATAAAGGTCAGACGAGACCCGAACATGTCCCGGCCATCCTCTGCTTGCTTCGCCTTGGGGGCGAGAAAGTCAAAGACTTTCCGCAATATACCCGTCATTAGACCTCGGGCGTGAGTTGAGAGCTATACGCTGCTTTGTGTGATGAGTTTTGCTGGGCTCTCTGAAAGAGAGAGTCTTGAAAGGAAGACAAATCGTGTGGTGTTGAGAATCACGGGAATCATCTCCGCAGGCGGCGAGTGGGGCTTTCTTTTATATATGCACACGACACAGACATACAGCAGAGGTTTTATGGTAGTTGGGACATGACAGCCTCAAGCTATGAGTACTTGTTCTCGCTGTTAACGATCCGGGTGTCTTATCACCTTCCAATCTAAGAAGGTGATAAGCTGTGGCTGGAATTCGAATTCTTGGTTTTCTCTCGGCGCCGCTGAAATCGACTCGTTGCCTTAAGGCATACTGCGACAGAACATGAGTAGGGTACATCAGAGTGATGATATCGCTCTCACTACATTGGCTAGCGGCTCATCACACTGCCTGTCAGAGAAAGGAAGCGAACAAGACCCCAAGGACCAGGCAGGGGGGGATGCTTGGCCAAGGAGGCCCCCCTTTCGATAGTCTGGGGAAGCAGAATTGGGTAGAGACAGACGTGCATCATCTTGGGGCGTTAGTTCTCGTCGCCTTACTGTGGATTCTGTAATGCAAATGCCACATGTATGTGAGATGGTTCGCCAGACTTGTTGCTGGGTTGGCTTGGCACATCTTGCGCGTCCTTTTCTAATGTACCCTCATTCACATCTGATGTTATGCATACGTAAGCTTAGCTTCCCAGTCATCTATCTACCACTCGGAATCCCGAAGCTACAGTTTGGCTCAGTCAACCGCTGATAAGTGCAGCACCAACCCCAGAAGTCTCGAATCCAAGAAAGCCATAGGTTGTGAGGTTTCTCGAATCACGAACCCATTTCGCGCGCTTGAACCGCGCGCTTTCGCTTCTTCAAGGGACAGTCAGCCGATCCCTCAAGACATCATTCAGAGCGTGCAACTCGACTAGCTAAAGACACCAACCATGCCAAGGTCATCCAACATCCACTACGGCTTTACGGCAAAGTCCCTTGGCGCCAAGCACACTGGAAGTCCAAATATTGGGTGAAAAAAGAAAAAAAGCAAACTGGAATCTTGTTCTAGCTTGTTCCGTGCCAGACTGACGACGGCTAACCCAAATGATACCCTGATATGTATTGGAACTGTCCGAAGTCTACGGAGCTGACAAGAAGCTGATATGCTACGGTCTGTGAGTTTAAAAGAAAAAATATCACATGGATATTCCACGTCGTGTGCAAGATTTCGATCTTAGTTACTGCGCCATGGGATCAGCGATACGACCTGAGCGCGGAGGGTGCCGGGAATATTTGCTAGCCGACGGCCATGCCGTCGCGAGCCTAGGGATTGGGCTTGGCGAACCCAAGTGGCGACATCAGCGACAGATCTGGGATACGGAAAATAAAGGGGACGTGCTAGAAAACTCAATTCGCCAAGGCTGAAATGGACTTGATGGACGTCTAACGACGCCAGGTTAGGATGTCGTGTGCGCCCTCTTCCAGGATACCAAAGGTACGATGCGCCATTATTCTCGTCAAGCCCGGAAGAATCAGGCGCCCAGATGCCCATTACTCGCTCCTCGTACGTATTGGAAGCGCGGACGCTAATAGCAATCGGGAAAACAAGCTATGCACATCATTGTTAGTAAGGCTAAGCTGGACAGCAAGATTAAATTCCGCGAGCTTCAGCGTAGAAATGCTAGTATGACGAGCAGATGCCGCCTGAAATAATGCCGACAGGATACGGGGGGTCAATTGGAAGGTCTGTAACAGCCGGATTGTCAAAGTCCAGTGCGATGATGAGTAGAACGTCGACAAAGTTCAGTATGAACACTATACCAAACAAAACCCAGGTGGGACGGCTAGGAAAGAAAAGCGTGTAACATCTCCGTGGATGGTCAAGAAGGAATTGTAAAGTCTCATTTGTCTGGGACTGTCTGGGTATCAGCTGCGACGCAGTCCAGATACAAAAGTCGGACCGGATAACAAGTATTGTCGGCAAAGACCAGAAAGGTCATGAACAACATTGGCCAAGTAGCGTCCTTGAATGTTGTCATTGAATCCGGTGTAAGGGTGAAGCCGAGGTCGTTAGCCATGGTTTGCGCAGTGTAAAGAGCCATTGACAATGCCCCTAGTTAGTTGTATGATTCATGTCGTGGCATTCAAAGCGATGAGAAATGGGTGCTACCACGAGCCATGTCCACAACTATAAGAGATCAAGTACTACCAAGACTTTCCGACCCCGGACTCAGGTCAGCTAATCGATATCTCTAGACGGCGCATTGTGAATCCACTGCAACAGGCATATGACACCAAGCAGATGTAGTCCGATAAAATAGCCTGCAAGCCAAAGTATTAGCTACGCAACAAGCAGGTGGCGTACCAATTGCAAACCTGAATAGCAGCTTCAGAGCGCGATATCCGACGCCGCGGAGGATTTCACAATTCTCCTCAGTCATGTTTCTAAACCTGGAGTTACGACCAATCGTTGCTTGTTGGCAACAGCTTAGGAAATTGAGGACCACGAGGCTGAGATGCGGGACTGACTGATGGCGACCGCCAGCTTGATTGTTGGCCGTGGGCCGAACGGCTTTCAACACGAACATTGACGTTGCAGCTTTCTCGATAGATTTAGCAGCCTTAAGGGCAGAACCATCGGAACGGCTTGCGTTTGTACGATGAACCGGTTCGATGGGATCTGGGTCAAGACAAAGAACGTCAGCACCGCCGCTGAATAGTGCACCAGGCCCGAGTGAGGTAGCACAATTTTGGAAATTTCACCCTAGAGGTGGAATGCTACCTTCATCAGGGTTTTCGTCGACGACACAACCGCTGGAGTTTTTTTAAGACCACGACGGGTTGTCCTGAAGGGGCCGTCATTAACACCAAGGCGCTCGAAAGCGACACACTCAAGAAAGGGTAGATCAGGCTGTAATGTTTTATATATCATTATCAAATTCCTGCGGCAACGGGGTTGTAAAACGTAGTTTTGTCCTCCACTACTCTATCCCCACGTACCTAGTAGTGCAAACACAACCACACCCACAGCTCGCCTCAATATTACCAACACCGTCAATATCAATCAAGAAGACTGCACGAAGTATCCTGCGTATCTAGGATACTGAGGGTATAGATAAATGTGCATCTGCTTTGTCTGCAGTTGCATGGTAAACACCTAGAAAAAGCCAGAGAGCTAGATAATCAACTGCAGTTCTTTAGCAAGGCCAAAAGACCGCCTCTAAGAGCAACCCTTCCAATTTGTTACTGCCCGGCTCGAAGACCAGCGCCTCCAGGCCCAAGTCAAAAATTGTAAATACCTTATAACAAGGAAGACGAGGCCGTTAAAAGTCAACTCAAATACCAAGTGCGCCACCATCAGCGATATATGGCAATCTCAGATTGACGATGACAAATTCGACCTTGACACAGCAAAATCTACTACATCCGATTTCCAGACGAAGACGAAAAGATTATTATTATAGTGGTATCTCGGGTTGTTTGATAGCTATTTGTAATATAAGTTATGGTATTGCGATGCCTTCATTTTTGGTTTAGGGAAAACCAGGGCGTGGAAGAAAAGTAAGAGACATTTGACTTATCGATACCTAACTACCATCGTTGTCCGCACTGTTAATTACATAAGAAGTAACAGTTACAGACGTAAGCACAGCATTTTCCTCATCCCTCCTTTTATGTCGTTCATTTTTGATTGGTACCCGATCTGTTACCTGGTAGTGTACTGATGATGAAGCAGTTGGCAAGCCCATCAGCTTTGGCGCGAAATGTTCAAAAAACTTCCGTATCGTCGGCATAGAGCCGCAGATAACGAAGAGGTTGCCTTCAAGGAATCTGTGAAACGACCTGATGAGTTCAGATGCACTAGGTTCTTGTTGGAAATGGGGCAACGAACGTCCAAATGTTTGCAGGCGCCGAGTCCCACGGTGGGTCGCGGCTTGTCAGCAAGATAGGGAGGAAGGTCATTCTGACGATTGATGTAGCCACAGTCCTAAGGGCAATTGTCAGACTCGCATCTACTCGGTTGGGTTTGTAAAATGGCAGACTAACATTGAGCCGACGGCGAACATGATAACGAGGCCCAGCTTTTGCGCCATTCTCATGTGAAGCTTGAAAACCATAGGCATCGGCAATACAAACAGCATAACATCGGAGGCGATGTTTGATACAGCCGTTGCCATATAGAGGATCGCTGCATTCAAGCAACTCCCCCCCGTGATCGTAGAGTCGAAGCCTTTCTGGATTGGATTACATTGGAACAACATTAGGGCGGTGATACACGCTGTATTTAGTGACACAACAGTGATGCCGATCCATATCGCTATCCTGAACCATTTCTGTGGCGATAGATGGAGGTAAAATGCTAAAAGGGACAACTTCGTGAAGCCGCTGCACAACATGTAAACTGGCGCAGCAATGTAGGTAATCTCAGTGGTTTCAGTCATGAACACTGCTCTGATAGTTCCGAGAACTTACCAAAGAATTGCTTTTGAATTTGGACAAAGGCATCTCCCAAGCATGGGCGCACATGCTGCCCCGAATAATGGACGCTGCGGCAGAGGGGAGAGGCAGAATCAGTTATTTGAAGCAGAAGCAAGAGTATTACGGTGTACCAACAAACAAACAGCGCTTGTGTGACCACAGATGCGGCCTAGATGGATTCAAGTTAGCCAACAATACCGGCCGGTGGCCAAAAAAGGGGCAAACATTGGTTTGCATACCCACCCCAAACACATTAGTACTATAAATATTAAGGTCAGAAGCTGTTTTGAAAAGTAAGCCATTTGCAACTGCATGTTGCTCACATACTATCATCAGTCTGTAAACCTGTCGACAGAAATATCTTCGTGTATAACCTCTGACAAAGAGCAATAAAAGCGATCGTACCACCGATATCAAAAAGAAGGTAATGTTCCAGTACTTTTTGCCGTCTAGGGTGGTCGAAGTCGACTACAACGCCTGGCGGAGCAGGAATCACGGAGACTTCTGACATGGTGGTGCTACCATCGACACTTTCATGTCTGATGCTGGGATGGAAAATTGGACGCGGGGTTGCAAGCTTATAGCACGATAAACGCCTGATCAGTCTTAGTCATCGTCTGCATGTTCGCAATCGGATTTAGATTCCGGAGTGTGGGTGAGAACAGAAAGTTTCGATCTCTGCCTCTCAAAAGGAACGGCAAGTTTCAGATGTCTTTTCATAGTTTCTTGTAGCATGAGTCGGCGCCCAGGGAGCAGAGGGGGGATGACGGATGAGGGGTTGTACACACGCATGCAGCGGCTGGCCAAGTGTGAGTTTGCAGTGCTGGTCGAAAGTCTGTTTTGGCTCCCTCTGCTTGGGCGGCGGATACTTTTGCCTGTTTGAACCGGCCACAGCCTTGGGCTAAACGCTGGGAGCCACGGCAGGTAACGAAAGCGTATCCTACCGTTTCGTTCGCGGCTGTAGAATTTTCTGGAAAACGAGCATGTGGAAGATTGGTATGATAGTGAGCCAGGTCTGAAAAGTCTTCATCGTTTATTGCTGACACTGTAACATTAGTCGTGCCACGTCCTGGCTTGCTTGGGTTTGAGTTACTCTCCCCAAAGCCGGTGCTCGCTGGCCATATTTTAATACCAATATATCAGGCATAATAATGCTATACAGACTTCCAGAACCAGTGTTACTTAGAAGTAGTCTGCCATACTCGTATTTCATAGCTGAAGGAAGTCTCTTAAGTCATATTCCACTTCCTATCATTGGCAACCCACACATTTACATAGATATCCTCCTGCTTTCTTGGATTTCTAATCTGCTACCTTGCCACCTCCCACAACTATAGGTCTTACTAATGCCCTAGGTGCCAGCAATCTCCGCCAATACATAAAATTCCATGAGCCCTTTCGCGTTTTACGCTACAGAGGCTGATACCTTTGTATTGACGTGATAGGGGCAAGTCGACTTACCTTCCAATCTTTTGTGTCACTATCCTCTCTTTATAAATCACAACACTCAGGACATTGGTAAAATAATCTTTCCCCAAGGCATATCACTCTCAGTAATCTGGTATCCTATATGCATCAGTATACTCTATTGTCACCTATGTCACTTTTTATGAAGCAAAGAGGTATTCTACGTTATGTTCGAGCACAGTATTTACACATCAAGACTAGTGAGTATAGGAGCTCTAATTGGGCTTTACCCCCGTGCTGGGCATCTTTTTAAGTCCGATATGCCCACACCAAATTACCCGGCTTCTACACGCGAGCCCCTTCAGAATCAAACCTAGCGAAAGCATGGGACAAGTAATTTTCGCAAAAGGCCATATACCGGCGGCAACCTTATTACTTAAGTAGTCACCTAGAGATGGAAATTACCCAGTCCACGGGCGCCCATGGGGGCTTATAGTTTGGGTTAGGTAGTTTTGGGTTACCGTTCTGGGATATCTGTATTAAGTAGGTTTGGGCTTCGAGTTTATTTGAATGGAAATCACTCTTGCTAGTATCTACTTGCTAGAAGCACTTACACAGGTTATTTTGGTTTAAGCCCAAACTACCCATAAGTTCGTTTGTGTTATTCTTGACGGCCTATTTTACCCACGGGTAGTTTGGGTGACCCATTCTAATCCACGGGTCGAATATGAGCGACCCAAACTTGGGCCCTCCGTGGGTAATTTCTATCCCTAGGGCCACCAATCCTTTTCCTGGACCGCAATTGGATCAAAGACATCTCATCAGATGACGTAAGGGCTGTACTTCAAGCTATAGCTGTGGAAAAGCTGTCAAGATTCACCTGTAAGGCGTTCGACGGGCTCTATGGCGGTCCAGACACCGATGACAGCTGGGTGCAAAAAGTTTTAACAAATGGTTATGGTATCTCTCACAAGCCTACAGACAACTGGCCAGGGCCGCAGAAAGAATCGGATCGTTGCATGATCGCAGTGCACACAAATATATCCGTAAGTTCTATCTCATAATTAAGAATTACTACATAACAGCCAAATAACCGACAGCAGATTAGAAGATTAACCACAGGCTGTCGCTCTAATGCGGTATCAATGGGACTGGGATTAACTTGCACATAAGTTACATGCTGTTTGAGATATTTTGACTGATGAGGCGATACATATATGCTGTTTTAGGTCCATACAGACTTTTCAAGAACGACAGCAGTAAAAAAAAAAAAAAAAAAAAAACCGAATTTTAGCTTTAAATACCCTTGTAGCCAATACAAATCCACAAGCCTAGTTTCTGAGTTATCTGGCGATCCAGTCAACGAGATTGTTACGACTAGAAGAATATCTAGAAAGTAGGCAAATTGTACCAGCTGAGCCAATAGTAACAACCGAACTGCTGGTGAGTCTCTACAAGCAAGAGGGTCTAAACTCTCACATAACTAAGACATGCGACTGCCGCTCGCAAATGGAATTGTTCACGCCGCGAATACCAAGCACAGGGCATATCAGAGTGTTAAGGTTGGTCTAATCACTAGTACGGAAGCGGGGATGGAATAGTATTTAGACGATATGCAAGTCTTACTGGACGGGGGCAAAAAGGCATTGGTCTTGGAGGTACCGAATACACTGATAGACTTGAGTCAAGTTTGGTTGCGACTGAAAATGAGGTAGCTTGGGCATGGCGGCTCATTGCAAAAACTGATCTCCATTTACATCGATATACGCTATAACTACCAATTAGCCGACTTATTGGTGCATGTCATTTTGCGGTTAGCTCAATTGGGTGGTGGCACCTCTTGTTTTCATAATTGCCAGAGGCTGGGGTACGGCTGCCACTGCAGGGTCTAACCCTTCTCAGCGTTAATACTATTGTTACAAAAGTCTTTTCGCTAGCATATAGTCTTTTTCCGATTATAGAAAGCAGATGAGAATTACCTGGCAACAAATCGACTAGTGTCTACATTCTATATGTCTATTAGTATCACAGGGCACCCGCAAGAGGGATAACCAAGGGGAAAACTGGTTGCTTGTCATGTGTCTGATGTCTATGGAATAGGTTCTAGCAGAGCTGCTGGAAGACGTGGCTGTTGAACTTATAGCCGTGTGCTGGTCTGCCCGTCACGTGGACAGCCCGGGTGCCGGCAGGCCGGTGACAGAGCCACTTCAACCCGGATTTCCGGCTATTCCAACAATATCCCTGTTGTTAGAATAACAGTACCACACGACCGTACGATACACGCGATTCAGGAGCACGCGAGGGAGGAGAGCATAAACCGGATACTCGGCTCTCCAATTGAGGTGGATGAAAGTATGTTCATCGTGATTGACTCAAGGAAAGTAAGAGTCAAATATCTACTCGTACGAAAGGCTAGGTCTTTGTAATTAGAAAGATAATCGCCGAATAAGACATATTTGGTTCACCATACATTTTGAGTACGATCCTGCTAAAAGCCCATTCAACACACTTCTAGAGAATATCTGGCCTGACCAGCAACGGAGTGAGCCGAACCCACTCCTCAAATATTTCAAGCTTTCTTACTTGTTCAGGGTTAGCAATGACGTCCCGGTTTTTATTATTATCGTAGTTATTCGAATTCCATCGCTAGCTCTCTTTATGTATTTTGCCAAATGAGCAGCCCTATTGTGACTTGGGCAATCCAGTTTTGGTTGCCTGTTTCGTCAAGTACTCTTTATGCTTGGGTTGCACAAAGTTCATGTTGCCTCTAAGCATCAGCGACCTCTCTACGCCTTCCCTAAGCCCAGACTGTAAGACGTGCTCACAGGAACTCATGCTGAATCCAAACCTAGGGTGGGCCGCCTGACCAAAGCCAAATGATGATGTTGTCGGGTGGGCGTAGCCAGAGTGGATTGTGTACAGTTCCAGCTTCAACATGACTGACTGGAGGTGTGAGGCGCTCCCACGGTATGCCATGACCGGATCGGTCGCCGTGAGGTCCATGTTTTGGGCTGTAAAGGACCTGATGAGGGAACCCAGCAGCATGCTGTCGCACCTCTTCCCGCCTGAAGGATCCCCGGGTGACGACATGCATCGATCTCCGTTCTTGAGAGCCCCATAAAGATTGAGATATGGGTCCAACATTGCTATTAACAACGTTTTTCTGATAGCTGAAGCATCATCTAAGCCCGTACGTTAGTTCAATGTTTTGTTGAAGAAGCACTGGGCAAGGTAAAGTACCCAACAAGCCGTCCGGGATCAAACAGTCCAGGTTCCTGAGTTTATAGTCGTAGCTATCTCTACTCTCACCAGCAAACCCAAATACGAGGTCTCCGTCATTGTCAAGATGACACTCGGTGGCGATTTTCATGACCATGGCGTTGAAAGTCTGATAGTCGCCCAGTTCGTAGGCCACACCCAACAGTAGCGGGTTCTGCAAGCTGGACTTGACGGCCTCTACCCAACCCTTGGCCCACGGTCGCGTGATGGCAGTTGCGTCGTACTTTTCGGTGACGACGAGAAATGTGTACAGTTCAGTAAGTTCAAGCTTTTCCGGAACCATGTCAAATGCGCCGTGTACGATATGCAGCATGAGTTCCAACGGTTCCTGTCGGTCTTCGGGAAGGTCTACCGTCCAGCCGTGGTCAACATCCGAATGCCCCGATTCGGCAAACCCGCCATACAGCATCTTTCTGAAAACTGTCGAAGCTCGAGATAAGGCTTTGGAGCAGACAAAGTACGTCTTTGTTGTTTTCTCAACCTCAGCGCCGACGTTAAGATACAAGTCGCCGTTGGGGTCAAAGCTGACATACTCTCCAAGCACTGGTGAACAAGGGTCATCATGGTCGATTGCCTCGTCCATGGTTGCTATCATGACTTGATAGCAACTTCATCTGCCGGTTCCATAAACTCCGATTATCGATATGAAATGTTTAATGTTGTTGGTTTAAACCTAAACACCACACCTGAAAGTCAGGTAAAGGTTTTGGGAATCACTGGGGTTTACCCGGCTGTGGTCGCCCAAACTGCGAGGGGGTGCTTAGGTGGTCAGATGGTGGCCCGTGCACGTCGCAGGAACTGTTCGACCGGGGAATTTCTCGCGACAGAGCAGATTGGACTTGAAACCAGCAGAGGGGGTTCTCGTTGAGAGTGTGTTGATGGAGGTAATGAATGATAACTTGAGGGTTGCTTCGACTGATGAGATTGAACGGTATAGGCTTAAGTTACCACAACCTGATTTCGAACATCAGCTGAAAAATACAAAAGGATGAGTCGGCACAAGATATAAAAAGAACAGCATTATCCCCGGCCCCCGAGGGTCCCGCGAACTTATTATGACCCCCATTACGGCAGTCCGCAGGGCGCACTGGGTCAAAATTCAAGGTAGTGATAGGAACACCCCATAAGCGTAAACATATGTAATCTCGCGTAAAACGATTTTTGTTTTTGTACATTTCTAGGTGGGTATTTGCCCTTTTAGGAAATAAGGGTTTACTACATAGAACCACAGCCCCCTACGAGGCTCTACAATAATCCGTCGGAGGTTAGATCTTCCGGTTCCGGTTGATTAGGTGCATGGTCTGTGCGCCCAAATCGACAAATAAATAGGAATTCAGTGGGGCCCAGAACTTCTTCCTTTTCCCCACGCCAAGCAGAGTTTAGGTATGTGACCCCTACTGTACAGAAATTTACAGCGCTCTCTACACTGTTTTACAGAGATTCAGTTTTTATCCTTTGTTACACTTCCGTTTTCTTTTGTCTTCTCTATTTTTGATTTTTTTTTCCGATTTTTTGAGCTTTTGTACATTTCTGTACAATCATTTGCTAACTGTTAGCTTTTGTACAGATTCGCACATCCCCGGGCGCCAGGCGTCGCCCCCGTCACATTACGTACAGTTTTCCAGCAAAGCTTCACAACATCCTACAACATCCTACAACATCCTTACAATCCCGAACGACACTCGACATCACTTTACACTACCGTACATCATGGCTCAGGACATGGAGCTGGCTGCCGAGCTCGTGCCGGATAAGATCGGAGACATAAAGATTCCTACGGAGTTGCCCGCCGAGCTACCCTCTATGTACACTCATGCTCTCGGAACCGGCTACTACCTCACCCGTATGTACACTTCTGTAATTCCCCTACAATATTGTACTAACTTGTTACAGATGGTATTCCTCATGCCAGCAACACTCTCATTAATAACATTCTGGACAATGAGGAAGCGGAGGTATAGTCTCCTTACACCCCCGTACGTACCTTACTCTTTTGCTTACATATTGTATAGGCCCGTAACTTGATCGATGTTCGCTCTGCGGTCAAGAACGGAAGACGTCAGAAAAAAGCGCTTGAGTACAAGCGTGCGCAGAATGCCAACTCTTTCCTTATGCACGTGTACGGAAATGCGCGCGAGGGTAAGGACCAGTGCAAGAACTGCATTAAGGGCAATGGTCCGTACAACACCTGTGTTGTTCTGGACGGCTATGCTAGCTGCGCCAACTGTACATACAATTCCGGCGCCTCCAACTGCAGCTTCGGTAAGTTTCGTCCCAACCTGTACACAACTAAACATGAATCTGATCTATTCTATACAGCCCCGTCCCCCTCGAAGCGACCTGCCGCAGAGATTTACACTTCCGCCCCGAGCAGTAAGAAGTTGTGCGTCTCCCGTGCGGAGTATGACTTTCTCAACGCGGTCCGTGGCGTTAAGCCCAAGCACATACGACTCATTAGAAATGCGTTAGTTTCTGTCGCAGACAAGCTCGCTGATGTTAAGTACGGTACGTTATCGTACATGTCTGGTGCCGTCTGTACATCTTTGCTAACTACAGTTATGTACAGATGAGAACGAAAACATCGAGATCGAGCTTTGTCACGACTAAGCAGGACCTTACAAAATCCTACACGACCGTACAACAACTGGAGATGACGTGAACATGCATTTACACAATGCCACAGATGCCTACCAAGGCGTATGGAATCGGGAATCCGGCGTACAGAAACGATAGGTATACTTACAGGAATGGGAGGATGGATACAGGCGTTTACGGTTGGTAACTTTGGTTTGCGGGTCGGGCACTTCTGTACAGGGTTTGGCACCCCTGTACAGAAGCGTGGGACTGTCCGTACCCTTGCGTTTTTAGGTTTTTTTTAAGATACCCAATTCGTATTTCTTTGCCAACATCTGTATTTTCCCGTTCTCCCTCGTGAATCTCCGTATGGACTATTGCAGCACCTCACCATGGCTGGCCGGCCACGTATCGACCTTACCCCTTTTCAATCTATTATTACTGAAAAGTTCCAGAATGGCTGGACTTATTCTAATATAATTACATATCTTTCCGAATCATTCCAAATTCAGGTCTCTCCGTCAACATTTAAACGTTTCCTACAAAGCTTAAACCTCCGCCGCGAAGTCCGTACAGAATTTTCCAGCGCCTTACTACAACGTATCTTCCAGCTCTTCTTTGATCATAGGCTATCCGATTTAGATATTCTTTTATGCTTACGGACGGAAGGCTTCACAGTCTCACAACGTGGCTTAGAAGATATTCGAAAATGCCACAAACTATGGCGCCGTCAAACCCCCGAGCAGCTTCAAGCAGCATTTCACCAAGCTGTAAACTTCCTTGCCTCTACAACAAGTGATGAAGCACGCGTTACACGAGACTTTGGCCGAGAATTCCTCTTTACATATATGCGCCAACGTGGCCATATTATTAGCCGCTCGGTCTTATATGAAGCATATCGTACAGTTTTTCCCGAGGAAGTTGCAAACCGACTGAAAGAGATCCGATACCGGCGGAAAGGTTGGACTACGCCAGGTCCAAACTTTATATGGTCACTCGATGCATATGATAAACTACTTCCGTTTGGGTTTGAGATATATGCTAGCATCGATGCATACTCCCGTTATATTGTGTGGTTTTACGTTGGGTTTTCTGCACATACGGCCCGTTCTGTATTAGCCCAATATCTATCTACACTTCTATCACGGGGTATTATGCCACAAACTATTCGTTCAGACCGTGGTACAGAAACTATCTTAACTGCTGGTAGTCATTGGTATCTATCACAGGACCGTACAAAGAAGGCCCCTTTACAGCCAGGCCAAGACGTTCCTATTCAGTTCCGTGACTGTTGGATCTTTAGTAAAAGTATCCATAATGTTAAGATTGAAAGCTGGTGGAACCAACTTTGTCAAGCACAGTCTGCAACTTGGAGAGTACGTATTATTTACCTTTATATCTATTTATTTACTAATAGTATTAGGCATATTTCTATCGATTACAAGCGTTAGGTTTATTTTATAACCAATCGCTTTCTGACCGTGTTGCCTTATTATTTATCTTTATGCCACTTATCCGTAAAGACTTTACCTCTTTTGTTCAACTCTGGAATAACCATCGCATTCGCTCACAAAAAAGTCGCCCACATGTTGTTTCTGGTCAACCATGGAAACTTTATCATCATCCAGATCATCAAACCGCACAAGACTTTGCTCAGCCAATCGATCACGTAAAGATTCAAAAACTTCAAAACTTACTTGGAAGTGAAGAACTTAATTTGGATCAATTCCTTCCGCACGAAGTCTTTCAAGTTTGTAAAGGTATTATGGAGCCTATACAAACCTTTCCACCAGTTACAAACTTCTGCGGTACACAATATCCACGTATTGAAGCATATAACTTCCTACGGCAACGTCTTGAAGAATATATTGAGGCTAGGATTCAACCAGAACTTCACTTACTACCAAAACAAAATGGAGGTATTGAATGGGTAAAAGAACAGTTCCGTAGCCGCGGGATTAGTATAGATGAACTTTATACATCACTGTCAGGAAGTGATAGTAGTTCAGAAATAGATGAAACTTGAGTATATAGAGTATACCTAAACGATTGTTTCCTCTTGTCGTACTACTATTTCGTCCTCTTCCTTATCTTCCTGGCTACCCCCCTTAAGAGTTATATCCTCCTGAATAACGTCTGTATGGCCCTGCTGCTCAACTTGCGAGTGCGTACGCTTGCGTGACTTTATTCCTTCTCTCTCCTGCTTTATTACTTCTTGTGCCTTAAGAGAAGGCTTTCGTTCGGTTCGAGTTTGAATTCGAGTTGGAGGTTTAGGCGTAGGCGCTTTCGTAAACATATTGACAGTAGGTAAAGGTGTTGTACTAGTTGTTACCATGTCAAGCGTATGTTGTTTCAGTCGTAACTTCTTTGATACTTGTGGTTCAGTAACAAGCGGATCTACTTGACTTTCGGAAACAAGTGCGATAGTGTAAACGTCTTTGTCAGGGGTAATTGAGGCTTCGCGAAGAAAGGTAAAAAGGTCTTCAGCCTCGTACGCTACCCCACGAAACTCATGCATATCCGTAGGATTCTTTGGAGTAACGGGCATTGCCTTCCAGTTTCGGTCAAGGAATTGCTTCTCAGACGTAAACTTTACTAAGACCTTACTCATCATATCTGTATGTGAAGTAAACTTAGAAGTTAACAAGAACTGTGACTTCCCAATAAACTTTTTAACAGACTGAACCCGAGTGTATGTTCGAATAGAGATTCCATCTATATCCGTAACATAGAAAGATGCAAGCCATAGGTGAATAATAATATCCACAGTTGGGTTCGGAACTGGTTTCTTCTGGGTTTGCTGGATACTAGCTGTACGCTCCTCTGAGCCCTTAATAAGAGCAGTAAGGAGACTATTGTCTGGCTGTGTATCTGGTATATAAAGTGCTTGTTCGATCGGGTTGGTTGTAGTATTGGAAAGTCGTGTACGTGATGAAATCGTAGCCGTTGGAGTTTCGAAGTCGTCAGTATTGGTAAGGTCGATTTCGTCCGGTTCTTGTACTTGGGATAAATCGATTGAACAAAATGCACACGTCTTCCACTTCCATAGCAGTTTTGCTGAGAAGTGGTCCAGGTTAGCCCGCTTGGGGCACCTTAAAGACATATTCGTACAAAATATGGTAAATATTATTGTTGAGAATTGAGAATACACTCCTGTGCGGCCCCGTAAAACTCTGTACATGCACGTATACGAAACATAGAATTCGCTTAAATTTGTGATAATTACATAGTAAAGATAAGAAGCTTAACTATCTATACGGGTGGTGTATGCTTATCTCGTTTATGCATCCTAATTAGGCAATGTTTGAATTTTGACTGCGGACTGCCGTACTAATGTGCAATGTACAGGGGGTTACGCGGCACAAGACCCTTGGAGTGAGGTTCATGACTCAATTTGACAAGACGGCAGGACGGTAAGGATCCGGTGGCCTGTGCTCTTGCATGATGGCTTGCGTACCCTGTCGCGGAGGTCATTTCCGTGGAGGTTTCCAATTATACTTGCTATCAATAGGGATGACCCGACTACTCGCCCTGAAATGGTGTCTAGGATGCTGCATAGCTGAGTATTGTGATGGATGGGTGGAAAGCATTGCCTTTCTACGTCTTTCCAACCATTGTGTCTTTGCTGGCCTTTTCACTCGGTGCAGCAGACTTGTAAAATTTCGTGGCGAGAAGTCATGCAACTTCTGTGGTAGCCAAGTTTTGCCTGACCTATCACTGGGCATGCATTATGCAGGAGAAAGACTCACCTGGTTGATGTTTGAAGTATATAAATGTTATCCTCCACACCGTAGCTTGTCTCTAAGTATCTGGTACACCCGAGACTGCAATATCATATGGCAAAGTACTAAATTCATGTACATGTTATCAACAGGGTTCGAGCCGCTTGAAACTTGGAACATGTAAGATTCGGTGTGTTGTTTCGAATGTTCGAAGATAATTGTCGATAAGAATGTCTGGGATATTTTTGTCTGGTAGAAAACTTTCATAATCACCATGTGACCATGAAAGTATTTGGTGGTGCTTGAGTCGTCTGGAAAGAGCTTTAATCTCTTGCAATATCTGCCAACAATCATCCTTATCCTTGTTTAGTTTTCAACACAAGCTACGCTGAAAGGAGCCTACAACCGTTTTGTATTCAATTAACTGCTGATGCGTGAGGCTTGAGAAGGGTTACTGAGCAAACAGACCATGAGGGTAGAGTAAAGCCAGCTACTTGGAGAAAGATATCTGGTCTTGACCATAAGAACACTTATGGGACTAGCAATTTCCGCTGCAAGATTAGAAGGTTCCTTACGCGCGATATGATCGTTCTTGTTCCGGTCCGTCGTCAAATCTAAAGTTGTCTGACTTGACTGATCAGTGGAAACTTGCGGCGGGGCTACAAGAAAGTTTTCGAGGGCGGTCGAGTGCCACCGCATAGCCGGTAGTTGTTCTTGCGACGAGTCTGACCCATCTTAGGGCTGCAAATCCGTCACTGCGGCCAGTTCTGTTGCATCAGTTGGCACAAGTCTGCCTCTACCACTCTCGACTTGGACTAAATTGTCAGGCCTCCCTTCTGGAATATCGGCTGGTTTAGTTGCTTGCGGCTTGCGATATGTGGTTTAAGAGGGTTCCGTAGCGTACCTAGGTAAGTGCAGATAATGTCTCGATTCTTTGAGCGCGCGCAACTTCCACAAGGCTGTTGGCGGTCACAGCGAAGCTTCTTCTGGCGGCATAGAGAGCACGCTATAGCACGTCGACGGCGTGTTCTGACCCCTGTGTTCCCCATGATCTGCCCGAATACGATCCAAGGCGAATTTGTTTTTGGTGTCCGACTCGGCGAATACTGAAGCTTGATATCTGAGTGGCTAAAGGCTCAAACCGGAGACAAGAGTCTGATGATGGCGAGCGTAGATGCTCAGCGTGCAGTCTCTCCGGAGACAACCAGCTTTGTGAGGGCGAGGTCAGGTACTTGTTCGTCTGACATCACATGCCCTCCCCCCTGTCCGTCTCTTTTCTATCAGGTAGTTGCTAGAATCCGGACAGTTAAGGAAACATTCTCACGAGGGGCCACTGAGGGGTCACCTTGCGCAGGCTCTAAGCATTTTCTTGTCCCAAGGCAGGTTTTGAATGGTGTGAGGGATAATTTTGGTACATGTCTCCAAGGTCTCATAGCTTTCAACAACCTGCGGGCTAGATCCAGAATTTGAGTCGGTCTCGGAGAAAGTGGATGCCTTGGCAAGATTTAACCCCGACTCCGGCTGGTGAGATGATCAGGCCGGATTTAAGGTCAACGCCAATCATCGGAGTCGGGATTGGACAGTTGCACACCTGCAATGACTTGAGTTGGGTAATTCGTATACATCCTCGACTGATATGTCCCGTTGAGTGCTGACTGACCTCACTTTCGCCAAGGGCGGGGTAGAGCCAATTAGGGCTCATATGTTTACCATTTTTGTTAACTCGTACTTGAAGCTTGTATACATCTATTCTCTAATGGTTCCAGTGAAATCACATGTCACTGCCGACCTCTACCAATACAGAACGCTACATCGCAAAAGCCGCTAAACAAAAGTGCATTCAAAGTACTAATTATGTCTGATTGTGGTGCGGAGAAAAGTGGCTACAAAACTAGAAATTTCGAGACTTGAGGCCCGTCAGCACTAAATGGGATATGGAAGCGGAATATGGAAAATGTATGCATAAAGGGCGCTGAAATTCTTACATCGAACTTTGCTGGACCTTTCAGATGCACTCTAAGGTAGCAGATCTTTGACTGCAAGCCTTTTGCATTCATTTTCACAATCTTGCTACATCCGCGTTGTTCGCTACTTCAGCTTAACTACTTACCATATTGTAATGGAGACCAAGATGCAGACGCACTTCGATGTCACACCCGAAGAGAGAGCGACTGCACTCTCTTTCTTTAAACGCCAACTTTTCCGACAGACTCATCTGGTAACTCAATCAGAGATCGATCTTACTGGACAAATAGCCATTGTGACTGGTTCAAACACGGGTCTGGGGTTAGAGTGTAGCCGACAGCTTCTTGAACTAGGTTTAGGCAAGCTCATAATTGCTGTCCGGAGCATCACCAAAGGCGAAACAGCGCGTCAGCAGCTTTTGTCGGAGAGATCTATTGAGAACCAGACAATCGAAGTCTGGGAGCTTGACCTTTCTGACTATGACTCTATTACTCAGTTTATAGAACGCGCAAAAACTTTACCGCGACTGGAAATCGTCGTCCACAGCGCTGGCATTTCGAACAAGATCTTCCGCTTGAACGAAAAAACCTTGTTCGATGAGGTGATCCAGACAAACTACCTCTCCATGGTTCTTCTTACCGTACTGCTGCTTCCAGTATTGCAAGATAAGAATTCACCCGGACAGCCTGGTCGTTTGGTTCTTGTGTCTTCTGACACGGCCGCCTGGGCAGAATTCAAAGAAAAGAGCTCGAGACCTCTCCTCCCTGCTTTCTCCAACTCGGAGACATTCGACGGTACCGACCGCTAACGTCGCACACCCACTTCTCGCACACCCCCACATTTCGCACACCCATAAATTGGGTCATCATGAGGTATTCATCAACTTCATAACTATAAGTCTGATTCGTCTCCTGCAACTGTGATACTATCGCCAGTTTTAATAGGTAATTCAGGCTCGCTAGATTCATCTGAGCTATCCTCAATTTCGCCAGCCTCAATTTGGGCTTTGTGAATTGCCTCAATGTTGGCAAACTTCGAATTTGGGCTCATTTGGACCTTACGCCGCTTCCGTACCATTCCAGCCTCAACTTCTGCTTCCAACATTGCAATCTTCTTCTCTGCTGTAGCCAATTGATAGTCCTTTTCATCAAATCCCTTTTGAACCTTCCGAAACAACAGTCGCTGCGTTTGCTGATCTTTATCCAACTTGCTGAATAAGCTAAGTTGATCATATAGATCAACTGTCTTCTTGGGCGTTGACCAGGCTACTATGGATGTAGCAGATGCCCAGTTTTCGTCTTTTCCACCATCAGAGGCCCTCATAGGCGTAGAATAGCCTGGCTTTGAGGGCTTGGAAGCATTCTCAAGCAGTAGAGGGCTCATGAGCGGTCGAGCTATCGAAATGGGCCATAGTCCTGTTGCTTTCCAGCCGCTTCTGATATTCTTGCTTGAAAATGCCATCTGGCGTGCTTTTCCATAGCAGGTAAGAAAGTTCCGTTTGCCTACAACTGTAGAATCGTTGTGTTGAATGAGGTATCCAAGCTCTTTTCGATAGGTCGCCTTGAGAGGCCCAAAGACTGCTTGGTCTAGAGGTTGGAGAACGTGGGATGTATGTGGCGGTAGGAAAAGGAGATATATCTTGTGTTTATAACAGAGATACATAAATTCTGTTGTTTCATGACTGCCATGACCGTCTAGGATCAATAGTCTCTGCTCAGAGGGATGATCAGGCTTAGTCAGAGGGATAAAGATGTTCTCAAGCCATTCCACAGCTGTAGAGTCTGAAGTCCAGCCATTCTCAGTTGCTGTGAACTTCCAACCACTGTAAATATCACGTTTATGGATATCAAGAGGAAACCATTGTTGTTGAACCGATTTCCCTCGATAAATAACAAGTGGAGGAAGCGCCTGACCAGTTGCAGAGACACACTCAAGCATAGTTGTCCAAGCCCGAGACCCAGGCTGTTTTTTTCGCATTGATGAGCTTTCTGATGATCCCAGTACTAAGCCATTTGATCCTCTGCCTTCTAGGATACCAGTTTCATCCATGTTATAGCGATGATGTGGTTTGATCGCCTTGATCTCTGGAAGGGCGAGTTGTTGAAACCATTGCCTGATTACATTAGTTGAGGCCCCATTGACACGCTTAGAATCGATGGCTCTAGCTCTATGAACCTTGATTGATGGATTTCTCTTAATAAAGAACTGAATCCAGTTTCTCCCAAGTGGCTGGGTAGTGCCTCTGATGTCTAGGATTCGCTGGGCAAATTCCTTGAGTTGTTGATGTGTTGGCGGCAGCCCTAACGCCGCCTGGATACGCACCCATTCAGCTAAGTGACTTTCCTGTGCTGGAGATAGCTTCTGGAAGCTAGAGAAAGCTACATTTCTTGCCTGTGAACCCTTTAATCGAGACTGGAGGGTTGATGGTGGAATTCCAGCATCATGAGCTGCCTTTCGGACACTCTGCCCACTTGCAACTGCATTGAGAGCTTGATTGACTTCTGTTTCCGTATACTGGCCCATTAAGCGTATAAGAGTAACTATTCAAAGAATTATAATAATCGCTGTAAAAGTGGTGAAGATATTAAAGAATGTTGAAGAGGGTAAAATTCTACATGAGCGATTTATGGGTGTGCGAAATGTGGGGGTGTGCGAGAAGTGGGTGTGCGACGTTACTGGACGTCCAAGTTGCTTGGTCAGCTTTTCCTTTCGGAACTCGTCAAACGCGTAGCTTCGTCTGTAGCTGTTGTTAATGCATGCAATCCCGGCATGTGTTATGGCTCAAATCTGACCAGCGAGTGGAACGGTACAGTCGCCGGACTTTTTATCAAACCTTTTATCCGGATTTTTGGACATTCCACAAAGGTAGGAGCATTTGCGCTCACAGACGCGGCTGTTAGGCATGGCCGCGAATCTCACGGGCAGTATATAGAAGGTGGGAAACTGCAACCGTAAGATCAGTTGAACGTTCTCTCGCAGCGAGTTTTACTAACGACTTTTCCAGAATGGCACCTTTTGTGTATAGCTCAGATGGCAAGAAAACTGCCAATGACTTATGGGACGAGACCATGGAAACACTTGCCTTTGCTCGGGTTGCTGAAATCATCGACCGATTGGGAGTTTAGCGTAGGTTTATCTCGGAGTTTGCAACAATTTCAGATTTCAAGACGCAATACTTTCAAATCATTCAATCTTCAGTCAATGATCACTTTGCGCACCGAAAGATCGCTTAACATCCCAAGTCTGGCAGACTTTACTGTTTTTGTGACTGAAACCAGTGACTTCTTGAAACCGATTGCAAAGACGATACACAAACTGGAACTACTCTTTCAAAACATCGCAAGGCGTGCATGCCTGTAAATGGGGGGTAGAAACGAAATAACGAAAAACGAATTGTCCAAAAATTTGCCTTCTTTCCTTTCTATCAGTAACCACCGTATCCTAGGCAACATTATCCGCAACTCTGCAATCGAGTTTCGAATGTCCAATAACTTTCGTGGCAACCGACCTTATCCTTACGACTTTTGTAAACAGTCGAGCGCTTGTCATTTTGGTGCCGGAACGGGGCTTCCTTGGTGGGAAAACGACCCTACTCAGGGTCAAGCAAGGTATCCAAAACAGTTTGAAATGCTCGGGAACTTGGTTACCCACCAAATCCTTCTTTGGGGACCTAGTACAAGTAGTTAACATCTTGGATATTGGTGCGTTGGGTAGAACCCATGTTCTGGCTGATCCTCACTCTCACCAGACCGCTTCATTGGGAATGGGCATCTCAGTCTACCCTTGACTCAATCGATGCAATTTATGAGAGTGTTGTCACTTGAGCACTGGATATTACGGATCCAACTTTCAGCTATGAGCTAAGGTAACACTGACAGCCCATTTAGCCAAAAGACATTGTATGAGTCGGTATGTGTTAACTATGGGAGGTAAGGTCAAAGTTTACACAAACGACAGCGTCAAGTTTTGAAACATGGTTAGAGCCAAATTCGCTGTTTGGCCGGCTGAAAGTAATAGGGCTAAAATCACGACATTTAAGGTCAAGAGAATATTACCTTTCTGGGTCCACATTTGAAGGTTCGTGTCTTGTACAACCGTGGGTCGGCCGTGACAACAATTCATAGTCCAAGATGTCAAAAAGAGAATTTATGCAGTTGAGGCTGACCGACACTCACCGTGGTGCACTGTCACCAACCCGGTGTCTAGCTGCTGGATCTGAGACAGCATAAAGCTGCAAGATTCCAGGCCCGACTGAAATGCGCCCCGGCTCTTACCACGCTATCGAGCCATCTGCGGCATGACGTCAACATCCCCTAGTAGCCTGCTAAATTCAAGGCATCTGAAAGCCTAAGGTCCTCCCTGGTTCGAGACCAGTCCCAACAGATTGGTCCCGGTCTTGTCTAGTCCTGTTAGGACCAAGCCGTATTTCTTTGTCTGGGGACTTTGGTATTTCACCATGTCCAAATGCGCATGTGCTTTCTCACCTAAGCCGCCATCGAACGAGCCCGGAATGCTGGCTGCCCTGTGACGATTCCAATTGATTTGTTTGTCCCTCACCAATCACCACGTCAACATGCAGTGCGACCAGGGGGAACCCAATTGCCAACTATCTGGTTGCCAACTATCTGGTAAGTTGGCAGGAAGGACGTGCATTTCCAATCTGAGGTAGCCTAATGTTCTTTCTCACAACGGGGAACGCCGGCTTTTCATCCTAAACAAAACACACCTCATCTCTCAAAACCGATGCGTGCCGCCTCTTCTCTTTCTTCTTCCCCATACTTCCTATGAGATCGTCCAACCTACCCCTCCACCACCTTTTCAACCCTTTATCCATATCGAATTGTTAATCTCAACGACAAAAAGTGTTCAAGATGGTCAACGAGGAACCAACCCCGGAGAACCACACCATGATGCAAGGCTTCGAGTGGTATGTACCTGCCGATCAGAAGCATTGGGTGCGACTGGAGAAGCATGTGCCCCAGCTCAAAGCCTGGGGAGTAGACAATATCTGGATTCCACCAGCGTAAGATTCTCCCGTTTACAATTCCCGGATGTGCAATTAATCCGCTACAGATGTAAAGGCTCCTCAAAAAACGGCAATGGATACGATATATATGATTTGTATGTTCTGCCTGGTCACTACAATTGATTATGTACCTGACAAGAAAGGTACGATCTTGGCGAGTTCGACCAAAAGGGATCCGTCGCCACCAAATGGGGCACCAAAGACGAGCTTCTAAAGTTGGCACACACGGCTAAAGATAACGGCGTCGGCCTGTACTGGGACGCCGTGTTGAATCACAAATTCGCAGCTGATCACAAAGAAAAATGTCTCGCCGCCGAGGTCGATCCTGATGATCGCACCAAGTTTGTCAGCGATAAGTATGAGATTGACGCTTGGGTTGGCTATGACTTCCCTGGCCGCAAAGGCAAGTACAGCGACATGAAGTACCACTGGTACCATTTCAGCGGTGTCGACTACAATGCCCGGAATGAGAAGACAGCCATTTACAAGATTATGGGAGAAAAGGGTGATCAGCAGTGGGCCGAATCTGTCGATGATGAAAAGGGCAACTAGTAAGGGACGACCGTGCTCTTTCAAGGATATTGTGTAGCTAACCTCAGCTTTCAGCGACTTTCTAATGGGTTCTGATCTTGATTACGACCATCCTGAAGTCGCCAAAGACGTCCTCAACTGGGGCAAGTGGCTTGCTAAAGAAATTCCCCTCCAGGGAATCCGGTTTGACGCAATCAAGCACTATAGTGAAGACTTCTTGCGCCAATTCATTACCGAGCTGGACAAAGAGTATGGCAAGGGGTGGTTTTTCGTTGGAGAGTTCTGGAAAGACAGTCTTGACGACATGTCTGAGTATTTGGCTCGCATGGGCCGGCAATTCACACTCTTCGATGCGCCCCTCGTTTACAACTTTAGCGAGATCAGCAAAGCAAACGGCGCTGACATGAGAAAGGTTTTTGACGGCACACTGGTACAGAAAGAGCCTATAAACGCCGTGGTAAGATCTTCATCCCAGTTCTTTCTCCTTGTTCTGCTTTCCTAATCCGAGAAGACTCTAGTGATGAATCACGACACCCAGCCGTATCAAGCTCTTGAAGCTCCCATTGAGGGCTGGTTCAAGCCAATCGCCTACGCTCTCATCCTTCTTCGCAGTGAAGGTTATCCATGCATCTGGTACGGTGACCTGTACGGTATCAAGGGCGAGCACCCTTTCCCGCCATCTTGTGGCGGTGCTCTGCCAAAGTTCACACTTGCCCGAAAGCTCTATGCCTACGGAAAGCAAGTCGACTACTTCGATTACCCCACATGTCTCGGCTGGGTCAAGTATGGTACCTGGGACCGACCTTTTGGCTGCGCCGTTGTGGCCAGCAATGCGGGGCCTGGCTCAAAGCGTATGCATGTCGGTGAGATGCATTCTGGCGAGGTCTGGACCGATGTCCTAGGATGGAATGACCGGGAGGTGACCATTGGCGACGATGGATTCGGAGAGTTCGTGTGCTCTGGTACGTCCGTGAGTATCTTTGTCAACCGTGACGCGGAAGGTCGAGACAAGTTTACAAAGGAATTGTGAGTACCCCGTCTGCCTTTTCACCTTCTCACAAGCTAACTCTTCCAAGCGACTCCAACATCTACGAAGAATGAGAGGAGGATAATACAATGGGTTTCAATGACCTTGTTAAGCGAGTTGGGTCTTTTTCAAAGAGTCTTTGGGAATTGATAACGTTCTCGAGAACAAGCTGATTACTGTTTAAAATTGAAAGTAGACCTATAAAGTATCACCACAATACAGAGGCTAGTTCATTTTTCATGTTCTCTAAAGCTGATTGCGATGTTTGTCCTTCGAGCCCCGGCCACTGTTGTATTGCCTTTACTCTCCTGTAACGGATAGTAGGAATCCAAAAGAAGCATGGGACGCACTGAAGCTTTAATAAATTCATGGTATTTGGCATTCTGTGTCTCAACCTATTCACAGACTTTTACTACGTTCGATGTTTTGCGACAATTGCAGAGGCCAGGCTAGGACTTAATGCTATTAAAGACTCGGCAATGGCTGAGCCCAAGTTCCCATGCTCAATCGAAGAGGCATGCTTAACTGAACAATAGTCAAGACTTACCACTCGTAAAACAGTCACCTGAGAGTTCCATTTCACCTATTCATAATGCAGTGTTCCGGTCTCGCCAGCGTGACCCTGTGGTTGAGTCTTCCCCACACCAAGTAAAGGTAAGCATTATGTGCTATCGCCGTTCTCCACTTAAGAAACAGAAGGAGACCCGCCTGACTTGCTGTTTGCGGTTAGAAATTGACATGTCCTGCAGATGCGATTTCGAGTAAATGAAGAGACTTGGCCAGTTTAGGATTGACGTTGAAGGGGAATCATTCAGCACAAGTTAAGTAAACTGCCCGGCCCGGGCGCGAACAGTACTCGATGTTTAGAGTTATGCTGAACATTTCGCTTCGATTCCGGTAGCAAGACTCCTTCATTGCCTGTGAAACCAAGGTATGGAATTTATGGCGCTGTTCAAACCGCTGCAGTCGTTTTACAGGCGCCGGCTATGCCGTATGCCAGCTAACGGGGCATTTAGGGGTTCAAAGGTCCCGCTTCAAGTTGCAAAAACTCCATCTTGACGGGACGATTCGTGGTGAACCAATACACATATCAATAAATCCACAACTTGCTTTCTTTTGACAGTTACTATTTTGCTATACTTACCAATCTAAAAATCGAATCAGACCCGGGCCGGTGGTAGCTCCCAATGGCAAAAGGCAAGGGCTCACCCAGCGACCCCGCATCACTAAGCTTCTCTTATCACCGATGCTGCCCCAGTCCCCACGTCATATCCCCGCCATAGACCGCACCTCTCAGCTCCCTGTGCGGAGAAGCTATCCGGTGTAGCTATCCGGTGTTTCACTGAGCCTCTCCGCCATTTTCCCCTATGCCCCCTACAATCGAGGAATGGGAACTATTTTATACCCTTTTAAACCGCTCACAATTGAGCAAAGGTTACCATATCTTAAGTCTTTGCTGTTCTTTCTTTTTCATTAAAAGTGATACCCCTACACAATTCATGAGGCAAACCTACCCCGCACTCGACGAGCGTCCCTCTCATTCATAGCTTCAGATCACCATCACAATGTCCGACCTTTCCGTTCAGCTGGAGGCCCCTAACGGTGTCAAGTACACCCAGCCGACGGGACTTTTCATCAACAACGAGTTTGTCAAGTCTTCTAATGGCGAAACCATTGACTCGATAGATCCAGCGTGCGCTACCCCGCAATAACATGATAACACACATAAGCTAACGTATTTGTAGAACTGAGGAGAAGATTGCCTCTGTTCAGGCTGCATCAGAGGCAGATATCGACAGAGCTGTCAAGGCCGCCCACACGGCGTTGAGGCACGAGTCCTGGAAAGGCATCTCGGCCACAGACCGAGGTGCTCTTTTGTACAAGCTTGCACATCTAATTGAGCAGAACAAGGAGATTCTTGCGACGATCGATGCGTGGGACAACGGTATGCGAATGGGCAGCACTCACTTTTCTCATAGGATTTTTGCTCACACCTTTCACAGGAAAGGCCTACTCGGAAGCCCTCGAGATTGACCTGTCTGAGTGCGTTACCGTCATCCGCTATTACGCCGGCTGGGCTGATAAGACTTTCGGCCAGACTATCAACACAACTCCTCAAAAGTTTGCGTACACAATCCGCCAGCCCATCGGTGTTGTGGCCCAAGTAATCCCATGGAACTACCCTCTTTCCATGGCGACATGGAAGCTAGGACCCGCCCTCGCCTGCGGAAACACGGTGGTGCTCAAGGCTGCGGAGCAAACACCCCTTAGCATCCTGTTCCTCGGCACTCTTGTCAAGGAGGCAGGCTTCCCGCCGGGCGTGGTCAACTTTGTCAACGGTCTCGGTAGAGTTGCCGGCGGTGCGTTGGTGAGCCACCCTCTGGTCGACAAGGTTGCCTTCACCGGCAGCACTGCGACGGCGAGAGCTATTATGGGTGAGGCGGCGAAAACCCTGAAGAACATCACTCTTGAGACCGGCGGCAAGTCTCCCCTCCTTGTTTTCGACGACGCGGACATCGAACAGGCTGTCAAGTGGTCGCACATGGGCATCATGTCCAACCAGGGTCAGATCTGTACCGCGACGTCGAGAATTATCGTGCAGGAGTCCATCTACGATGATTTCATCAAGAGATTCGTCGAGACTCTCAAGGCCGTTAGCAAAGTCGGAAACCAGTGGGACAAGGACACTTATCAGGGCCCCCAGGTGTCCAAGGTCCAGTACGAGCGCGTGCTGGAGTACATTGACATTGGAAAGAAGGAGGGTGCCAACCTCGCTGCCGGTGGCGAGCCCCTGAGAATTGGGGACAAGGGCAAGGGCTTTTTCGTTGCGCCTACAGTCTTTACCAACGTCACTACGAAGATGCGAGTATGGGGCGAGGAAATCTTTGGCCCCGTCGTGGTTATTGCAAGCTTCAAGGACGAGGAGGAAGCCATCAACCTTGCGAACAGCACAGAGTATGGCCTCGGTGCCGCCGTTTTCACGACGCATATAGAGCGCGCCCACCGCGTAGCTGCTGAAATCGAGGCGGGAATGGTTTGGATCAACAGCACCCAAGACAGCGATCCTCGTGTACCATTTGGAGGCGTCAAGCAGAGCGGTATTGGTAGGGAACTGGGTGAGGCTGGTTTGGAGGCCTACTCGCAGATCAAGGCTGTCCATGTCAACATGGGCACCAAGCTTTGAGGTATGGCCTGGGGAAAATGTCTGTTGGAATGTTTTGATGAGCGATATCTTGATAGTAATGAGACCTTGAACGATCAAATTTTGTGCAATGATTCTGGGAGTTGTGCAATACTCCCTTTCATCAACATCATGCAGCACGAACGTTAAAAAACCCAGTCGACGCCAAGGATTCGGCTCTTATGTGTTTGTGCTTTAACTTACTTCTATTCAGGAAATTGAGAGAATCTATGGGTATAGCACCAGCTCATACTTGCCCGGGAGCAGCTTAACTTTCTTTCCAGTTGCTCTCCTCAAGTTCCCACCACCTTGGCGAGTAACCTCCGCCTCGCTCTCATCTCTCGGCAACAACAAAGTCGCCGTCGTGCTCGTAGGAACCGTGATCTTCATTCGCACATCATCGCCCGCACGTTTGAACGTGACCTCAATATTGCCGTAAGGGCACTCAAAGGTTCCCTCCACGAGATTGAATTCCGACTTCAGAGGTGGCTTGACCGTCCACGTTTTGTACGCATCCTCTTCAATCTTGACTCCGAGGACAGCCTCATAAAACCACTCGTAGATGGTTCCAAGCATGTCATGACACTTGCTGCGGCAGGCATCTTGCCAGAACTCGTTCAAAGTTGTCTCTCCGCGTCTAATGAATCGCATATACGAGGGGTGCTCTTCCTGGCGGGCCATTGCCATGACGATATCCGGCCTGTCGACGTCCGTGAAGGTATTCCACAGCCACTTTAGGCCGATCTCGCCAGCCCGGATCCTGCAGTCAGAGACATCGTCCACGAATGCCTGCTGAACGTCGGAAACGTATTCTTCAGGGACGAGACCAAACTGGAGGGCCATGGCTTGGGCTATCATAGTCCGATCGTGTGTGCCCGGGTTATCCAGGGATGTGTAGAATGCGTAGGGGTGTTCTTTCTTGTCAGCAACGAGGAGATGGCGATTGTAGACTTCGTAGATACGATTCGCCCATTCCTGGAAACGCTTGACATCCGCTTCATGACCCAACTCCCTGGCCATGAGCTCGACGTTTCTGAGACACCGGTAGTAGATTGCTGTTTCAATGTTGGCTTGGTGGTTTCCAAACGCGATGTCTCGGCCCCAGTCACCGAGGCCATGCTCAATTAGTCCACCCTGCCGCTCCTTTGTATGTAAGTATTCCATGTATCTGACGCAAGGCTGGTACATCTTTGCAAACATGTGCGTAGATCCGTAGTATCTCTTGAGCATCTCGGGAATCAGAGCAATGGCGCCACCCCATGTGATGGTATCATGCATGGGGCCGCACATATATCTGATTTCGGGGGCCATCGTCGGTACCAAACCGTTGTACTCTTGGGTGTCGAATATATCATCGAGGATCTTGGAATGGAGAGCCTCAATATCGCGGATGTACTGGGTCGCCGGCGCCAGGAGGTGGGTCACCTCAAGCCATCCGAATTTCTCAATCTGAGGGCAGTCGGTGTGATAACTGAAGAGGTTGCTCACAAAAGACCAGTGACACATGTTGATCAGGGCGTTTGCGTCTTCCTTATCCGTCTTCAAACTACCGAGCCGGCGAGATGCGGAAGACACGTGGCGGCCTACCAGGGAGCGTATGACCGGAAGCCCTTCTCCCTCGTTGAGGGACACACCTTCGACTTGGATGTATCTAGCGCTCGTGAAACTAAAGTCAGGCTCCCAAACCTCAGCGTCACCGGTTCCAGCGAGAGTAAACTTGGCATAGACTTTGGTCTCAAATTCTTTGAACAAGGGGTCTGGCATCAGCACCCTGCCATTCTCATCGATGCTCTCGGAGTACCGAACAATCACCTGAGCGCCAGCTGGACCACTGACTTCAAGTCGAACCATTATGGAAGCATTCTGGCCCAAGTCAAAGGCCACGACGCCTGGCTCAAGAGTCTTTGTCGAAACCGGTTGGAAGGTTTCGTGTAATGTGACAGGAGGTTGGCTCTGATACTTGAGTTTTCCCCTTGGCCCGGTGACTGGGGTGGAAGCCTTCCACTCTGAATCATCGAAGCCCGGAGCGTCCCAGCCCGTGGGGTAATTCCTGAAGTCCTTGTCTTCAGAGGCGTAAATATTGGCTAGGGTGGTAGCACTCTTTCGAGTCTTCCAGTCTGGGCCTGAAATGACAGTTTCCCCGCTGCCATCCTCGTAAAAGAGGTGTAGCTCGGCAAAGAAGCAGAGCTCATTACCGTACCGAACAAAAGTGTTGTCCTCATACGTTGGCCAGAAAAACCGGTCGCCTTGATCGCCGGCATAGAATCCGTTACCGACGTGAGCTCCGAGAACATTCTCACCTTCGGTGAGGAAGTTACTCAGGTCGTAGGAGACAAATTGCACAGTGCGGTGGTAGTTCGTCCAGCCGGGGTCAAGAACGTGGTTTGAAGCCGGGTTGCCGTTGCAAGACAGGTTAAAATGACCCAGTCCCGAGGTAAGAGCGATAGCTCTTGTTGGCTTTCTCTTAAGATGGAGGGACTTGCGTAGATAGAAAGGCTTGTCGCTACTATCACCAACCCAGACTCCCTTCCAGCGATTGGGCTCGTCTTCGAACCACGCACGGAAGATTAAGCTTGTATGGGGCATCTATAATTGAGTCAAAGTCAGAAAGCCAAGTCAAAAAGAATGTTCAGTGGGAGAGTGTAGCATACGTAAGTCTGGTTCATGCTGTATGGCGGCAAAAGCCTGTTCGACCTCGGATATGCTGTAAAGAATTCATTGGCACTGCTCGACGCAGCGTGTCCTTCCTGATCCCAGACGGTGACCTTCCAGTAGTGGAAAGATGCTGACTTGAAGCCGCCGTCTGGCTTGCAAAGTACATTCCTCTGGGCATTGCTCTCTACTCTTCCCGAATCCCAAATGATGTCTTGATGAGAGGATTCATCAAGAGCTTCAGGGCTGAGAGCGACAACTGCGCGGTAGGCGACTTGGGCAGCATGTTCAGATTCTGAGTGAAGCGTCCAGTAGAATCGTATCTCATCAACGTCGATTCCTAGAGTCTCGTGGAAGGCATGAATGCCACAACGTGTGACCTGCATTGTGACCAGAGTGACGGAGTGATTGCTCCGGGTTGTGTGTAGCAGTCACTGTTCGGTCAAGGTGATCTGACGAAGCGAACAGCGTTTGGCGTGTTCAAGTATTGGTATCGATTAGCTGGGGCTCTTCGGCAAGGTTCCGGAAGCCAGTTGCGGAAATCGGTAATGCAAAGTCCAAAGTACCGGGATTGCAAGGGCTAAAAACGATCAATGAACCGACAGAACGGGATTTCGGTGTTTTGTTAGACCATGCAAGTGGCTCTTAGGGCTCTTTGCAGACCATTGGCCCGCCCTTAGTTTTCAAATCGTAGTGTCACTCTGAGCCGAGACAATCCCTTGTGGCAGCATGCGGGCAGGCAATTCCGCGATGGCTTTCTTAACTGCCAATTTGATATGGTGCGTTGATGAGTGGAGTTGAAAGCGACAACCAATCAAATATTCGAAACGCCTAGCTGTGGTGTCACCACGTTAAGTCGTAGTGCGTTCTCCTCTCGGCTTTTCCGAATAAGATGGGCCATACGCCGGAGGTGTTCCGGGAACACACAAATCAAGTACTCAACACGTACCTAGCCCTCACTCAAGTTCCTCATTGAATCAATGATATCTGATAGATTGAACAACATAGTTTACTGCTCACTGAAGGCAATTGAACCCAGTAAGTTTATGAAGTCAATGCCCCTATCACCAAGGCCCAACTTCCTGTCACTAAAACTTGGGGCAAAAGGTATCCGTGCTTTTTACCGTCTTGCACCATCTCCGACTTCACTGGCTACAGCACAGCGCCGAGGAGTCGACTAGGCAAATACTTGAGGCTCATGTACTTACATCGAGTAGTATGCAACATCAGGTGACAGCCATTTCGGCCATGTCGGGGTAATGATGCAGCTTAGTCTGGGGTGATGGTAGTATCACAAAATCTGGGGTGTGAAATCTGGCAAGGATTAGCCAAGTACAAAGAGCCAAGAAGACCCACTGGCATCGTTACCCACTATCTCGACTTTGATCGACAGAGAGTGAGTCCGGCAGTTTGGAAAAACAATACTGGCCTGTCTTGAGGCTTTTTGAGCTTTATCTTTAACTGTCGTCTGGCCCCGAGCCAAGTCCGTTCTTCTTTCGAAGAACTCTTCTGCCTCTCTGAAGTTCCCTCCCCATCAGTTGTCAATCATCATGGGACGTCACACAACAGTGTATTCGGCCGTCTTCCTGGCTATAGGAGGTTTCCTCTTTGGCTATGACTCCGGTATTATCACCTCCACTATTGCCCTTGATACTTTCAAGCATTATTTCAGCAAACCCTCGGATACCACCGTCGGCGGCATTGTGTCGGCCTTTCAAGGCGGCGCCATTCTTGGCACCATGGTCAACATGCTGTTCGCCCATTCAATGGGCCGCCGTAAAACCATCTTCGTTGGAGCCGTGGTGTCGTGCATTGGCTCCGCTCTGCAAGCCGGTGCTGTTAACATGGAGATGTTGATTGTCGGGCGCTTCATTGGCGGGATGGCTGTCGGCATGGTCACATCAACAATTCCCATGTATGCTTCTGAATTGTCCGAGGCCAAGTATCGTGGTATCCTTTCGGGCCTGCTACAGTGGATGTTGAGTTGGGGCTTTTTAGTCGCTCAATGGCTAGGATATGGATGTGAGCGGAACACAACTCAGTTCTCCTGTCAGTGGCTATTCCAACCCAACCTAAGACTGAGAGTTAAGGTATTCTAACATGTCTACAGGGAGATTTCCTCTTGCATTCCAAGCCATTCCCGGTCTTATTCTAGTTGGAGGTGTATTTTTCCTACAAGAATCTCCTCGATGGCTTATGGAGCGAGACCGTCACGAAGAAGCCCGCAAATCCTTGAACAAGCTCCGAAGCGGCTTAGACCCCGAAACGATCGAACTTGAATTCCGCGAGATTCGTGATGTAATCCTTGCCGACCGCGCTCTCGGAAACATTACATGGACGTCCATCATTACAAAGCCAACGTGGAGGAAGCGCCTCCTGCTAGGCTGTGGAGTACAAGCATTTGGACCGCTCAGCGGCATCAATGTCATCAACTACTATGGCCCTCGAATCTACGAAATCCTGGGCATTGAAACACGAACTTCACTCATGATTATCGGCATCAGTGGCGCGCTGTCTATTGTCTACTGCAGCATCGGTCTCTATCTCCTGGACCGCGTTGGTAGAGTCAAGCCTCTGATTGTTTCCGCTGCCGGCCTGGCGGCAGCGTTGGTGGTAAACGCCGTACAAGCACAATACCTCAACGAGAACAACGCAAATCAGCTCCGCAGCATGGTGGCAATGAACTTCGTTTTCAGCTTGTTCTACACGCCTCTGGGAATTATCAGCTGGGTGTATCCTGCCGAGATCTTCCCCGTTGAGGTCAGAGCCCTTGGAAACGCCATCACAACTTTCACGAACTGGACTGTCAACCTGATCTTTGCCCAGTTCACTCCTCAGGCTTTAACCAACATTGGTTTCAAGTATTTCTACGTTTTTTTCGTATTCAACCTGATCGCCCTGGTTTGCTACATTTTCTTCTATCCTGAGACAAAGGGCAGAACCCTTGAGCAGATGGATGAACTATTTGGTGATCAGTTGGTGCCTCACGCTATGCAGGATTCCGAGGGTGCTGCCGCGGCTGTGGCCAAGGACGACAAGCTGGTGGAGGAACTCGATCGACAAGAGAAACGTGATACAGTTTAATGATCGAATTGTGGAGCCTGGCCGCTTCGCTATGTTGACAAATTCTTTGAACAGAGGTTCTTAGCGAGTGCTTCTACGATGGTGAAGGTAATTCCTCAAAAATGCGTTGCCATCTTAACGGTGCTATCAGTCAACTCGGTGTTAATGTCTTAATTGACTCATACGGTTAGATAATTAATTTAATGAGTATCAATCAATTACCTGTGAAGTTCCTGCTCTTTTCTCTCTCCAGCCTAACCAGTGATGTGGTGCGATGCACTCTATACAAGATGTCACATTATGAATTGCTCAGCAAAGCATTATAAGTTTTATGTGTATTGCTGTGTAGTCAATCGGGAACCTATTTTTGACGGTGTAAAAGATCTCAACTTATCGTGATAAGATATGCAAAGCAGTTTCACTGTGTTGATCTAGGTGTCTCCCAGTGACGCATGTCTTTGAATGAAATTTCAGCATTCTTCATTCTCATTCCTAGCCTCCATCTCCCGAGGCCGGGCCAGAAATTCTCCTCTCCAGTGTTGCCTTTCTGACTCATGTCGAACCATCCAGCCTCTGTCTGAGAACTGGACAAAGTAGGATAGAAACTGCACCAGCGGTCGCTACCAACAAGCTCTCCTTGACTTCCTTCGGCCGCGGGCACAGGAGGTTGAACGACTGTGAAGTCAATCCCCAGCAACTTGACTAGCGAAGTTGTGAGTGGGAAACTGGGCATGTACCGAATGGGACTGTAAATGGTGCTGAAGAAAGGCTTGATATCGGCGGCAGCTTCCCTTTGATCACCAGTGGTATCGTGAGGGAATATCTTGATCTCCGTGGCACCGCCGGGTAATTCGTTAAACTCAAATCGAGCTAGGTGCTTCGGGGTATTCCAATCTAACTCATGTCAGCTCCACTGCCCCAGCTATATGTGCTTCGATTATCGTCTTCGACTTCACGTTACCTTTGCGCCCGTTCCAGCACGCTGTCTTCTGGGAAACGTAGATGCGCGTGATACGCATGTTTTTCTTTTCCTTTCTCATTTCATTCTCTTCGACTGGATAAGTGTACATGCCAGTCGATAGAATGAACTCATCATATGGGCCTGCTGGGCTAGACTCATACCGATGGATTTGTATGGTAGCAATACCTCCCTGAGGAGACCCTGAGTTTGCAGCACTTGCAAAGGAGGATTGAGCTTCCAGAGGAGAGAAGGCTATGTCCGTTGGTAACGATTTGGCCTGAGATGACGGTATCCAGAACATGAAGAGGTAGGATGTCCCTTTCAAGTCCCATGGCGGGGGCACATGCTTGATAGGTCCCTCGTCGATTGTCATCGTACCTCAAACGCTCTGCTATTACAATAAGTTTGATGAATCTGGTCTCAGACGTTAAAACGAGATTCTAAATGTCGTATCGAATGAACACCACCAGATGCGAAGACGTCAAACTGGGAGAGACATTAATAAAGGGAGAAAACCCATTCTCCGACTCAGCTGGGCGGCAGCAGATCCAAATAGGACTGAGTGGCTTGAGCTACTGACTAAATGAGAATTGGCAGCTCTTCAGCTTTGCGAACATGGCGTCCAATGACAATCGTGCATTTCAAGACATGCTCGGCTTTAGCAAGAAAGCATCTTTTCATTCGGTATAATTAATACAGCGCATTACCTGAGCCTGCCTCCCAAGATATTCAATGATTTTGAGAGAGCCGACTGCAAGGACTGAAAAGGCTGTCTGCTCTGATGCCAAGCTTTTGGCCGTGGTGTAAGAAACAGTGGTGGCTTATTTTCGACATTTTGAAGGTAGAGCACGTGGATGCGGATTGTTCCGTCCCCACCATCTCTTTACTGTGAAGCGAGCAAGTTTGGTCAGATGTGATATGCTTGTGCGTTATGGTGTACTAAGGAAACGGATAAGCGGGTTTCCAAATCTTGGTTCATGCAGCCACATAACGTTTGTAGCCTATCTAGATGCAGTCACGAACAATAAGCTGCTCTCTTCCGGGGATGATCAGTCAGTCCATAAACGCCAACATAACGATCTAAATCAGGGCGTCAGAAAGCAGCCGTTGACATTTTATTGGCTACTGAAAACTTCAGCTGTGCCAACCAATACTGGAACAAAATATGAACCCAAATTGACGGTCACATGTCGCGCAAAGTAAGCGAGCTTAGGACCATACACTCTTCCCAGTGAGAACATTCTGCAACTCCTTGACGTTGTAGATAAGACGCTCACAATCATTACATGAGCCGGCCAAGTTATCATAACCCTGATATTATAATGATTACAAACCTATCTTCCTCAAGTTGTCCAGAATGGAACGTCAGCTTTGCCTGATAAGACCGCGTTCATGCGATCCATGCTCCTTTACAATTGCAGAGACATCTTCTGATAAGGCTGGTATGACGTCGCAACAAATAGAAAACATCGCGATCAGCCAGCCGTTTCGTTAGTGCAACAGCATCCAGGTGTGAGTTCTTTCTTGACTGGAAAGGTTTAGTACAGTTTGATGGACTGAAAATATAATCAAGTTTTCTGTCGCTGACCGATCCGTTGAAAATGTTGGCCTGAGGAGGCTTCAGAACAATCGAGGCTGTGCACGTAATGTTTTCGTCGTGTTTAGGCTTGTTTTCTGGTATTTGGTTTGTCCGTCAAGTGCAGCACTTCGCCTTGGAGCCCATGTTCTACCGCGTGCATGAAGATCTATTCCTCAAGAAGGCTCAAAAGTCGGATAGAATTTCTCTCATATTGTCCAGTCATTTATCTACCTTGTTCCCATCTTTCCTTATTCATGCAAAGACCGAAGATATCATGCGCAGAAACAGATTCCCTCCCGGTGTTCATACTTCTACTTCGCTAGAAAGTACACCTCAGGCAGTAATTGAAGGGGTTCAGCAAGGTAAGCACCCTACTTCCAAATATCGTATCTAGTATAATGTAGAAGCAGAATGTTCTATCATTATTCATTCATTGCTAGTAAGTGGGATTATCTTTTGGCTGGACATAGCCCCGACTCCTAGCTCGGCGAGCTGATTCTCTCGATACTTGGCATACGTTGGCCGAGTCTAACAGGAAAATGCCTTTTCCGGGTCACGCTTATGCATAGATTTTTACTAACTATCAAGTAAAGGCCCCTCGGTCCGTTCTTTCTATGGTTTTGCCAGGTCCTTTTCGTTTTCTCAAGCTCAACCGAGAATGTTAAACCCTAAATGAGGGGGTACGATGTTGCCCTTCTTGCATTGCGCTATCACTCAAACAAGGCAAGCAGAGACACGTTGCTCAATTTCTGCCTCTATTAGTTTTTCATGATGGATTCGGGCATCTTCGTCACACATGACCACAGCCCAAGGCCTCCAAGCATAAGCCTACGGTATAGGCCCCTCAGCCAAAAGAGGCCATTACAGCCAAACGCCTAGATTGTATACCTTACTTAGGCCCACCCACATCTACGACAGTATTGGTTAAAAAAAAGCCAATGAATCGAAAAGTTGGAAATTTGCGTCGTTTTCCTCATTTACTGTCTGCAGAGAGACGTCGCAAGACCGGAAGGTGGAACTGGTCGACACAAAAACACCTTCAAGCCTTTCCGGGTCCTTCCTGTTGTGTTGTCATGAAAAACAAAAACTCAGTCATATATGTCAAAGTGAATAGCTCATGTCAAGTGTCAATCAGTTTATCCACCGTGCAAATCTCGGGACTCGGATATTTGGAAGGCGAACAGTAGGTGAACAGTCTTCGAAGCGGAGAAGACGAATTGCAGCCTTTGCTTTAGGTTACTGAAGCGGATTGCCTGAAACCTATACTGGTCCAGCGGTATAAAAAACTGTCTGGCTTGGGTGTAGACTGCGTCTGAATAGCGCTAGCTACCTTAATTAGAAGAGAGCACGGTAGCACAAGTTATCTTTGAGTTCTTGTACTTGTAGATGGACACATATCATATTTGTAGCTCCCAGTCTCTTTTTCTCTCAATGTGCAAGCATACATACAAGCAAGAGCAATATTCGAAACCACAGGCAGCTTCTAGACTGAGGTTATCAACCATTGCGCTGGGATTTAAGGAGGCATTTAAGCGAAAACCTGCTTGAAGAAGCCAAGACCGTAGCTCCGGAAATACAAAATCAGTGCATGTCACGTCAAATAAAAGCTACCTTAATCAGATACACACGATCTAGCTCAATAATTACCTTTTAGGTTCTAAATCCCCAGGGACAAAGAGATAACCGGCTTTTTAAAGATCCATCCCTACCTGCCTTGCATATTGATCCTTTTCATCCAATCATCAACGATGTTGGTAAGATTGCTACTCCAGTAAACGTTCACTGACGTGCAGTGCAGCCCCACTATCCTGGATGTCGCATTTGCTGTCAAATCATGAGACTGATAATCTCCTAGGGAGTGCTATGGTGACCTGATTAGTCTCTTGGCAGCGGAAAAGAACTCTTCCTGCTTCTAATTCCTTTGTTTAGAGCCTAGAGAAGTTGTGTCATTGCTGAGCTTTGGGGAAAATGTTCACCCTTCCCCTCGTTTAGAATCTGGGGTAACGATATGTGGATGTCTGGGGTAAAACCTGGGGCTGCACATCAAAACAAAGTAGATGCGCCCGTTAAGAATGAACAGTTCTGCTGGCATACCCTTTCTTCCAAGTTTATTCTCTCTAGACATCCAACGTCTCGGGTTTCTTGCCAAACTTTTCGCATCGCAGCGCAACCTTGAGATAAACACAACCGATCATGGTAAACATCTTCAAGCGACCGAAGGATGATTCAGCCAATCCGGCACCGTCTGAAGTCTACAACTGGCGGATATATGGCCTTGCAGCTTCTGCCGCCATGGGATCCGCCATGTTCGGGTACGATTCAGCATTCATTGGAGGTACCATGGCTCTCCCTTCGTTCAAGAGTCGGTTTGGTCTGGACTCTTCAACCGGGACAGCGCTAGCCGCTCTGCGAGCCAATATCGTAAGCACATTCCAAGGTGGTTGCTTTTTTGGTGTGCTATTTTGTTACTATCTCGTGGAACGACTTGGCCGTCGCTGGGTCTTGATTGGATGCGGTGGTCTCTTTGACCTCGGCGCAGTGTTGCAGCTTGTCGCCAATGGCAACTTGGCTTTTATCTACGCCGGTCGTGTTCTTACTGGTGAGTACACAGATCTTGAAAGATATGGGTTGAAATGACCATTAATGGATAACCATAGGACTTGCTGTCGGTGCTTCATCCATGATTATACCCGTTTACATATCCGAATCCGGCCCTCCTGCCATCCGTGGACGTCTAATCGGAGTTTTCGAAATCTTCCTACAGTTCTCACAGATCATCGGCTTTTGGGTCAACTATGGAGTCAACATTCATATCTCAGGCACATCAGATGTGCAATGGCACGTTCCATTTGCGCTGCAAATCATCCCCGGCACGCTTCTCTGCATCTGCATGTTCTTTCAGCCCGAGTCCCCTCGATGGCTGTTGAACGCTGGTCATACGGACAAAGCCCGAAAAGTCCTTCAGCGACTTCGGAAATTACCTGCCGACCATCCTTATCTCAACTGGGAGATAAATACAGTTCTCCAGCAAATCGAGGAGGAGACTGCTCTTGGGGCGAAGAGGGGCATCTTGGAAAAGCTGCGGGAGATTAAGCTCCCTACGAATCGGCGACGCTTGCTTCTCGGTGTTGCACTCATGTTTATCCAGAATATGTATGTGGATGAAAGGGCACGACGCGTCATGATACGATACTAACCGTATATCAGGAGTGGAATCAACGCACTAAACTACTACAGCCCGTCCATCTTCCAGTCCATCGGTTTCACTGGTACTAGTGTGGGATTGCTCGCAACTGGAATTTTCGGCATTGTGAAGGCCTGTGCTACAATGCTATACATGATTTGGGGTGTGGACGCTCTCGGCCGCAGGCAATCCCTCATGATTGGCTCAACGGGCGCTGCAATTGCTCTTTTCTATCTCGGTGCCTATTCAAAGCTCTCCGGGTCCTTCAGCGCAGGGCAAATATCTGCAGGAGAAAGGTCACCAGGTGCTTACGTGGCGATCGTCATGATCTATGTCTTTGCTGTTTTCTATGCAATCTCATGGAACGGCATCCCTTGGATTTTCTGGTAAGCATTCCCGTTTGATATGTAAGGTAAAGAATAACCCTGTGCTGATGTTGTTTCACAGCGCCGAGATTTTCCCCATGGCCATTCGCTCAATATGTCTAGTCTTCACGACTTGCGCGCAATGGCTTGGTCAATTCACTATTGTCTACTCGACGCCTTACATGATGACGGACATCACCTATGGCACATTCCTGTTGTTTGCCTGTTCGGTCGTTTTCGGTTTCTTCTTCACATTCTTCCTGATTCCCGAAACTAAAGGAATTTCTCTCGAAGACATGGACATTCTATTTAACAGGGAGGGCATGCCGAGGACATGGCGCCGCCAGGCAGAGGAAATAATCGAACAGCGCCGAGCTGACGGACATGCGGACGCATTAGGTCGGGATGAGAAGGAGATTGCGGCTTCACACCATGAGGCTTAGCAAGTCTTCATCCTTGGCACTTTACATTCTACAGTAATGGGAAGCGACAGGAGGTGTATAATGAGGCAAACTTTTGCTTGAACCGTTTGAAAAATCGACCTTTAGTTGATTACAAGCAGGGCACCTCCTTTTGCCCCAGCCAAGTCAGGTACAATAAATCCACTAGTCATTAATGAGTATTGATACTCCAGCCACTAAGTTTTAAGCCCTCCCACTGTTCCTTGTAACTAGTGCCTTGAAAGTGAACAACCCATATGTAGTCAGTCTGCCTAGGCTTCAAATATTGCATAGCAACAGGTAGTTTGTCGTATCTATATGTTGATGCACATCAATAAATGTCATGAGAGTAGGTGGTACTTGAAGGCATGTTGATTCTGGGAGAAAGTAAACTCCAACTTCAGAAGCACTTAAGAGGTATTTTGTTCTTCTTTTCTGGGAAAATTCCCTTTTTTTATGAAACCTCGCTCGCACCTTTCTTATATACTCAAGAAGTGAAGCTTTGACTGGTATTTTGCAGGACTATACTTCAATCAGAGTCATCCACTGCACCAAGCAGTTATGGCATTTATCAAAGACCACCGGCTGACTTTGTCTGTCATCACTCTGTGTGACTGTCAGCCCTTATAACGCCTCAAAATATTAAAGTTCAAATCAGGGAGGTGCTAACAGTTTTCTCTTTCTGAATCAAATGAGCAGTTTGGGAATATCCACGATGAATCGTGAAGACACTGGTGCAGTCGTTGGGACGATATGGGTGAAAGGGGTGAAACTTACAAACTCTTACAACTCATTCACCACAAAGACGTCTTCTTCTTGCTCTTTTGGGTTGAAATATCAGATATTTGCTGTCCTCCTTCTCCATTTTGTTCTTTTAAATCTTTTCATCGCAAAACTTCTTCTTTCCACCTTCACCACCAAGGATCGAGAATCCTAGAAGTCGACGCTCTTAAGTCCTCTTCTGCCACTTCTCAGCCCTCACACAACTACTTGGTGAATACCAAAGACGACCTATTTTTCTTCTTTTAGTAGATTGCGTCTGTACGATATCAAGATGGACTCCGATGGAGATATGGAGTCGCTCTTCGGCTCTTCGGTACCTTCACCAGAATCGCCTCCCACCGCGGTTCCCGAAAGCACCAACCTGCCTGGTAATCTCCGTCTTCCCACATACTCTGCGCAGAGTTCCGTAGCCGTTGTTTCTAACAGTCAAGCTTCATCGTTTACGGAGCAACCGACTACGGTCTCGCCTCAAGATGTTCTGTTGAACCCAGGAACAGCCGCGACGGCAAGCTCGTCTACGATATTTTCTCTGCCCACCGTGCAGAACCACGCCTCTCCCAGTGCTACATCCAACCAGCCGTCTTCTGCCGCTGGGTCCGGAGCATCGGCCACCTCCAGTCGCTCCCGCACAACTGTTCCTGCGCCTGAGGGTTACAAGAAGTGCACCAAATGCAAGCTCAACTACCCGGTCGCCACATATGAGCATATGCGCGCCCTGGGTCAAATCGATCACTATGTCCAGTGCACCGTCTGCCGCGAGAAGAGAAGAAAGTCAACTGCTGCAACCAAGGCCAGAAAGGCAGAGGCTGAGGCCCGAGAGCAAGCGCACCGCCTCGAACAGCAGCAGCAGCAGCTTCAGCAGCAATATCATCAGCCACCTCAGTTGAAGGTAGAGGCTCCCGACAATGCTCCACTGGCCTTCATGGGTGTCCATGACGGCGGTGGCAACGTCATGCTAAGCATAGAGCACGGCTCCCAGGATGAAGAAATGGTGGAGGAAGCGGATCATAAGGGTCTCGCTTTTTCTGCCATGCCTGTTGCTGCTTTGAACACTCCCGGTTCTATCATGGGCAGCGAGCGCGCTTCCTCGATTCTCACGGGTAGCTCTATGAACGTTCGGAACGATGGATTCGTAAGTACTTCTACACATGTGTTCTCTATTATAGACTGACCATGAGTTCTCAAAGCTTGATATGGATGTGGAATACGACATGAAGTACCATGAGAATCACAATTCAGCCCCGAAACAGTCGCGTGGCGCTTCCCTGTCCATCGAGTCTCAGGCCCACAATGTCGCGAACGATCTCGCGTCAGCCAACTACCAGGCACTCGAACAATCGTTGATGCCTGCCCCAATCATGGCCCCAATTTTGGCCGAAGTGATCGCTGATACGGCAAGCCAGCACACGAGCACCAACCTCCAGCTCACCACTACCGTCGCTATAAAGAGACCCCTGTCGGGGGATTTGATCAAGGCGCGCGTGGAATTTGAGCGCCGCAGGTTTGACGAAGCGCGCCATAAGTGTCTCTGGATGAGATTTCAAGACGAAGCGACCGTCACTCGGGCTTGGAAGAAGCGAGAGGCGGCAGTCATTCTCGACCTTGTTGTCGTACCTCGTCCTGAGCCGCAGCCCTTTCTGGGGCAGACGTACGCTCAAGGCTCTCACCGTAACATCCACGGAGCCTATCAGTCTCCCATGCCTTGATTGCTATCAGTCAAGATATTGATGTTATGATACCCCTCCTTCCGTTGGGAATTTTGTGTGAGCAAAGAAGAATTATGAAGTGGACAGGAGTTTGGTTTTGCTTTTTTTTTCTTCTATTTCTGTAGAGCACAGAGGCTCTCAATTCTGTATGTGGCTTTCGGAACAGCGGGTCTTGTTCATTGTTATTGGCCCTTGATGCTGTCTAGCTAGATTACTCTTCTCATTTTGTTACCTGCGTCTCACTCTCATTAGGAGGTGGGCAGACTCTCTGAAGTCGGCAGATAAATAGGAACATTCATGGATTGCTTAGGTAGTAAGACTACGTTCGCCTCTTTTCCGGCTGCCCACTCGTGCTGCGTTTGAAACCCCAAATTTTCACAGCCTTCTTACTTGCGAATCATCAAAGCAAAATGATATCAATCAGTCAAAAGTTCACCTCACCGAATTGCAAACGATTGTTAGGCATACAAGGAAAAGATCACGAGGTTTTGATTTGCAGGAATACAGGGCTATCTGAGACAGCATCAGCAGATGACGGAGGTGAGATTGAGTTTGCCCGAGGCACAAACGGTGCCGATCAGTGAGGCGCCGCAGGCCGCAGGGCCAAGTCAATATGTCGTCGTGTACGTACTCCCAACGGAGGTCTCGGCGATGTTGAGGCAGCTACACTAGGACTGCCGGACCCGAAATACGGCCCGCCTGCGCCGCTGATAAACAAAGCCAACGTAAACATTGGCGCCTCATGTAAACCTGTCGTACCTAGTCAGCCTATTCGTCGATGTAAATGCTCTGGAGTTCAATAAGACACGCGAGTTCCACTGTAAGCCGCTCCCGTGACACCGTAGTCTCACACCGATCCTCGCAGGGCTCGGCAGAGGCTTGGGGCTTGCGGGGAGGATGCGTGTGTTACCACCACCACAGAGCTGAGATGGTTGTCTGTTGGCAGGGGGGTCTTCCTGCGTGCATCTTGGCTCTGGATTTTGGGTTTGCCCAGTTACTGCTCAGAAATCGAAATGGCAGTCTACATGAATGTTAAAGACGAAGAAATAACAAACGCTATTTTCATATCACTTTGATTGCATTGGATTGCAGCTTATCCACCTTTTAGGTAGCGGGAACTTGAGGGATGGATGTGGCTCCGGAGTTTACCCCGGCACCACCGGCACGCGATGCTACATTAGTCTCCCCGCCTAAGCGGGTAGAATGTCTTGACATACGTCGGTTGGATCCTTCGCAAACGGCATGTGGTGCTGTGCCTCTTCCCATCGGGTCGCGATAGGTCATCGAATCACAGACATGGAGGCACAAGTCGCGGGGGAGACCAGGCACCGAAATCCAGGTTTTATTTCGGCGATACTGGTGTGATCTGCAAGCATTAGTGTGCCCAAGCTGAAGAACCATCCAATCCGCTCAAGGGAAGCTGATTTGGAGGAAGCTCCTCTACCCCAAAGCTGTGGTCCTTCGTCTCCAACTTTCTCCCTCCCCCTGTCGGACGACAGCTCTCGCTCATAGTTTTGTTTCTGTGGATATGCTCGGAAAACAAGCAGAGGGGGAAAAACAAATAACACAGCTAGCAGCATGACGCTGTTTACTTTTAGCCTTGCCAAGCACGACTACGACACGCCTCGCTTTCGCCCGGGGCTGACACTCGAAGTGCGATGACGCATGGCATTGCGCAAACTGGACTGGCGTCTATTGAAGGCAGGCTTTCCAAGAATGAAGTCTCAATGACAGACTTCCAGGCCAAGATGAGTAGGAATGCCAGTGGAGTATATCTTTCACGGGGGCTCCCTTTTTTCCTTGAAATCAAGAGAATGGTTGCGCATTCGGGTCCCATTCACCATTCATCTAGACCTAGGTGAATTGCTTTTTATTGTTGTTCAATTGGAACACACTTTCTGTTGTTCCCAGGAACCCTTCGCCGTGGTCTGTTGCGACAAGCATATGAAGGGCGAGGACGAAGATCACTCGCGCAATTAATCAATTCACTTTCGCTTTCCAAAACGTGGAGAAAGCTGTCATGATGCAGCTCAGTCTTGTCCTCCTTACTCTCCTCGCCGGGGCATCAGCCGCGCCCATTAAGGGAATCGAACGGGCGACGATCGAGGATGAATACGACTTCATCATCGCAGGAGGTATGTCGCCGCCCATTTCATTCATCCCCTCCCCTCATATCAACGGGGTCCATAATGTACTTCTAAGCATATGACTGACACGCCATAGGCGGCACCGCCGGCCTCGTCCTCGCGAATCGCCTCTCCGAGTCTGGCAAACAGCGGGTCCTCGTTCTTGAAGCGGGGCCGACTCCCGACGTCGTCGCAGCCTACAAGCCCCCCGGCGGCAACCAGTTTCTCGGCGGCACCGCCATTGACTGGTCTTTCTACACCACCCCCCAGGAACACCTTGACGACCGCATCCTGCGCTACCACCGTGGCCGGTGCTTGGGCGGCAGCAGCGTAACCAACGGCTTCTACTACGGCCGCGGCAGCGCTTCAGTGTACGATGACTGGGTCAAAGTCGGGAACCCCGGGTGGGGATGGGACGATGTATACCCTCTTTTCGTCAAGGTAACTACCATCTCAGCCATGTACCATGTTTGCCCTACACAAGGCCACGTCTGACTCAGAGAAACAGGGCACACACTTCAACCCTCCTACCGACCACGAAGTCAAAGGCTTCGACGTAAGCTACAAGACCTGGGACCCCTCCGCCTATTCCGATGGGCCTCTCGAGCTCGGTTTCCAGGGCTATGTGCCGCCCTCCGGCGTCGGCTTCATCGAAGCATCCGCCGATGCTCTGCAGATCCCTATCGTCAATGACTACAACACCGGCAACAGCACCGGTGTCAAGCAGGGAACAGGCCACATGGATTCCCGCTTCCACCGCAGCTCCAGCTATGATAGCTATCTCAAGAAGGCCATCAACAGGACGAACCTCGACGTATTGTACTTTGCGCCCGTCTGGAAGATCAACTTCGACACCGAAGGCGAGAAGCCCAAGGCTACCGGAGTGGCGTTCATGGACCACCCAACGGGGATGGTGCATGAGGTGAAGGCGAAGAAGGAGGTTATCGTCAGCTCGGGAGCCTTCAATTCGCCTCAACTGCTCATGGTTTCTGTGAGTTTGCTCCCAGGCGACGACGTACCTCGAAGTAGAAACTAATACTAGCCAGGGCATTGGTCCAAAAGATCAACTCGAACAATTCGCCATCGAACCGGTCCTCATCAACGAGAACGTCGGTCAACAGTAAGCCCTTCTCTTCCTCTCTCTTTCTTATGAAGCACAGCTAACAATCTGCAGCCTAAACGACCACTCCGTCTTCTCCATCATGGCAAAATCGACCCCAGAATTCTCCACATCAGACATGGCCGCCACCTACTCCGCCCTCCGCGAGGCCCAGCTCCAGTTCCACGCCAACGGCACGGGCGACTACACGGCCCCGTCGGGAATCACAAACGCCTTCCAGAAGCTGTCTGAGCAGGAACTCCACGCCATCGGCGCGGGCGACGTCGTGACCGCCGGCCTCGCGAACCAGTCGCACATCGAATACCTCTTCGAATCCGTCTTCTACCCCAGCGGGCCGACGCCGTTCTACACGCCCCTCGGTAACGAGACGTACATCTCCCTGACGGCGTCCAGCATGGTCGCCTTGTCCCGCGGAAACGTGACGTTGCGGTCGAACTCGATGGCCGAGTTTCCCAACATCAACCCCAATGTGAGTTTTCTCGCCCTTCCGTCCTAGTCCCACCACCACCCTCCGTTACACAATCACACATACTGATAAACCTGCTCGTAATAGTACTACGCACATATCGCAGACCGCAAAATCGCAGTCCAGTCCTTCAAATACCTCCGCAAGATCCTCGCTCACCCGCGCATGTCCGCGTTCACCGTCGGCCCCAACCACGGCGAAGTATCGCCGGGCACCGCCGTCTCCGAGGACGACGAGGAGGCCATCCTATCTTACGTCCGCAAGAACACGATCCCCAACTGGCACGCTTCCGGCACAAACCAGATGCTCCCATTGGAAGACGGCGGCGTCGTCGACCCGCGTCTCCGCGTCTACGGCGTGGACGGCCTGCGGGTGGTGGACTGCAGCATCATCCCCATTCTGCCCGACGTCAACATTGTCGCGTCGGTGTTCATGATTGGCGAAAAGGGGGCGGAGATGATTCGCGAGGACTGGAAGGACGTTTAATGCTTGAGGAAATGACCACGGCCTTCCTTTGTATGACGAATTATGGCTATTAGTATATTTTAATTTATGATATTGCACTGAATCTTTGGTGTTGTTTGATTCCAGTTGATGACCATGCACGATTCACCTCGATCTCGCCTGTAGAGGAGGACCTCCTAGTTCTCTGTAGAGATCGTTACAATGCTCAAGTCTCAAGATGTACACGCTTACTCCATATCATGTCCATAATTCAGAGCCAAACCAGACATTGAAACTGACAGAAGAGCGAGGACATGCCATCCCCATCCATCCTGCCATCTCACCTCGGCCGAATGCTCCGACAAAACGACACAAGCCTCAGCAGAGATCTGAAGAAGGTTGTCGTTTTACCAAGGGGCAAGGAAAATGGCGCCAGCGTCAGAAAAACCCGAGAAGAACCGTCCAATGATCCGTCCGCCCTACCATTGCCAATGGTCCATTTTCCGTCTTTCTCGGTTCCGAAGACAAGGGACAGCATCAGGGCACTAAACAACAACAACAACAACAACAACAACAGGGGATGATTCTTTTGGCCGGGCTGCCCTCCCGTACGGTCGGAAAGGTGGGAGGCAGCCTTCGGAAATGCCCGCGAGATCCGATCGCAATGGCTGGAATGCCAGGCCGGGCCTGGCAAGAGCTGGGCCAAGCGTTTCATGGATGGTCAACTGGCAAGTTATCAAGGCTTGGGCCAAGCATGGATGAATGGAAGTGGAGGGGATGCGAGAACATCGGGTGAAAAATGCGTTGAGCAATTTCTTGAACCTGCCACGCGACGTTTCGTGCCTCACCTCTCTGCCGGACCCATATTAACGGACGTGAGACATGGCAGGGAATGTAGGTAATTTCTTCACAATGGATTATAGCAGGACGAGTTTTGAAGAATTCTTTTTGTTTCTTTTAGATCGAGTGGCGGGAGCTCCCAATCTATCTAGTACACGATGGCTGTGGCAAACCGTAATCCCATCTCTTGCTCGCCAATGATAACTATCATCAATCATACCGAACCTGCTTGGTTCCTATAGAATTCTTTTCATCCTCCCAGCGCATAGTAAAAACAAGGAAAAAGAAAAAAGTTAAAAAGAAAATAGATGCTTTCCCTGTTCGGGTGTAGTTGGTCCCCATGTCAACCCAAACGCCATGTCCCAGATATCAAGCTAGTATGCACAGGAAATGGTTGTAAAGACTCAATGCCCATATTGAAGGTGCCAAAAAATAGAAAGGACTGTGAAATTAGAGACAGAGCGACTCTAATCTTGCGAGGACAGGCTCCAGGCTGGCGGAAATGCGTTGCACCTTGGCCAGGGCGACACATGCGGCTTGTTCTTCTTCCGAGGCATCAACAAGTTCGTAGCGAGCGAGAACCTTCTCGGACTCGATGCCGCCAAAGATTTCAATGTGAGAGAATCCTTCGGTGTCGAGTTCAACGGGTCCATCAGTGGCGGGGGCAGGAGCAGAGTGGTACAGAGCAAATTCGGGGTCGTTCTCGAACTCGTCGTCAAAGACCTCCTCATCAGCAAGAGACTGGGCAGGAACCTCGGGGGCGAGAATCTTAGGGGCCTCAACAGTAGGGAGCTCAATCTTCTCGTCGTCGGACTCGAACTGCTCACCGACGAAGTTGGACGACTTGCCGGAAAGGACGTTGGTGTCGATGGAGACAGGAACCTCGGGAGTCTGGACAGTGAAGACCTGGGGTTGGAAGTTGAAGTCGGCGTTGTCCATGTTGAGCATGGAGAAGTCCATGTTCTGCTCGGGGATCATGGCCATACCGATCTGCTGCTGCTGCTGCTGCTGGTTGTTGTAGGGGTTGACATCCTTGGGAATCTGGCGCTGCTCGGTTTGTCTCTCGACCTTGACAGCGGGGGCAGCCTGAGGAGCAGCCTGAGGGTTGGTGCTCAAGTGGTCAAGAAAGTTGGAGAAGGAAGATGAAGACAGGAGCATGCGGGTGAGGTCCTGCAGACGCTTGTTCTCATCAGCCAAAGCCCGGTTGTGGGCACGCAGATCACCATTCTCGGTAACCTTATTGGCAATCTCGCTCTCAAGTTGGGTAATGTATTCTGCCTTCTGTTAGCTGGATCACCGGAATATCTTGAGGAATGATGCTTACCCTTTCTGCGGGAGCGGAAGGCACGAGCAGAAACCTTGTTGCGGAGCTGGCGACGCTCTTTGCTGCTGAGCTTCTTGCCCTCCTCACTGGCGAGCAGTCTCTCGTCCTCGTCCATGTCCTCCTCGTCCTTCTTGGGGCGGGGCAAGTTCATAAGAGGAGTAGGGCTGCCATCCTCTTGGGCGGGCTTAGCACGCATGGAGTTGAGAAGCTGAGTGATCTTCTGCTCGACGATGGGGTCGGTGGGCTGCTGGCTCTTGGTGCGCTGCTTGCCCATCTGCTGGCGCTGCTGCTGCTGCTGGATGAGTTGCTGTTGTTGTCTCTGCTGAGCCTGAGCCTTGGCGAGAGCAGCCTGGGAGTGCATGCCGGGCCAGAGTCTGCCGACGTTGCTCTGCTGCGACGGTACCACGGGTGACTCCTGTCCGCCGATAGCGGTGGGGTTGACGGTCGTGTTGGGGAAGAAGAACTGGGAGTCGGGGGGCGACTCGAACTCCATATCCATATCCAAGCCAGTAGAGTTCTGAGAAGGAGAGGTGTTGAAGTCAAAGATGTCGTTCTCGGGGCTCAAGCCACCGCCAAGGTAGTCAAGGCTGAAGCCACCATTGTAGCCGGTGATCTGGGTGTTGGCCTCGTTCACGGCCAAAGTGCTTGCGAGAGCACCAGGGACAATACCCGTCTGCTGCTTGTACAACTCATACTGATGGCTAGGGCCCGTGAGGGGCTGTGATGCAGAGGGCAACGTTGGTGTCGCGACGGAGCTAACTGAGGGGCGGGCGAAAGTGTTCTTGGCTGTAGCAGCGGGGGACAGAGACGGTGACTGGTAAGAAAGGTTGTCGTACTCGCTAAAATCGAGAAGGGCGTCGATGTTATCGACGTTTTGATTCGAGGTCATGTCGTCGGTTTGTAGGGGATCGATCCCTCAGATATCGTGATGTTAGGCGGTTCTTTATGGATTCAGGTCGGCACGTCTCAGTGCGTGGCGAACCTCGTTCTCGTGATGGCTATCGCAGAACCCTTCTCGGCTCGAGGGATTCGAAGAGTAGGCGGTTGATGATGAGGCTCGTGACGAAAGGTGTCAATGCCTCAGGTAAATGTTTCGTTTTGTTGGTAGTGGTGATGTTGATGGAGAAAGAAAAAAGAGGGCGAGGTGGTTTGGACAAGAAAAGGCAGTAGATGGTAGATGAGGGAGGGGGGTCTGGGCAGAGGATGTATGGGGAGGGTCGGGCTCTGTAACAAAAGGGAGTAAAGCACGGGGCCTCCGTTTCTTGAATGATTTGGGTGCCTGGCCCTCGGAGGAACAGGGTCAGAAAGCGGGCCAAGCGGGCTCTGGGCGGGCTGAACAGGGATACCGCTCGCTAGACGAGGGGGCGCTGATGGGAGGGAAAGAGGGACGCGTAAGCCGATGGACGACGAATCCCAATTGGGACTAGCGCTGAACTGGGGAGCAAGCCCGAGCCAATGGACTGGGGCTTTGGTAGGAAGGCACTTGGCTGACGGTGCCTTCTTTAGGAGTGCTGGTACGGACACTGCCTGTTTGTATGGTGGGTGTGTGTATATGGTGGATGTGTGTCGCTATTTCCCTTCCAGTCTTTTAGAGCCTTTTGCTGCTGTTGAGTATGGCAGGTGCTGTGCAATATTCGTACAGAAGGAACCTGTTGCCCGACCACAGCGAGCAGGGGAAAGGCAGAACTTCGGGAAAGAACCACACACTGCAGCAATCACAGCAAAAAAGATGGCAGGGCCTACTGGTGATTGCACCTTCCCACTGGTGAGAGTGGTGTACACGTCTGCGCCTGAGGATGACGACGCCAGCTGCCCGTTTGGGTTGATGTAGGGTCTTTTGGTGAGCCCCGGTGCCGTGGGACTCGACGCGGCCTCGTCACTCTTTCTGGGAGCGACCGCTTGTTTTGATATGAATCCCACCGATGCCACCAACGATTCGATGGCGCGACGTCGCTTTTTTTTGAATTACTGCTGACGACGAGCCCACGAATCCGCTTGTTGAGGTTTTTTTTTTCTCCCCTTCTCCCTTGTCAAAATTATTTCCCCTCACTTTTTGTGTGCGAAAAACTGCGAAAAGACTGACGACTGGAATGTCAATCACAGAATGCACAGGCGTGGCCTCTTCGTCGTTATCGTCGCAAAACAGAATCAAATCGAATTTCTCCGAATGTAATTCTCAACCCGTCAGACGGGTCCGAAAGGGCACGTTCGACTGACAACTGAATTCCGACTGTGGCTTTTCGGGCGTAAAACCAGTTCCCGAAGGGAGCGAGAGCGAAGAGGTGCTACACGATGCCCGACGGACGCGGCGACGGACGGAAAGTTCTCAATGTGCCGCCCCTGTTCGATGGAGCGAGAGAGCTGACAGACGGTATCGGTACTTCTCTGTCGCGCTTGAAACCCCTGGCAGACGGCGTACCGATACAGTGTTGTTCTGTCCCGGGTGTGTGGCTGTTCCAGTTGGCGCTATGGCGTTCGCGTGAATTGATGCACCTCGAGCTCTTACTTTTACCACCATCAACAAATAGGAATCGTTGGTCTTCAAAGTTATGTGCTCAGCCTCGATAACAAATTACAAGTTAGCGATGATCGTCACTGACTTCCAGCTGCTCAAAACGGGCTTAGAAGCACTTCATAAGCAATTGCAGACGCCTCCAAAGCCACCTGTTGCATATTAGCCATTTTGGGAACCTTTTTTTTCCCCATTCCCTTTTCCAGTGTCGCCGTCTCATTCACTGCCACCTGCGACCGTTATGGTGCTCTCCTGAAGCTGCTGTATCCTCATCCTCGGGCAGTTTCCTTGACGCACAACTCACGGCATTGACCTTGATTCCCGACGGCCGCCCACATCACGAGGGCTTCTCCGAAGAAATTCCTCGCGGAGGGCCGTGTTTTGATATGCGCTGACAAGGCCATCCTGCGGCTCAATAGCCTCTCAGCTGCCCCAAAACGGAAGTTGTCGTCCGTCCGTTCTCAACGGGACAATTCAGAAGAGTTTTGAACCCAAGTCGTCCGTGCTCTTTGACCAGTCAGACTACTTTTCGCTCTTTCTCACGGCTCTGCACACGGTCTCAGGTCCTCAGATTTTTCGACCTAGATCATCAGTGGCCAGATTTTCAGGGGATGACCCTTTCGTAATAGAAATGCCGCTATGCAGTGCAGACTTTCATTCCTGTGGAACACTGGGCAGGCTGGTTGAATCTCCGTTCCCTGACCCTACCTCGATATTTCATGCACTGCCACCACGGCCGCTATCAAACATTAGAACCAGTAAATTACCATCGTTGCCCAATTTACTTTGGGGGTGGGGTTCCTGATTCGCCGTTCTACTGGGCTGTGCCATCAACACACCTAGGTCATTGAGAGACACAGACCGCAGGTGGCTGTCAATGAGCCTCTCTTTCCATGTTGTTTCTACCCAGCCGCCCTACTGGGCGCCGACTGGCTTACTCGCAATCCCGGCACAAACATGGCAAACAAAATAAGGCATTTAAACTTTGAGAAATACTCAATTTTGCCGATTATCCATGACCGGTTCGGCTGTATAAACACCATCCTACAGAGAGTTCAAGACTTGAAGCCACAAGGCCGGTACTGCTGGAAATTGAGCTTGTTGCAGCCCCCTGGACTTGCGGCTATCCTCATGTTACTTTCCATTTCGCCTACCGTGAAAGTCTAGACCTATCGCTCTTTGATTTTACCTTGTAGCGTACGCCGCGGATGTAGAGCCGGCACATCCCCCCGGCGCCGCTTCGGCATTGAACCATATGTTCTACTCCACAGCTCTCAGTCTCTCACGCGAACGTCTCGGCCAACTCGCTTTTGCCCCACCGGCCCCGAGCCCCCTCCCACATTCCCGAAGGGCTTCAGCCTCTGTGTACCACTACGGTACGGTATACTACTACTTCGCACACGCCGTAGTGGGCAAAGGAGCCACAGCCAACGATATCTAACCACTCACAGAGCCCGGGTCCCTCGGGGAAGCTTACATAAAGTTTCATTAGCCAGTAGCCAGCGCCGCAGTCCATAATTGTTATGTTGCAATGATTGACATTAGCTAGTGGAAAGCTGCTACCCAGAGAACCATGACGTTGGTGGTTCAAAAATAGAAAGCGTCACGCCTTGTTTCACCTGCGACCCTTCCCACGAATCCCAAGATCCTGAACGGTGCCCTTCTTCCAACCAGCCCCGGCGCCCCGGCACTTTGCAAGTGCCATTCCATCCTCCATCAGCATGGCTGACAGCCCGTCTTGTCCAATGATGATGAGGCATTGAAGAAATAGGGGTCACATCATGAAGCAGTGATTTTTCAATCAGAATTCAACTTCCCGGGGGCTTGTGGGCACTGCAGAGTGATGGCCCGTCATCCCATGTCAGATGCAGCCCCTATCCACTGATTCTCGCGGAATGGCGTCGGTATGATCGCCCACATCGGCGCATCACCAGCAGACAGGGAAGTTCTGACGGCTAGTCGCACATTTTTGATACTGTTCTAGAACGAACAGGAGCCACAAGATGGCACTTCTTTTTCTTCTGGCTCGCTCCTCACCACATCGCTGAACCCACTGCCGAAATCAAGCAACTCCTGACCCGAACATCCCAAGCATTAACAGCAATGGTATACGGATAACATTTCGAGCCTCCCTGCCTGTTTCTTAACCCTCTCACTTTTTTTTTTTTTTCTTCCTTCCCTGTTCCCCACAGAGTCAGTCTTAATCGTCCAGTAAACTGGACCTTAGCCACCATCTTCCCACATTCCAACTTTGGTCTCCACTCGCCCGGCACTGGACCGGACTTTCGTTCAAGCCAGGCATGCTTAACAAACTTTCTAGTAAAAATTTTTGCATAGTAGCATTCCATTGTCGGGCTCTCTGCCCGGGGCTGAGCCGGGAAAACAACCTAATTCGTCTTCGTAATCCCGGGCAGCGTTTTAAGCAGTGACCCTTAGCAACACACAGTGTAGTAGTGGCTCCATTTCTCCCCAGGTGAAGCCGTAAAGCAGACCGCATGGAGGGAGTCAGAAAGACGACCTTCGATAATTCGCAGTAGTGCCTTTGACCTATAACATGCAGAATTGGAACACTATGGATGCTGCATTCGTCCACTATGCTTGATGTAGCAAAACTAGGTAACTTAAAAAGACCGGCTGGTCAATACTCATCATTGTCTGTCCCACCCGCAAAAGGTGGCAGGCTGCCAAGGAGAAGAATGTTTATTCTTCTGGGCTTAGCGTCTTCGAGCCAAGCCTCGGCAATAACGGGGCCTTTCCGCTGTCAATGGCGGCAAGGCATGGCAAAGTACGGAGTTAAACGCATGAGCCACTACAGAACTGAGGCCAGGTGCTCCGTACATTGCAGCGGTTGACATTTTTTTTTTTTTTTTTTTTTTTTGCGCAGCGTGAGGTGACGGAGTGTGGGGGCTTTACCCCCAAATTGAGTGAAAGATTAATTGATTGTTGGACCCAACGAGGAAGGTCTACTTGACACTGCCAGAATGTCATGTCAGACTGCTGCTCGCTCAGTGCCGTGAGTGCCAGGACGGACCCACGCCAGCAACCACTGCCTTGATCTGCACTTGGCGCTGACTGCAAGTTTGTTCTTGTCAATCCCTATCCAAGCCACTCGTCAAGTCACACAATAGATCACGTGAGCGGCACGATCAAGGCTTCCCCCCGTGCCTCCATCCCCCCCATCCACACCACTCCCTACACTAACAAGTGATCTTCACACCCAACAAGCACATACATCTGGGCTTAGTCGCCACAAACACCCACCTCGCGATACCGTTGGCCAGACGTTGAAGTCCGGAGTAGCACCACTACAACATGTAACCGCAAATCATCCCTGGAATTCCCCCCCTGAAAATCATGCGAATCCGACAAGTCTTTACCTGTTTTGCTCAGATAAACATAGAAACATGTGCAAGCCACAGTGACCGAATGACTGCACAGCCACATCATAATGACCAGCCACATCCACACTACCCCTCACCTGTGGCGTTGCTCTCGCATGCGCCACACATCACCAATATTCTCTCCGTCTGTCCGTCGGCGAACGGGGAGAAAGTTATTGCCCGTGATCTCCGTTGCCTTCCGGAGGGTTTGCCCTCGTATGCTACATCATCCGAACTGCTAGCCCGGGGAGGGGATCCGTTTGGAGGGTAGTAGAGTTTTTATGTGCGGTGGAAGGTTGCGCTTTTTCCTTGCTTCTCCTGCGCCGACGTTGGGGCATGTGGTCGGCTTGTGCTACGCTGCGTTTTGTCCAGAATGCGTGCCTAACTTCCTCGGCTCGCGTTGCAATCGACACACCACTTTGCGTTGTTAAACTTCCCGGGACGGCAGATCGAGCTTGCTGTGAAGGAGGGAGGGGGAAGAGGGGGAGGGAAATTGCTGAGTGTTCGCCACTGCTCAAGCGTAGGGAAGGTCCAGACTGTTCCCGTCTGATCTGGTGCAATGCCGGAGGTAATCTGCGCAGGCAGCCACTATGCGGGTGGTGAGGGGGTGATTGTTGCAGGATTAGGCAGCTTAGCCGCTTGGGCACGTTTATATTCTAGATACCTATTCATGAAGGGGGACGTGCTCGGGAGGAGGTTAGTCATGTTTTGCTGGTGGTGTGTTTGATGCGGCTACGTCAAGCGGAAAAAGACATGTTGGGGAAGGTCTTCCGCCTAGACCAACGAGGCCAAGGTTACTTTGGTCTGGATTATTTCTTAGGAAACAAGGAGTTTGAGTCCAGTTTGGTAAGTGTTTTGAGAAGGTCAAAATTGGTGAATTTGCGTTGTGAGCAAGGCTGAAGGTGAGTATCACATCAAGTAATGTTAATCCAACGAACGCGTGTCATAACGTGGCTGCCGAAAGCATTTCGGATTGCATTGCTCTGTTCCGGCAGATGAAGCTGGACTTTGAACTAGATAGGCACTCAGGAGTTGAGGGAAGGAGTCAAGTTGAAGGCACAATCTGGCCATTAGCTGCTGGCAGTGTCGTCACAAGAGAGCTGCCCGCCCTCACCGCCTCTATCTAATACCATCCCCAAAGGTGAAGTTGTGGTCACCCTGTAGATGACGCATATGATCTGGGTTGCTATTGAAAAAGTGATCAAGGCTGAAAAGACGCCTGCTCGCAAATGAGCCAGCAGATAATAGCTGGAATTCATCTCGATACATATTGTCAAATATGTTCCATAGAAGTGGACGATTACTCTGGACAATGATACCCAGTTTCACAATTCTTAGTATTCATTATTAGGAGCTTGAAAGTGAAAAGGGTTATCTGTCTGTAGAAAATGCTTTAATTTATTCAAATACAAACATTGATATTGTTTTATATAATCATTTAAATCATTGCGAATCTCCTCCATGAACATGCAGAAACCAAGGGTAATTCAAAGCTGTCCAGAATCCAACTCAATCAAAAAAGTTAGAGCTCTTAGACACTTCTGCAATCGCCTGTCTGGTTTTTGCTATTCATTCGGACAGCTCGCTGAGGTATTGGTTCTTTGATCTGCCTTGGGGCGGCGTGTTTTTTACTCTTCGGCATATCCCCCCGTTGCCTAGTCGAAGAGTTTCGCTATTTAGGTCTAGAAGGGCTCTCCCTCAATCTCATAAAATCAGGCCAGGCTGTAATCAAAACCGCGTTGTAGACGCTGACCTCACAACTAATCTTGAGCTTGAACCCCACAGCGAGAGCAGATGGAGAAAATTAATGGACAAAATGAAAGATTCTTTCTAACCATGGCTAGAGATGTCGGGAGTGGGGAGCAGTCATTCAGGTTAATTCCTAAAGCTGAGATGTAGGGGGAAATGGATGAAGAGCTGCCACGTGAGATGAGGCTAGGCAAGGCCATAAGCCACTGCCTTTTCAAAGGCATATGTAGAACAGTATGATGGAATTATGCGGAAGTTCGTAGAGCGGAGATGAAGTAACCAAGTTTAAGTCGAGCACGACCGAAGGCAACTTTCTTAGTCTGAAAAAAGAAACATGGGCTACTGCCTAAAGCCCTGCCGAATTCCTTCATATGTCACATGAAGATCACCGAATCTAAAAGCGTAGGTGATTCGGCTACACCAGTGCGGTTGTGAACTGAGTAAAACTCCTCTTTTAAGTCAGGTAACCAGATTACATACTTTACTAGTCGGATTAAAAGCTAGGTGGAAATGCTGCAACCACTTTTCTTGTGGAGTTACTGGTTCCGTCTGGCCGGTTGATTGCCATGTTGTCAATACCGCACCTACTTCCATCTGCCATGGTCACTTCGAAATTCGCCCAGTCCTTAGTACCCTCCCTACAGGCTTTGACATAGGAAGGGATACCGCCCAGGTAGTTAAGCGGTTCCCTTTTCTTGCCAGGGATATTAGCACCAACATACCATGACGTCTCGCTCTTGGAGAATAGCGTTGCGTCATTTAGCGCCAGAACCAGTTCCTTCCATTGCTTCTGGGCAGATAGACGTGGCTCAATAGATTTGACCTTCTCCTTGCGGAGTTTGGCTAAGAACTCTGCAATAATGTCAACCTGTTGTTCGATAAATGGTGGCGCATTTGTCAGCGCTGTGGGGGCTATTTGGAATGAATTGTCAGTACCACAGTTCAACGTAATCTGGAATGGGTGACGAGGAGTTGATAGACTTGCCTTGAGGCCCATAAACCATGAACATATTTGGGCACCCGCCGGCCATTAGGCCAAGATAAGTCCACACACCATCTTTCCAACGATCCTTCATATCGATTCCATCCTTTCCGCGAAGACCCATGCTTGTCAGGCTGCCTGTACAGTTGTCGTATCCTGTGGCAAGCACAACAATATCATGCTCCCTTTCCACTCCGTTCTCTGTTATGATGCCTCGTGGAGTAAACTCACGTATGGCATTGTTTTTGAGTCCCACGATGGTGACGTTGTCTTGATCGAGACATTCGTAATAGTCGTGCTCAAGGCTGCTTCTCTTCGTAGAGAAGGGGTACGGCGGTTCGTCAGGAACGACTATGGCCCTCTTCTCTGGGTCCCGGACTCTAGGCCTTGTCTTCTTGGCCCAGAATTCATAGGCCATTCTGTTCGCAGTCTCATCTACAAGAAAATCCGTGTAGTTGCCCCCCAGAAAATTGAACGCCCCACGCTGCCACAACTCCTCGAAGTATGCCTCTCTCTCTTTTGCAGATACCTCTGACGACGACTTCGTTGTAACTTCGTACGGCATGCCTAAGGTGCTTTCCCGGGCTTTCTTGAACAGTATCCCATACATAGACTTGAGTGCTTGCTGCTCAAGATCTGTTGTATCACGTTGAACTATAGGTAGCGCGATGTTGGGGTTCCGGATGTACACCGTTAACTCAACGTCCTGTTTCTTCGCAATTTCCTGGACGCACTGAACGGCCGTGGCACCTGCACCAACAATAGCCACTCTCTTGCCCCGGAAATCGATATCCGAGTCTGGCCAAGCGGCTGGGTGTATCACCGTTCCTGTGAAGGACTTCAAATTGGTGAAGCTGGGCTCGTAGCGCTTATACGAGCTTCCTGTAGCGGCAACCAGATATTTTGCCGTGATCTTCTTGTCTGTGGCTGTTGTAATCGTCCACAGGCCTGTTTTCTCATTGAAATCGGCGCCTACAACTGCTGTGTTGTAACTGACATCCTTTGATATGCTGAGGACCTTGTCAATGTGGTGAAAGTACCGCTTGATCTCGCTGTGGTCAGGGAAGCGCTGTGACCATGTCCAGTCCTTCCATACCTCCCTAATGGAGAGCTGGTAGTAGGGTTCCTCGGAGTCAACGCGAGCGCCAGGGTAACTATTCCAATGCCAAACACCACCTAATGCGGCGCCTGCTTCGACAATGTGAGCGCGGAAGTTGAGCTTGCGGAGCTGGTGGAGTGCGTAAACGCCGCCAAAACCACCGCCGATGATGAGCACATCGTAATCCATTTCTGTTTTTGAAATATGGTCATTTTCGTTGAAAAGATTATTGTGGCCGTTGAGTCGGCTCTTATCTATTTGGTCGATGGAACCCATCGCGAATATGGTCAGTTGGCAATCTTATTCAGGAAAGGTTTGAGTCAAGAAAGTGTTTTTCCCTTGGCGAAAGAGTCAGTCAGGTTTGAAAGGAGATGGGATCTGATTCATGTGTTTGAGTTTAGCCGCCTTATAAGTATTGGATAAGTGGCTGTGAAGTTCGGACGGTGCTTTGGGTTTGCATTGGAGGGACGCTTGAAGCTGCAGTTTCTTGTCCCATGTTTCTCTCCTCCTCCGCCTCCACCAACACCGCAACCTCTCCCCCTCACCAAGTCCCTGTTGGCTTTTGTTGTTTGTTGATCTGGCGTGGGGACACAGCAATAGGGCTTGCACGCACTGGCCCGGAGAGGACTGCCGAGTATTCAACGATCAGCAAGTTTGGAGACTTGTTTGAAACAATTCTCCATACATTGAACCTTGAGGCGTTGCATTGGGTGGAACTAATGGGCTAGAACGTCTGCGCGGAAGTATTTGTGTCGCTAGAAAATGGATTTGGATGTAACCAACACATTCAAGTCACGTATGACATTGGGACATCGCCACCTACCTTAGGCAACAAGGTTCGCAGATTTTTGGTCGTTAGGAAACCACTTATAGATAATGTTGCGACTTGTCATCATGTGTAAGCGGGTGCAAGAGTTAAATAGTGGTTCATTACTTTGGTGTGAAGGATATGAAAGGGTGGGGAATTGGGGGGGGGGGGGGGGGGGGGGCTCACAGAACAGTGCCTTTGTGCCAGTGTTTGGAGTCCAATGTCTTCCCCGCCCATTCGATCGTCCGATGCGATTGAAAACCTGATGTAGAGACCAAATATTCGTCTTCATGGATACGAAGTCATCGGCTGAAAATATGGGACTTAAATCTTGGTCGCTATCTGCAGACTACCTAATGAGTAGGGACCATATCTGGCAAAGATGTGATACCCGGATGGAACAGCCGAGAAGTGATATAGACATAGGTACACCCAGGCACTGTGCTAGAAGCCGATCTAGAGCTGTAATGAACAAGTGTTCGGAGTAGCATAAGTGCGGCACATGACAGTTTGGTAGTGTCGCCTATTTCGGATGCTTCTCAAAAGTGTGCAACAGGGGAACACCATGAATCTGGCTCCATGTTGTAAAGATGATTAACTATCAACCTTCCTCAGTAAGAAAGTAGTAAGAGAGGATTAAGAGCCAAACAGTATTCAGCAGTCCGAAGCGACACAGTCAGACTCCAAAAGACGGAAGCCAAGCGAGTACAGAATGCGAATTTAACATTCTCATCACTGTCGCCTAGAGAACTCGAATAGATGTAAGGTATTGAGGTAAGCTTTTGATGTTTTTTGAGTGTGTCGGGTTCTAGGGGGACCGGTGGAGGTTATGAACCAATGGCTAACATCAATAAGACATGGCTTCAATCATTTGAAATCCTTGATGGGGGCCTCCAAAAAGCAGAGTGAAATTCCAAGTTTAACTTCCTTCATGACCTTGACGTTTGTAAAAGAAATGACAATCGAGAGGCATATGAACATAGCAACTTACCAATGAGAATTGGTTTATATCATAGTAAAGAGCCTTTGAATTCTTGCACAAAGACATCGTCACAAGAATAGTTGTGTTGCTGACAAAATGAGGGTGCGTTGCTTTCCAGATTCGCATACTGCTTTTGAGACCCATTTGGTGATTGTCTGCAGTCTTCACCGAAGGTCGTGACAAAAATTCGGCCGCAAGAAAATGTTTCTCATTCTTTCCACTAAGTTTCTAGAAGGTGTCCATTGGCCAAGTTTTGCCCTCGCAGCTTGGCCAACGGCCTCCTGCAGTGACAAAACAACGCATATGATCATTTCGCGAAAGGCTCAAAGAATGAACAGGAATAAACTGAAAGAGTGGTAAATCATAGCAGAATTTTCAATGTTGAAACAGACTAGGAGGCCTCCTGCATTTATCACTCATGGTGTTGGGCCCATGACAAATGAAATGGAAAAGACTCCATTAACTAAAGCCTGGATTAAGCGATAGGAGATGTGAAGCATGTTGGTGCGGTCACGGCCAACAAAGATTGCCCAAAATAGCAGGGCCTCAAAAAACCTGACTGCGTCAATTTCAGTCGGGACAATGTCTGCCTATTTCATTGTGAACCAAAGAATTTTGCACCCTTCACTTATCGTGCTCCTCTCGTCACCTTGTTCCATCAACATTTTCCTAATCGCCCAGCTTCACCTTTTTCCCGCTACCTTCTTTTTGGTAAATTTCATCAATCTTCAAGATTTTGCTCTGTCCCTATCCCTCATCTACGCAATCTCCGCGAAAATCGAGTCCCTCCAGTAAATCCAAGGACGGCTCACCTTTGCCGATTCTTAACCTCACTTGAGAGGCCAAGCCTTACTATCGACGATGGACCACATCACAAGTACTCGCCTTGGGGCACTCAGTGACTGGAAAGCATGCTTAACCCCTCTGAGAGTTGACGTTGTGGGCGATTTTGCAGGAAATGAGCTCTTTGCTATCCACGGCGAAGCCCTGCTCTCTCACTGTGTCACAGATGCCAAGGTTGATTTTCAAGGTACGCAAATCGTCATCCCAGCTGGAAAGTTCATGTATAACTGTTTTGGCGGTTGAATAGATGGCTTCCAGCTTCTACACGCCGTACATGCCGTTGAGACCTTTCTCAGCAGGCTCAAGGAACGTGGCTGTAACTTTCACGTCTTGTGGCTCGACAGCTACATGGGTCTCGCCGTGCCTCATCAAGTTCCAGTGAAACATCGACACAAGTATTTACTCGCAAGAGATGTGCTTATCAAACATCTTCAAGCTCCTGGTGTTGATAGATCGACAAGCGACGATTTGGCCCAGAGTAGTGACACGGATACCCAGATGAGCTTTGTCTTCCGAGCCATAGCCAGTGACGAATTTGTCGAATACACGAAGACGAAACGCATCCACTTCATCATGTGCTCACATGATGAACCCAGAGATTTGAGTGTCGACGTTGAAACCGGCAGCGACAATATTGACCACCTCGCTGCCATGTATCTTTTTGCCAACCAGGGATACAGACTTGCTTCGATCAACGACATCGAATTTCGCAGCTCTAAGGTTGTTCTTCAAATACCATGTGTTGATTAAAAGAAGTTACTGATAAAAATACACAGGTGTATACCCGCATCCTAACTCCGTCAAGCTCCCCGGTTGATATTAGGGTACTTGAGCCTAAAGCCCACCATAACACAGACAGGGGCTGCAGTCGCCTCTTGTCACAGCTGGATGAGTGCCGAAATGGAACTGAAATGGGAGTACGTGAAAGAGTTGCTCTCGTTGCTTGCGCATCAATTCTTGCAGAAAAGCCCGACGCCGCCACTGAGAAGCGCGTCATTGCGTTCCTTACCCACGTCAAATTCCTCGAACACGTCGAGCTTTCGCAGCGGGCGTGTACAAAGCTTGATAAGAAAGCACTCGATGACGACAATGAGTTTCTTGAGGACTTTTCAACCAGAGCTATTGCCTTGATTCGGCATTTGGTACACACTGGCAGAGGAAGTCGTGGCGACTGGCGGGTATGTGACCTGATTGATGGCCGGCTCTTCCTACATACCCTTCAAAACCTCGAACGCATTAATGCCATATTCTACATTGAAAATTACGGTAAGATCCTCGAGGCACTTGTCGGCGTGGATATATTGCACTGTCTGCCCTCACCTAGTGCGTTGCCGGAGGACCTGTCTCAAAAGAAGTCAACACACTTCCACCTGAGTTGCAAAAACCACCCGCAATCCCAAGCTAAGCCATCTGTTCTGCCTTTCAGCCATCCGGTCTTGGATCCCTATCTAAGGGATATCAAGCTAGAGACAGAGCCGTCCCAGGGCATCCCCGCTGATGATTCCAAGATCTTCCAAGAGCTGACTCACTGGCACAATGCCAAACGCACCCTAGACCCCAAAAAAAGACCTAGGCCTGTGGAGCCATGGGTACTTAGGAGAAATCAGAGATTCATGGCCGATACCATCGCATATTCGGCTAGTCTGACAAATGCTTCCGGCAAGAACATCAGCCCCGAACCCATTGTTGAACAGAAGACGCACAAGGGACATTTAGAAAAGCACCACACTGGAGGTGGGAGAGAAAAGGCACTCAAAACGTCTGAGGCGGCTAAAGTCGTAAAGTACGAGTCTCGAAAGAGCGCTATCATCCGATTCTTCGCGCAGCAGTGTCAGGACTTGGAGAAAGTAAAGCCACTGGTGAAGAGATACTCGAGAGCGAATAAGTATCTTTTGGGTCTCCACAAAGATGATAGAGAGACAATAGGAGGAGAACTGTCTCTTTACATCTGCAACATTTTGGCTCAGATGCTCAACGAGTCGTCCTCCGATTACATGGGTATGTAGTTGTTCATCTGTACATCGGTGGGTGCCTATGGAACAGGAAAAAAAGACTGACATTAAGTTTCTTTTTAGCGAAGAGTATCACTGCCTTGATCAGAGCTCATGCTGCAGACATGTACACGTTGCCGCTTACGCAGGAAACCAAGCAAAGCATGACTCAAATCGGTGCTATCCTGCAACTCCCGTTGCATCCTAACAATAGGTCTACGTTTACCAAAATACAGCGACCGCTACCTTTTCAAGTTGCGACCATAATACAGACCAAGGGATTGAAGATCTTCATTGATGAAGATATACGCGAGTTTCAGTTGGAGCACTTCGGTCCGTACATGGAGCGGAGTTTCGATTCAGCACCTGATCCACGAGTGCCTTTCCAACCCGATGCATGGCAGCGAAAGGTGCTTGATGCCATTGACGAAGAAAAGAGTCTCTTCGTTGTGGCACCGACATCTGCGGGAAAGACCTTCATCTCTTTTTACGCCATGAAGAAGGTTTTGCAGGCGAACAATGATGATGTTCTTGTCTACGTTGCACCTACCAAAGCGCTCGTGAACCAGATTGCGGCGGAGATTCAGGCAAGATTTGACAAGTCTTACGATAAAAAAGGCAGGTCTGTTTGGGCAATTCACACTCGAGATTACCGCATCAACAATCCCACAGGATGCCAGGTGTTGGTGACTGTACCTCATATTCTTCAAATCATGCTCCTGGCACCGTCAAACGCCCAGAGCGGCCACTCCTGGTCACGAAGAGTTAAGCGTATCATTTTTGATGAGGTGCATTGTATTGGACAGGCTGAAGACGGCATCATTTGGGAGCAATTACTTCTATTGGCCCCCTGTCCCATCATTGCACTGTCTGCAACGGTTGGAAACCCTGGTGAGTTTAAGGATTGGCTGGCTGGTACCCAAAAAGCCAAAGGATTCGACCTTGAGATGATTATTCACTCCACCAGGTACTCGGACCTTCGAAAGTTCGTTTACCAACCACCTACAAAGTGGGAATTTGATGGATTGGAATTAATCGAACGCCTCCCAACTCCCGGCCTGGATGTGAACAGCCCAGAGGGGGATCGATTTGTCTTTGTGCATCCGGTTGGCAGCATTGCCAGCAAGTGAGTCAACCTTTTCTTTGAGAAATGATGCAAAATGCTAACACTTTCTTAGCGGCAACGAAACGCTGAATGATATCAGCCTTGAACCCCGGGACTGCCTCCACCTCTGGAAAGCCCTTTCCGACTGCGCGGATAACAATTGTCCTATCGACTCCAACCTTGACCCTAAACGTGCTTTTCCAGAGATAATCAAGAAGTCAGACGTCATCTTGTGGGAAGCTGCGCTAAAGGACCAGCTTCGAAAATGGATGGCAGAAACTGGGTCCCCTTTTTGTGACGTACACAGTCATCTCAAAACCAACTCAAAGCCGTGCACAGGTCAGAAGCGGACAGTCGATTCTACGTTCCCCCTTCTAGTTGATCTCCGGTCTCGTGGTGCTTTACCAGCAATCATTTTTAATTATGATCGAGCCGGGTGTGAAGCGATTCTGGTCAAGTTGCAGGAAACGCTCAGAAAAGCAGAAAAGACATACCGAACGTCAGACCCTGAGTGGAAGAGAAGGTTGTCCAACTACAATGAATGGCAGAATGCTCAGAAAATAAAGAAAAGGGCAAAAGCCCCCAAGGAGACTGGGACTCGACGAAAGATTGAGACCGATGGCACATCATTCGACAAGATGGATCATATCCGGGAAGATGCAAGCCAGGAGGCCAGCAAGTGGGCTAGCTTCAACCCAGCCGCACCCATTGACCGCTTCAGCTTCGCTGACCCGCACAAAATCTCCAGAGAAGAGCTAGAGAGCTTAATTGAGAATCTAATGAAGTCCGACAAGATCGACAAGCCCATCATAGATGCGCTTCGTAGGGGAATGGGTGTTCACCATGCTGGCATGAACCGACGATACCGCCAAGTGTAAGTCGCCCGCAAATTATTACCTTATTCATATAAGTGATTCGCTAACTAGGAATAAAGAGTAGAGATGTTATTTCGAAAAGGCTTTCTTACTGTCGTCATTGCGACAGGGACTTTAGCGCTAGGTCTGAACATGCCTTGCAAGACAGTCGTGTTTGCTGGAGATTCAGTCTTTCTGACAGCGCTAAACTACCGACAAGCGTCAGGCCGTGCAGGACGAAGGGGCTTCGATCTTCTCGGCAATGTTGTATTCCACGGCATCCCTCATCACCGCGTTATGGATATTATGTCCTCTCGACTGCCTGATCTCAGAGGACAATTTCCAATGTCCGTGACTCTCATTCTTCGCCTCTTTGGACTTCTACACGGCACGAGGGAATCTGATTATGCTGTGAAAGCTGTCAAGTCGCTGTTAACACAGACTCGCCTTTACCTCGGAGGACCATCCTCGGAGATGACGATCAAGCATCACTTACGCTTCTCGATCGAGTACCTCCAAAGGCAATATCTGATTTCTAGCAATGGGATGCCTCTCAATTTCTCTGGCCTTGTCGGGCATTTATACTACACTGAAAATGCTGTCTTTGCTTTTCACTCCCTTTTGAAGAAGGGTTATCTCCATAAACTTTGCAAGAATGTCAACAACGTGGCCAAACGGAAGGACATGCTTCTTGAACTGGTTACAGTATTGTGTCACCTATTTTGTCGCATACCTTGCCCTCGCTACATGACCAAGAAGTGGCTCAAGGATAACATTGGTCGATCGCCATCGATCATCCTCCTTCCCGGACTTCCAAACGAAGCTGAAAGTATTCTCCGAGGTCACAACGAGGAGACCCTCAGTATCTTTCAGGCGTATGTTCGCACGTTCGTTGAACAACACCTCACGAGCACCTCGGATGACATGCTTCCCTTTACCAAGTGCCGAATCAGACCAATTCAGAATGAAGCCATCGATCTTTCAGCCGCGAATATCCCTACTCTTCCAGCCACAGTAATCCGGTCACCATTCTCAGCTTTGTCCGGCTTTACGGATGACTTTTCCACCATTCATGAGCTGTGCCAGACTGTTCGTGCCGGCGTCTTTCTTGAGGAAGAGTCAATCCCCTACATACCCATTTACCCAGACGAGACCAACAATGTGCCGTTCAATGCTTATATTTTGGACTTTTTTAAGCATGGCGACATGGAGGCTTTGGTCCGCGATAACGGTATCAAGAAGGGAGATGTCTGGTCTCACTTGAAGGGCTTCTCGCTAATTCTGGCAACCATTGTGGCCAGTTTAGCCAACTTTCTTGTCGCGGAGGACGCCGAACTGGACGATGCTGCTATTATCGACGTTCAAGGCATCGGCGACATTTTGGAGGAGGAACATGATTCTGACAAAGATGATGAGGCTGTTGAACTTCTTTCTAAAATAAGCGCAGCTGTCCCCCAGATTCAGTCGAAGCCAGCTAAGAAACGAGGCAAGAAGGAAGTGCCTGACTCCTGGGATGATGCAGATGATTCAGATGATTCAGAAGAAGAAGGAGAAGGAGAAGAAGCGAAAATGCCTCACACGAATGGCAAAGCGGGCGATTCCTCAGGTGCTACAGCCAGCTGGAACGAGGATGATGGCAGCGGTCTGGTAAAGGTTTACACCGCCTTCAAGCTGCTGCAAAAGGAGTTTAACGAAAAGTTCCTGAAGGTGTGGGCCTGATTGGCTCTGAAGTGCCCACTGAAGGGTACATGTTTTTTATCAAGACCGGATCGCCTAAAGGTTTTGTGGCTTCATGTGCAATCTATTAGTGTATGGAAGGTTTAGTTTTCTAATGTTGTTATTAAACCCAAATGCTCTTTTTTCGTCGAAACACATGACATTGAGTATGTATACCTTCGGTGATTGCGTGATCGTGAAAGGGGCGAGATAGATTAAATTGAGACAGTCTTCTCAGAAGCGATGTTTTTCTTCTCTTCGAGACTGTCCGTTTTCTCGATTCCGGACGCCTTTTCACACACTGCGGGTGACGCCTCCGAGTCCTGCGCCGAGGGTTGTTCGTACTTCTCGAGAGTGTGCTTATCGAGCTATTGTGAAAGAAAATCAGCGCATTGTTCTAATGTCCAGAAACACAATCTTGATGAAGTTGCTTACCTTCCAGACAACCCACATGTATCCCAGCATGACAAAACAGCATACAATCATAACAATACCTCCTTTCTTCCAGTAAGGTGCCTCATCAGCTGCATAGAATACAATGCCCCAGAAAGTGTACAGGGTCAAAGAGAGAACGTTCATGCAGTAAACTGTGACACTGCGCACCGCATCGTCACCGCTGCGCTGTAGGATGATGCTCGCCCAGCCAAAGATCAGCGGGTTCACCATGTACGCTGTGCCGGAAAGGTAGAATGCGAAAAAGGTTCCGGCGAACGGCAGAGTAGGGACTAGCAACATAATGGCGCAAATTAGCTGCAGCATAACAGCCAGGATGGCCATCGGAATACGAGTGCCGGTAGCATCCATGTGCCAGGCGGCCAGCATGTTAGAGACAATTCCGACGGCCTGGACACCCAAGGGATAGGTGTTGATCTGGCCCTGGGTAAAGTGCGCCGACTGGTACTTGAGCCAGATAAGGAAGTTGTTCTGTACGGCATATGCCTCGAGGGTGGCACAAACAGGGGACCAGAATACCAGAATCCAGCTATACCGGGTGTCAGTCAAGATACCATCTCATGAAAGGTTAAGGCACATACAAAGCAGGTTGAAGAAACAGGCGCTTCATCAGCGACAAGGGGCTAATGCTGTGTCCGCCCTCCTTGATAGGAGGTAGACGTGTCACAGCCATCTTCTTCTCAGACTCGCTGAGATAGTTTACCTTCGTGTTCTCTGGGATGTCAGGGAAGTAATAGAAGCCGAAGAAAGCAATAGGAAGTGTGATGATGCCATCTTTCTATGTGTTAACATTCCGTACTTTTTGAATAACCTTTAAGGGGCTGACTCGGATCTCTTACCAATCAGGAACACCCATTGCCAACCTCCAAGGCCACCAAGGCCTCCCATGCCTTTGTAAATGGCTGCCATCATGACACCGGCGAACATAGTACCGACTTGCCCAGAAGCCGTGAAGATGGCTGTACGCTTGGCAATTTCCTTGGGCTTGTACCACGAACCAATAATGTAAATGGTTCCGGCGTAGGTGCTAGCCTCCGCAAGGCCCAAGAAGAAACGAACAATGCAAAGTTGAGTGACGGTCTTACACGCCGCGCTGACCATCTATGGCAATGTGAGTTTCAGTGAGTTTCGGGGATTAGCGACAGACATACCGTCAAGGCAGCCCACACAACAACCATGGAAGGAAGCCAGATTCGAGGGGCAATCTTTTGAATGATCAATCCGTGTGGGATTTGGCCAATAGCCATACTTGAAGTAATGTTAGTTCAGCCTCACATTTCATGGTGAATGCTAACCAACCCGGCCGTTGTGACTGAAAGCACAGTGTTGTAGTCATGGCCCTTCATGTTAAGGGCCTCTCTGAGGCCAGCTACCTGTATCGGCCATAAGAATCAACCATGTACCAAAGGGAATAGGCACTGTTTCTTACGTATGCATTGGCGAAAGCAGCACGGTCTGCAACGGAATGTAAGAGTAAGCCATCATGTACAGCGTTGACCTAGAGCATGAAATGCTGTTACCGAGGAAATTGAAAAAGTAACTCAGACAGCAGTACGTCTATCAAAGCGGTCAACTAGGGCTAGAGCGCGCAGTCGAGCAAATGCAGTTACCAGGATGAAGAAGTCTAAATAGCTATCAGCCTCAACCCCTAGGGTGACATGCCGCTACAACCTACCGATCTTCCGCACAAGCTTTCTCTCTTCTCTTGTCTTTGCCTCATCACCAAGGAAGAAGACTATACTCCTAGATCAGCAGTGAATGCAAACTTGATTTGTCGTATAGATTTACCTCGAACTCTCTCTCCAACGGAGACTTTCTCGGACGACATTGTTGCGGTTGGTCCTACGAAGGCGCAATGTCTAGGTAGAAACGAGAAAGGTGCTTCCTGCCACAGGGAGAGCGAGCTTGGGAGAGAAAAGGTTTATCACGTTGTACCAGCAGATCGTATTTTTTTTCCTCAAAGAGATTATCTCTAAATCTGATTAAAATTTCCATCGCATCTTGCGGGACCTACCAGGAAATCCTTGCCATTAGCGCAAGCACTTAGAGCGTAGATCCAAACCTCGTGGAGCTAAGTTGTAGCTGACAGAGGGTGACAAATGCACCCTATTGGGTATCATACCAATCAGAGTTAAAATGCTGCCTTGAACTGGCGAAGCGAACCAACTTACTCGCCATAATCGTCCATTTTGGCGGGTTTTACACAAGCGAACTCCACCGAGCAGCATGGACATGGCGCTTTTGTGATTTAAGACCGGGCTAGACTTGAGTCATACGCGGACATTTTGGTTGAATACGAGAATTCACCAGCACGGAGTAATCGACAGCCATTTCAGTCCAGACTCGAGTCTGAGATTTCGATAAGGTCTTCTCTGCCTTCGTCCCTTGCCCTGTCACGTCTGTCTCGCTTGGTTCCTGATGTTCTGTTGCCTTGCAGTAGAATACAACCTGTGTCAAAAGAAAGGCCACCGTTGAAGCCCAAGTTTAACTTTGCGTTAAGCTTTGACAGCTCCCCACTGACTCGAAGTCTAAGTTGTCCCGAGGGCCGTCCCCACCCGCCCAGTCTCCCGGTTTCGCTCCAGATTCCGGGGCAATCAGGGATTGTCGACGCAGGTTTTACCAGACGGTTTGCCAATCCAAAACAATTACAGAAGACTATATCTAGACACAGAAACCCGAAGCCTCTTGGAACCGACTTCAGATGAACATGTTGAACTGGTGCTGGCGATACTGCTGATCAGTTGAACTCAGGCGGCAAAGGATAGTTTATTGCTCCGAATCTGTGGGGATGAACAGGCAATTTTACCGAGATGGGTTTTTTGGGGTCGAAAGCGGATAAGCTCCGATGTCGCCGAGCATTATCGGCATTGGTCGCCGGTGATTAGATCCACCTTCCACCTTGATGTGCTTGGCTTTAGTAATAGCAAGGTCTTCCATTGAAAATGTCGAATTAGCTGCATCTGTCCGAAACGTTCTCGGGAAGACCCGGTTTTACTATTTTCACAAGTTGCTGATCTCTGTTGAACCCAATCTGAAGCCTGCAACAACATCACCAGTTTGCGATATCTATCTTCTTGTTGGGGACCAAAATTTGAACGTGCTCTTGAAACCTGGAGCCTCCAGTGTGTCTGTAACATCAAATACCAAGTGCTTCTGTGCCGTTTGCCATGGATCGAACTGGCTAGGGTGTAAATTGAAAGCACGCCACTTTATGTGACCTTACTCAGCCAACCTAGACCACCTGTGAATGGATTTAGCGCTGAGAACCTAACCTTTGAGAGTCCACGTAGGGCGGGGCAATATTATTTGGGTATGGCTCGGTTTTGGACATAAAAATATACAAATGGATTTATTCTAGCTTGAGAAGCTTAAGCCTGAACCTGCCTAGCAAGTATTTGTGACAACAAAATTCTTCAGAATGAATAATCTCGTCCATTAGGGTTGTATCGAGGTGTCACCTTAGACCTTTCCTGCGGTAGCTTGTTTTTGGGCCGCTTCAGTAGCCTCACGGATCTTCTTCTGGTAAATAGGCTGGAGCTTCCCAGCCAGTGCTTCCTTGCAGTAATTCTCAAAAGAATTTCCAGTCAGATCCGGATAAAGATCTTTGGAGAGTTGGTAACCCAGGTAGCGCGCATACTCGGGGGTGTTGTCTCCTCGGATACCCCAAGACTTTCGATACTGTAGTACGGAAAGCTTATGGACATTGACCTTGTCCTCCTTCGCTGCCTCTATCTCGGCGTCGATTTCATCTGCTGATTTCTGCAGCTTGTTAGCTTAAAGCCACTAAGCAGATAACATGAGAGTGTTGCTACATACGTATTTTCTTTCTATCTTTTCTCCGCTCAAGTTCTCAATGAGATCATAAATCTCGTTTTGGGTGCGAAGCTCCGTGTACGCGAAAACTTTCTGGTTGAGGGTGCGGGGATCCGCGATGATGTGGGCTACATATTTGCCAATGTCCCTGAGATCCGTGATGGCAGATTTGACATTGCCATCTCCTTCGATCCAGTTCTCAAATGGGCTAGCAACTGCATCAATACGGCCGGAAGGCAGACGCGGCAAGGTATACCACCAGCCGACATCAATGACCGTGTACGGCAAATACAGCGTTTGGATATGGTTAAGAACATCATCTTTCTATGCGAAAGGTTAACCATGTGAAAACCGCGAAACTGTGTCACAGAAAGATTCGGCGCAACTTACTTGGTCGCGGAACCACAATATTCCTCTCGCGGGCATTACCGTTCCGAAGAAACAAGGTATGAAACGCTTTACCCCAGCCTTCTTCAAGGCATTTGCAAGAGGAATTTGATCGAGAAGACGATCCGCAACAATGGCGGAGATGACAACATCAAAGCCTGTGACTTGCTCGACGATCTCATTCTCAGGGCCATTGAGATCGACTGCAGCTATTCTGACACCTCTCTTCTCCAAAGCGTGTACCTCAGGTTTATGAAGAGAGCTTGGTCGAATAAGAGCGGTTACTTCCTAGAATAACAGGTGAGCATATGTACAGGATAAGCCTAAACAAAAGAAGTAAATATAAGGTAGTTTCTCACAAACTTCGGTTCAGAGGATCCAAGCAGTCCATTCACAATTGAACTACCCGTCTCCCCAGTTGCTCCAAGGACTGCGACCTTCATTGTGAGTTCAGGCAAGAAAGTAGTAGACTAGATGCTATAAGCCCGATAGAGTTGGCGTCAGAACTTGTAGGGAAACGGTCCAATTCAAAGTACCAGCGGCTGATCTCAGAGGCCTACTTATTTGTTCGCCAGCTAGTCGAACATCTGCAATCACCGACGACTACTGGATGGGCCGTTCGAGTCCGAAACAGCAAGCTGATTCGCCCCCGCAGGTGAAATGAGATCATCGGGGTGCCTTCTTACAAAGCACACTTGCAAAGCCCAGGCAAAGTCCGCAGAAAAGCGGGGTGAAGATGCGGACTGGCCCGGCCTGGACCAGATGGATCAAGCGGAGTTTGGGTTTTCTTGCGTTGACGCGGCCCCGCCTTAGGGCGCTTGGGTCTCGGATTCGGATCCGGATCCTAAACAATCCGAACGACAGATATAGTCCTATATTCAGCCGTCTTATAAGAGGGAAAAGCTAGTTAACGAATCGTTAGTTTGCGACTTCACAGTGTGACCGTATCCTGTGCTTTCCCTTTTGGTGATCAGAGACACTTGGTAGAGAATGGTTTGTTTTACTGCTGTGGCAAGTTTGGCATAAAATGCACCATTTACCTCGAAGTACTGGGAACAAAAGTCCAGTTCTCAAAGTAATATTGACGACATAATGCTGGTTTATTAGAGGTGTACCCCAGAACCTATGAGTTCCCTACGAGAAAACAATCGTGGAAAACAGAAAATCGTCGTCAAGACCTCTTTTAGAATATGGCGAAACAATAAGAAATAAGAAGCTACAAAAGTCAAAGTGTTTGATATTAACGAAACTTTCCCGGTTTCCTTCATATGTATCTCCACTCGACGTCTTCCCAGCCTTGTCTTCTCTTCAAAGTCGCCTTGGAAGATTTCTTTCCATAAATTGGAGATCTAAGACCAGAATGTTCGTACAGCATAGCGTGTCCTGGGATTTCAGCTCCTTCAAGCTCAAAACCGACCGCCATTACCGCGAGGCATCCCAATAATTCGGAGAAGGCAAAATTACGACCAGGGCACAGATGCTTGCCGCCGCCAAAGGGTACATAGGACTCCTTGGAACCCTTGTTAATCTCAGGGGTTGGCTTCAGCCACCTCTCTGGGTTGTATGTCTCTCTGTCGTCACCCCAGATAGGTTTCTTATGCATCACAGATGCGCTCCACTGCACCTCAACTCCCTTTTTCAAAAGGTACTCTCGTCCAGTTTCATGGTCAGTGATAGTGGTGTCTTTAACCATCACAGTCCGGCTCCCAGTGACTGTGTTTTCGACGCGCAAGGTCTCACGATAGCATGCTACGAGATAGGGGCAAGAGTTGCCTAGCGCCATGATGTCGACACTGGCAACACGGCGGTCTCCTTCTTTCGTGATGGTAATGACAGACGCGTCTTCAATCTCTTTTCGCAGACGTTCCACGTATTTCGGCTCGGAAAAGACATTGACAAGGAGCCAGAACGCTGAGGGCGCTGTGTTAACTGTTGATGCAACGGGAAGAGAATCGAGGGCGCCAATTGTGGCTTCGGGCAGGCCAAAGGAACGCCAGAAGGCTGCGCGGCCGCGAATGACAGCTGAGACTGTGTCACCCTGGTCTAGTTTGCGCGTGTAATATGGGGCGAGCCGGGTGACCATCTTGATCCTGGCTTTTAATGCCCTGCCAGCGATCAACAACGATAGCAAACCATACTGCAGCTTTCCAAGTCCCGTCTCGTACTTCCTGAATGGATAACGTTAGTTTCGTCTCAGAAAGGGGCTTCAGAGATCGGTCTGGAAAAGCGCGCTGGGTCATACCAAATGCAGTCCACCAAGCCTGCTTCGTTGAAAGGACTTTGCTCTCCATACAAAGCTCGAGTTGTGGCGTTACCGATTATGTCGCGGGTCCAGTGGTAGAAATTCTCGATGTGAACTGGACTGTCAGCCTTGACGTCGTTAAAGCGGCCGCTGATGTACTGCAGAGCAGTCAGATTAAGCTTGTACAAGTTGTCTCCGGAAAGCGCCGCAATAGTAATCCGGGAGATTTCATCCACAGCATTTTCGCGGACGAGCCTCCCAGTGATTATTGGGTCGATGCCCATGGCTCGGCCAATCTCTTCAATACGGGCGCCGAATTCTAATGTCTTATTCCGCATGGCACTCTGGACGAGAGGGGCGGTGTTGATAAGATAAATCTTCTTGTTAAGAAGTGGGAGAGTGCAAATTGGCAGTGTCGTGCTTTGGCTAAATGAACGCCAAGAGAAAGCTTCAAGTCAGCATCGCCGTCACTGCAGCAGGGGAGCGTGGAGCACTTACGCCAATTTCTCATATACCCCAGGGTATTGTGCTCGCACGCCAAAGAGATGACCAAGAATTGGAATGTTCCCTTTGACTACTGGAGGCTCACGAGGATCAACGGGAGCAGATATAAGCTTGTCCAGCCCAACGAGAAAAGCGAACAAGAGGGCGACAGTTGTAGCCACCATCGAGATGCTGGAGCCAGAGCTGAACCGCTCCAGCAGGGTCGCGGCGGCGGCGGAAGTCGAGTTATCCGCCATTGTTGCGACAGGTAAACGTGAGCTTGGGTGTGCAAGAAAGTGCTGAATAGTCAAGAACTATCAACTGAGATTGTACGGGACGAGTAAACATATTTAAACAGTTGCATTATATCAGTCATCCAACCTCACGAGTGTAGAGGGGTATCAAATAACTCGGGTGACGAAACCGCTTTTTGGTGCTGTCCCGCACTCGGTGGAGAGCCTGGGGTAGCAGCGCATGGTTCCCGACAGCAACCCCAACTCCCGTCGTAATTGGGAAGGTCAAAAAGCATAAACTGATGCACGCCCAGCTACTTGTGATGATACACAGACATTTCGCAATCGTATCATTTGAGGGGGAAAACAAAATTTGTGGGAATTGAATTCAAGACCTTGTAGACGCCAGGCCCAAGCTCACACAAAGCGTGTAGCCGTCGCGGCTGGGAGCAGACTGCAGGGGGTCGGCAACTCTTGTTAGGTGCACCAGTAGTGATCCAGTAGCTACAGCCGGCTTAGCAATGGCTGTCATCCCGGCCGTTGTTGACGACAGTTTACAGAAGCCTACTTTACATGGTACTTTTCCCTCAACCTGTAGGATGGGGCCCTGTCTAGCAGCCGTTACAAAGACATGGAATTTCATTGGACATCATGCTGGTCTTTACCAATCCGGTGTTATTGGTCATTTGAAGCTCTCTTGGCACATATCAAGGAGCCCCTATCTAGTCCTCCTACATTGCTGCTTTGCATCTTCGGTCTCGGTCTCGGTCTCGGTTTATGATAAATAAGGTATCGCTTTCGCGACGCTCAACACTCGAATTGACATGGCTTAGTAAAAATGAAGCACTTGTCACAGGTGAGGCAGCTTGTGGCCTCCAATCATACTTTTCTGTCGTCTGTTTAAACTTCACAAGCGGATTTCATGCTTTGGGCTAATCGTTGTGGTTGATTCCTTGGCAAGTAGCATTGCCTTTTTGGTGGATCTTTTAGGTGTAAAAGCGAAGTATTTGAGGCCTTCAGTGCGCCTTGCCAAATTCTACATTATCATTGCTGGATATGTTGTCACTCCCTGTCATAGGTGCAGAGGGTATGCAAACAAACTCAGATAGACCTTCGTAGTGCACATATCCTGACTGGTCGATACAATACAGGCTGTCTCGTAGCAAGCTCCATTCCGCAGAAGGACGTAAGCATTTGAAATCTACAAATAGTTCCCAGAAACTTAGCAAACACACTGCGTTCTGAAGCCAAAAGATACGAGATGCTGGACATCATGTTTGACCGGTTCGCCGCCAATAGCTGTGTTCTTCCTCCGTTAGCACAAATGTGCCCGTATAAGCAGGAGTAAATAAAAAGGGTCTTAATACTATTTGATGCAGAGGAGACATCATTTTCAGCACATCAATCCAGCAATACCTACTAAATACGCCAGGGAGATTACCTTAATTGCTCTGGAACTCCGATTATACACCTGACTTGCAAAGTACGAACCAGATAGCAAGTCAAAAGTTTAATCGCATAACTACCAAGTACATTCGAAAGGTGTCATATTTGTGTCGCAAACTTTTGATGGAATCAAGGGTATCAATGGTGGCATGCACGAATTTTCATTTCACCAGCGATATGAGAGAGGTGTATGTAAAAAAAAAAAAAAAAAAAAAAAAAAGCTTGCTAGCCGATAGCAAATCGGAGAACCATAACATGTACCCAACTATTGAGTAGCTAGGCTTGTTTAAATCTGCACTAGAACCACCATTTGTATCATCACCCGCACTTCGAAAGAGCTTTTGAACTATCATTTCCGAATGGTTAACTAAGTCAAATCAAAAACTCGAGTGTGAAGATTTGGTCGCAACTTTGCTAGTATCTTAAAATTGTCATTGAATCTCATTTGGTTTCTTTGTCTTCATCCGCAGCAACGAATCGACCCGCTGCCTCCTTCCATTCTTCTCTCCATCTACTCAGCGGGGGTCGTCCTTCCAAAGTGTCCCCCAGGCTCCATAGCATTCTCTTTCTATCAAGGGCCTCCGAAACCTCATTATCGGGACAAATTATCTAGAATTGATCCTGGTTTATCTTCTGCTCCATGTATTCCACAACCTGCTCCGGCCACCATGCGCCTTCAGGCTTTTGAGACTTTTCTATAGGGTTACTGTTACCCATGCCAGTGAACGCCCAACCAGGAACAAGTAGGTGAACAGAAACCCTCTCAGTATGGCGGAGATCATAGCTTAACTGCTCGGCAATTGATTTGACTGCTGCCTTGGAAGCATTGTACGCAGGATATCCAGGAGGATTGGTGATACCTTGCTTGGAACCGGTAATGATGACAGTAGATTTGTATCCAGCTACAGCATTTGCTTTAACACCCGGAAGAAGCGCATCGATGCCCGCTACAACGCCAAAGACGTTTGTGTTGAACGTGGTTTGAAACGACGACAAATTTTCAAAGGACGATTCGGGCTTAATGCCCGCATTTAATGCCAAAAGGCTAACCAACCCTAGGAGCCGGATTAGATGCGACCCGTGCCGTGAAGGCGGACAAATGTAAACACATACCGGAATGATCCTTGTCCACGATGGCCTTCAAAGCCGCCCAGTCATCAGGCTGGCTTACATCCATCTGGATGGCTTGGAAACCTTGCCCCAAAGTACTTTTGGCACGGTCGATGGCTTTCTGATCTTTATCACAGGCAATGACGTGCATACCGGCGGTGACACATCTTTGCGCAAGGGAGAGGCCAATTCCAGAAGCGCCTCCGGTAATGACAGCCAGCCGTCCAGCTTGGAATGGCCCGACCATTTTGGTGTGTGACGATAAGTTTATTTTCAATGGGATATGCTTGTCCTAGACAGTAGGTTGTGAGAGGCAGGGAAAGTTGACAATTGAATGAAATACCTCTCTATGGCTGTATCCAAGGATGCATATTAAAGTGGATGGAGTCGGATTTGTCAGCAGCTCCAGTACAAATGAGACAATAAACGTGTCTATTCGACATGGAGACTATCGGCACTGACTGGCACGACTTTGGGTTACTCATACATGTTTTCCCCGCGCGTATCCCTGGGCATTGCTAAGCTTTGATAGTCTAGCGGTATTAATAATCGTTCGTTGCCGGAGGTAGGCCGATTTCCCGATATCCACTCTTAGCCCAATTCTGACGCAACTTCAAGTTCAATATGTTTCAGTAACTCAATTGATGGGTGGCAGACAATACTTAATAGATAAATCACTACCCACGACTGACACCAAGCCAGCAGCTTCGTTCCATACTTCTTTAGCCTTGAAAAAGATGTCACCAAAGCAGTGGAATCGTGTCTTGCAGATGCAGGATCTCCATAAACTCGGTTCTCAGCGATTTCACGCTCATCAATCTCTTTATGCCCAGACTTTCTGCTATTGTTGAGAGCGAAGAGGGAGTATCAGAGGGGGATTTCATCACCTAGTACGCAAAGTGAAAGCACAATAGCTAAATTAAGGACTTGGTTGTCGCTAGGCTAAAGACTCGAGAAAATTCTGTCTATACATACAATGACTGTAAGCTTATGATTATCCTTCAATGTTAGGACTCTAAAGTTTGAAGAGAGTTCGCTGTGGGATAAAAGTATACACTTATACATCTTGTGGAATCGAGCCCTGGCTAACTCTGGAAAAAGAATTGGACATAGTTGCGAAGTCTGTTTTTCAACGTCAACACATCTCCTGACGCATTCAAACCATGTCTGGTCCCCGTCGTCGGCCCCTTGCACTGCCTCCATCCTCGCCCACTGAAACAGTCTCGTCGCTCTCAACGTCATCATGTCTACCTCGACGACCGAAGCTGTGAGTGCCAGCCTTTTTGTTCTTTTTCTCACCGCTTAATGGTTGGCCGGTGTTAGTAGCCAGAGTGTCGTCTCTGCCGTAGAAGAACCAGAGGACAGCGCCTACGAGGCCGGCACCACCAACGATGTTCCCTAATGTAACCGGTATGATAGATTGGTAGATGAACTTTCCTACTCCAAAGTTGGTACCGTAGAACATGCCGATAGGGACTAAGAAGAAGTTCGCGACTGAGTGCTGATATCCGAGCGCAACACTACCGATAAGTGTTAGTAAATGCACTGATCATTGACTGATTTGTTTGGTCGTTAAAGAAGGCTATAATTACTTACAAAGTCCAGATTGGGAGCCAGATACCGACAATTTTCGACAAATTGTCCTTGCTGCTCGTGGCTAGGTAGACCGCCAAGCCCACAAGCCAGTTGCATCCGATACCTCTCGTAAAGTTGTAGCCCCAGTTGATGTTAACTCTGCCTTCTGCTTGAGTAACCGCGTACGACGATTGCGCATCGGACTCAAGAGTATCGCTCCACCAAGCGAGGACACCGGCGAAAAACAAGCAGCCTGCCAAGTTGAAGATGTAGCAGACAATCCAGTTTCGGGCAAGATCGTACCAAGTCGTCCGCCGTTGCAGAGTTGAATACATCATAACAGCCATGTTGCTCGTGACCAGCTCAACATTGGTAAGTATTATCAAGACAAAGCCGATCGGAAAAGTGAACGCGGCCACCAAAGTTGCAAGAGAAGGGTCTGATGACCGCAGGCCGGATGCGCCACCTGCTACAACAATGTCGAAAAGAGAGCCGAGAGATATGAAGATACCGCCGAAGAAGGATTTGAGTATAAGATCAGCCCAAGGCAGCTTCGCTTTTGCAACACCAGATTGAGCTATGAGTTGGCAGGTTTCGGGGGGAGAATGCGCGTCAACTTTCTCCATCGAGACGTGCGGACGACGCTCATCCGACTGATATTTTGCATCTGCTCCTGTAGTAGACATCGTGAATTGGCGTTCCAGCAGTTTGTCTGGGCGAACATCATCACTTTGACCAGAGGGCTAAAGAAGCTTTAAAAAACAAACTACAGTGGCACATTATACTGACGTGTGTATGATGCTGTGGAGACAGAAGAGTGGATAGTAACTGGTATGTCAGTGTATGTGCCGGTTACCGCATCCTCAGTTATTCATCATTCGTAGCCGGCCAGCCCGGGTGCCTAAGAACCACTAACTAAGCCAACACAATTGTTCAACGCTAATAATTTTGAGTTAGCAGTGGAGCTGAGCAGTTGCACAATGTTGATGGAGAAGGCTAATCCAGCAACACTGGCTTGCTGCGTCATGATTTTCATTTTTCTGTTATCGTTATCGCACTTGCTGCGGGCTTCACACTCTGAAAAAGTTACATCACACTTGTCGACAGATGTAATCGTACCAAGTTTATAGCCTTCCAACTTGGAAAAGGGATTCGAAGTCAATACGAGTTTGAAATAGTTAGAACATTCTGTAATTGAACTTTTTGGACACAGCTGTCTTTCGCTGCGGCTCAATGCAATGGTTTAAAACCCTTGGGTGTTGCTGGCCGAAAACTGGGTGACAAAGCAAGTCATCGGTAATTCTGGGAAGAGACCCTACGGAAGGGAACTGGCTTTGTAGTTAGTTCAGGCAATTGATGACTACCGAATGGAAAATCGGACAATTACCGCCGATGACTCACTGTCCGAACCCAACGATTTCCCTCCGGGTCGGAGAACCTCAATGGGTAGCCGGAAAATCCCCAAAATGCGGTTGAGAGGAAAAAAATGTGCCTCGTTGGATTATGGTGCAATGACGTATGGGAAAAAAAACATTTGTCATCATCGCTTTGTCTCTTCCCCATCTCTCCACTACACACGGTGATAGTACGGAGATTCGCACCAAATAACGATTTGGAAGTCTTTAACTAGCTAGCTTTACCCTACAACCACCATCCACACACCTACAGAGCTGTATCATTCTTGGACTCTCAACAGCAATCTTTTTGAATTTCAGGTAGTGAAAATGGGTCTTGAAGGAAAGAACGTCTTGGTGGTACGTCACTACACCATCTCACTAGACACATAAGTCATAAGCATTGCTGTGATGCTAACGTCTTCAATTAAGACTGGAGCTTCCATGGGAATTGGCGAAGCAATTGCTACTGCATTGGCTGCCAAAGGTGCTAACTTGGTGCTTTTGTCTCGATCAGAGGTAAGTCGTACTGGTTGAATTTAGGAATTTCATGAACATCAGGGGCTAATGTTATGAATCAGAGAAACTTGGCTACGCTTGCAAATAAGCTCTCGCTATCCTACTCGAACATCAAGATAATTTACCGTGCTGCTGATGTGGGTGACTTTGAATCAGTGGACAAGGCCATCGCATCAGCTATCGAGGCCGTAGGCCAAATCGACATCCTTGTCAACAACGTAAGTCCAACACAGCTTTCATAAAGCCCCCAGCCTGCGAGAAATACGGATTTCACTTCAGTAGACCAATCATACTTACCATGCTTTTGGCTTTGATTAGGCTGGTCTTGCACTCGGTGCCCCCGCCTCATTTCCGGAACTCAAGATTCAAGATATCATGACCATGGCCAACACCAATGTGAATGGCATGATGTTTGTAACCCACTCTGTGCTTAACAGATCTATGATGACTCGGAAGCCTGGAGAGGGAACCATCCTGAACATTACCTCGGTGACCGGCCTAGAGGTGCCCCCCTTTTCTGGAGAAGCAGTGTACCACGCAAGCAAAGCTTTCCAGGAGGCTTTCACCAATTCCATCCGAAACGAGTTGGTGAATACCAACATTAAAGTCCTAGCGCTACGCCCAGGAGTTGTCGCTACCAACTTCCATTCGCTGCGCGTTGGTCACGATAAGGAAAAGTATGACTCGTTCATAGAGGGATACGAGTAAGCATTAATCTTCTTCTGTTTCCGCGAAGCGTTGTTATGGCTAACCGTGTCTTAATAGCCCACTTGTGTCTGAGGATGTTGCTCAAGCAGCTATTTACATGTTGGATCAGCCGCCTAACATCTCCATCAAAGCGTTGGATGTCGTGCCGACTGGTCAGTGGCCTCTAATGAAATTATAAGGGTTTGGGTTTGAAAACTGACAATATGCAGCTCAACGATCACTCACCGTTTTTGACAGGACTTGGGCTGAGCGCGATCATTAAGTGAAGGCAAAGATTCTGGAATACTGTGGGCTGTTTGCTGATGGGAACGTCTCCGAATAGGACTAAAAATCGACAATCAACTTGAAGAAAAGGAAATAAAAAGGCCCTTGTCAACCCCAAATTGTCTCAATGTGGGCATAGCCACTATACTAAGACATACTTTATCAAATTTTTGCCGATGTTAGCGACGGAATATGTCATAAATTGCCGGAAGATTGACACCGAATTTTAAGTTCTTGTAACAAGGTAAGATCAATTGAGTTTATACGTGCGCGTGATATCTAGTATTTCAGTGTTGCCAAGCAGTAAAGTAAAAAGGAAGCTTCTTATAATACTTAGGCTCACACTTTTGAATGAAATGTTGACTATGTATCTCTCTCTAGTCGAGCATATACATATTGCTTAGATGACAAGAGCCCTCGTAAGACCTCAAACCTTGCTACTACCAAAGAAATCGTCGACCTTGGACCTGCAGCTGGAGTCCGCGCCAGTTGCTCCTTCCGCTTGGCAAGCTTTTCGGAAAGCGCAATTGCTCAAAGCTTTAAAGCCAATGAAGACACGCTTGTGAGCATGACACTCGTCAAATGTGACTCCGAATTCTGTTCTTTTCTCTATGTTGCCCACACCATTGCACACTGCCTGTGTTGCATTATTGTTCGGCATACCATTCAAATCGTAGCAATGGCAGAATTTATATATATCGCATCCATACACTGCCGAAACAATGGATGATAGTGTCGCGAGAGTAATAATGAGATTCATCTTGCAAGAGCGTTAGATAATTTACCTTATATGAAGAAATATAATTACCTTGATCAAATAGGCGGCTTAGCTACGTTGTAGGACGAGTGAAAGATTGAAATACTTTCAATAGAGCGATGTGGCTTAAGAGGTCGTATGATGAAAAAGTGTTGTGGCTAACCAAATGAACCAATGTATCAGGACCAATTGATATAAAGAACATGATCACCCTTAAATACTTAGCTACACAGGAGAGAAGTTAGCCATGCCATACAAAGAGGCGCACATCTTAATCGACGTACTGAGTAATATTGTTTTTTAATGGAATATACTAGCTTGAACTCTTAGGGGATATCCCTGATAACTACGTAGTAACGAGGATGCCAGCTAGATGGTTACATTAGGTGGTTACATGTGCTCAAAGACCTAAGTAGATCAGCATCTATTCCCTTGACAGTGCAGGTTGTCTCAATTAAAGCAAAGCTTGAAAAGTAGAGACTTATGTAAATCTCTATTAATAGTTTAGTTCAGTCATAGGTATAGGATGTATAGTATTTATGCTTTTAAATAAAAATGGATGAAAAAGTATAGCATCACATGTAAGAGTGAAAAGTAGAGTAGGGCACGGTGCCGTTAATTATGTCTGAAGTGCCCTAGTACTGTCTGATTCGCTGTAAGTATTACCTTGGTGCTTAAGATAAACTAAGTACATAGCAATCTGGCGAAAAAGTGTGTGAAATTTCGAGTGACGTAACTTAGAACAGGAGGGGATGTGAGGAGACACGCCTGCTTATTCCTCTACAATGCGCGTTGCAGAGGGATTACATCGGCACACCTAGGTGGTTCCGTGTGCTGGACGAGCATCAACGCTTTTGTCGCAGTATGAAATTCCAGGAAGAACAGACTTACCTTCTGCTGCAGTATGAATACATAAATCATATTCAGCAGGGGAAGCATTATGAACCGGCATAAAATTCAATGGGCTAGGCTTTAATAAGAAGAGCGTGGGTTCTGCTGGCGTGTTATCCCTGTGGATCACACTAATATAGAAATCAGACACCGGCGGTAAAAGTTTTAATAGGGCGATCTCTGAGTCCTGTTGCCTAGCACTGCTGTTACTGACTTCGAAGAAAGTGAAACCGATGCCCACTCCACTATGACTGTCACTGGCTTATCTTCCGAGAGCGGATAATCTTCTGACACGTTGTCTTGATGTGAACGAAATGTCAAAGAGCAGACTTCTCACTACTTTCCATCCATCATTTCTAGAGTGAAAGGGCCATAGAACCGTCCTCGATCCTATTCAACCTCTTACCCAAAGGCCGGCTTCGTAATACACAGACACTTTCCCTCCCTCCCTCTCACTCACACAAACACACTCTCTCTCTCTTCAAAAGAATGCCTTCGAACTTTAAGATACTAAGGCATTCAAACATAAACTAGGTGCTAGCAAGCAAAAGACAAATGAAGTGCGCATCCCACTACACTAGGGGTAGAGGTATAATAAAGAAGGTCACATTTTATTAACCACTAAGACTTTCCGCTGACACAATAAAACTTCATTTTACACCCGTTCCAATGCAATCTTAGTTGAATTCGTTGAATACACCAAGGTCCTATGCATGCTCTATTTTGTACAGCAGGCATACTTACGCCAGATTATGCGTTAGCTAAACAGAGACTTCTTATGCTTGATATCTATAGAGAAGGTGGGAGTCGAAGAAAATATGCTTAGAAATACCTGAAAGGTGCAGGTTCGTGGGCAGTCGGTATTAACGCGGCGGACATCTCCACGTCTTTGACCCGGGTTGCAAGTTAGGGGTCTCTCATCGCAAACAAATGCATGCTTATCTCGTTGAAGACACGGAGTCTCCAAAGTTTTGGTATTGCATGCAGCTGTAACTGGCGCAGCAGCCATCAGAGCAAAGGACACGGTTATAAACAAAGATTTAAACATTTCAAAGAACTTTTTAGTTGCAGGTGAAGACGTCAATGTTCATTAAAACTCGAGTTTTAATTCACTTGAAAGAAGGTCCTTGTAGTTGAGGAAGAGTAAATCAATTTATACTGCTGTCTTGCTTGTTCAATTTTGACTTCGGTTTCGATATTTATTTTCCGATGTCTCGATCTATCCCACATTAGAACTTTCAGATAAATCATTCAATCTATTTTCCATCGAGCACTAGTTTAGATTCAGAGGGAAAGGGGCAGGCTATTGATGTTCTAGCTTGGCGAAAATGGGTCGCATAATTAGGACTCGATGGGATACGTCGTATCGTAGCAAAAGATACGTCGTGTTTCAGCCAAATAAACTTTAAATGCCCCGGCATTGTGAGAAAGTATAGAGGCCAATGCAGTATACGACGTATACGACGTATTCTCCAAATATCCCTAGTTGATTAATAATGACCCCTGAAAAGCAATTGAGCGAGTAAGCCAGCAAAGCAAGCCCCTATCAAACCATTCCTTTGTTCCCCAAGTAAGCAAACCTCATAATCATCTTCAAGTCATTGTTCGCTCTCTGCTTCTAAAGTTGACGGGCTGGTTAGTACCCTCTCCATCCTCAATATCTGTCAAAATCTGCTGGCGCAACCATGCGGCGCCATCGTCCAGAAGAGCCTTGACATGGTCGAGCATAGCAGCCTTCGGCAGCCAGCTGGCGGGGTGAGGGCGGCACTGGGAGCCTTACTGCGAAATCTCTTCGATGCCGCATCCGACTCTTGAGGAGCGTCTAGTAGCTGCTTCCAATTAACGGAATCTAGGGGTTCAGTGTCTGATTTGAGATTAAAACGTCTGCCCCAGCTAATAATTTAGTATCTTGGGAATTACTAGTTATAGCGTCCGGCTCCAGAACGTCGGGAATAGCATAAGGAATAGGCTAAATAATACTAAGAGAATCTTTTACTAAGGCTATTAGCTCTACGTTAAGGGTTAGAAGTATGAAATAAAAGCAAGTTAATTTTGTAAACTACTCTAAGGAGGTTACGAGCCTTTTGTAGGGTTTTTTTTAGTTTTAGGGTAAAGTAACTATTTAAAAGCGTCTTAGTAAATATAATGGGGGATTGTCTACTACAAATCTATTAGTTAAATTAAGAACTATTACTTAGGCTATTAATATACAACTTCTAATCCCTAAAGTACTGCTTGAACTTCTCCTAGGTTGCAGGTTACTACTACGATAGGTGACGAATAGTAATTATCTCAAGGGCGACTCTTCTAAACGGCTTTAAGGCTGTACTTTGATACTTTGATTAGATAAGTAGACCATTGGGGGCCTACCAGAGACTATTATAGGCGGCATTACAGGCCTAGGCGTCCTCAAATAAGTTGTATTACCAGTCTACAGGATTTAAGGGTTAAGCCTTTAACGGCGAAACCATCAGCTAGCTCATTGGCGCCGCCGCAGAGGGCCCAGAGTAGGGCGTGAATGCGGTTCTTATTGTTGATGACTATGACGCGGCGCTGCTCATTGTCGGTGAGGCGGCTTTGGATAATGTGATTAGCATTATGCAGCTTAGGACAGTTGGCGATGAAGTTGGGGAAGACTTAGCTGACCATCCTAGTGACGCAGCCCTTAAGGATATTATTAAGTCCCACCTTCAAGTGCTTGTCCACAGTGTTGGGTCTGACATCAGTAATCTCAGCCATGAAGCTGGTGTACTCTTGGTCATGTTTGGTAAAAGCTCAACCTGTTCTGGCCGATCTTAACCAAAGCGGGGCATCACGAAGGGCTAGGCATCGTATTCCAATTTTTACGAAGGAAGATCCCACCATCTGCCATCGGGCTACAGATACATGTTACCAGAGGTTATGGTCAATCAGCAATCGATAGCCTGAGCTTCTTTCATGTCCCATACCTATTTCTCACTAACTTTGGATGAATACAGACCGGCTTTGTTGTTCGTAATTCAACTGTCACCCAGTGGCAGTTAATAGCATATGCCGAAACGCCCAGCAAATTAGAAACTTCAATGGCGTGTATGACATGAAGAACGCGATAGCATCGGATGAAAACAAATCCATCAGGGAAAAGAATAACTCATCAATCTCTTGAAAAACCCATCCAAGTCTTAATCTTCGGTCATGTTTCAGTTTCCCAATGGGAATGCCGCTCACATCAATATGTACGCCATGAATATTCCAAGAGAAATGAGTGACCATCTATGTTGAGGTTGCAAGTCCGTTTCATAGATTATGTTTCACATGATTTAGAGATGGATGATAGACAGAGTAATCAATCATGGCCAATTCAGTGATTCTAAAGTCCTATTTACTGTTTACTACAATGATATAGAGGCACTAGTAGAAGCCCAACAAACCGTACCTCAAGTTTAGCCAGTATCCGATAATGCCGACGTGCTCACCCAATTCTGAGGCGGCACCCTTACCGACTAAAGATCAGATAATTTTCTGAGAAGGGAGTGATTGTTTCGCTTTTATTTTCTGCAGCGGCGTAAATTCATTCAGACCCATGTCCAGAGAGTGGCTGCTTATGTACATTGTAACTAGGCCATATCCAGAACAGATCTTACCGAATCTGCGCTCTGCCTTTAGTCACCCTTGTACCATTGTGGTCTTCCAACCGTCTGTGATAGGCTCATCACCTAACGTCAGCTTGCAGATGCATGATTTGATTGGGATATATTCTCATCATGCCAGTGATACCGGGAATATAGCGACTCTTAGCGGACTTAAGGCCGAGAAGGACTATATCCGCGATGACATGAAGCTTGAGAAAGTGCGGGGTCAAGTAAATATAATAGCTTCCCTGTGTTCAAATGGATCAAAATAATTTTTAGCTTGTTTTTTTCTTTTTTTGCCTTTGACCCTCTCTACTCGTAAAAATGGCTGTTTCTTCTTGTTGCTTGAAAGCCTTTGAGTGGGATGGCAACCCAACAGGTCACGTCACCAAACTTAACAGTATAAATGTGTATGTTACGGGTAATAACCCCAACGTGGCGATCCTGTATATACATGACCTCCTAGGCTGGACATTTTCGAATGCTCGCCTTCTCGCCGACCATTACGCCCGCGAGGCAAACGCGACGGTGTACGTTCCTGACTTCTTCGGCGGCGAGACTCTGCCATTTGAACCACTGCTCAATGGCCGCTTCCATGAAATTGATCTAGAAGGGTTCATTGGCCGAAACTCACGCACCATCCGGGAACCTGAAATATTCGAATTTGCGCGTGCTCTCCGAACAAGACACGAAAAGGTTGGGGCCGTGGGGTTTTGCTACGGCGGCTGGGCCGTGTTTCGGCTCGGGGCAGAGGAGCACCAGCCTCCGCTGGTTGACTGCATAACGGCTGCACACCCAAGCTTATTGACCGAAAACGATATCGACAAAGTTGCCGTCCCTATCCAAATTTTGGCACCGGAATTTGATCCTGTTTTTACAACTGAACTCAAATTGCACTGCTTTAGGGTAGCCACTAGTAAGACGGTTCCGTTTGAGTATCAGCATTTTCCAGGGGTTGAGCATGCTTGCTTAGTCCGGGGTGACCCTGGAAAAAAAGGGGAGAGAGAGGCTATGGCTCGTGGCAAGTCTTGTACAGTAAACTGGATCAATCAACTGCTTCATTGAAATTCCAGGTACTGAAGGGAAAGGTTAAGGTTCGAAAGGTATTGCGCTCAGCCATTGGTGGAAAGCAGCACTTTACAAAATCTTAATTTTGTCCGTATCTGCACGAGGTTGCTTTAAGGGAAATTGCTACAGCAAATGTAAAACCTTTGACAAGAAGCTAGAGATGGTAGTGTGATGTGTGCCATATGTATTTATCAGCATTCTGAGTCAAGATTTTCGATCTAACGACACTGCACTTCGCACAACAGACTTTAAGACTTTGTTCCCGCTCTTTTACAATACACTACCCCTCCTGTGCTCAGACTTCTCATGTGATTCAGTAGTAGGCAGAAACTGAACAGTCGCTTTCGATAAATTCATCAATTCTATCCAGAGGCTTCTCACATTACGTGCCAAATTCAAGAATGTGAAATGTAGCTTTCCACAGTATTGCTATGAACTTTAACCATAACCCTCCGCATACCAGATTAGTCATACGAATCTGGGAAGTAGCTTGGAGCTCCTTTTTTTTCTTTCTTGGTGATAGGAAAGCTACCAAGCAATAGGCATAGACAAAAGGCATGATTGGGGCGGAAATGCTCAGATTTCGTAGCTAAAAAAAGTCCACTCAAAGTCTCTTAAACAGATGCATTAGATTAGCCGGGTTCATCCAAAATAACCTGCCGGCTGTCGTTCAATTATACATTGGACTTGATAAACCAAATGTTATGACTTCGTGGTTGATGCTACTTCTCGCATACCTTAAAGACATGTGCAGATTTGATGCATTGCTTCGAATGAAATTGGCTTGCCGTAAACTCGTGTTCGAAAATTTTTAAATTAGCACGAAAGATAACGAGGTGCCATCCCATCCCATCCGGCACATAATTTAAAAACCCTCCGCATAGAAATAGGGCAGTTCGTTATTTTTGGGTTTTGACTAAGAACCTGCTCATTTTACTGGGACCGACACTAACAAAGTTTCGCATACAACAAGTCCTTGCTATGTAACAATCACTGCTGTTTTTCCACCACCCAATCCTCCCAGACAGCGGGATTTTCGGACGCCCGGCACTTCGTGCCATGGCGTGCCGAGGAACTACACAGTTGTGTGATGTGACAAGAGATGCGACGAGGCCTCTTCGAAATTCATGACTATATCTTTGGCCGCTGTTCGCATTCAAATGGGATGTGAAATGTGTCTGGAATCTTCATCTTAGTCTTTGGAGAAAGAATCTGAATCATCGAAACGATATGGCAACCTTGTTGTGGATCTATATTCTAGGCTTGCTGGCATGCTTTGCTGAAGGAGCTAGGCCAGGGCCACCCAAGAGGACATACATCGTTCGGTTGCGAAAGCCGCTCGTTGGGACTCCTGCGGCGCTACAGGCTCGTAGACCTCAATCACCAGGCGATGCAGCTACGAATCCGATTGAATCTCTCCCAATCGACACTTCGTCAATTATCTATAATTACACCAGCTCTACGACCGGATTTTCCGCTCAATTGACCGATGCTGAGGTCGCTGCCTTACAAAGCAATCCTGACGTCGTCGCTATCTCGACGGATACGGTCTTCCGACTCCACACCAGTCGCACACCTCAGTTCCTTGGCTTGGTCTCAAACGATGAACTGCTTGGTGGCCAATCATCTCCCAACGTACAACGCGATACCTTCGCAAACAGTGACTATGTCTCTAGCGTCGAGTCTAACATTGTGGTCGGTGTCTTCGATACTGGTGCATGGCCGGAGCTGCCAAGTTACAGCGACGTGGGAATGGGCCCCATTCCGAGCCATTGGAAGGGTAAATGCGAAGAGGGTGAAGAATGGACGTCCAAGAACTGCAACAAGAAGCTCATCGGCGCCAGATACTACTATCAGGGTTTTCTGGCAAGTCTGAACGAGACCGAGCAAACTTTCAACTGGACAGGCCTATACAGATCTGCAAGAGATTCCGAGGGACATGGCACTCACACGTCCACCACCATTGCGTAAGTTTTCTCACTGCCATGGCTCCTCAATCCAAAGTTTATTATTACAAGAGTCGGGTTGGGTGTCCCTTAGCCTGATGCCAGTGTACAAATCGGAACGCTCTTATGTGCTGACTCTGTCTTGGAATAGTGGTGCTCATGTTGCGAATGCAAGCCTCTATGGACAGGCATCCGGCACAGCGCGGGGAATGGCCACTGGTGCACGCTTGGCAATCTACAAGGTCTGCTGGAGAGATGGCTGCTTCAACTCGGATATTCTCAAAGCCTTGGATGACGCGATTGAGGATGGTGTCAACATCACATCATTCTCTTTGGGAGGTGACCCTGATTATATGTATCCGGAAGATTGGTCGGTGGGTGGAAGCTTTGCCGCTATGGAGAGAGGCATTTTGGTTTCTGCATCAGCCGGCAACAGCGGACCTGGTCCATACACTGTGAGCAACATCGCACCATGGGTCATGACTGTGGCAGCCAGCACTCTCGATCGCGACTTTCCCGCAGTTGCTATTCTTGGAAACGGTCAGAACTACACTGGCACTTCGATTTATGCCGAGAGTAGCGTAGGGTTCAAGTCTCTGCCCACAGGAAGGTCTCCCCTGATTTGGGCTGGAGACGCTTCTTTGGGAAACATCACAGCCGCGAACCTCTGCCTCAACGGTAGCCTTGCAGCAGACAAAGTTGCTGGAAAGATCATCGTCTGCGAAAGAGGAGAGAATGGCCGAGTTGAAAAAGGAGGCGTTTTGAAAGACCTTGGAGCGCGAGGCATGGTACTGACCAACGACAAAGCCAACGGAGGCTCACTTATATCCGATGCACATGTGCTGCCTGCTGTTCACATCTCCTATGAAGATGGCGTTAAAGTTGCGGCATATGCCAAATCCGGCAATGCAACGGCCACCATGGACTTCGAAGGCACCCGATACGGAGTCCCCGCCCCGGGAATGGCTGGTTTTAGCTCAAGGGGACCTAACAGCCCGGACCCGAAGATTTTGAAACCTGACATCACCGGTCCAGGGGTGTCAATTTTGGCTGGCTGGACGCAGGACGAGGCTCCCTCTGGCCTTGCGGGCGATGTCTCAAGATCCAACTTCAACATCATTTCCGGAACATCCATGTCTTGCCCTCACCTAAGTGGCATTGCTGCCTTCATCATGGCCCGACGACCAAGCTGGAGTATCGCTGCGATTAAATCGGCCATCATGACCACGGCATATACCACCCTCAAGGGTAGTAGATCCAGTATTATCGACGAAGCCGGTGGTGATGCGACGCCATTCGCGTACGGAAATGGTCACGTAGACCCCATTGCCGCTCTCAACCCTGGCCTCGTTTACGACATCACGACGGAGGACTACATTGCATACGCCTGCGCCTACAACTCATCTGATTCATACATCTCTTCCCTCACAAGGAGCAACACTACGAACTGCGACACATCTAAGAAGTACAGCCAGTACGACCTCAACTATCCTTCTTTCTCAGCATTCTACGACACGACCAATACCAATGGTACTCTTGAGACTCAATTTCGCCGTACCGTTACCAGTGTCAACGGCGCTGGGACTTACAAGGCCCAATTCACACTCACCAATCCCAGTCTGGTTTCTGTGACAGTGGAGCCCAGCGAGCTGACCTTCGGAGCGACGGGTGAGAAACAAAGCTACGTATTGACAGCCAAACTGCTGTCGAATACAACAGCTGAGGACATAATGGAGACGGGTAGCTTAGTGTGGTCAGACGGTTCTCATACTGTCCACAGTTCGCTAGCATTTTTGTGGACAACTGATGGGGCTCCCGTATATTCATAAAGTGAGACAGACCGCGAGCTAGACATTAGACAGGTGAAGGTTCAATCTGCGAAGATCGATCGGCTTCATGCTCGAACTGGATGGAGCTCTTTGGGGTATGAGAATGCCTTTCAGCTTGGGCGCTAAGACGCGAACGACTTCTAATGCATCTAGATTTTTGATGAAATTCTGTAACCTACCTGACGTGATGTACTTATGTTGAATTGAACTGGTTCAATAACGTAAAAGGGCGGCAACTGACTGTCATGTGGTTAGGGAAAAGTTAGGTCACAACGGGTGCTGCTTCGCCGCAGTTGGATTTCTCCAGTAATCTATCCACTGGCGATCTTCGTATTCACATCCATGTCTTCTTGTAAGGCCAATTTACAGAATCCATCATTTTCAGCATTACTTGTTATGGTAATTAAACAGGAGACCCTTCTTTGCATCGAGCACGACTTGTACCACAGTCACTTGCCGCACCATATGAACAGCATCCTCCGCTAGAGTTACACTCAAACGCATGCGTTCGAACGCGCTTCGTCTTGATAGCATACGTCCCGGCTCCTACTACGCAGTTTCCACAATACACCCCTTGAGACAGACCACTCACACATTGACAACCGTTGTAAGTGCAGGCGCGTTCTGAGAGTTCTGCAGGGAGGGCCTCCCGAATTTGGACTGAAGACCCGCAAGCCACGGCAACGAGTGCGGAGAAGACAAGTACAATAGTTTTAGTCTGCATAGTGATATGTATAAGTGATTGTGTCTACAACCCCGTAAGCATGTGAAAGTGAGACTTGAAGCACGAAAAAAAAATGACCAAAACACATACTCTACTTTTCGTTTGTTGCTGGTTTTAGAGGATAACATATACTAAATGCTGCGGTCGTAGGCGAAGAAGATGCTAGGACCTGGCCATGGAGGGGAAGCCACTTTATAGGTCAGGAGTTCGTCACTTTAGTGTTGGTTGCCGATCGGAAGAATACAATAGTGGTGGTGGATACATCGCAGGGACTATATGCCCGTCTGACATCGTCAAATGTGACACTACAAGTTGAAGGAACCGATGATTAGCCTATTTAGGAAGTTAATTAGTGCAAACAGTCACTAGTTTAATACACCTTACCTGTTCTATGCACACAAAACATATGATCGATGATATTCCCCCAATAAAATCAAGTGCCATTGTGATTGTATTCATATTTCTCATTTGTTCCCAGGCACTGGTTGCGTAGGCCGGTTGAAAATTACTTAAGACGAAGGTATGGCACTAGGAGGCTCACGTGGCTCATGCGGGCATCGCTCTGGAGCTGAATGCTAACTACTACAACCGTCGGAAGTCCGGCTGCTGGCGGCTTGGCCTGGCGTATATAAGCGACTTCAACCGCCTATGTGAGGGGCGATTTGGGAGAGGCATATTTCTTCTCCCGACTTCAATACTTTCTTCCCCGGCTTTTAGATCCATGTACAATAACACTGTCGCCACACTTGCGAAAAGTCACTTTTCCTACGCCCTATGGGTATCCCTGGGATAATAACACTGATATTTCGATGAATGGCTTGCTTTTCTCCTCACGATACTTACCAACCTAACGGGCTTAATTTCTCCCTCTTCCTGCTTCAACTAAGACGTCCAAATGTTGTTGAATTGTCTTGTATAATACAGCAAATATATCTTTGTAACTTGCACGAGATGTCTCTGAGAACTGAATCTGATTCTCCATGTTAAATCGCACAACGTGGTTTCTGACTTAACTTGGATGGTAAAACTTGTCCCCAGGCCACATTTCGCACCTTCACACAGTTATGGTATCAGAATAAGATAGTCTAAACCTCTCAACTGTGACAGTAAGCATTCCATTGATACGGTATGCATGCCTAGAACGTGGGATCTCGTCCCAATCCATGAACACGACACGATTATGGTGCAAAAGCTTATAAACCAATTGGTGAGATTTCTTGAGATTTTAAAAAGAAGAGTGTTGATTTATCAAGTACCATAACAGCGACTTCCTGTTGGCTGTTTCGTCGTGCGAGCTGTATAGCTGGTCACACAGTCTTTTAGGTTTTTGCATTAACATCGGTCGAGAGGCTCTAAGCTGTGTCAGATTCTTAGCACAATGTAGGATCTATCAGACCAGCGTAGTGGGGGAAGTATTGAATGAACGAAGAAAACAAGACAATCAAGCAGAGGACGGGATCTTACAGATCAAATATCGAATGTCTGGCATTCTCGTTATTAACATTGAGTTTGACTATTGAATATAAAAGAAGCGTTTATGACAAGAATGAAGATGAAATACACATGGGTACAAATCCCTACATGCTTAGGGTTGTCCATTAAGAGTGTGGCTAAGACCAAACTGAGCAACGCGGATGTCGCAATTACTGGTATCATGTTCTTTATTCCTTATGAGATGCGGGTCATATATGTTCAGAGTAGCACTGACTCTTTACAACCCCCTTCGGAACTGGAAGCAAAGGGGATCAAAGACCTAGACAGTTGGAGGCAATATTAGAACCATTTTGGTCAACTTTAAATAGATATAATTTTAATCCCTTAATATCCTGATCTTAGAAGCTTTAGTCTCACTATGCGATCCTGTAGGTAGTCATTTACACGAGTATATTGTGTGATTACCTTATTGCTGGTCCGGCCTGCCAGCTAACCAACACTCCCATGATAATTATCAGGACCAAAATGTGCATGCTTAGAGGTAGATACTGATTGCGAGTCTCTCCAATGGTAGCATGGACTCTGTGGAAGGCATATACCTGTGTGAACGTCTTGCCACTGACTGTGTGCTGAAATCCGTAAGTTTTGGTGGCTACCAATGTTGCGCCACCAAATGGAATGAATCGTGAATGTTAATCGACATTCTTCTACTTTTATCACAAGCTGTCCTCAAGTCACCCCGTTATCCCAGTGTCGCACAAATTACAGACGACCCACCAGTTAGTCTAAGTCTCTTTCGTATCGCAGAGTGTCCATCCTGGTGGAAGAGAATTCAAATGAATGATTTTTGGTGATCATGTTGATCTCCAGGCGGGAAGCATAATGGAATAGGATTGTCCAATAATTTGAAACTCAAAAATTTGAAATAACAGACACATCTTTTTCAAGCACACAAAGCCGTTCACGGGGTACTTGGCGTCGATTCAGGCAGCATCACACATGCTGCAGATTCACCGCACGGGTCTTCAATGAGGGAGAAAACGAGGGATTTAGTCGAATGTAAGTCTACACAAAAGCAACTATCTGTTGGAGAGGCACTAACCTCAATACAACGAAACTATGGATATCTGCGGTGATGCATTTATCCACATCAGGGATTTTGTGTTCCAAATTGTCGTTCATAAGCACCGTCACGATTGCATATGTTTAATCAAGTACAAACAGCCAATGAATACTTGTGCTCATTAAAACGAAGGAAAGCCAGGGGCAGAATCTCTGGCTTCGGCTCTCGTAAAGCCGAGAAGGAAAAACTAGCAAACGGAGCCATCAATGTACAGGAGTCATACCAGCCCAGACCCGGTACCCTAGAGTCGGATGAACGGGGCGCACCGGAATCTGACACTTCGGGTTATGCGATCCAACCAAATACCTTCGTCGAAAGACAACGAAGTCTTATGATAACGACGAGATTGAACCCTAGAATGTAGGATTTCAATGAGGCTTATTATTATTCCCTTTTTTTCGTAATTTTGAAGGCCGATTGCGGGATTGACGAGCAGTAACACACACTATGATTGCCTTGCTTATCGTTTTCAGGAAGGTTGCCAAGATGCTATACCAAGAATACCAAGCAACCGCCTAGCACCACTTCTAGGCTTGTCGCTGCGAGATAACTATCAATTCGATCACGTCTTTCTCTTGGTGGATCGCATCATCGTCTTAGCTTTTCTTCAGTCCGGTGTTTCTATCGATCTTTCAAGCACGTTTCTCATCCTTGGCTGATTGTTATGCGAGCGCGACAACGTTGCACCGCCACAGCCAAGAACATAAGCTCATCATAATGGATGGCGACATTAACCTAGGTCACTTATTTCGCCAGAAGACGCGCAGACATGGCATTGGCAATCATTACGAAGCGTCAATCTGTCACGATCGAGGCCATCTTGGCTGAGCTGTAACCTATCAATGGCTGTTATCGCTGTCTCATTGTTACATGAGAGTAAAACCTGCGCAGAAGTAGACTACCTACGTTTGTGAGCCCTGGTGGCTGGGCATGCATGCGACAGGCCGAAATTTTGAATTTTTTCAAGGGTTGAAAATTAAAGACTCTTCCATTTTTGCAGACATGGTCAAAAGAAAATGCAGTTTTTAAGTAGGACAAGTCCTCGCACACTCAAGTCGTTGTAATCTGCGCCAACATCGCCAAACCCTCGGCCAACTCTTCAAGATGTCGGAAAAGAAGGGAGATGGACGTTCACCGTCCCCACCATCAGATCTTGAAACTAAAACCGAAACCAAAGTTATCACAGGACTTGAACAAAATGATGAAGAGATCGAGAGAGAAAGGAACCGCATCCTCCGCGAGCAGGAGGAGCTTCGCAAGCAAGATGCTCCGATCATCCCAATCATGTCTTTTTTCAAGAAAAGAAGTGGCTATGATGAGAACGCAATAGCTACCCAGCCGTCAGTCTATGATCAGCCATCAACCGCCAAATTCTTCCAGCCGCATCCGCGGTATGAAAACCTCCACCGCTTCGAGCCATCCTTCCGCTGGACTTGGGGTGAAGAGCTTCGGCTGATCAACAAGCTGGATTGGAAAATAACCCTCTTTGCGTGCCTTGGTAAGCCATGAACTCCTGGTATTATCACAATGTCTAACTCATCCGCAGCTTTCTTCGCTCTCGACCTCCCCCGTGGAAACTTGAGTCAAGCGAACTCAGCATCCTTTCTTGAGAGTCTAGGAATGGACACGAACGATTACAATTTGGGAAATACTGTCTTTCAAATATCTTTTCTGTGCGCTGAACTGCCATCACAGATGGTTAGCAAGAAACTTGGCCCCGATCGGTGGATCCCGTTCATTATGTGTTCGTGGAGTCTCGTATCAGGATGTCAGTTTTGGCTCAGCGGCAGAACCTCGTTCCTAGTCTGTCGTGCATTGCTTGGGGTTCTTCAGGGAGGCTTCATCCCTGATATGGTACTGTACCTCACATACTTCTTCAAGTCAACGGAGCTTCCCTTTCGACTGGCCATGTTTTGGACCGTTCGGCGAATCACCGACATTGTCGCGCCTCTTTTGGCTCTAGGAGTTCTACGTATGCATGGCATCAACGGATATGAAGGCTGGCGATGGCTGTTTCTGATCGAGGGTATCCTGACGACCTCAATCAGTATTTGGGCATGGTTTATGATGGCCCCATCTCCGACACAAACTCGTGCGCCCTGGAGAAAAGAAGGCTGGTTCAATGAACATGAAGAGAAGATTCTCGTCAACCGAATCCTGCGCGACGACCCCTCCAAGGGCGATATGCACAACCGTCAAGCCATCACGCCCAAATTGCTTCTCAAATCATTAGCCGACTGGGAACTTTGGCCGATTTATATCTTCGGGTTGATTTGGGAGATTCCGGCTGGCCCCCCTGACCAGTACCTCACCCTGACACTGAAAAACCTGGGATTCGACACGAACGACACCAATTTGTTAAGCATACCGCCTCAGTTTCTCGGTGCTATCTGCATGTTGATTATGACATATCTTTCCGAAATTTGGGACTCCAGAGCGCTGTTTGGTGCCTTCACTCAGCTCTGGTATCTGCCCAATCTGATTGCCATGGCAGTTCTCCCGGCAGACAGTAGTCCCTGGGTACAGTACGCAGTTGTTACAGTTCTATTATCCTATCCGTCTCGTAAGTATCACACCTCTGAGACGTAGGTATTCAACTAAGGTGTAATTCTAGCGCATGCCATGCATGTCTCTTGGGCTTCTCGAAACTCACACACTGTCCGTACAAGAGCTGTATCCGCGGCTTTGTATAAGTATGTTCTCGCTGTTGTCCCCAAAGCTTCGGCATCACAGAGGCTAACAGAACTTGATAGCATGATGGTACAACTTGCCCGTGTCATCTATTCCAACATTTACAGAGAAGATGATAGACCCGAGTGTACGTATATGCAGATTACTATGAATTCAGGTATTAGCTGACTTCAAAAACGCAGATCGTCGTGGTAATCGAGTTTTGGTTGGGATATGTTGTATGAACATCTGCATCTACCTTCTCGCAAAATTATTCTACATGTGGTGCAATAAAAAGAGAGAGAAGGAATGGAGTTCGATGACAGAAGAGGTATGTGAGGAACACATATATATTTGTTAACTCCACTAACATGTCGTGCAGGAGCGCAATCATTACTTGGAAACAACCAAGGATCAAGGCAGCAGCAGGAAAGATGTCCGCTTCAAGCATTAGTCTTGGGCCTACCCCCTTTTTCTCACCGTTTTCATTCATAGCAGACGATAGCTGGGCAAACACTGTGTGCGATAGTAAATCTGTGCCTGCTGTAGTGCTTCTTAACTTTGTTATATCGCAAGTTATATCTCAAAATACACGAGGCTCAGCCACAGACTCGCCTCCTAATCAAAATTCTTTATTTTGCGGTACGTCAACGTATGGGCTATCGATACACTTATTTGACTGTAGCAGGTTTAGCTACATCTCAGGGTAGAGGCTTGTCCATGCTGAGAATCCTAGCGAAGGCTACGTCTTATAAGTGCACCGTCTCCTTTCAACTATGTGACAACTCCTTGTATCCCGTGCTTCATGCATCTGCTGATGTCCGTCTGGTCTGCCAAGGCCTACTGGATGACTCCTGTGCCCTTATACGAAGCGGTTGCTTAGCTTGTGAGACCATCCCCTCCCTCTAATCAGATATTAGCATCCTGACCCCTGCCCTGTTTCAACAACTACCTTGATTGTGGAAACTTAGTAATGCTAGTCTGTACCTAATTCCAATGGAAAACAGAAATTAATAAAATAATAAACGAAAAAGTAAGACGATACCCTCTTTCTAAATCAAGTCACTCTTTTACAATGCTATGTGCCTAGTTCGTCACACTTACTAAAAGTGGAATTTTATAATAGTTATTGAAAGAGTCATTATGACTAGTTGGTAGTAAGTCTTGTTTTAGTAAATTTGAAAGTGTAGGACTAAGCTGAGTTAAGGTGGAAGCAGCTTCTCGCCTTCGCAGGCAGAGACGTTGACCCTTCCTAATGGATGAAAAGACACTATTTTTAAGGAGTGGGATAATATCTATCTCTAGGCAAGGCTTTTCTCTTTTCTTATTACCTTATGATGCCTCTCGTAATTCCGTGCCTACTTTGTATCTGGTTTCTATCACACCCCTATCCTAGCATTCTTTTTTATACTGGTATATCTTTCTTTCTTTAACTGCTATACATGCGTGTACTTATTACGACCGGTGCTGTTATTTACTGTATGGGTAGTTGTATATTGCAGAACGGGGGGTAATAACAACAGATCTGTCATTACCGAAGCTTCTGCTTTGTGTTATAGCTGGTTGCCCTAGCATGTTTGTAACAGTATCGCCACCATGTACCAGTACAAAAAAGTCAGCGCCAGTCGTGTGCATCGGTAAACCAACAGCCAGAGACTAGTCAGCCGGGACCCCCGTCGCGATGGAGGGCCCTGCTGTTTCTTTTTGACGCTCATGCTTGAACAACTTTGTTTGCTCCATAGGTCTTGACGAATAAACTGGAATACATCCACTTGTTTTTAAGTTACCCTCTCACCGCGTCGCGCGGCAAGCGCGGAAACTGAGCGATACAAGCCTGCTATTTCATCTGCCAATCACCCAAACTCCACGGAGCCGGAGTCTTCACGCACCGAAAGTACAAACAAGTTCCACACAAAGCTCGAGAAATCAATTGAAGCTGTCAATTGCCGAGAATACTAAGATTGGGATTTACTTCAAGAGAGCCTAGCGGGACGGTGACTAGACGGGAACAAAGATTGTCACATGCATCAGTAAATTTATAAATAGGGCGTTTTAGTAGCTTCCAACAATAATGGACTCATCAAATAATTACATTCGTCGGCCGCTCGATAGCTTTCCCCTTCGCAGTCAGCTAGCCATGCGGGCCTTCTTGATCTCACTCTTCGTTGCCGAAGTAGTTTTGTCTGCCTACCTGCCGCAGGCTTTCAATAATTCAATCTTTAAGTCACCCGAATACACGACTTCCCAGGGTGGTGCTGCATCGTGCATCAGTGGTCGAGTCGATCTGTCTGTATCCTTCGAGTCACAACAGTGGACGTTCGACATTCCTGAAAACCAACTCCAGCTAACCGACTGGGTTTTTACATATACAACCCTTGGGACTGCTGCATTCTCATCTAATGGAACACGGCGCATCAACAAATCATATGAGATATGGGTTCAATATTGTATCCCCAAGCCAGCCGGCCTCGCCATATTCAACGCGAGCTCTCTGCAAATCCTGACGCATGGGGGCTCCCTGGATCACTCCTACTGGGATTTTGCTCAAGGCTACAGCTACGTGGACGCTGCAGCAGCTCAGGGTATGGCAACCTTGAACTACGACCGACTTGGCATCGGCCATTCTGAACACCCAGATCCACTCTTCGAGGTCCAAGGTGACGCCGCCACATCTGTGTTACACAGTCTTATCACGCTTGCTCGGAACGGCGCGTTTGGGCATACGTTTGCCAAAGTTATTGGTGTTGGCCATTCATATGGGAGCAAAATTACTGAGTCCATCGTCTCGAACTACCCTAAAGACTTTGACGCCGTTCTTCTCACAGGCTATGCTTACAGAAATGCGGTGGGAGCCGGCAACCCTATTGCATCTGGTTACGAAGTTGCCCAGTCCGACAGGCGCTTTACACACTTGCCGCATGGCTACGTGGCTACACGATATCCGGAAGGTATTCACCTTCTTTTCTTCAAGTATCCCAACTTTGATCAAGCGAGTATGTCACTTCAAACCTGCCCAGGCACGGACCCTCCGCACCGATGAGAACACTTACCTGACCAATCGGTGCCTCACCGCCCCCGTCTTAGTTTTCACGGCGTCTTTAGCATCTCTACAGACTACTACTCTAGGCGAGATGCTTATTCCTAATGAAGAAGCTCTCGTTGGGAACATAACATCGCTTCAGGCATACTCGGGATCTGTTATGATCTTGGTTGGGAACAAGGACTACTCTGTCTGTGGGTTCTCTTGCGATGGGGATGATAACCCGGCCGCATCAACCCTTCGGGATATCTTCCCTAGTGTAAATCCGAGCCATAGCAAGATCTGGATAGTGCCTGATATTGGCCATAATACTAGTTTACACTCGAACGCCGCCGAGGTATTCGGGGGTATGCTTTCTTGGGTTCGGAAGTTGAATTGATTTCATCTTTAGTTAGGTGAAAGGGTGAGGAACAGGTGTAGAGAATACAGCAGGTTGCACCAATCCGAACCCAGAAAGACAGGCCAATCATGGGCAATTCTGGGCCAGTCGACATTTTAGACACGTCAAGTAACAAAGAATCGTAAAAGTCTGGGGAATTTGGTAGGATGCACATAGATTGCAGATTTACTAGCAGTTGCTCGTAAGGTGTATTAGTAGATTATACTCGCGTTAACATACAACCCCAATTCTTTGCATTTTTAATCATCATTAATTGCAAAACTACTAATTCCAGAGCCTCAATCCTATTTCAAGACCCCTTAGGCATTGTCTTACCATAGGCACCTAGAGGTTGTTTCAACTATCTACTTCTGCTTGGTTCTAGAGCTGCTATCAGCTCGACATCTAGTCCCAGATAGCGAGGCCCGGAAGATAATTTAGGCCACACATTAAAACCTTGACTGCTTCATGGGTCTAGGTAGTTGTCTTGGCGGCTGTTTTATGCGTCTTTGTAAAAAGCCTGGAGGTTGGGCCGTCATGACATGACTCCAATTCCTTGACATTACTTTTAACTCAAAGCCCCCCACTTGGGCCTGTAATACCGTTTCTTGTCCCCCTCAGCATCATGTTTGGCGTTCGTTATATCGTTGGCAAATGGCGAGGCAGCGGCAAGAGCAAATAGGAAAGCGGAGGAGCCGCATCTTTCATGCTGTACAAATAGGTATTTTACAGTATACGTTTTATACGACAAGACATAAAGTGTAGGGTTAGGCAGTGGAATCTTTGTAGATCTGAAGATCAAAAATACTAGATCCTAAAATCGGCTAAAATGAGGAGTAGAGATCTCCGTCCAAGGTAAGGTATGTTATAATATGCCCAACGCCAAAACTTTTCATTGTGATCCGTTACCACTATGTACCCCATCTGAAAAACCTCTTAACAGATCCTTGTGTGATAAAACATTGCTAGTCTCCTGTCTTAGATGCATTCTGCACCCAGCTGTCCACATTGGCCACAGCTTCCTGAGGGTTGTTTTGGTATGTGAGAAGGTATCCTTGGATCTCTGCCGGGCTGAAGACTAGCGCTGGAACCTTCTCTCCAAATTTGCGTGCCAAAAGACCCACCACGTCTGTGGACAAAAGCTTGCTTGAAGCGTTTTCAGCTGGTTCCATCTCAGTTGCAGTGGTCTCATTGTCGTCTTTGGTGGTGCTCCGGGTCAAAGAGGGACCATTGAGAGGTTCATCATAGGAATCAAACATCTGCTTGAACAGATTGGTAGCAGTTTCTGAATCTCCCAGGGGAAAGTCGAGGACGAAATCAACTCTTCCTGGGCGGAGTAGGGCAGAATCGATCTTGTTGGCGTGGTTTGATGTCATCACAAGAATCCGACCCTCGTGAGCTGCAGCACCGTCAATGACATTGAGCAATGCTGATAAGGAGATACCTCCTCGGCGATGGGATCTGCCCTCGTCGATATCAGGAACTTCTTCCTGTTCAAAATCTCGAGCGCGCGTCAGTCCTGTTGCGTCGATATCCTCCATCAATACAATACACGAAGGGGGGAGGTTCTGGAAAAGAGCTACTAGATTGTCCTCGTTCAGCTTAGGAGAGCTCAAGTTGATCATGTATATACCGAGACCCATCATGCCTGCTACAGCAAGAGTCAAACTGGTCTTGCCGGTACCCGGAGGACCGGAGAGGAGGTAGCCGCGCCGGTAAGGAATCCCTCTTCTCGCATACCAATGTTTCGTAGGCGGGTCTAAAAACCGCTGGACGTCACTGATAAACCGTTGCTTGATAGATTCGTCAAGTACAATTGTAGCCATGGGCCTAGTGGGTCTTGAGGCGTTTCGCACCCATGAAACTTCGTCCCCACCAGCATTGGATGCTCTGTATATACTAAGGCGCCCATTCTCTTTCTTGAGATATTCGATACGACAATGAACAAGGAGATTCTTGAGGACAGTAGCGTCTCGTCCAATACAAGACAAAAAGAGTCTCTCGGCCCGACGAGCATAAGGTATGGTGTCCCGATCCTCAAATGATCTTGTGAATGCCAGCAAGCGATTCTCGTGCCAGAAAAAATGGGTGCCCATAGCCGGTGTCCATCGCAAAGGCCGGGCGTTGAGAAACGAAGCCTTGAGTGGTCCCTCGCAATTTTCTTTCAGTCGATTGCTATCGTTGTCAAGGTCAAACCCGTACTGATCATCGACGTTTTGTCCATCACTCCAGGCGAACTCCTTATTCGTAAGGGTGGTGGAGGCTAGTAGGCGATGGTTGCTGGTGGATAGTGTGGTCTTGGCAATCCAATCCATTATGTAGTTGTACGAGTCGTCAAGGACCCGAACTTCAACGGTCGATATGAACTGGGCGAAGATGATGTGACCCCATCGTTCGATCAACTGATTGAGAAACAGAGCAAAAACGGCTGTTAATGAAAGAAACGTCCAGCCAGGGAAAAGCTTTTCCGCAAATCCAGAAAAAAAGCCCTGGCTTGCGAGGTACTCTGCCATGACGAATGTCTTGAGGCGAAGTTCATTTATTTCTGTAACTCACAGTCTCTCTTCACAAAAGATCGTGCATTGTTAAGAATAAGCATCAAGGGCGACCATCCCCATGGACTTTATATAGCCGTTCTGGCTCGCGTTAAGAAATGGAAATACACATTAGGCGAACCAATTATTGTACGAATATAGCAGACAAGAAAATTCTGGCCTAAACGAGAAAGATTGCATTCGGTTCCAGATGTCCTATTCGTTTACGTGAAGGAGGTTAGGACCGCGGAGTCGGCCCCCGCGCGGCCCGCTATCCGAAACCGAGGGCAAGTGTGACATAGGTTGCCCGACGGTAACCTCTCTGAAGTGCTCGATTGGGTGCTTCATAAACAGCTTGTACAAACTCCGCCCGACCTTCGGCAGCTATAATAAGAAAGAAAAAAAGAAAAAAAAAAGACGTTCAGGCATTTGCTGAATCACCGGCATATTCCAGGTGAAGGAGCGGCTATAGGCACGTTGATTCGTGTCATACGATACCTTAAGCCAAGAAGCGGACTTCGGCACAGAATCCTAGTATATTGGTGCCCACAATGTCTTCTAGAGTGGCTCTCGATTTCAAAACACCTGTCACGAACTATAGGTACTTCCGGTCGATTGAAATGAGCGTCAACAATATCAGTCAAGAGACTGCCCGTCAGAAGAGGCGTAGTCAACCTCATTGAATGTCTAAATCTTATCCAATGTCGGTGTATCGATCTAGCCAGTGGCTTACAACATAGGACAGCAACTACTAGAGCAATATCACAGGTGAAATTAGAATTGTCTTACGATGTTTATGAATCGGGGTTGGAAACTGAGGGGCTAAGAAAGGTCATCGTCCTGGAACTTTTCAATGTTCCACTATTACTCCTAGCCCAACTTTGGTGTCACGCTCTCAATGGCCTGGATATAAGAAAGCCCCATCCATTCTCCTTAAGACTGTTAGTCGCCCTGCCCAATTCATCTTTCCATCTCTGCCGTTAATGCGTGTGAACTTCGGCATGTCACAGGATTGTCCTCTTCACAAGTACCAGGCCGATGGTGGCCATCCCGATGGGCAGCACAAGGGGCCACAGTGCGATCTAGACGAGTCACTCCTGCAACACTTAACCGCATTGTACAACAAGTACGCGAATGAAAATAGCAATTGGTCGAAAGACCAGATTGGTATTTTCATGCAAAATGTCCAAATGGAAGACCCCAACGGCCCGGCTAGTTATCTAGCTGAAAAAGACAGTTTAAATCTATTTGACTTCGTTGAGTATTTTACCTCTCCGTGCGGCAACGCCCTTGAACTGGCCATTCCTGAGGACTTGTCGTGGCCATAGGGCAACTACTTCATTAGCTCCATTCATAACACCCACCTCACCGGTAACCAACTTTCAAGCGACTCGAGTACCGAAGTCTACAAAAACACTCTACTTCGTGGTTGCCGGTGCATAGAAATCGATATTTGGGATGGTATTGAATACATCGTGCCTGGCCTGGACTCAGATGAGCCAAACAACAAATTGCGAAGCCCGACAAAGGTGCTGCCACAGGAGATGAGCCGTTTGGACCGCATTGCCCTCAAAGTAGCCGGTTGGGCGATGCAAAAATTCGAGAAGTCAGAAAGAGAGATGAACACGTTCCGCGGCATGATAGCCAACTCAATCCGGGCAGAGCCAAGAGTTCTCCATGGCTATACATTGACAAAGGAAATTTCCTTTCGCGACGTGTGCCAGGTGGTGACTATGCCTTCATTGTATCGGATCTGCCGCTCATTGTCAGTCTCGAGGTCCATTGCTCTCCTCGGCAGCAGGACGCGATGGCAGATATCATGAAAGAGGCTTGGAATGATTACCTACTTCCTGCGCCCGAATTCGAGCTTAACCCTCTGCCGTCGCCTTCCGAGCTTTCGCGCAAGATTCTTGTTAAAGTCAAGTACGTGCCGAGCAAGCACAGCAGAAACAGTGGAGAAAGTATACTTGAGAAACGGACTGAAATGCCAAAAACCCCGGTCAAAGTCGAGGAAAGGGAGGTCAAGACCTCTGCCATCACAGCCCGTCTTAGTCGCTTAAGCGTTCATACCCGTGGGGTGACCTTCAAGTCCCTTGAACAGCGCGAGGCCATGATGCCCAATCATGTCTTTTCGCTCTCGGAGCCCGTCGCGCTGGACCTACAGCACCGAAATCCTACAGCTCTGTTTGGTCACAACAAAGACTTTCTCATGCGGATATATCCGCATAGGATGCGTATCGACTCCTCCAACTTTGACCCCACCATTTTCTGGCAAGCGGGGGCGCAGCTTGTCGCGCTAAACTGGCAGTCATTGGACATTGGCATGATGCTAAATGAGGGCATGTTCTCTGGATCCAACGGATACGTCCTCAAGCCAGGAGGCTACCGCAGTGCGGATGAGATAAAAGCGAGGGCTGGCGACATTGTAAGCAACTTGCTAAGCATCCCAAACAAGATGCTCCAGAGAGTAGCCGTAACAGTTATGGCGGCCCAATATTTGCCTCAGGTCGGCGGGAAAGATTTTACCCCATATGTCAAAGTTGAGCTACATGCCCGGCCTGACGTATTCACGGTCGCAGCGGGCAATAAAGTAAGTGCTGAGCAGACGATGTACAGTGATCAGACGAGGAACGGCAGAGGGTCCAATCCTAGCTTTGGCGGCGAGATGATTGAATTTACCAATATCGGTTCAGTAGTTTCCAAGTTAACGTTCTTATCGTTTGTTGTGATGAACAACACTGTTGGAACAGATGAAGTATCTGCATGGGCTTGCATTCGTCTCGATAGGATGAGGCGTGGGTATCGTTCGGTTCGGCTTCTAGACAACAGCGGCATGCCTAGCAAGGGCGTCCTTTTTGTGAAATTAGAGGTGAATTCGACGTCGATTTGAACGAGATTAGAGTTGTTTCTCGAGCTTTGTATCTAGGTTCTTATTGGTAGACTTATAAAAGCACTTCAACTCCTTTTGTACACATTCCTCCCTGCCTTAATACTTATAGCATTGGGTGGGGGTAAGAGCCGGTAATTGTTTCCTCAACTTGTCATCTATCAAGTTTACAAATAAACAGCAAGGTCGTATTCAAAATGTATCCGACACTGCAGAGGTGATTTCTGAGCCGTCATAGCATCTGTGGCGATAACGCCAATGCTCACCAAACATCCCAATCGAGGTGTGTGCACCTTTTCTGACCTGATTGCTATATACCTATTTTGTCATAATATTTGTCTCCTTGACGTCTATTACTTAACCTCCACTAAAACTTTTGACTGGTAGAGTCTCTGGAAACAGCACCCTAAGCTTTGATCCATCTCTCGTAGGCTTGGGGGAGTTGCTGGCCGTATTCTGAAGATCATTGCTGAGACAACTCTTCTGGTCAGTTTTAAGAGCATGGTGGCGCATTTCCTGCTCGTTCGCTATCATAATGAAAACGATTGCAGGTGCAGGACCATGACTTCGTTCAGAGTAGAGGGATTTTACTGGGCTTCCCTTGAGAAAATCAAGAGTCCAACGAGATGCTGAACCTAATTACAGCAACTCGTACAATGAATGGAGCCACCACCGGCAACAATTGGTAAACAGCCAGTTTAAGCCTATTGAATACCTGCCGTGTCTTTGTGAAGGATGTCCCACTTGGAACTGGCCTGCTAGCCGTGACTCCTTGATAGCCTTCTCTCAGCATGCTACCAACCTTCCATACTTTATCCCATTGTATCCACTACTATGACATGTTTTTTGCTATCTCTCGCACCCGATATTCAAATCAAACTTAACTACGGTCTTCTCTTTCTCGTACTTTAGACTCCCTGGCCACTGTTGCTCGACCTGCTACAACAGATCACTACGGCAGATACTGATACGTTCAGGAGATATTCGGGGTTATATTTGTCCTTCAATCCTGGATAGCTGAATGTTATAAAAGTCTTCCATAAATGCTGCCCTAAGCGCCAAGATGGATTAATCTTCGGTGCGCAGCCCAAGGTCATCAAACTATTTTTTAACCTCTAAAGTGTTAGTCTGCCCATTCTGAAACGTATGTGGACTAGTCACGTTGAATTACCCATGAGGCCATAAATGCTGTTATTTCTAGCAACAATTCCAAGAACTGGAATGAAAACAGAGCTTCAAAAGACGGGACACCCCCAATGCGAGGTACAAAAACAGAAAAAGAACCTTCAGAGCAATGATCATTTGATGACATCCCCAATCATCTTTTCCAAGCCTATCCAACAACCGTCAAGCCTGTGATGGCTTAGGCCTTTCGTCAGAGTGCAATATCCAACCTTCACACTACTCTCTGTGGTCGCTGATAGCGGTCTCCCATGCTCTGGCGCCTTTTCTCGATCGGGTCCGTCCAAGTCGAAATCTTCCCGTTCGCGATGTGCAGTCCTAAATGGCCTTGTCGTCAGTCTCCAGGACCGGTTGCAGTTGTCAAAGCTTTTCGCGCGAAAATCCAAAAAAACAGGAGAAACGAACGGCCCAGACTTAGACGAAGCCCAGCTTCGCCCTGGCGATGTCGTCTCTGTTCCAATCCCGGGACAAAGGAATGTCGTCTCTCACAGGATCATTATTGCTGCCCTCGACGTCAACAGGTGACAGCTCCATTTGAACCGTCTTAGGAATGTCGGCGCTCATACCGAGCCAGCCGCCTCCGAGCATGGCCAAGGTGGTGCAGAGCTCTGTGCCGAAGAGCAGAACGAGCTTAGTCGCAAAGGAACCCATAACAGGGTCAAGGCTGGTGATACGGTTGAAGGCGTATGTCGTGGTATATGCCAAATGAATCAAGTGAAACGGCATGCCGACGACTGTCGCTCGTAGCATAAGCATGGCCGGGCGACAGTTAGGGGATGAAGCAGAGCGAATGCGTCTGTACGTGGGCCACATCCAGAAGCAGACACCAAACAGTACAAATAGTTGTAGACAGTTGCCGATTTGGTTCAAATTCTCGTTTGCAACGCCGCCTTTGGGGCTCGGAGAACCCCCATATGTTGCAATAGCGATTCCGGCAGTATTGGCGAGGTGAGTGACGCCCAGTATGATCTTCTCGGTCCAGCGCTTCGGTGGGCTCGGGAGAATGATGTTACTGTTTCGTTAAAATTGTCAGCTTCTGTCTTATCATTCTTGTAGAGCACCTTACGCTTCGTAAACTATGCCAATCAGCGTCAAGGTCAAGCAAGCTATGCTGGCGGCATTTGTCATAATGTTGACCTGATTGGGAAGTAATGGTTCGTCTCGTTTGATGATTTGGTAAATGTCGGCCACGAATCTTGCACCGAAATGCGATAGAAAAATAGGCCAGCAGACCATGCCTTTCTTGCCGTGCTTCCATGTAATCCACAGTGCTGCCGGAAATAATATGGCGTAGATGGCAAGTTCGGCGATAGCGAGGTTGACCACATCACTCGAAACGGGAGGAAAGTTTATCGCTGAATGTTCAGACATGTTGACGTACGCCTATCTCTTTGCTTCGTGGTTGAAATTGTTGGTTGTCTCGCGGTGGATAATCGTATTGTGTCCTCTGGCTGTGTTCAAGCTGAGGATAAGACGAGATATGGCAAAAGATATAAGCGATTTGGGTATCACGCTGGGTATGGATGTATCTGATGATGACGCTAGGTAGGCAAGAGCTGTGATGAAAATGATGCTGTTATACAAGACTTTCATCAACGGTAGTCGACGACTATTAATGAAATTCGAAGTCCTCAGATCGAGTCATTGTCCATGACAATATTAGAATCCAAAACAAGTTCTGGACGTTCAACTTCGAAAGACTAATGCCATCTTCACGGATTGTTCGTGTATGGCAATCTACACAGCCTGGGGATGGAACTCTGTACAGTCCTGTTCTCCACTACGAGACCGAGACCGAGACCGACTAGTTGAGATGCTCTGTACTTCAACGTCCCTGCGTCGCCGCGTGTGGTTCCCAAGCAGCCGCGAGTGGAGCATCCGGGTGTTGGCGCGGATGCTGTACCCAATGAACGGACGCTAACGGTGTCCTATCCAGGCTGTTGTGCAAGGGCCGCCCCAGCCTGTGTTCCAGAATCTGTCAATCTGTTCGAGTGGTGATTGCAACAAGGCGTTCAGCAAACCTTACAAATGCGCCCCATCAATTCGTACAGTAAGAACTGCCGGCACTAGTCTGCGTTACCCAGTCTGCCTTACCGTGACTTAAGATGATCTACCTTAACGATGGAGTAGCGGAGAATTTTATCTGGAGCCAAGCCACATCTCACTCAACGCGGACCGTTTTTCCCATCAAATGTCCACGCCTCCCGAGCCATGTGGAGAAACCTTCGCAGTTCGAGATCGACTCCAGGGTTCCAAATACTGGCTTGGGCCAATCAAATCGCTTCTGAAAGCGAGACGTTGATATGATGCAGACTGGTAGTTCGGTTTTGATGAGGTGTCGTGTGTCGGCTCCCCTCGCGTTCTGGCAATGCTTCGCCATCTCTGAGATGAGGCTCAGATGTGAACGACAAAACCAAAAAGAAGATGCTTTTACTGCTCGGCAATATCATGCCGATGAGATACAATGACCACGGTCTCTTCTGCTCAGTCAATTTGCAGACTAACTTGTCAGATATCCGGACGGGTATGTATTACTAATATCTCATCAATAGCTAGTCAAGGTGAGCTCGATAACATTAGGAGAAATCGTTCTTTAAAAAAAAATACATAGAATTTTGGCACTGTTTTAGCTATAGACAAGATGTTCAAGCCCTGTTCTTGACGTAAACTTCAGGCTGATCCAATGTTAAGGCACAGGCCACTCATCCAATGTCTCATACACCAAGAGTAGCCAGGGGAAAGCCCCATTCACCAGGGTTGCGGCTGACTTCGCTTTCGCTGTTGTTCATAGAGAGATCCACTATGTGTTGATATTTTCACAACCTTGATACTCAACTTGAAGGTAGAGAGTGGTCCGGATTATTGCATTCGGCCCCTTTTATGTGGCCTTCTTTTTGATTAACTCTTTCAAAGCCACAATATCAGTGGCAAGACCATTTCCTATTATCATTCAATGTGTGGGCGTTGACATTTTTGAACAAAGAGTACCAAGCAATTGACAAATTCAAAGAACACAAAAAGTACCTAGGCAACTAACGCAGTAAACATTAGTACCACGATTGTAACCTGTATTACAAAACGAAATCACTCCTAGTTGTAAAGTCAAAACTTCCTTCTGACTGTATCAAGTCGGTTGCCAAAATGATCCAAGTCAGTTGACTTATCACCAGCTGTTCGTGTAGTCATCTTCAAGGATCTGAGCATTAACTCCATATCCAGCAGCAGCGCCCGTCCCTATGGCGACTGCAACCTCTTTGACAGGTGTAGCACAGTCCCCTGCCGCGTACACGCCTCGCTTGCTCGTCTCTTGCATCGGACCGGCGGTAATGATTTCACCTGATGAAGTAGTTTTCAACCCAAGATCGTTTGCAAAACCCCCTCGAGTTGTTGTCTCATTTTTGTGGAATATGAATCCAAAAGTTGATATCGATCCATCCTCAAATTCTACCTCCATCAAGGAACTAGTGCTGTGTCCCGCAGGACTTAGTTTTTTAATCTTTCTGTCATCGACCTTGAGCCTCAGAATCTCGGCTTCTTTTACTGCGTCGTCAAAATGCAAATGCGTAAGACCATTAGTCAATATCCATACGCTTCTTGAAAATTGGTTCGCCAGCTTAAAAGAGGTAATTGCATCGTGTAAGATGGCTTCGGAGGTAGAGGTGGTCAGGATGGCTGCGACTGGGGTGCCTGATTCTTCAAACCCGCGACGGTGGAGACAGTTGAAACTATTACTTGATGGTCAATATAGAGCCGATAATATCATTGAATCGCAAGACTGACATTCCTTTTTCCCAAGAATCCATATAACCAGGGATATCGGGAAAAATGTCAGAAGACCCGGTTGCCAGAATCACTTTCCTTCCTTTCCACAAGCGGCCTGTTCCATCTTCCACTTGAAATATTGAACCAATCTCTCGAATCTCCATGGCTTCAGCTGTGGCAAAAGTGATCGTTTTGTATTTTCTGTGCAGTTCTGCCTTCATCCCATTTCTTATCAAGGCTGGGTTGTCGTGATCATAGGTGGCGTGCGTGGTAGCCCCAGTTTGGTACCTGTACTCGCCTGAATCAAAAACAACAGCACTTCTAAGAACTCTCCCAAGACTTAGAGCAGCCGATAACCCCGCTGGGCCAGAACCAATAATACAGGCATCAAGGACATTCCGCAGAACGTGTGGTGGCATGGTGTTTTCGTGGCTCATGGTACTTGGCTAAGAAGAAATGCTGGAGTGGAAATGAAGAAATGGTGAGAAGCATAAGATATTTGATTGATAAAAAAGGATAATAAGTAATTTTATTGCTTACTTTGTGCGTGGTCTCACGTCAGAGCGGAATTTGAGGTTTACGTTTGGGTCTACCTCAACTAAGAAATATCCAATGATTTCGATGCTCCATGTCAGCATTAACTTACAGATCCCTTGTGTATTGGCTAGCAGCGTATCACTAGTCTTGAAAGGGCTTCTATCTTTCAAAGGCTCAGAGTCAGATATTCCATGCTAACTCAAACAAGATATCGTATATATCATGGGGGCTTCAACGCTGCCTTAGTTTGATTAGATGGATGACGTTAGATTTGAATATCGATAAAAGAAGGCGAAACTCATCTACTCAGTAAAAGATTAAATTCATTGGTTATCTTTATTGAAGTCATTAACCCTACTTAAATCCCGTGTTGCTCTCTGATGAGAGAAGGCGGTCTTTTACAGACGGCTTTGGCTGTGTTTTAAAACCCGATGAAAGACCTATGATCCACGCGTCACCGTTCTGACAGAGATATGTGATCTATATATATTCGCTGTTTTTTGCTCTTTAAATCTCATCAAAGCTTTGATTAATCTCAGATGTACCCCATTTCGCTTGCGGACAAGAACATGATGGGCCGTGTATATTGCCGTCCATGTTGGCATAAATGACAACATACCAGGCCCAAAGGTCAGTCACGAATGGCATGCTCCATGCTGCTGTGGCAGATTTCAACTTCAGTAGGGATTCGATCACTTTCAGTAACATCAAACCTTAGGTATTTCGTCAAAGGATTATTGAAGTTTCATGTGGTAACCAACCGTGGCTGTTATGATGGGGAAGTAGGAACATACCTTATTCGGTATAGATTATAACGTGAAGTTTAATAAGAATCTCCTACATCTCGTATCTTCAGTCTATTACAGAAATGCAACGCAAGCCCGTCTGCATCATTCATCTCTGCGACTCCACAAATATTGTCGCCACAGACAATAGGTCTCGATCCTTCCAAGCACCTCAGCTGTGACATGCCAGTCGATCTGAAATGTCTTAGGCTGCAGGATGGGATGAAGGTTGTAGCCGATGCTCTTGAATGGGCTAATAACACCCCTCTGCAAAGCTTATCGAGGACCACCACCTCGCAAATTTGAGGCCAACGCACATTGGGTTCCCGCTAGTAAAGACTTTGTCTTGTGACGCCTTTCCACGGCCTCACGTAACCCCTTTGATGAATTTATGGTCGAGGGGAAACTCAACCATGTCGCCGTCTTCCTCTGCTGCTGAGCAGTCGGCAGCTTTCTCGCCTCTCTTTTTGTTGCCGTCCATGTTATAGCTAGCCAGCAAAATCCAGCCTCGGTATGCAGACCGGAGCTTAACTCGACCCGCATGAGATTTGGACACTCGTCATTGCTACCTTGGGACTTTCTATGCAGCCCTAAACTGAGGTGCATTGGCCATCGGTATTGTGCATTTTTAGCTTATTACACCATCAGTCTCCAATTGATTTACGATTGCAGGGCTGAATACACACGAATCTATCATCGAAATTGAGTCCTCCCAGCGGAGTTTTGATGTCGGCTTCTGCGTAATTTCGAAGCTGGGCATTGCGGGGTTTGAAACACACCAATGTCGCCTAGATGCTGCCTAGCCCTCTCTGTGCCAATGACTGCCATGTACACGCACGTGGTGTCAGATTGATCTGCACGTCAGACACAGAAGACGGAAGAGGCTTGGAGGACATTCATGAAATTGCCAGAAGCTATAAGAAACATTTGGAACCGACCAGTATCTTTAGTTGAACTTCTCCTGATAGTATGCAATTATAAAATGGGAACATGGCAGTAGTTTGCCCTGGTATTTGGCAAGATCATAATCTAGGTCTCTAGGCATTCATTCACACGCAACTGTACTAGACCTGCACATCCTCTTCCAATATTTTCAAAGTATACTCCTGACGAATCAATCGATAAGCGCAATGACCTACAGAATCATGGTCTTTGCAGGTCGGAAGGCCGGAATCTCTCACGAGGAATTCAAAAAGCGTTACGAACAGCACATGCACCTGGTGGAAGAAATATGCGGCGACGCGATGCCTCTCAGACATACGAGAGTATACCCACAACAAGACAATGCGACCAACAAGCCACTTCTGTTGGCAGGCAATGCAGACGAAATGTATTATGATGTCATCGCGACTATAACATTTGACGATGAAGCTGCATCCCGCAAGTTCTACGAAGCCTTATCGACACCAGAGGCAGCGGCTAAAATTGAAGCCGATGAGGCAGGATTTTGGGACCGGAGCAGAATGCATGTTGTGGTCGTCGGAGATGTCAAGGAATGGAAGGAATGAGAGCTGTATCTCAGTTTGGGAAGAAATGGACAAGTTGCAAGCTAACGTCCCACACCCACTTCTGGGCACCCCCCACATTTGGGCACCCCATTTACACCAAAAACGCCGTTTTTCGAAATTCTATATTAAACTAACTACTATACTTACTAAGAAAAGAAAATATATATAAACTATGTTAAGTATAATTATAGCCATCTAATTTTTTATAAAGGTTTAAATATAATAATAGTTATAATATAGAAGTTTAAAACTAAAAGCTTTAAAATGTTAGTAGATACTAGTAACTTACTAGTATTCCTTAACATTAGAAAAATATATTTTCGCTCATATATACTTATTTAAAAAATCTAGGAAATTAATATTTATACTTATTAAAAGTATATAATTATATCTAAAAGAGATTTAAAAGTATTACTTTAGTAAATATAGTATAATTAAGGGTTAAAATTCTATAATAGAAACTTTTCTTAAGGGAAATTTTAAAATATTATTCTAAGCTTAAAGAATTTTTTACTAAGTATAAGAATATATAAATCTACTATATCTTACTTAAAAATTCTAATCATATTAGTTAAATATCTCTACCTATTTTATATATTAAGATATAGGCTAGGTAAATTAGTATTATAAATATTAAACCTTGAATTTATAATACTTATTATTAATAATACTAGTATATAGCTACTTAAGTATTATAATTAAGTCTTAATCTATTTAACATATATTTATTCTCTTTAATAAGTAAAGTATTTAGTTTAATATAGAATTTCGAAAAACGGCGTTTTTGGTGTAAATGGGGTGCCCAAATGTGGGGGGTGCCCAGAAGTGGGTGTGGGACGTTACTGGGTCTTTCCATTCTTTCGATGTTATTTCGAGCATTCAAGAGTAGCATTCTTTTTTTTTCTTCTTTTTTTTTTTCTTTTTGCATCTTTCCTGATATATTTTTATTTTTCTTCACCAACAATTAACCCCTTAACTTGGGATTCTGAGTAACAATCCGTTTTGCTAACGTCGCACACCCACTTCTCGCACACCCCCACATTTCGCACACCCATAAATCGCTCATGTAGAATTTTACCCTCTTCAACATTATTTAATATCTTCACCACTTTTACAGCGATTATTATAATTCTTTGAATAGTTACTCTTATACGCTTAATGGGCCAGTATACGGAAACAGAAGTCAATCAAGCTCTCAATGCAGTTGCAAGTGGGCAGAGTGTCCGAAAGGCAGCTCATGATGCTGGAATTCCACCATCAACCCTCCAGTCTCGATTAAAGGGTTCACAGGCAAGAAATGTAGCTTTCTCTAGCTTCCAGAAGCTATCTCCAGCACAGGAAAGTCACTTAGCTGAATGGGTGCGTATCCAGGCGGCGTTAGGGCTGCCGCCAACACATCAACAACTCAAGGAATTTGCCCAGCGAATCCTAGACATCAGAGGCACTACCCAGCCACTTGGGAGAAACTGGATTCAGTTCTTTATTAAGAGAAATCCATCAATCAAGGTTCATAGAGCTAGAGCCATCGATTCTAAGCGTGTCAATGGGGCCTCAACTAATGTAATCAGGCAATGGTTTCAACAACTCGCCCTTCCAGAGATCAAGGCGATCAAACCACATCATCGCTATAACATGGATGAAACTGGTATCCTAGAAGGCAGAGGATCAAATGGCTTAGTACTGGGATCATCAGAAAGCTCATCAATGCGAAAAAAACAGCCTGGGTCTCGGGCTTGGACAACTATGCTTGAGTGTGTCTCTGCAACTGGTCAGGCGCTTCCTCCACTTGTTATTTATCGAGGGAAATCGGTTCAACAACAATGGTTTCCTCTTGATATCCATAAACGTGATATTTACAGTGGTTGGAAGTTCACAGCAACTGAGAATGGCTGGACTTCAGACTCTACAGCTGTGGAATGGCTTGAGAACATCTTTATCCCTCTGACTAAGCCTGATCATCCCTCTGAGCAGAGACTATTGATCCTAGACGGTCATGGCAGTCATGAAACAACAGAATTTATGTATCTCTGTTATAAACACAAGATATATCTCCTTTTCCTACCGCCACATACATCCCACGTTCTCCAACCTCTAGACCAAGCAGTCTTTGGGCCTCTCAAGGCGACCTATCGAAAAGAGCTTGGATACCTCATTCAACACAACGATTCTATAGTTGTAGGCAAACGGAACTTTCTTACCTGCTATGGAAAAGCACGCCAGATGGCATTTTCAAGCAAGAATATCAGAAGCGGCTGGAAAGCAACAGGACTATGGCCCATTTCGATAGCTCGACCGCTCATGAGCCCTCTACTGCTTGAGAATGCTTCCAAGCCCTCAAAGCCAGGCTATTCTACGCCTATGAGGGCCTCTGATGGTGGAAAAGACGAAAACTGGGCATCTGCTACATCCATAGTAGCCTGGTCAACGCCCAAGAAGACAGTTGATCTATATGATCAACTTAGCTTATTCAGCAAGTTGGATAAAGATCAGCAAACGCAGCGACTGTTGTTTCGGAAGGTTCAAAAGGGATTTGATGAAAAGGACTATCAATTGGCTACAGCAGAGAAGAAGATTGCAATGTTGGAAGCAGAAGTTGAGGCTGGAATGGTACGGAAGCGGCGTAAGGTCCAAATGAGCCCAAATTCGAAGTTTGCCAACATTGAGGCAATTCACAAAGCCCAAATTGAGGCTAGCGAAATTGAGGATAGCTCAGATGAATCTAGCGAGCCTGAATTACCTATTAAAACTGGCGATAGTATCACAGTTGCAGGAGACGAATCAGACTTATAGTTATGAAGTTGATGAATACCTCATGATGACCCAATTTATGGGTGTGCGAAATGTGGGGGTGTGCGAGAAGTGGGTGTGCGACGTTATTAGTTTGGTGTTCGTACAGAAGCCCGAATAGGATGGATTACAACTTATCACATGCAGGAAAAGAGCTTTCAGCTTTCGATGGCATTTACATCATAAGAGGCTTTTGAACAATCGCATCATCAGAAACAATTCATTCCGCTGTGCCAGCGATGCTGTGTTGCAATTGCGTTGCCAGAGGAACTCTAGATACTCCAACAACAGTCATGAGTAGTACATACCTGATAGAAGCAATATAAAAAGCTACTCAGCCACGAAAATCTTAATTACCTTGTTGCAAGTTAACCAAATCTTGTACCTCAGGTTACTATAAGCATCTGGCAATCGATTACTACGTGAAATGGTGGTGAGTGTGTTTCGTGTCAAAACAACTGCTTTAGATGAGGCAATCTCACGCGGTTTTGTTTTTCTGGCTTGTTAGCACATGGGCAATACCTCCGACAATTTTCGACAGTCATCATAGGTCACATTTTCGAAAGCGTTGTATCATAAGGCAGTCCATTCAGCTCATAGGACATTGACCAAGGAAATCGGGTCATGATCCGAGATCGGCTTCGGCACCTCAGCCGATATTACTCAACTTTCGACTGCCATCTGCCCCTATGCCGGGAAATGAGACCGATTCGAGCAAGGACACGCAACACAGCGACAAAAGGTATGATTTCAGGTTTTCTGACAACATTTCTCTTATAATTTCTTCACAAATTACATATTGATTGCGTGACTTGAACTGACAGGTAGTAGTCTTTGTTACGATGGCTGCCCTAGAAGACATCCGCTACCGAGTCGTTGACTTGGTGTCACGGCTTATGCCCATTTCAAGCACAAGCGGCGAGGAATATGAGATTGGCATCTTCTTAGAACAACATCTCCAGGAACTCGGATATTCCGTCGAACGGATTCCCATCGCACCAGGGTCGACACGACACAACGTATATGCTTATATGGGTACGCAGCGGCAAACCCGTGTTTTGCTCACTTGTCATATGGATACGGTCCCGCCACACATTCCTCTCTCAATTGATACCGATGGAGGGGTTATCAGAGGTCGCGGAGCTTGTGATGATAAGGGGCCGCTCGCCGCTCAAATAATCGCAGTTGAAGAGCTCCGAAAAGAGAATCAGGTTCATGAGGGCGATGTAGGATTTCTCTTTGTTGTTGGCGAGGAAAAGGGTGGCGCGGGAATGATTGCTGCCAACGACATGAACTTGAAATGGGAAGCAGTTATTTTTGGGGAGCCTACTGAAGGCAAACTTGGCAAGGGCCACAAAGGGCATGTTGTGTTTGAGTTGGCTGCTCACGGAGAGGCATGGTAAGTTCCCATTATCCAGCAGCATAGTATGTTTCTGATGGAATCGCAGTCACTCGGGCTATCCTCAACTGGGCAGTAGCGCAATATCAAAGCTAGTCAAAGCATTGAACCAGTTGGAAGCTGTCGATTGGCCATCTTCGGAACTACTTGGCCCTTCCACGTTCAACATAGGCAAGATAGAGGGCGGCGAGGGTTATAACGTGGTTGCAGCTGAGGCCAAAGCTCTTTGTTCTGTGCGTGTGGCTAATGATTTACCGCGGATCAAAGCCCAGATTTTGGATGTTGTGGATAACTCCTCGGGTGTTGATGTTGACATCAAGTTTTCGTATCCCGAGATCCTACTAGACTTCAAGCTGGAAGGTTTTGACTCTGCCCCAGTGAGTTTTGGAACCGACGCTCCAAGACTTAAGGGCTCGCATAAAAAAATTCTTTACGGACCTGGTACTATATTGGTAGCACATGGAAAGGACGAACACATTGTAATTGACGAGCTAATGCAAAGTGTCGATGGGTACAAGAGGCTAGTGCTCAATTTTTTGTGAGGAACTGGTAAGGACAAAAGCTAAGAATCGCACACACATTTACGCTCATGCTTAGCACGTTACTTAGCCCATAGTATGCCACAAACCAAATGTCTCCACCTGTCGTTTTGTTTGTTTTTTTTTTTGTTGTTTTTTTTTCGTTCGTTCTACTAGCAACCTACACTCGGACCCAGTTTGTATGACGCAGTAGGGGCTGTTTGCTGCGTCCGATTTGACCGTAAACCTCGGCTTCTGATGCCAGTACCCCGCAGGGTTCTTGCAAACCTAGATTTTGCCAACCCCTATTACCCGGATCACAATCAGATTACAGTCAGCAAACCATGTCTTGCATTCTCTAAGCTATGCTGAAATAAGGACGTGCTATCATATTGGAATGCCAGACATGTCCAGAACGCCAACGATGAATTCGTGGGCAAGCGGCGAAGGCTCATCAGCTAGTACAAGATCTCGAACAGGGTAACGTCCCACACCCACTTCTGGGCACCCCCCACATTTGGGCACCCCATTTACACCAAAAACGCCGTTTTTCGAAATTCTATATTAAACTAAATACTTTACTTATTAAAGAGAATAAATATATATTAAATAGATTAAGACTTAATTATAATACTTAAGTAGCTATATACTAGTATTATTGATAATAAGTATTATAAATTCAAGGTTTAACATTTATAATACTAATTTACCTAGCCTATATCTTAATATATAAAATAGGTAGAGATATTTAACTAATATGATTAGAATTTTTAAGTAAGATATAGTAGATTTATATATTCTTATACTTAGTAAAAAATTCTTTAAGCTTAGAATAATATTTTAAAATTTCCCTTAAGAAAAGTTTCTATTATAGAATTTTAACCCTTAATTATACTATATTTACTAAAGTAATACTTTTAAATCTCTTTTAGATATAATTATATACTTTTAATAAGTATAAATATTAATTTCCTAGATTTTTTAAATAAGTATATATAAGCGAAAATATATTTTTCTAATGTTAAGGAATACTAGTAAGTTACTAGTATCTACTAACATTTTAAAGCTTTTAGTTTTAAACTTCTATATTATAACTATTATTATATTTAAACCTTTATAAAAAATTAGATGGCTATAATTATACTTAACATAGTTTATATATATTTTCTTTTCTTAGTAAGTATAGTAGTTAGTTTAATATAGAATTTCGAAAAACGGCGTTTTTGGTGTAAATGGGGTGCCCAATGTTACGACCCGACAGTTAACAGACCACTGACGACGACCCCGCAGGGGCTCAGCGGTTATAGGGACGGCCGTCAGCCGTTACGTCGTAACAACCCCCACGGAACGGAAGAACTAGGATACAGGTCACGTGACGATAAGCAGGACCGACGGACGATAAGCGGTCCTGGGACAGGACCGACGGTGCCAAGGGCGGTCCATGGCGATGGACCGACGTCCTGGGTGTCGGTCCCCCAGGATCAGGAAGTGTTCAGCATGGAACCAGACTTGTATATAGTTGGGACTCGAGTCCTCTCGAGTCCTACCTTTCCTAGTTCTTCAGCAATCAACTTTGTGATTACCCTAACCGGTACTTTCAGCTATACCTAAGTGACGACTACTCTACGACTCTTGTTGAGGCCTTGACTGATCACCAAGACCTTTGAAGATCTACGATTCAATCGACCAGACCCCAGAACGACTGTTACTGTTGTCAATCCCTGGCTTACTGTTAACACAAACCCACTGTCAGTTAGCTGGCCGTAACACTTTGATTGCTCCTGTTCAGTAAGTCACCTTTTGAGAACTACTAAACAGTATAGACAAGATGTCTTCTCGCGCTTCTGCCAAATCACCCACTCCAGGATCCTCATCCTCTTCGCGCAACCAGCCTCAGAGCCTCGCGCAGGAGCCCGCCAACACTGAGGACTTCGACATGCCGGACCTCAAGTACGACTCCGATGGAGATGGCTCTTTCACCAAGGAAAGCTACGATAAGCTCCGACGCATAATCCAGAAACAAGAAGCCGAGACAAAAGACATGCAGAAAATCGTCAACGAAAACCGACAAGCAATGGAAAACCTCAACGAGCAACTCCAGCACGCTGGACAGGCCTACAAGAAGCTGGAAGAAGACATCAAGGGGGACGCCAACCTCCGGAAGATCCAGGAACTCCAGGGGGAAATCACCACCCTCCGGGCCGCCGCCAACATCGTCACCACGCCCGTCCACGGAGGACGACAAAAGCTCAAGCTCAGTGCGCCTGTCACCTACGACGGAACCCCCGGGACCCTTAAAGGATTCCTGATTCAGGTCAAAATCTACTAGAACTTTCACCATGGAGATTTCACTAACGAAACCGAAAAAGTAGTACACGCAGCTACCTACCTCCGAGGAAAGGCCCTCAAGTGGTTTAAACCAATCCAGGAAGAATACCTCAAATGCGAGACCCTCGACGAGTGCACCACCGAGACCCGCGACATCTACGCCAATTTTAAAGGATTCGAGGATGCGCTCAGGTCACTCTTCCAAGACCCCGACGAAAAGCGACAAGCCGAACGAGATCTAGCATAACTTAAGCAGACTAAGTCCGCCAAAGACTACTCCGCCAATTTCCGACAACTTAGCGTTCAACTCGACCTCACCGAGGAAACCAAGATCTTTATGTTCTATCAAGGACTAAAAGACGAAGTCAAGGACGAGATCATCAAGATTGATCGACCTGACGACTTTCTCTAGTACGCCGAACTCGCCATCAAAATCGACAACCGGCTTTTCGAACGACGAAAGGAAAGAGGCGAAAAACGACAAAACCCCAACTCAGGACGCAAGTACCAGTGGCAGCCTCAGCACCAGTTCAACAACCAGCGAAACGACAATAGACCCCGCAACAACTAGAACAACCCCCGACAAAGTACTGCCTATGGTCACCACAGTAGACCAATAGACCTTAGTGCTACACAGAGAAACGACAAAAAGAACGATAGTTAGAAGAAAGATAGACAGTGCTATAACTACTAGAAGATTAGACACCTAGCATACGAATGCAGGTCACCTAAGAAGGAACGCTTCCAACCGGTACCAGAGAAACGACAAGCGAGTATCGCTACGAAGACGATCCCTCATAAACAACTCAACTAGACTACCTACTTCGATGACAACTGCCATATCCACTCTAGCAGTAAGGAACACGCAGGATAGTACCCCCAGAAACCTCAAGAACGATCTGGTTACGACACCACCAACGCACCTAAACGGACCCTCGCTGTGGGATATAGAAGCAACAGCAAAATCGAGCGCAAGACAATCGAACAGCTCGACAGTATAAACGACAACGAGGAATTAGAACAAGACAATCAGCGAAGACTAAACCTCCTCTACGCAGGACGACAAGCCAACCTGCAGCGGATTCAACAAGACTCACAAAACCCTATGTAGCAACGACAACTCGGTGCGCTAGACGCACACATCGAACGACGACAACATGCACAAGGAGATCCCGCACGGATCCGCCAAATCAACCAAGAACTAGAAGAACAGGTCGAATCAGAAACGACCAAGAACACCCCCAACGACTCGGAAACACCTCGCGATGTTGCCCGCCAACATGCCCAACTGGAAGTCGCCTTTGAAGTCGCTTCAGTCAACGACACCAGCTCTGGAGAGGACTCTGACGAAGAAATACAGTGGTATCACTGCTACCAAGACCAGCGCCGAGTCCACTATATCAAGAAAGACGAAGCATGGAAGAAACAGCAAGAAAACGACGAACAAGGAACGGACGAGCAGTCAAAAAACTAGACTCGCCTACCGAAGACAAGGGACAACGACAGGCAGTCCAGACAAGGTCCCTATGTAGCGCAACGACGCCCACGACACAACGACACGAGCATGTACAAGTCCAAATACAGCTCAACGGAAGAACAGCTACCGCCATGATCGACAGCAGAGCCCAAGGAAACTTCATATCACCAAGAACGGTGAATGAAAGAAAGATAACCTGGAAAAGAAAAGCAGCCGAAGACTGCTACGAACTCAGCACCGTTGAAGGAGAACAAGTCCAGTACGGCGGAGGACGCATTGCTATGGAGACAGCGCAACTCCCTTTGCAGATCCATAGCCGGAATAAGCGACTAAACTTCGATATTACGGAGATAGGAGACAAGTACGATGTCATCCTTAGAAGACCATGGTTATACGACAGTAACCCACGGATAGATTAGAGAACAGGCCAACTCCATTAGGACCAGGATTCAGTCACTGAGAAGCAACCACGGAACGGTGCCTCAAACGAACCTCTCAAGACTCCTGAAGCGAAGAGATTTCTAGCATACCTACGGATAAAGGATGCAAACGCCAGGACGTTATCAGCAACAGACATCGGCAAGGAAGACCGACTTCTGTCTATCCCAGAAGAATACCGGCAATACCAGAAGCTATTCGCCGAAGAACTCGAGACCGGACTCCCGGAACACAGCAACTACGACCACGAGATACCCCTTAAGGAAGGGAAGGAGCCAAAGCTAGAAGCAATCTACGGACTCAACCAGAAAGAAATGGAAGCACTCGACGCTTACCTCAAAGAAAATCTACAGAAGGGATACATCAAACCCTCTACATCACCAGCGGGATACCCAATCCTGTTCGTACCAAAAAAGAACGGCAAACTACGACTCTACGTCGACTACCGGAAACTCAACGACATTACGATCAAGAACTGCTACCCACTACCGCTCATCTCCGAACTACGAGACCTGTTGCACGGAGCACAGTGGTTTACAGCACTCGACCTAAAAAGAGCCTATAACCTGATCCGGATGAAATCAGGTGAAGAATGGAAGACAGCGTTTCGAACACGCCGAGGACATTACGAGTACCTTGTAATGCCCTTCGGACTCACCAACGCACCCGCGACATTCCAGACGATGATCAACCACGTCTTACGAGAATTTCTAGATGTGTTCGTCGTAGTTTACCTCGACGACATCCTAATCTTCTCCAAGACTCTGGAAGACCACAAAAA